CCCAGAGTGACGATGAATATAGCCGTGGCTGGAAGCTGCTCTGGACTCTGGAGACTGGATTCTGGAAGCTGAACTGGAAGCCGGCTCTGCCAAAAAAGAAAAAGAAAAAGAAAAGATAAACCAGCAACAACTGCCATGCAGATTTACTCTATGATACATGCCCCGCCGGCCCGGTCGGCATCGTCCGGCCGGCCGATGATGTACCCAAGTACCTACAGCACAGTACAGCTACCAAATTACCTACATTCATGCATAGATACATACCTCATACGACGGAAGAATCCCCGGAATCCGTCGCCCGTGCTCCGCTCCTTGTAAGGCCCGTGTTCCGCCGATTCCCATTGCCCACGCCCTACGAGGTGTCGGTCATCTATGTAGAGTAACTCTGCGCCTCGGCGAGGGTTGTCCGGCTAAACGCACCCCATCCCGTTCGCCCGTTCGCCCCTTCCCATCCCTCCTTCCCCTTCCCCACGCTCGGGAGGGGGGGCTTCAGTCGAGGCATTCATTCATTCGCATTGACCACGACAACGACCTTTCGTAGCGTCCATACGGCGCGCCATACCATACCATACCACAGTTATCGGCCTGGCTCACGTCGTGCTCACGTCGCACGGGGTGGATGGGTGGACAGGTGGTGGATGCGCTGGTGTGCTGGTTCGGTTCGGTTGGATGGTTGCGAAAGGAAATATCGCCAAGAGGTGTAACGCATGCACGTCACTTACCGATGTGCGTGCTAATATGCACCGCACATACGCGACGATTAACTGGGGCTGTGGGTGCGATTGCGATGGGAAGGAGGGGAACGAGGGTAGATTACGTACCGCGCCGTACCGGCTCAAAGGCGACCACCACCACCACCACCACCACCCACCGGGAAATCTCTGGCTGGCTTCTAGAACGTTGCGCGCATCGGTACTTGCTGGCATGGAAGTTGGAACAGAACAGCTGCATTGCCGCCGCCTCCGCCGCCGCCGCGACGTAGGTACTCTACACCGGTGCTCTGCGTACCCGCAGGTTGCGTCACGCTGGACGGAAGGCGTGGCTTGGACGGGGGAAGCAGGCGCCGGACGCCCCACAGTGCACACGGCACCTATCGCGACCTTACTGTCCTCGGAAACAACTGCTGACATTGTCGCAGCGTCGCATTGTCGCACTGTCGCATTGATGGTAGCTCACCGTGAGACGGTTTGCCGAGCCGAGACAGAGGTCTGAAGACTCCGATCGTCAGGAATTACTGCCTCCTCATCATCGTCATCATCGACGTCATCATCATGCACCCATGCATGAACGTCTAGACTCTACATAGTCACGCCGAACCGGGGGTCGTACATGCATACATACGGACACGTCCGGTTCAAACTACCGACGAACAAACCCAAGACCAAGACGTGATGGATGGCGAGCGAGGGAACAATCCGAGTCAATTTCTCCGCCTCCACCCAGTTTCCCCGATCTTGTATGGACGCTTCCTTGTTTGACCGGATCGGATGGAGCAGGCCCAGTCCTCCCCCGCAGCTCGTCCGTGGTGACTTCAAAATTCCGCACCTGCCACAAGTAACACTATCCACTGAGCACTCATCCTTGGGAAGGGGGCCCACGGTACTCTACTCGACTCTAATGCCAGCGGCGGCAGCGATGTTGCGTTTCCCCATCCGGCCAGCCACCCTTCACCATTTCTCTTCATCCTCATCCAAAGCACTCTAGCTTCACCGCGCATTCTCGGTGACACCATCTACCACTCACGCACCCCCCCCCCCCCCCCCCCCCCCCACGCCCCCCCGCAACCGCGCCCCACACACGCTCGATACGTACAACAACTCCGTGGACATATGTACTCTACATATGCAAAACGATTACCTACCTACCAACGGCACCTGCGGCAGACACCGGCTTACCAGATCGAGGGTTCACCACGTTAACGCGGCACCTGACAGCGGCGGCGGGGCGCGGGCATTTCGCCGCTCAGGCGCTGACTGGTTGACTGGCTGGCTAGCTGACGGACTGACTGACTGGTTGACGTCTGGCGTTGTGGAGTGCCGTGCCGTGCCGGGGATCGGCCGCGAGCCAGCCAGCCCTAACCATTCGATTCGGGACGGAACGAGGCGTGCCAGGCGTGCTAGGCAGTCCTGGACGTACAGGGCAGGACTGGACGTAACTAACGGCGTTTCGAACGTGTGGAGCATACCTACCTAGGCAGTTACGGCGCCATCGCCATCGCCGTCGCCTGAAGGTCCGGACATCTGTTGCAGTTGCTGTCGGTGGCCTGCGCCAGTGCTTCCCTAGGGGGGATCGTCACAGGCTACCGCCCCGGGAGGTCAATCACCGCACGTCCTCCCACCGATATTGCCGCCGGCGCCGCGCACAAAGTGCCGCCGCGGAAAGTGCTGTCCGTCCAATGTGCATCGTGATCTCCGATCTGGGGGATCTCACTTCATATCCGTCCAGGGGGGGCCGCGCTCTGCGACAGATACACTCTCGCCGTCTCTCCGTCCCTCCATCCGTCCGGCGCGACACGATCGCATCGCGACAAAGCCCGCGCGCCCGCTCGGTACATACATATTCAGGGTCTCGGGGGTTGGTTTGCTAAAGTCTCGGATGACTGCCCTGCCAACTGCCTGCCAGCCAGCAGGTATTTTTCTTTTTCTGTCGGATTATCACCCCACAAATACTCTACATACCGGTACAACGTCAAGTTTCATCACTCTACTCTATATTTCGGACGTACTTATGTGCAATGTACAGGCCCTCGTGGGGCGCTGCCAACAATAACATTACCGATCGCATCTCCCGTTCCGGTTCCGGAACGTACATAACATTCGCGCGCCAGGGATCACCGCACTGCTTGTTCTAGAAGCCTCGGGTAGATTTTGGCGCTGAAACGACGGCGTGCGATAGCGGTACTAGTGGCGGTAGCGGTACTAGTAGCGGTAGCGGTAGTTATGCATGGCGGGGATGCTCGGTCTGTCGGTACGTGCCGACGGTATCGTGGCATGCCGAACGAACCAACGAACCAACGAAACTAAAAAGCATGGACGTAGGGGAGACTACAGTACCGTGCAGTGTGTACTCCTGATTTCCTGCTTCCCCCCGCCCCCTGGGCGAAACCGTCACCAGCCTCCCATCATCCACTGCTGGCATATGTAATGTTTATTGTTTGTTGTTTATTCCGGCAGCGCCAACGGTCAGAGTGGATCTCTAATCCACGCACGCACACAGGCACACAGGATCCCCAGCAAGTATCCCCAGCTGCAAGCATCGCACACACGCACGTACTTCCTTGGACAGACAACTCCTGGACGGACACTCATTCTCACCCACCCCATCATCCATGCTTGCAGACGGGGGGCCCAGTTCAAGGGGAAAAACGACCTGGGTTCGGAACGGAAAAGTCGTCCGGCAATGTTTTTCAGGCCACAAGGGATAACTAGCCTCAGCGGAGGCCGAGCTTTGTCTGGAGTCTGGACTCTACACTCTGGACTCTGGCACCCTGCTCCTCGACGATCATCCATCCATCCATGACCGCGTCCGTAGATTTGCGCCGGCAACACCATGGCCCGCCAGTGCCAGTGCCACTACCACTAACAGCATGTACCTAATGTAGACAGTCGACAGCAGACAGCAGACAGTACCGGTACACACTACTGGTCTGACACACGTCCCCTCGGAAGAACCCCCTCGCCCTCCCCAGCAGCCAGCAGGCAGCACCACCACCCGGTCTCGGTACCTTCCCCCCCGTCCACTCGGCACACCCGCGCAAACAACGACATACTCATCTCCGTCCAGTGTCCAGTGTCCAGTGTCCAGGTGTCCAGGTGTCCAGGTGTCCAGGTGTCCAGGTGTCCAGGTGTCCAGGTGTCCAGGTGTCCAGGTGTCCAGGTGTCCAGGTGTCCATGTCAGTGCAACTCGCGCCACGGCCGCACATGCTGACATCCCAATCGCACGTATGAAGTATGTGTGTTATGTACCGTATGTATGTACCGTATGTATGTACCGTCGGTACATGCACAGACGCACAGGGCACTCTACTGTGTACGGTGTACGGTGTATGTACGGTGTATGTACGGTGTATGTACGGTGTATGTAGGGAGTACGGTAAGTAATCCAGGTAGGCCAGCCATGTATGTACGGTATATGTACACCTGCGTGCTCCGGATCAACCCCCTTCCCCCTCCCATCCCAGCCCAGACCACCTCTTCCCTCCCTCCCCTCCGCAAATCTCCCATCTGCAAGTACCTTTGCAAGTACCTCTGCGGGCACCTCTGTGGATACCGTATGTACATGAGTGACCGCGTGAGTTGGTTACTATTATTATTACTAGCCCCCCAGCCTCACCCCCGACCACCTACCACCGACCACCGACGCGCCGACGACGCACCACTCCTTTACTCTACCTACCGTATGTATTCCGTATGTATGCCGTATGTATGCCGTATGTACACAGGTACATAGGGGAGATTCAAGATTCGAGATCAGATTCAAGTGAGATTCGAGATTCCAAATTCGAGATTGTAGATTCGAGATTTGGCTTAGGCAGCCTACTCTAGATTGCCGAACTGATCGGCCGGCTACCACACTCCCTCCCTCCCTCCCGCCCTCCCCCCGCCGAGGAGATTCGAACGCCGAAACCGTCGCATACATAGATCTTCCGTTCCAGCCGGTGTCAATTGGGAAGTACCGCCGCCTGGCTGGGCGGACGGACAAGATAATCTTGGTAGACGGACCCACGAACACGAGGAATAGGGATAGGATGAGACGCGCAACGAATGCGTGAATGCGTGGCGGTGCCACCCCTGACCGGGGACGCGACGTGTAAAGATTCCCATGTATGTATTATTTATGGGCGACGTGCTGGAAGGAAGGGATGGTGTAGGATCAGGCATACAGTTATATAGTACCGTATGTACATAGTATATAGTACCGTATGTAATTCCTGCAGGATGATTTTCCGTTTGGGCACGGGCACGGGCACACGGCAGATCCAATTCACGCACAGGGGCGCCCGGGGGACAAAAGCCAGGTCAAAGCTTTTTTTTGCGAAAATCATCAGAATCCATCACCCAGTAATGCAATATAAGTTCTCCATCTCTTATGTATAGTGTATAGAGTAGAAATGAAAATGCCAAAAAAAAAAGAAAAGAAAAGCAGAGCCGAAAAACACAGCAGGAATGAAGAAGAAGAAAAAATACATCGCTACGCCCCTTGTAAGACAGCCGGGAATATATGCGCCAGTTAAAAAAACAAATCAAGACGAGAGCAAATTGAAATACAAAGAAATAGAAAGAGCAGACGAACGAAGTGGAACAACCCCAGCCAAAGAAATGGAACACAAAAAAAAGACCATAACGTAAGAGCTCTCTTATACACGTTAAACATAGCATAACACCACCGCCCCTCCCCCCTCCCCTACCCCCGTCGACAATCATCGCTGGCTGAATCACCCGAGCCAGGCTACAAATGCAAAATCCGTGAATGAAGCCGTAAAGGAAACGATAACTAGAGTAGAAAATCCGGTAAATAAACAAAAAAATGGCGGGAGTATCCGATGGCGTCTATATGTATGCGAGCTGATGTACACCTGGACCGAGAAAGCAAAGCACCGTGACTTTTCCATAAAGTCGTCTATTGCGTCGAGCTAGTTCTTCGAGAACCCGGGGATCTCGAATCGGAGTTCGTGATGGCGGGTATTCTACGCCGGCGAGCATTGATGAACCAGTTGCTAATCTACGATTCTGTCAGTACTTCATAAACAAAAACAACTCCTTTGAACTCACCTGATGGATCGTCAATCCAGTCTGAGCCATCAACATCTGTTTCTCGTCTTCTGTAGGGTATGGGTGGTGGAGATGGTCGTTCAACCAACTTCGCAGCAGATCCGTCACATGCTTGGGCAGATTCCCCCGTCTCCTCTTTCCCGGTCTGCCCTGCTCAAAATGATCCATGCTCAATTCCCCCGGGTGTCCCTGCGAGGAAAATGGTGATCTGGCGTCCGGCGCACCGGGCTGACGAGCAGGGTACCCGGCGTGCGGTCTTGGCTGTTGTGCGTACGGCGCGGTGTGAGAGTAGTATGGCTGCGAATATTGCGTGACGGGCGACGATGATTGGTACGGGCTCGGAGAGATGGCCGAGCTGGATGAGTATCTGTGGTAATCCGGTGTGGTTTGCTGACTCCTCATCGCCTCGTGCTCGTACTGTGGTGCATACGCGCTGTGGCCTGACTGGTGGTGCGAACTGTACAGAGGCAATGGAGCTGCGATTCCCGATGCCGGCCTGTCCGAGTGATCCATCTCAAACGACGAGCCTCTCGACGACGTCAACGATGATACCGGGGGCAGGTACGGACTCGGCCTCGAGTCGCCTGCGTGTGGCGATGAGACGATCCGCCTCGAATCCAAATGTCCGGGGAACATGTAAGTCTGGGCATCGTAGGCTCCATCCATGTGATCGTGCGCTGATACTGTGGGGTTCCCGGTCAGAAAGAGGTCTGGGTAAAAGCTTCTCGGCGTCGGAACGTCCGATGATCCAAAGTAGGAAGGAAATGTGGCCATACTTCCGGCATCAGAGATGGTACTCGACGAAGTGGGGGAAGCCCTGTGAGGTGGCTGCCTGAAAGATGGAGATCCGCGCTCCGCCAGTTTCCGCGGCACACTCGAGGACCTCCGCTCGTGTGGATTGTGGGAATGGAATTCCGGTATTGCCTTGTCGTCGCCAACATCGAAGTAAGCATACGGGTCATTGAGAAGGTTCAGAGGTGTATAGGCTACCTGATGGAGAGGTGGCAGTGAGTTTGGGTGACCGGAAGAGGGTGTGGAAGACATGGTCATTGTCGGCTCGAAAGATTTTCGGCTCTCAATGTTCCAAGAAGATATTCCAGCCGTGTACATTTGGAACAACCTGCCAGCCGGTAGAATAGGTGTATGTATGTATTTGGATATGGCCCTAGAACCTGTGTCTAGGCTTCCAGAAGGTGGGAAATCTCGATGACTTTATGTACTGTGACGCCTCTACTGCGTTGTCTAAGTCTGGGGGTTAGCCCGATGCCACCAACACCAGCGCCAGCAGTACGACTAGCAACGGCACCACCACACTACCACCACGTTCCTGATACACAGCATTTTTCCTTGTCAAGGATGGGAGAACAAAGGTGTGAAGTCATACGGGGCCCCTGAACAACGTGACGGGGCGGGGGTATGGGGTTGTGGGCAGGAGGGTGGGGTGGGGGCGAGACGAGCAAAAGAAAGTCCAAAAGGACACACCATTCCAAAGCTCCGAAAGAAAGACAGTGGAAGTAGTAATCCTGGGAATCGGTACATTGGATTGCATGCGTAGATGATGGGGTAGAGGGTGGACACGCACAAGGGAACGAAACGCAAAGGGGGGGTGAAACACCGAGCAGGCATTGTCCGATTGGGGTTTGGGGAGGAATTGGGGGGGTGCAGCAGTTGGGTACGACCAGAAGCACTACCGACGAACACGATGGATGGGGATGGGGGGTGGGGGGTGGGATCCGAGTAGTAACGGTGAAAGCCCCATAAGGCATGGTTCACGAAGCGGGGCGTAATCATGGTCCCGGGGGTGGGGTGGGGATGATGGGCATAAGAAGATCGACAAGAGGAGAAGGAGAAACGCGCGTTTGAGCGTGAGAGGCACATACCGACGAATATTATATAACCACTTTGAGAACAAAGCAATAAGACCCGAGAAATTTATTAAGCGGGATGCGGAGCCCGGGATGGGATCCTTTGATGTGGGAGGAGAGAAGAGTTTCGCTAAAACGAACAAGCGTGTCGAGGTGGAGGCTGGGGGGTGGAGGGGTGGGGAGGAGCTTGTCGAAAGCTGGACGACCAACGGAGAAATCGATTTCGGCGGGACGGATATCGGAGGTCGGTGGAGGGTGGGGGAGGTGGAGGGGTGAGGGGTGGGTGGGAGTGTGTAGTGTAGTGGTGTGAGCGCCGGGGGTGGGGTAGGATCTGGAGGGCAGGCGGGAAGGATCGCACTGGAGGTGGGGGAGTGATGGATGATATACGGGAGCAGCAGGAGAGCTGGACGGGATGCACGATTGCGAGCGAGCGACAGTGTGTGCGAGTGTGAGGGTGCAAGTGAGAGGTAGGAACCAGGCAGGTATGTACTCTAGAGTGGGTAAGTCAGTGAGTAGGTAAGAAGGTAGGTGAGCAGGTAGGCAAGAGGGCAGGCAGGTAGGTTACAGTGCACGGGTAAAACTGGCGCGGGTGCAGGTGCTCACTTACGTGCTTAGCTCTGGATCTGAGCTGCGTTAGGAGCAGTAAGGGTACTATGTAGCTCTCAGCGGACCGGGGAAATGAGTGACAGACAGCCAGACAGACAGATGGACCGACAGACGGGCGGACCGACAGACGTCACCGATTTGTGGCTCTAATTTGATTCGTGGTACCTGCGGGGGAGGGTGGAGGGTGGAAGGGAGGGGGGGCGGCGGGAGACTGGGACCCGGAGTTGGTCTGCGTGCGAAGAGAGCAGGGCTGATGTGAGGGCGCCGTAAGGGCATGAGGGCAGAAAGCGGGTCAGTGGTGAGGGCGGAGAGCGGAACGCAGGTCAGCGGTGACGGCGGAACGCAGGTCAGTGGTGAGGGCGACAGGGCGGAAAGCGGGTCAGCGGTGACTGTGCGAGGGCGGGAAGCAGGTCAGCGGTGGCGGCGTCGAGGGCAGAACGATGCAGGTCAGTTGTGAGTCCCTACCGGCAATCACCTTCTCTCGCGGAAAAATAAATAAAAATGGTGGCTCCCACACGTCGAAGGCAGCAGGCGGATGCAGATTGGTGTATGTACCGCCACCAGACGGACGGAAGGTCACGGCCCACCCTACTCCACCACCACCTCCACCAACAACAACAACACGACAGGCGGATCCAGACGACCGATCGACTAGTTGGTCAGTTAGTCCACGGCACCAGCCAAGCAGCGCAGAGACACGACCAAGCACGAACCGGCGCGAGACAGAACACGGGTACCCTATCCGAGCGGAGCAGGTATGATGGCGCGGGCAGCAGTGGCAGATGTCGTCGTTGTCGGAGTGCGATCGTAGTCGTGATCGTGCTTGTGACTGTGAGTTGCGTGTGAGCGTGAGCGGGAGCGGGAGTGTGGGCGTGGGGCGTGAGCTTGTGAGTCCGCTGTGAGCTCGAATGCAGGAGGGAGATGAGGGCGAATCTCGAAGGGATGGCGGAATAATAGCCGTGATCGTTCGTTCGCTCGTTCTTCGTTCGTCGCCGGTAGGCTAATGACGGAAGCAGGACGACGAAGACGAAGACGCCGACGCCGACGAGCTGTGGCTGTGGCTGTTCGTCCGCTCGCTGGGTCCCACCACTAGTTGCTCTAGTACCGTACCATATTCTCCTGCCATGTATGTGAGTGGACCGGAAGTCCGAGCGTCTACCTGCTCCATATCAGCAGTGTGTAGCCTTTTTTTCTTCTTTTTTTTCATTCTTTCTGTGGCGTCTGTATCACGACGGGTGGGTAGCCGGCCACACGGTCTGACTGGATCGATGGGAAATGTCCGCTATCGGAGCAACACGATGCGGACAGACGTATGTCGTGCAGAGCTGCGAGCAGGCAGAGCGGAAGAAGAAAAGCTGGAGAAGAGTCACCTATTCCGGTCCGAACACGGTGGTACGGGAGAACGAGCTAGCCAGCGTACCTACGTGGAGAGTCGTGGACCCGCCCCCAGCTGCGAAGTGAGGAAGCGACTCGGTCGGTTTGGATGGTTATCGAGTGGGGAACGAAAGGAAGGAAAAAAGCGAAGCGGATGGGAAACCAAAAGGCGTTGGTGATGCTGTTCCGCTGCTGCTGTTGTTCCGCTGCTGCTGCTGATGCTGCTGCTGCCGACGATGTCTTGGATCGATTGCACGATAGGTGTCAGTCAGCCGTTCTCGGTCAGTTAGTCCGTTAGTCAGTCAGTCGTTCTCGGTTAGGTAGTCCGTCGGTCACTCTCGGTTCGCCCGTCAGTCATTCTCGGTCCGCACTTCGGTCCGGCTTCTCCTTCACCTTCCTCTCCTACTCCTTCCTCTCCTACTCCTTCCTCTCCTACTCCTTCCTCTCCTACTCCTTCCTCTCCTACTCCTTCCTCTCCTACTCCTTCCTCTCCTACTCCTTCCTCTTCTCCTCTTCTTGGCCGGTCCTATCCTTTCAATCCACGCATATATTTTACTCCCATCTGACACCGTCCCGGGTGCGTGTGCTCTGCATTGGCAGCACTGCCTCTTCCTCCATGTGGATGGGATGGTAGGTATGCGTATCCGCTGTCTGTCTCTCTCACTGCCTGCGCCTACCTTGACGTGGGAGCGCCGGATGACGATCTTAGCACTGATCTGACCCGAGTGGAACCTTCAAGGAATATTTAATCGTCCGTCCGTCCACCATCATCCGTCCGCACGTCTCTCTTGTCTCACGTCGGCGTGTAACTACTTTCTACTGGCAGTGTGAGGATGGCGCATATTCCTCGTGCTGATGCTCTCTACTCTACTGGCGAGTGGTGTAAGGATGCGTATATTCGTCCTGCTGGTTTCTACTGGCAGTGTAAGGATGGCGTATATTCCTCCTGCTGCTGAGCTAGAGCAACTTGGCTGCTGCTGCTCGCCGTCTGTCAGTTAGCCATAGCAAGCTGACATCCAACACGCAGGCAGGCAGGCACCAAGGATCATCTCGGTCGTTCTCGTCCACGCTTTGCCTCTGACCACCACCACCACCTCCACCGCCACCAACGCAAATGTCTCACAGAGTTCGAAAATCTTCACCCCTTGTCTTTAGGTCTGTCTTCAGCGACCAAACCGCCTCCACCCCCCAACCATCGCATCCCGGAAGAGAAGGAAAGACCAGCCATCGTAGGGGTGTGGCTCAACTAGTGGGGGAGGTACATAGCAGCCGGGCCTGGGACCTCGCTATATAGATACTCTAGCACGGCGGGTGTTTTCTCCTGTCACACTCGAAGCCGGTCCGGCGCTACCACTGGTCAGTTGCGTTTCCCGTCAAGCTCACCACCCCCCCCCCCCCCCCCCCCCCCTCCAAAGAGCAACCTGGGATTCGGATCGGCTGACGAGATGCGTAGCATACCCTTTCCTTTCCCACAGTACTCTACCGTACATGATCACCGTCGAAGTGACGGAAAAAAATGCAGAGCCAAGAAAACTCTCACCTTCTTCATCTTCATCAGCATCGCCAGCCCAGCAGCAGCAGTAGCATCGCCAGTGACGCCCGAATCCAGGGGGAAAGAAGCGGACGGAAAGAAAGAGAAAAAAAGAAAGGGAAGGGAAGGGAGAACTGCGCTTCGCCGGCAGAGTAGCACTCGTCAAGTACTAGTATAGCCAGCCTGCCTGCCGACCAGTCAGTCGGCATCAGGTCGTCAGTTGAAACTACCCACCCACCTCCCACCTCACACAGAGACACACACACACACGCACACGCATACACGCATACACGCATAACTCTGTACACGCACAGAATGCGTAGAGTAAGTGGCATATCGGCTGTCAACGCGCTCGGGTGGTCCATGGCCGGTTTCCCGCCGTCACCGCCATCAACGCCAGCATCATCACCACCACCACCGCCAGCCGGCATCATCACCACCACACCACGTCGTCGTCTCCGCCGCAGCTGGGATCTGCGCCTATGGGATCCGATTTTCAATGATTGATCAGTCGCCGTAACACAAGGGCTAACCAAGGCGCGCCCACCCCGGGTTGTCTGTATGTAACCTGTCGGAGCTAGTCTGGGCTAGCCTGGGGGGCGTGGCGGACATCAGCTACTCTAGACATCCATCGATCATCCATCCAGACTTTCAGACATCCAGACATCCAGATAGGTACGTACCCAGATATTCAGACATCCATCCATCATCCATCATCCATCATCCACCACCCACCATCCATCCCTCTCAAAATCGGATTCCTCTTCTGGCCCATTAAGCAGCAAGCGCCAAAAAAAACCCCCAAAAAAATAAACATCTATCTCAGACGGTGGGTGGGTGTGCAATCATCAACGTGCATGGAAGCTCGGTCACGACGCCTACGCGTGCGTGCGACACTGCGACGTGCCTCGATCGTTGGAAGGGGCCGACGACAACGACAGCTCGAGAGTCGAGACGATTAGCGTAGTGGGGATCGATAAGAACTAGAGTAGGGACCGCTAGTTGGTTGTACTCTACATGGTCTAGCGCGCCCCACGCACACGCCCACATGGAGAGTTTCCTTATGCGCTTGCGGGTTGCTCGCACGATACGATTCGACGATTTGTCGCCCCGGATTCTTTTTTTACTTAGTATACTTTCGGATGGACATTGGACATTTGGAATTTTGGATCGCTCTGGCTCTGGCCAGACAATTCGATGCTCCTCTCCTCCTCGTCGTCGTCCTTCCTACTTGCATGGCACACATACCTGAGCTACTGCAACCGTGCGTTGACACTTGAGTGCACAAGCAAGCAGTCAAGCAGTCAAGCAGTCAAGCAGTCAAGCAAGCAGGTAAGCTGGTAAGCAGCGAGCGAGCACGCAGAGCGTCGAAGGAGACCCAGAGTACCGTAGAGTATCGAAATTCGGGACCGGATAGTCATGTCGCACACCCTCTTCCCTCTTCTCCCAGCTGTCTTCCTGTCCTGTCCTGTGCTCTCCAGTCCTGACCCTCAGGAGCCGCCGACATCCGTGTCATCCAGCGCTGCTCTCCTCCCTCCCCAAGTCGGCGCAAATAACCGGCAGCCCCCTCCTCGTGTCCCGAAGCGGCTAGGACACGCACACACATGGTTCGAGTACCCTATCTAGATGTTGAGAAAACGCTGGGTGGGGCGGGGTGGAGATTCGCAGCGGCGGGTATCTGAGAAGTCATTTCTGGATGTAGGTAGGTGGGTTCGTATGTATGCACACCTAGATGCTTCTTCTTCTTCTTGCCTACTCTGGACGTATGCAGACATGCTCCTTCTTACCCACTCTGGACGTAGGTACTAGATTGAAGCACACTAACTATTCCGCATGTACTGATCCGCAAGGAAAGTGGGCAGGAAATGCACTTACCTAGGTCTTCACTTCCGGATCTCCCTTGTTGGAACTTGGGGATGAGGGATCATGGCTGGCACCCCTTCCGACGCCACTACGATTCCTACATGCATACTCACCCCCCTCCCGTTCCACTCGATCCCTTTCGCCCGCTGCACTGCAGACTATCATCGACATCCTCAGCAGCAGCAGCAGGTGCCCTACTCACTCACTCACCGAGAACAGCACCGCTGGAAATACAGTGCTGCCTTCTTCTTCTCCGTCTCCTCTTCTTCTTTTCCTGCCCTCTCTTCTCTCCTGCTCTCTTCTCCACGTCTCTCTCTCCACGCCTCTCCACTCTCACCTCTCCTCCCTACCCGCTTACAGAATCATCCCCCAGAACGGGGTTGGCTAGCGAACCGAGACAATTGCACGACAAGGGATCGTGGGAGGGACCCACGGAAATAAGGATATGATGATGATGATGGCGCGTCAAGGATCATCCTGTTACCGAGAGAACAGCTTGCCAGCCAAGCCAGCAGGCCAGCACCTGCGAGCGGTGGGGACGGTACCGTGCTAAGCGGGACGGACAAACTCACGCACTCAATCACTCACCTACTATGCGTGACCTTCCCGCCCACTCAGTGGTCGTGGTGGGCGTGCCGGTCACTACTCCCTCCTCCTCTTTCTCCTCCTCTTCCTCCTCCTCGAAAAGCATATCCGCCGCTCGGCTCTATTTGCTACTGATGTACCGGTACTCTGCTCCAAGTAGAGTCCACTGATGACCGAACCAGCCCGCGACACCAAACCTAACGCTGCTCGGCTGGGCGCTTCCACCCACCGCAAACATGTCCCCACACTGCACAGTCGTGTGTCTCTTGTGCCACTCAAGGGAGTCGTTAGCAGTTGACTAGCAGTCAGCAGTCAGCAGTCAGCCATCGAAAGGAAAAAGAAAAAGAAAAGCAAAAGGAAAAGGAAAGACATTGAACTGACTGGCTGACCGACTGACTGGCAGCTAACCCCATTGCATGACATCCGCCGTGACCGTGTCTCGACTCTCGCTGCGGAACTTCTAGCATGAAGGATCATGGCATCCGCCCCACCCCCTATGCCGAGACTATGTACTCGTACATAGACTTCGAGGTACTCTATATTCCAGGTAGAGGAGCATCAAGGTATGTACCTGGTTGATTTCCAAATCTCCACAGGTATGTAGAGTACATAACCCATGATCCATCAACCATCTCCACCCGCCCTTGCCCCTCCTCCCCTTGAGATCCTTTCCCTTCGTAGACCCCCGTCTCAACCTTTCCAGGAACGGGCCGAGCATCACAGCTCACGACGACGATCAATCGGTACATATATTACCCCCGTTCGTTCGTGCGTTCGCTCGTTTCGTTCGCCCTAGGCTGCATCCCTCACCGGTCTGCGCGGCGCGCGCGGATCGATCACCGACCCTCGAGTCTCGGCTGTCGTTCGCGGTTCGTGGAGGTCTATCTAACCCCTCCCCTCACCCCCTTCCCAGTCGTAATGTATAGTCGTATGTAATGTATATGTGTGTCGTATCCAGTCTTCTTCTGCTTTTGCTTCTGCTCTTGCTTCTGCTGCTGCTTGTTTAACTTCGACTTCGACTTTGTCTGCTTCGTCTTCAAGTTCTTGGACTTCTTGGTGTTCTCAAGGTTGTCCATCTGCATTCGTTCGTTTCACATAGCACCGATGCAATGCGATGGCGTTTCCCACCGCCCCTCCCCTCCACTCTAGTGTAGCGTTCGCCGTAGGGTAGCCTGTAGGGGTTTCTTTCGTTCTTACAAATTGCTCTTCCTTTTGATTTCTATTTATAACGCACCAACCACCCCTGGAGTCCTGGAGTCCTGGAGTCCTGGAGTCCTGGAGTAACGAGTTTGAAGTTTGACCGCGACCAGGTTCCAGCAGCTCGTGGTATGTAGATCTGGATACCTTATGTATAGTACTCTGCTACATTTACTATACTATGGGACTATGCTGCATAGTACTAGGCACTTGGGATATAGATACTCCACTGTTCTATACGATACTATAGCATACTTCCTATGCTATAGTACAGTAGACGTCTATGTATGTACATAGGTACGTATGTGCGTACGGGAAATCGGAATTCGAAAAGAAAGAAAGAAATAAGTGGATACGAGGAATCCTCCTCGGCTTCAGATCTTTCCGTGATGATCGTTCCGAGATTATTCCGAGATCATTCTAGGTTTCTATCACTATGATATGTAGGTAGGTGTGATTTGGCCGATGTGCCGGGCGTGAAAGGGGTTGATTACAGGTTTCTACACAGCCTACGGGGCGGGTTCCTATATCAACAGGTTTCTATACAGGTTCACTTACAGGTTCACATACACACAGGTTACCATTCGGACAGTTGGGGTGCGCGAGACTGGGCACTGCACTGGGCACTGGACACTGGGCACTGGGCACTGGGCACTGGCCGGAGATCATCCGTACATACATGAGTACTATATGTAGTAGTACTATGTGCTATATGTGAGGCGGTGAGGCGTTCGGATTTACTTGCCTATGTACTTACATAGAGACCTAGAGACCTAGATAGTAGAAACCTATATGTCTACGCACCTATGGATGTACATAGAGACCTACTTTCCTACTTACCGGCCTATACATCTATGCCTTTACCTATCAATTTACATAAAGACCTCATTATATAGAGACCTACCCACAACCCCACCTATACCGCCCCGCTCCACCGGCGGCAGGCAGGCAGGTCAGCCAAATTCCTTCAGCATGTTCCAAGGGGCCAACCACGGTCCACCATCCACCATCCACAACTGCAATATTCGCCGTATCTGAGTCTAGAGCAGAGCGTTTATATTGCGCAACCAGTGCAACCTGGTACGGTATCCACTGGCGGGGGCGTCACCGAAACTTAGTTTGTGTAGTATCTAGTTAGCGGTGGCTGTCAGGCTTGTCAGCTGCCACTGCCACTGCCACTCAGTGACACTGACTGACGGATGATATGATACGGTACCAGATCACGGAGGGGCACACGCACGCGCGTACGTGCGGACGTATCTCGTACGGACAGACGGAAGGGCGGACGGATAGCTCGGCGGCTTCGATGGCTTCAGCTTCAGTTCGGCGGGAAGGGAAGGGAAGGGAAGCAGGGGCGGGGCGGAGTACTTACTGCTGCGGCCTGCGGCTGTCTGATTCGCGAGCGTTTCATCGACACGACGACGACAGCGCTACTACTACTGCTGCTGCTATTACTGCTGCTACTATGTATTACTGCTGTTATTACTACTACTAGGTACTGCTATTACTGCTACTAGTGCTACTACTAGTGCTACTGCTGCTATTACTATTACTACTACTATTACTACTACTGTTGCTGCTGCTACTATTACCGCTGCTACTATTACCGCTGCTACTATTGCTGCTACTACTTTTACCGCTGCTACAATTACTGCTGCTACTATTACCGCTGCTACTATTACCGCTGCTACTATTACTCCTACAACTACTCCGTAGCCCTAGAGCTCCAAGCTGTACATATGAGCAGTAAACAAACTACTACTATAACTAGTACTACCACTACTGCTAACACTACCACCACTACTACAACCCCGTGATGACGGAGGTTGCCAACCTGCTATTACGGGAAACATCTAAACGCGATTCGGCCGTTCGTTCGTGTATAACAACTTCAGCCGGCCGTATACACGGAGAAAGAAGCGCTCGACGAGGAGCCGGAAGCAACCGCACCGGCTGCCACCGTCCCACGGAGCTTCTCCGGCCCTCGGGTTCTAATTGCGTGTTGCGTTCACTCTACTATACAGACTACATCTACTCTACATTACATGTATGCATTGTACCTATGCAATATTATGTACTCCACTTGTATGCAATGTTATGTAGGTACTGCCCGGCAGTAGTAATGAATGTAGGACCTCTACTGCTCCTGCAGTGCAGTGCTGATCATCGTTCGTCCTTTCCCTCCCCATCCCTCCCCATCCCTTCCCTTGCCTTCCTTTCCGTTTCGTTTCGTTTGAACTTTTGACAGGCAGGCAGGCAGGGTAGATAGGATAGGATGATGGCGTCTGCAGGAAAATCAAAAAATTTGCAAAGAAACACCCGATGACAGCTACGGACCAGCTACGGACTTTTTTTTCGGTCAAACCAGATGAGACGCCCGCCCTGCTCTGGGACCGAGGCATGGGGGGAGGGGCGGGAGGGTGTCGGCGGCGGGGACATGGGGCATGGGGCATGATGGGGCATTATGGGGCATGATGGGGCATGCTTGGCCGATACTGGTACGTACTGGGCTGCTCGGCTTGGTGGTCGGCTGTGACCCGGAGTTTGTGTGGAGAACAAAGTACTCAAGACTCAAGTACTTCTACCTAGGCAAATACTCAACTTGGGTATGATACCTACATAGTAGTGGCCGTGGAGATGTATGGTAGTTATGGTAGCGCGTAGGCCACATGTGACGTGCCGTAGGTTGTTATGTACGAAAGTCAAACCAAGTACCTGCCTCCTACCTACTATAAATTCATGCCATGAAAAAAAACACGACATGCCCCCCCCCCCCGACTCCCCGAGTGTGGAGTACACCATTTTCGGCGGAGGTCTAGACGGGCTCTCGGCGGGAGATGAGGACAGCGAGAAGGAAATCAATAATTCTAGCCACTTATTGGTCGGCTGGCCGGGGTGCGGTACGTCAAGCCATATCGAGCGTCGACTGTACAGCATGTGGCGTTCGCTCGGTTTAACGAGCCTGGTCGTGAATGGATGGCGGCCACACTTCCTTCTCTCTTTCTCTCTCTCTCTTTCGCTGCTCTTCGTTGCTCTCCGCTGCTCGTCGGGAGATTTCTGCTGAGGATGAATACGACGACTTGTTTGCTCGGCAATCTATATTATAGTAGCATGTTGACGGATGAAGCGAAATCGTTGGCTGCACCAAACTGACGGGGCCGCTGCGTTGGCCCTTACACGAAAATCTCAAGGAGGAGCATGTAGGGTATAGGTAGGTGCTTTTGATTGCCCACCACCACCACCATCCACCATCCACCATTCACCATCCACAATCATCCACCAGCGTCCATCAATCTGCACGCTTATGGCGCATAAACTCAACTTAACTCGTCCGCTGGTTAGGGTCGACTACGCTTTCAGTCCAAAGGGAGCATCACGAATCTCAACTTTCAGGTTTCTGCAACATGCGAACCATGGTGGCTGCCTGGCATCTGGATTGCAGTGGCTGAGTAGCTGAGCTGGTTACAGTTACTACTTTCGTGGGACCCTAGGTGCGACCGGGCATCGACGAGAAGAAGAAAGAAAAAAAGAAAAGAAAATAAAAAAAAGCAATGCGATCATATGTCCGCACGCAGGTCTGGACCCAGGCCGAGAGTTGTGATTGAGTGAGTGGGTACCTGGGTCATCCTTAGTTAGGTCCTGCCAAATCCAGGTGGCTTGCTGGTGGAGTCGAGTAGGTTGACTTCCATGAATGAACGATGTCTCGGTGCGCAAAGTTACTTGGGGGATGTATGATATTCTTTCGGTGTCTCATTGGTGGCTGCGAGCTGAGGGTACTACCGGGCTCTTGCTTGCTTCGTCGTTCCGTCGTGTACCCACCGGGAGTGAGTGAGTGGGTGTGGAGGATCTTCGTGTTGGTCCCTCATGCGACTGCGTGGAGCTGCTGCCGGGTGGTGGTGTACTCCGAAGATCCGGATGTTCCTGATGCAGCTGAGCACCACCATGGTTCTCTGTTTTTTTTCCTTTTCTTTCTTCTGGACAGAGTGATGATGATGCAGCTGTGAGTAGCGACAAGCAAGTATGTGGTAGCTAATAAGGCGGGTCTACCCAACATAGCGTACCTGTCGGCAAATTCCCATGAACCAGAACTCTCCGTGTCGTCCTGTCGGCAAGCAGTACCAGCAGGTTCAATAGCACCTGCTGCTGTCCAACCGCCAACAGCAACGGCAGCGACAAGTAGATTAGTGTATCCCGAGTTCTAATCCGAGACAACAGAGTAAACCGGTTGAAATCGTGATTGTCGCCCCATATTTGCGTGATAATGCCCATCCACATCAAGTTGTGTCGGGAAGCATTGGAAACTCCACCACCACTCATCCTTGGTTGAGGCTGAGCAAAAGAGATACATAGCTTTGCTGGTTTTTCTGGCTGGCTGAACCGTCGAACGAAGGGGGGAAGGGGGGGGTTTGGAGGAACGCCGGTGACGAGTGGATGTTTGCAACCCCCGCCCTTCCCCCCACCAGTTGGCGGGAGCAAGCGAAACTGAAGAACAAGTGGGATACAGCTGTCCGCCTGTCCCAGGCCGGATCGATTTTGTGGAATTTGGTCTTTCATCATCTTCTTCGCCCTGCTTCCCGCACGAACGACCAACGATTCCCTTCCCATTTTTTTGTTGGATACGGATCGGACGTCGATTGGCTGACGCCCGGTGTTGCCTGGCACATTTCATGGATAACCGGGAGCTCACGGCGACGTACAACAGGCCCTGAGGAATAATTGGGGGCGCAACGTCAAATTCTTTTCCTCTTCGTGGCAGATATCCTTGCTCGGGCCAGCAGCAGTAAACCTGGAACTTCCGTCCGTTAGTCAGATGGGAGGGTCTGTCCTGCTGCGCTGCCTTGCCTGCATCGTTCCGCAAGGAGTTTAGGTGCAGGCTGTTGTGCAGTTGGGTAGCGAACACGATAGGTGTAGAGTATCGCCACCTTAGGTACTTCCGCTCTCGCCGTTTCCCTTCCCTTCCCTTCCCTTCGCCTTCCCCCGTAACTCTTCCGGTCGCGAGGATGTTGTCTGTCGGACGGAATCTCGAGTGCATTCCTCCGTGAGGGGAGTCGCACACACATGGGCGCATTCGGAAGGTCAGGCAGGAATGGGGCGGAAAAACACACAAAATCGAAAATAAATCATGATTGCACGGAGCCGAAATATGACGGTTCTAGGGTCTCAGAAAGCTGCCAAAAGCCGTTCTGCAGTTGACACCCGTAGGGCGGGCGGAGGAGGAGGGATGGAGTCGTAAAGGCGGGGCCCAGACCATGCCACCAAAGTTGCCCATGCGCCCCCCCTCCTCCCCCTCCCCCCCATGCAGGCCCATATGCTATCCGGTGAAGCTCAAGCAAGTAGCTGGCGGTTGGTCGTACTGGCAGGCAGGCTTCGAGCAGCATCAGCAGCAGCAGCGGCCCCCCGTTCGAAACGTGGAGGTTATGCCCCACAGACGCCGGTGCTGTGCTGTGCTGTGCTGTGCTGTACGGTGGTGCTGTGCTGCTACTGGCACTGCTGCTGCCGCTCCTGTGTTCATGTCTCTGACGATAAAGTGAAGTGCAGCTTTCATACCACCACTCGTGCACCAATATAGCGTGCCCGTCACTAGCCATTCCGACGGGCCTGTCAGCGAGGCAGGAAATGCATGAAGTACTGAGACAGTCGTCGTGGCTAGAGCGATAGGTAGGGGATGAACGACGAGGGGGCTGAAGAGTATCCGATGAGGACGGTGGTTGACTGCTGCCGGCAGTGTACCCGATCGAAGATCGAAGTCCAAATTCCGCGCGCGCGTTCGACGCCGACTGAGCGGGGGGTGGGCGGAACTGCCTCAACCAGACACAGCCGAGACATACTGGATGATTGAGGCGCAGATACAAGGAGCGTATTCGCCCCAAGAGCGCTTGGGAGTTTGGCGGGCGGCCTATCGGGGCTGGCAATGTCCGGGAGCCCAAGCGGAGAAGCTGATCAATCGCCGTGGAGCCGAGTTAATGCTCTGCGAATGCTCGGCGGAGGGGTGGATCGCACTTACCGAGATCGCTGCTGACTTGCGACCACTTCGGCCGCGGATCCCTCGACTGGATGCGGCAAGGCGCCGCTTGCAGCCGCCGAAAAGTGTCTCTGCAGAATACTCTAGAGTCTATCTAGAGTATCTACATAAGTCAAACAGGAACTTGTGTAGCTCTTCCGACTGTACATAAGTAAATGAGTGCTCATGGACTTAGCTCATCCGACGCAGCCCGTCGTGACAAAACGTTTGACAGCTGGCGTCTGTCATCTGAGCGACCGCCGCCACCGCTGAACAGACAGCACGCGGCCGATTCACAGCTACCGTAGCTTCCGTCACTCTTTGCGGCTAGCGGCGGAGTCCGAAAAGAAACAAAAGAAAAGAAAAGGTAAAAAAGGACGCTCCCGACTGGAACATAAAAGAGACCGGCTCCTGCTGCTGCGTGTGGCCCACTAAGAGTGGTATCCGCTGTGGGGCATTTCGCCGCGACACTTCTTTACCTCCGATTAAAGTCGCAGATGAGCGCATTCCTCACCCCTTCCCCTCCCACCCCCCGATACCCAGCGTAGGCCCGGCGCCGGGCCCTGCGCTGCGCTGCTCGCTAGTAGTGTGGAGAGAAAAAGCCACTCCTGGCGAGCTGTCACCATAGGAACTCGCTGGATGGGTGTGCATAGCTTCCGTCCAATCCGGCGACGTCCCAGCCAGAATTTGACAGGCGGCAGACTCCGGCCTAACCAGAGAGCTACGCAACCTGCATGACGGCGGTGAAAGTAAAGAACGAAAAGGAAAAAAAAAGAAAGAAAAAAAATAGACAGCATCAGCACTTCGGCTCCTACCCCCCACAAACAGCGCTGTCCTAACTCTCTACTGCCACCGCATCATCATCATCGATATGAAATCTACACCCTCAGCACGAGATATGTAGTCGATATCGTTGATGCCACCTCGACCATACCGACTGAAGCCCTGCCTCCGAATCTGCCGATTTGCCGGTCACCACCAAAATGTTGGGCCCCGCCGTGTCCCTGGTGTGCCCATGACACATGCATTCTGCTGCTCGAATGGTCCGTCGATCATCTTTGTCGGGTTACCGGTGTTGGGGATCGATTGCACTTGCGCAAGCCCTTCGAATGCGATGACCATTCCGAAACCGGTAGGCCCATGAAGTGCGTACATAGCAGGTGCTCCGGTAGAGGGCCACCGAATATGGACTCATGGAGAGTCGGAACAGGGCTTTCCTGGTACTCTAGAGATGCCATGGCGCTGGAAGCAGGACTGCGAACCTGATAGGCAGCGCATCTGGAGTATAGTAGCAGCACCGCAACTGCATCCGTCCCGGGGCCAGTCAAACGATCGTCTTTCCTCCAACTCGCAAAGGCAAACGCCCCGCCCCAGCAGCTCCGCGACTGAGCACGATCGGCCGGCATCAGGCCATGGGATAGCCAGCGACCCAAAGCCCCGCCGGGTCGACGTCGTAATCATGATCAGAGAGTCTGCGTGTCTGCGGCGTCACACGTGGCATATGTCCAGCTGTCAAACCAAGTAAGTTGGTATGTAGGTGGGTAGGCCTTCCCGAATTTCCGGCACTTTCTGCTGAACTCTGACATGTGGATAGGGTGATTTGCCGGTGAGCCAACGCCCGGAGACGGGGTTCTCTTCCCCCCAGCTGCCTCCGCTGTCATGTCCGTCCGTCACGGCTGTCATGTCTGTCATCTCTGTCGATCCTTCAATGTCGGTAAATGGTAGCCTCGCGTACGATTTGGTAAAATGGCTCGCGGCTATTGGCGGCGACGTTTTCGTCGGGTATTCCCTTCTGTGTATCATGTCGTCGTGGTATGATGTTGCAGCTGACATCCTTCGCACACTCTCCACTGCGCCGGTTTGCTTCGTCCTTTTCTCCGCAACACCCCGACGATTGCGCGTACGCGCGTGTTTCCATAGTGGGCAGTCGGACGGCGCACACTATAATTGGGAGCTTCCCGGAACCTAAGCTGGTGTGAGATGTTAGCCGTTGCGATGTGAATGGACGGAACCGCATGCTCACTATGCTTGTCGACGCCGTTCGTTATCTAGACATCACCGTTTGGGTTGGGTTGAGGAGGGGGGCGGTTTATTTCGTGTGGTAGAGGATGAGAGGTCGCAGAGCCAGTCGGAAGATATAGAGAACGGACGGCGTCCGGGAGGATGAGGAATTCGGACAAACACCTTCGGTTAAGTACGGCCGCGGACATTGAATTTGGCTCGAACGAGATTCTGACAGGAACGGTCTTTTCCTGCCTCTCAGCAGAGGGAAAGTATAGTATTTACCGCAACCGGGTAGCAAGGCAAACGCGGACGGGATCAGACCACCACCTCCACCACCACCACCACCAACCACCACAACCAGAACCGCAACCACGACCACAAATTAGAGTAACTGGTGCCCCCTATGTACACCAGTCGTCCCAGCCATTGGACGAACCAGCCTCAGCCCGCGGGGGACAAACGGGAGCTGCAATCTCGGCTTCGTACGTGGCATCCATAGTGACAGCTACCGTTTGGGAATTTTATGGCCGCTTTTGCAACAGGCATCCCTGGCCCTGTGTCAGGGACGGCTGGTGCTCTCGACCAACCACCGATTATCGACGACAACCTCCCAGTGTGCCGTCTATGGCGGTTCCGCGAGCTGCTGCTGCTGCATTGTCTGATACATACGCTTGTTGGTGGCCACGCACGAGACGCGTGCGAATCATGGCTGGATCATCGTCGGCCGTCAATGCGGCGCGCGGCACGGCTGAGCAGAAGCGTGGTGTCGTTCGTCATTCATCCTCCGTCCGTTCGTCGTTCGTCGACGCTGCGAAAGGACAGCAGAGCGCTCGATTCCTCACACGGCCGAATTGCCTTGGGAAATGCGCAAAGGCTGATACCGCATACTTCGAGCAAGTACGGCTTCCGTAGTTTATTTAATTCCCGTATATTGCAGGTGTCAAAAACGCGGCAAGTCGCTGGGTTATCCATGCTCGCATTTCATAGGACTGACAATGCTTCCGCCCAACTGGAAATGAAGGCACGATACCTACCTATATCCGTCAATGCAATGCGATCCGATGCGGTGCGATGCGAGGTGATGCGATGCGATTCGATGCGCTTGCGTTCGCGTTCGCCACCTCTTGCTGAGAAGTTCATCCCATCCGCGTCTAAATCACGATGCTCAGGTTTTTCCGTTTCCAGCAGGATCAACGCAGCATAGCTATGGGGGACCCTGTGCGATACTCCGGGACCTGCAGACTCGCCGCTAACGCCATTTACCGGGCGCTCTGTGGGTCCTGTCCTGTCCTGTCCTGCCGGTCACAATTCCATCGGATCGAACGGACGTCCGGAATGGAAGACGTCTTGCGGGAAATATGTACCAAGTACATACAACCCCCGGATCGAACCGACGTCCGGAATGGAGACGTCCTGCGCGAAATATGTACCGAGTACATACAACCGTGATGGTAGCAAGTCGCAACCGTACTAAGTACCACCACCCGTTCGAGGGCGCTGCGGAAGCCCTGTTGACTCCACCCACGTCCTGGAATGAGATGGACCTCCATACCTAGATAGTGGGTATCGAACACTCACTATCCCTCCCCTTCCTTCTCAAGGACGAAGTTCGAACTCTAGAAGCACCCTGCCCAACCTCCCATTTCTCACATTCCTCCAGCCGGCCACCAGCCCATGACAGGAATGGCGAATGATTTTTTTCTTTCTTTATTTCCTTATCTGCGGTGCGGAGAGATCCTAAGGCTGGGGGGAGGGCTTGGAAAGGAGGTTCATCCGTCCGTCCACCCCCCCCCCCCCCCCTCAATGAATCGAGAATCGAGGATTCCATCGATCTGGCAGGTGAATGCATTGCTTTGCCGCCCTGCGGGTATCCGCGAGACCCTGCAAGATCTGCCGGTGGTACTGAACGGCGGCTGTTGCAGTTGTTACATAGGTATGAGGTGGGATAGTGGGGATATATTACAGGCTATGGAAGATGATGCTAAGAATCGCTCAGCATTCCGCTGTTATCGATGAGCTCCCTGGAAGATGTGTGCCCCGAGAGGTAGAGAGAGAGACCGCATATACTGGAGTAGTTATTGCTCTGCTCGAATTGCTGAGCCGTGAATACGTACGTGATGTTTTTGCGAGGGCTCTTTCGCCAATTGGCAATGCTTCTCCAGGCCGGAAGCGGCAGGCCGAGAGAGGAAGAACACACAAGGAGAAAGAGAAGATGGTGGTTGATCGTCTATTCTATAGATGATGATGATAGAGCAAGAAGAAGAAGAAGAAGAAGAAGACCCTGTCGTGGCCTCTAACGTTGATTCACACCGCTACCAACCACATCCGTTTGCTCCCGCCGACAGCAGTCCTCAATCGCCCCGCCACAGTGTTTCGAAGGCCAAGACCACGTGCAAAACAGTCCAGTCTCTAAGTACATTGCGGGCGTATTCGGGTGCCAGCTGCATTTTGAATCCACCACACAAAATTGAGATGCAGTTTGAAAGTTGAAACCCTCAGTTTCCGAGCGACGGGTGACCGTTCGGCACACCACCCCAAAAAACAATTCGAGAAACCGCATATTGTCGACTGAGCCACAATACACATAAAACGTGTGGCGTGCCGTTGAATATCTGGGTTGCCGAACGGGCCATCGGGGGAAATGAGAGTTTGCAGCTGTAGCTTTGGTAACCTTCAACTCGGCAGAAACCCCGGGTTTGAAAATGCAGCTGGCACCCGCACAGGCCCTAAGTAGCTTGCTGGCTCTCCTGCAAGGCTGCAACCATCCGTTTCTGTAAGCATGGCAAAAAGTCTATTTGCTTTTCTCGGCGTCTACTGTATAAGTTCATAGATATGCTCGGCTGGGCTGGGCTTGAGCGCTCTTCACTTCATTTGATCCTCTGCAAAAGTGTTTACTACGGTTTGCGACTTGGTGGAATGGTTAATGGTTCTGGTTTTGGTTCTGGTTTTGGTTCTGCGTCTTCACACAATCACACGGCATTGCCACATGGCCGTGCCGCGGCAATGATGAGCCTCTTCCACGTCCCTTCCACCGTTACATTTTTTTCGGCAGGGCCGCTTAGCATACCTATTACTTCCTATGTACTTCCATTCCCCGAGTCGTTCCGCCAGCCCTCCTGGTGCTCGGAGCCTCGGCATCTCGGATGGCAATCTAATCACAATAATATCGTTTCCCGTCCCGTCCGTCTGGTACTAGTATGTACATACCGTAGTACCCCCGTTCGCCCAGTGTTCTCCATGATCTGGACGGGCTGGACGGGATCGGTCCAGTCCCGTGCCTTCCTTTTAGAGGACAGGAATCATAGAAGTACGCCATCCCGTCCGCCAATTTTGCTGGACGGGGTTGGACTACAGTCCGGTAGTGAAAAAAATGCCGCTATTTTCAGCACTTCCCCCATCCAATATGACAGTTAAACCTTTTCGCGACACCATCTTCGTGCAGTACCACAGTACCAGTCTTGGCAGTTGGCCGTAGTCGACTGCAGTCCGTCCCGCCCGACCGTACTAGCGGACCAGTCGATCCAACTCACACCTCGGGACGGACTGGATGTATGCAGTCCAGTCCCGTCCATGGGTCTGGACGGACTGGGCCGGACTATGTAGAACACTGCGTTCGCCTTGTGCCACGCTGTTATGCGACCCGCTCGCCATGCCATTTACCTGCAGAAATACCTGGCTCCGTTCTCGGAGATGTTGCCGTGCAGTTACATAGCTCGCACACCCTTCTCGCTGCTGGGATCGTTGCTGGTACTCTCCAGATGTATGCCGATCGTCCGAGTGATACGCTGTGCAGCGCATGCATCACCGTCTCGAACGTGCGGGTTCTGGCGGAAAACGACGTCGTAGATGTCGGACTACTATTATAATATGGAGGGAAAGAACGAAACGATATTCGACCTCTCGCACCACTAGAGGACTCCGAACGGTGAAGCTCGTAATCCTCAGGCCCGTGGCGAGTTGGTTTGTGGTGCACGAGTGACGAGGTCGCTGCCGGCTGTAAACTCGGTCGGACGGAAGTGTTTGCGGTTGTTGTCTTGTGGTTAATAGTTACTCCGAGTCTCCTGGCCATATCTACTTAGCTCTTTCTGAGGCGTACCACGGAATATCTACTCTACTGCACATCCATCATGGGGATTCTCGAAGAGGCAGTTTTGGACGCAGTATGTAGACTCGGTGAAGGCTCCGGGCTATGGATCACCAAGTTCCAACTCGCGGTCGCTCAGGGCAGGGGTGGGTTCCGTAATCGAGGCTAACTAGCTGGAGAATACATATTATAGAGATTTGTCTCACGATCGCGAGTTATCGCGGAGTCTTCTGCGGGCTGATATCTGTGATGTGGGTTCCCGGCTCAAGGCAGGGAGTCGTTCGCTCTCTCGCAGACTGACCAACTACAGAATCGCCAGTTTAGCTGGTTTCTTGGTGGTACTGTTACATACCGTTTACGGTGCATCCCACGGATGTGGGAGGCGGGTGCTGGTGATAGCCTTGCACCTCTCTGGGGGGCTGCGGTGAAGAGAACGGTTGGTTGCTGGGCGATGTAGTCACTGCGCCGGTCACCGTCATCCCAGAGGCACAGGGAAGCCGGAAGAACAGTTCAAGCTGCTAGTAACGATGAGCGGAGGCAGAACCACGGTTAGGGAGGGACATCACCTGTAAGTATAGATATAGCTCGGGAGCCTAGCGATGCTTTACGCATGTATGTACGTACATGTAGCGCATTCGCTTTCGCTGCGAGTCTGGATTGTCCTGGACCGTGTGACCCCATGTAGGGGCGACTTCCGTCGGTGCATGTCGCCTGGATCTCTCCAGGTCCCACAGCACCAGCTGGCAACTATGTATAATCGAAACGACACATGGGCTGGCAGGAAAGGGCTGTGTCGAGGTGGGGCACCCCGCCCAGGTGCTCCATCTCGCCATGTATAAGTCGTCGAGCAGACTACATACCCTGACCCGTGCGCTGAGAACACACACACAGATTCCAGGCTTCCCCGGTGATGGCGCTATGTGAGCAGCGTGGGTGGCGTGCATAGCTGGGTTCGTGTGGAGATGGACGTACGTGTACACGTGTATGCTTGAGTCTCTGTCAGTAAGGATGTCACCGCTGAAGTTCCCTGAAGACACAATGGCGTCTCGACCCAAAAAGAACATCTGTGGCAACCTGCCAGGAACATCCTGGATGAAAGCGGGAGGCTTCCGTGGGCACCGGGTGTTCACCATGCAGTCAGACGTGGCGACAGCTGTAACTTCGCCTATTGTGCAGTGGATCCGTTGGGATTTTGCTTGAGCATTCATGCATGCCCTACTGGTAGGTAAGTAGGTGGGTACTTGGTCGAAACTTGGGAGTGACCGGCCGTGTCCCTGTCGGACGGAGGATGACAGTAGAGTATGCACCACGACCTCGGGGCAATCGAATTGTCCGGATAATCTCGGAGGAGAGATGCTGCAGAGCAAGTAAGAAGCCGGAGACTATATATGGAAGGAGGAGTGAAGTGGCATCGGTAGCCTGCGCCAATAGGTAGACCATGTCTATTGGTTCTCGGTTTCCGAGACGAAGGCTCCGAAAACGCAACTCAGGGGTGCGATCGGACATATTCCGAGGAGATAACACTCAAAACTGTGGCGTTCAGGGTCCGGGAGAAGTCTCGCTGGAGAATCTAGATTTGGCCGGTATTAGTGGAGAAGCGTGATGCTATGAAACACGTTGATCATGAGTGACCTCCGAGGAGGAAAAGCTCAAGACTATGGCGGCTAATGCCTGGAAAGCGCTTGCTGAAGAATCTATGATTAGCCTATGACTTGAAGTAGGTAGTAGGTACATACTCCAGCAGCGCAATACGCACTGACAATCTGTGACCGAAGCTTTAGGTGAATAATATCAGATTGTAGTCTTAGGACTGGCACGCTCAATAATCCGGTGCCGTGATAGTGCTGATTAGGGAGGCAGCAGAATTACCCAAGATGTTCCATATCGACTGTTGAGAGCCGAGTGATGACAGCCAGGGGCTTCGAGCTACCCAACGTGGTACATACGCGGTTGCCGACAATCCATTTCGGGATCAAATCCAGCATGCCGAAGCCGTCCAACGCGGATGTAAATTCGTTTGACAACTGATTCCAGAAGCGTGTAGTGCACATCGGAACCTGGAGCTGCAAGATCAAGGTTGCACAAGGCTGCGGCGTTTGGTCTCTTTGCTTTTCCTGCGACTGAACTGTGAAAGCTCGTTTTGCGGACGGCTCTTTTGCCAACACCCCTCCAGGCCGGCTGCGGAGTCCAGAGGAGACTACACACAAAAGAAAGAGGGGCAGATGTTGACCGTCGACTATCTGTAGATGATGAAGAGAGAGAGAAAGAGAGAGAGAGAGAGAGAAGGCTTCACGCGTTCGCCCCCTCCCTGCTGGCTGCCCTTGCCATGATCCACACTAATTAGACTAGTAAACAATCGTGTGGCGACCACACGGTGTGTGGTCATTAGGCTAGCGCCACTTAATGTAAAGTCATAAGTACGTACGTTGCGGTTAGGGCGTATTTGTGGGAGACAAGATGGAGTTGCCTTCATTGTATCGTACTCCAGGTCTCCAGAAAGCAAACGCAATGACGGAGAGTGATTGACGGCAGGTTCTGCAATACGCGGTATCATCGCCAGAGTGAGCTGGAGCAGGTACAGTCGGTTCAATCTGTAGATCTAGCAGCATCGTAACTTCTGCGGCATCATTCGAAATACGATCTTGAAACAGAGGCTGAGTATCTGCTTGCACGCCTTGTAGTGTTCTGACTCTTCGTCGTTGCCGTGGCAGTCGTTGAACTTCCATCTAAAGAACAGTATTAGTCGTTATATTTTTACACTGTGCGGAGACTAAGAGCTAGAAACTGACGGGCTCCGTATCATGTTTAGCTGCATTTGCAGTCTGTTGAGCAGCCACTGCTATCCTGATAAATTCCATTCTATTAGAGTCCACGGCGATCTACAAATCTAGCAGTGTAACGGCAGCGCAGTCGCTCCGCAGTATCGTCGCTAAATCTCCTCCACGGCTCCGCTCCAAAATATTAGGACTGGACAGTCGCTCTGCGGTATCGTCGCTAAAGCTCCTCCACGGCTCTGCTCCAAAATATTAGGGCTGGGCAGTCGCTTCGCTCCAACATCCGACAGTCAAAAATTTAGGGTTTAGCCACGGAAATCGCCACCGTGAAACGCCACATCGGCCACCGCAAAATGACACACCACTGCCCTTTATAGGAATAGATTCGTTTCCTCTCGCCGACAGCTACTCCATCATTCCGCCACACCCACATTATTGGGAATGCTACCGCGGATTGCGAAAAACCATCGCATGTTCCCTGGCTGTCAAACGAAACCGCCTACCGAACCGTCGAAGCTGAGTCTCCCCTAGGCTACACATATACTTGAATGTATTTCCTTTCTTTATACACCGTAGGGTCGAAATTGAAGTACATGATCCATCCCAACCAGCAGGTTGGGAATCATTTGGATGGGGCGTAGACCACAACAGGCCGCAGTGCATCAACCAACATTCGACTGAACTGGGCTTATGCTTGGGATCTCGAGACTGGGGCGGAGAGACGGCAGCGGGAAACGGTGGCGATTTGATTCGACATTATACCTAGCTCGCTGAGACTTCGTTGGAAAGCAGGTTACTAACCTGCCGGCAAAAACCTCGGATGCCGAGGAATCACCGTGCCGATATGCGGCGGGCCGTGATACCTACCTTTTGCGTGAAAGGCTCTCCAGCCACCCCCCGGACCGAGAAGTTCAAAAAAAACCTCATCCCCTCGCATTGCAGCCAGGAGGATGATGTTTTTTATGAGGAAAACCCGCAGGAAAAAACCTCGACCGAGTAAGGGGCGTTATGTCAGTCCGCTGTGCTCTTGCCACGTTATGTGCCTGCTCTTTGCTCTTGCCACTGCTGTTGTGCTTTGCTCATGCCTGTGCTTGGAGAGAGAAGATGGGAGGATAGGGGGGTGAGGAGGTTTTATAGGTGTGATCGCCGCCGGATGGCTTCGAACGTGGGTCTTGCTTGTTGAAGGGTCATTCTGCTAGCTAGTGACGGCATCTCTCGACCCTTTGAAGGATAACCCTAGGCCCCTTCATCTTCCGTACACATTCTACTTATCTTTCTTCCTTCTCTTCCTCTTCCTCTTCCTCTTCCTCTTCCTCTTCCTCTTCCTCTTCCTCACTACTGTCACCAACACCAACACCACTAGGTAATATTCTTTCTACAAAAAAAGGAACCATCCGACCAGCACCAGGACGCCACTCCCGGTACGGATCGAAAAGAAATACACCGAAAATCTTCCATACACGACATCTTGGTTCTCAATACCTTGACTGACAACGTGAGCTGATGCAACCGTGGGGACGGTTGTGGGGAATCTGGAGACCAACTGGACAACTCGGCGGATACTAATGGACTAGCAACAGCAGTAAGGGAATTTTGTGGGGAGGGAGTGCGGACGTAATGCAGGCTGCACAGAAGACCGACAATCGGGATCACGTACCCGCGAACACGGCGGATTAACCACGCGGCGGATACTAATGGACCAGCAGGATTCAGGGAACTTTGTGGGGAGGGAGTGCGGACGTAATTCAGGCTGCACAAAAGACCGACAATCGCGAACACGGCGGATTCACCACGCGGCGGATACTGGACCAGCAGCAACCCGACTAGGTATCCGGATACCACCAGGATTAATAGACGTATATCAAACATGCATCCTTCCACCACGCCTCTGTGTTCAATACTTTGGTTGTGGTGGAAGCGAGCGTATGCAGACATACCGGCATTCGGGGGATCGTATGTAGTAGTATGTAGGATCGTGGATAGAAACTATTCAGCCAATGGCTGATCATAAACCAAACATTATACTCAGATCGCTCGGGTCATCATTTGCACCTAGAGTCTGCTATTACGGGCGACGGGCTCTGCTGCGCGGATTGGTGGTTTTTGTTTGTCCTGTCACGCGTGAGTACTCATATCTGTGGGGAACCGAAGCTGACTGGAGGCTGCAGCCTGTAGATGTCGTCTTTATGCGAGTGCCGTTTGGCGTGTACGGTGTCTTACTATCTTACGCTGCTTGTACATACTACTATCGGCAGAATATTATGATTTGATGGTGCTTGTCTTTTTGGAATCGGATGACGTTAGGTCTACATACGGCGGGTTGCTGACTTGATACCCCTATCTAAGCTATGGCAGTATATCCATCGAGTCTTTTTTTTATCCATCGTATAGCATACAACCTCTTGGACCAAGCCAAGTACACTGACGGTTTCCTTGTCCACCGTCCAAACCTGACCGAAGTCGAGCGGCCCGTTGCAACCTCCCCTGCCCACCGCCCGGGCCTTCCTCGAAGATATGTAGAATGCACCAAGGAAATAAAGCTAGGAAAATAAAGTGTCCACTCCTCATTCCGCCTCGTACGCTTACTCGCAGAGTCCATGGCATCTTTCTGGAATGAAAAGTCAATATCCGAGTGATGTGTTATGATTATGTGTCCCCCGCCTCCCTCAAGTTCTAAGCCTTAAACACCGCCAAACGTCTATTGACTTCGTATTGTTAGAGGCATTTAGCTAGCAGCTCGCGAGTAGCAAAATCACACGTAACTACTGTGGCAAAAAATGGGGGTTTATCGGTATGGTAGCAGCACCGGTACAGGACGGTCATCAGATTAAAACTCGGTAACCAAAAAACGGCGACATCTTTACAGTAGGAACAGGAATAGAATATTCAAAGCAATGCCCAATGACATTTCGGTGCCTAATCATGTGAATAATCACGTTATTTAATATTGGTCACACTATCGCGATGAGCCGGCATTTATGAATGTGTCTTCGCGCAACTCTCATTGGAGGGGTTGTCAGCGAGAGGAGGAGGTTATGGGGAAACTGTTGGCGAGAGAAGGAGTTGTCTGCGAGAGGAAGACAAGTATGGTGGAGAGGTCTGTCCGCGTGCTGTCTGCTGTTTTAGTAAACAGATTAGAAAGCGATGCCTACACTGATCCATTGAGTGTCAAGAATGAAGGGAGCCGCCTGAGGCATATGATTTAACTGATGGACGTGACGGGTCGAGTTCCAAGAAATCTCTTTTGATGGGACGAGGCTCCGGATAACTCTGCATCTTGTCCGGAATTGAAGTCCGTTTCTCCACCACGACAGCACGCAACGAGTGATACCTCTCAAAACATGATGGCACTTGACTGGACTCTTAAAGTTGACTCAAACCATTTATTCCAACGCCTTACGCATCGCGCAAGCAGAGACAGAGCAGGCTATTACAAGTTACAGCATAACAAATAAGGAATAAGACAATAAGTACAACCCACACAGAAAGCCGAAACGAAGACGCCCCCTTATTCCAACAACGCCGGCGATACACCCATTAATTATTCCAATTTCTCAAGAACCAAGCTCTGAACCACATCCTCATCATCCAGGATCCTAAGCCCGCGCCTAGATTTCCACAGCTTTTTCGCCTTTGCCTTCTCGGCGGCGCAGACGAGTACGCAGTCCCACTTCGCCCCCAGTTCCTTGAGCAGCTTCTCGCCTGCATCGAGGGTCTTCGCCTTGACTACCTTCTTGGCCCCAAGGGCGAGGCAAAGGAATGTAAACACTTTCTACTGCTTGTTAGCTAGAGAATAAGAATGGCAAGGGTGGTATCTAATACCCGTTTCTCAACCCCAAGCCCTTTCTCTACAGCGATGACATTCCATCCATCAAATATTCTCTGCCTCCCGTCGATGTCCCCCAATCTTGTGGTGGTGGCATCCGAAAGAGGCAACATTCTGCTTCTAACCGCGCCGCCAAGATACCGCGACTCACCCGCAGGGAGTAGATAATACTGCCAATCGACGATCTTCCCCTTCTTAACGCAATCATCGATCCAGCGGCCGGCAAGACACGGCAGGCCTAGGGCGAGCGCCTGCAGGAACTTTGCGCGGCGCGAGTGCGCGTGCGCAATTACCGCTGTGAAGCCAAGGTTCTGGACTTCGGGCTTCATGACGAGTTGCTGCTCGTTGCCGTTGCCAATGGGGTGGCGAGCGGGATCGTCCATAGCATCGATGTCGTGGAAGAGCTCGTCGAAGCCAGAGTGTAGGAGTCGCCCGCCGTGCGCGCGGATCTTGGTTTCAATTGAGCGCTTCATGGTGTCTTCCGGGCCGAAGGAGAGGGCAAAGACCATGCCCTGGAATAAGCCGCCTTTGGGGGTCATGGCGGGAACGCTTGCGGGACTGTTGTGCATGAATGCCGGTGTGGACGTCCTACGGATACAAGCACCAGCGAGGCCAGGAAATGGCGAGGGGCTTGCAGTGGCATTCATAGAGTTGGGAATGGAAATGGGCACTGAGAAGTTCATCGATGTGTCCCGAGGTCCGTACTGCGCCCATAGGGACTTGGTAAGATAAATCTTCGCAAGAGGCACCTCGATTTCGGAAATCGAACTATTCTTGGAGGTAACCGATATGGTGAGATGACCTCGGATATCGCTATGTCGCGCTACACTATCGTCAGAGTGCTTATCAAGCTCGGCGGCTTCGGGTGCCCTGGGAAAGTTGCTGATGATCCAAGTGCCCCGCTTCAAATCCGGCAGGTCAACTTTGACCGTGTCCCCAAGTCGAAGATCAAGGCTTCGTACGCACTGCCGCTCCAGCTGACAGGGCGTTCCATCGTCAAAGACCACTTGCACTCGTGTTTGGGATTCAGTCGGGCATAATGTCGCTGGGTAATAGTGCAGCTTCTGGTCCTTGAATAGAGCAAATACTCTCCTGGGTGCGATAACAGGTGGGATCGCCGAAGATGATTCCTGTGGTCTCGGGATGTTGGCGATCGGAACGTCGGATTCGTCCCCGCCATCCGTTGCCATGGTCGTGGGACTATCCGACTCTAGTGTGGGGAGACTCGGGAGAGCCGGACTGATACGAGTCGACGTTGTTCTCTTCTTAGTGACAGGCTTCGCAGGAGGGTAGATGGCTCTTCCGATCTTGCTCGTGAGCTTCGCAGGTGGAGCTGCCCTAGGGATAGTAGGGCAGGACGGCGATGATGGGTGCGAGAACCGAATTTGTGCAACCGGCGCAATTAGTTCTTCAGTCTCGCCCGACCCTGATGCGGTCTTTCTCTTCTTTCTCGCCCGGCCCTTCAAAATTGAAGGTGGATGCGCAGGTACCTCCAAATCGGGCCGGTAGCCAATACCCACATTCTGAACGATACCAATCATATCAACTTCGTCGGGATTCTCCAAATTGCTTAATGGTGGTTGACTGTTGTTCAACGCAGCAAAGCTTTTAAGCTGACACTGTGCTCCTGGAGACGATGAGGTGAGATCATCGCCTTCGTCATCCGCTTCTCTGCGTCTCTTGGTAGGTGTTCCGAGCGTCTGATTTGGCGCAATCTCGCGGGTAGGAGCATTCAGTCCGGCGGAAACCGGTGTGATTGAGTGGACACTGTCGCCCTCTGGGACTGTAGCTAGTGTTGCCGCCATGCCTTTCCCCGTCTTCCCGTTTTGTTTACCTCTTGAACCACTCGCTACCGGTGGTGGCGTTCCGCGGGTATCGTCGCGAGCAGGACTCGAGGGGCCGGGTGTCAAGCTGCTCTGGACTTGGCTGGTAAGAGGGATCAGGCCGGAGGACTCTCGCACAAAATCAGGGACGTTCTTCAACATCTCGGAGATGGTGTCTGTGGGGTCTGGGTCTGGGGGCGTGGGAGGGAAATCGGGCACGTTGAAAGGGACCATTTGAGTTAAGGACATTGGGTTGGTGCTAGTTCCGCGCTTCTCAAGCTTTGGAGGGGAAGATATATCAGGCATCGATTTGGTATGATGCAGGGGACTTTCTGACGAGGAAGCTTGGCCCTTTCGGAGGGAAGAGTATGATTTTGATCGTCGTTGAAATATGGGTACCTGGTGGAACTGGTCCCAGGTCTCATCCAAGTCAAGTGTAGTTCGAGGTTGAGTTCGTGGCGGTCGCCGTGCTCTTGGAGGGCTGGCTGGTACTTGAGTTTGCGGTGCTACTGGAGGAGGACGGGCCGCGGCAGGGGTAGAAAAGATTACGGCGTCTTCTCGGCATTGACTCTCTGGCCCTGTGTCACTGGCTGTCTCATCATCATCCAGCAATTCAATAACCGGACGTTGAACACTGGTCCCCCTTTCAACAAGCTTTTCGGAAATCCTAACAGGCTTTTTGGATTTTTTTGTTTGTTTCGTGGACAGAGTTTTGGATTCAGACGGACGGTAAGCTTTAATGGCAGCTGCTGCTTTCCTTTTTCTCGCATCAACTTTCATCTTTTTAAGTTCATCCTTCGAGAACAGGATATCTTCATCGTCCGAATCATCCCGCAGAACCGGTCCCGCACGCGCCAGAGGCGCTGGTGACGAAAATGGAACCGGCGACAATGTTCGTGGACGCACAGGTGTTTTCGATGCCTCTTTAGCTAACTCTCTACCCATGCCGGTTTGGGGCGGCCTGGTAAACTCCGGAGGCTCTGTGGTTCCCCGTCGCCAGGCAGGACTCGCTGCTCGAACAGGCGAACTGCAATTATCCCAAAACGTTGGAGCCAAAGGCATGGACTGCGCCATCAGTCTAGCAGCAGCATAAGACGGAGTCGGAGGAGGTAACGAGCCCACCGCTCTCATCCTGTCGATAGGAGATGATGGAGTATTGAACACATCTGCCAGGCTCATGCCAGTTCCTTTACTCATTCCAATTAGGTGGCCAAGGGGATTGATGTCAACTTTTGCTGGACTAGACTGCTGATGACGTCCAGGAGAGTCGAACCGATTGGCTTCGAGAAAGTGGGTCGATTTTTCCACACGTTCGTCTTCGTCCGGGAGGCCATCATCTATTATTGGCTCCAGGTCCAACTCTGGCCCGCCGGGCTCCTCCGGAGCCGTTGCCATGAGCTCGTGATCGGATCGGGGAACATCCTCTTCGGTAGCCTTCGGCTCCTGTTCATGTTCCTGCGTATCAGGCATAGGGGCATCCTCTTTAGTAGCCGTCGGCTCCCGTTCCTGTTCCTGCGTATCGAGTCTAGGGGTATCTTCTTCAGTGGCCGTCGGTTCGTGATCTTCTTCCTGCTCCCGTTCTTGTGTATCTCTCGCTAACGGTTGATACCGTGCCGAATTGATCGCCTTCATACTGGCCGAATCCACCTGGGTCTCCCCAAGGTCAATTTGAGAGTAGGGAATTGAATACGAAAGGTGCAGATTCCCGGAAAAGTCTCGACTTTGGCTTTGCGGCTGCGCATTTGCTGTATAATATGGGATCGAAGATGGAACGGACGCTTGAACCAATGGGATGTCATTGGAAGGTGCCTCGGCGGGTGGCGGGGATTGCGGTACTAATGTTTTTCCGGGAGCTTCTGGTGGCGGCTTGGGGATTTCCTGTGGGACTACAGTGAGTAGAGCTCTGAGTCGGGAAACGAGGACGGGTGTATTGGAGATAGCGTACTGAGAATGCCTCTCGCAGATGTCGAACATCGATGGAGGCCTCAGTAGTTCCGGACATCGGCTTTGCCTGCTTCCCCACAACTGACCGCGGGGTATAGCTTCAAAGGGTATGTTCTATAGTAGATGGAACAAATAGCCGCAGTGAAAGCACCAATCGGAAGAGAAGATCAAAGGAAACCGCGAAGGAGCTCGATAACGCTTCGATGGCGGTTGGTGAGGATGATTATCGATTGGCCGTGTCCTGGTGGTCGGAGAGTCGAGTCGCGTTGAGCAGATGAGGGAGGCGACGCGACTTGGGAACTGGAGGAATGAACCCTGGCAGAGCAAAGCCGGGAAGCGTGAAATGGCATCCCAGTGCACGTGACACTGGGTCAAAGCGCTCAATGCTCAACCCCGTGGACACTCTTCAGCAATGGGACAAAGATTATACACCTAAAGAGATTCTGAGGACAGGCCAGAAGTACCAAATTTTCCAGTTTGAACAGATTCTTGAGTCTGAAAGTATTGTCACATGATATATCTACACAGCTTAGATAGACAGAGTAGATGCTCTATTCCCGATTCGCTCAAACTACCTTGCACGTGTAGCTCATCACGCGAGGCCGCATCATCCATCCCCTAAGTTCGAACCCTTCCAACTGTCGCTCCTCCAGCCTATTTGCGGATCATCCTCTCATCGCCGACCGGCCGTGATCAACTCGACGAACACTAGCTGGGCTACATACTACCAAATCACATCATGGACGATCTTTCAAGACTCAACTGGTCGACCACAAACAAACCTCCCAACACATTCGCGAATGTGTCCCTGAAATCATCCCCGCTCTCCTCCGCTGGGCATCAGAACGGCTCAACGCCATCCAAGAAAACCGCCGGCGATAGCTTCTCCAATCTTGTATCTTTCAGCCGTGACAAGCAGGCCTCCAATCTGTCGCTACTGGAGCAGCAAAAGAAGCTCGAGGAGCAGCGCCAGAAAGATGAGGAAGGTCGTCGGAAACAGATGGACTCGCTGTTCGGGGGTGCCGGCTGGGATTCTCTTGCTGGACGAGGCAGCGGAACACCTGCGTCAACCGCTTACAGCGCGCCTCCAGCGACCGATGATGACGATCTCCTAGCAGCGTTTAACTCCTCAGCTCCTGTAGATTCTACCTCCCACTATCCGGCTCCAGCCACCAGCGTCACTCCGCAGCCACAGAATGGCTTTGATCTGCTCGGCGAGCCCTCTTTCGCAGCGATCACCACACCGTCACTCTCCAACTCCCACTCCCTCGATCTATTCGGTACACCCACGAACCTCCCCTCGCGCGGCACCTCGCCCATCCCGCCGCCGCAATCGCAAACCGATGACGATGATTTCGATATTCTGGGGGATCTCGCGAAACCTGTATCGGAGCTTCCACGGCCGCAGCCCACTCCGTCGCCGAAACCGGTGTCCCGTCCGGCTTCCGTACCGCCGACTTCGGATCCAAGAGACCCCGCAATCGCAGAGATAATGGATATGGGGTTTACAGCAGACCAGGCGAAACGAGCATTGGCCGAGACGGATACGGGATTGGATGTGGAGGCTGCGGTAGGTTGGTTACTGGAGGATGCTCATCAAAAGAATCGGCCCGCTGGTTTGACACCCCCGCAGCAGGAACGTGGGAGGGAGCCACGCGGTGAGAGTAGCCGGCAGCCCCGAACTCCATCGAACGAGCAGAGGAGGGAGCGGGAAAGGGGGGATGCCAATACTCCTGCGTGGGCGAGAGGTGGGCCGCGTCCCGGGGAGAAGGATATTGGGGCTTATGCGGCGGAGGTGGGCGGGACGCTGTTCAAGTCAGCGAATAGTCTCTGGAGTACGGGCCGCAAGAAGATGGAGAGGGCGGTCGCGGAGCTGAAGGCGGATTTGGTGGATGGTGGAGGTGATCCGACTCAGCCTAAGTGGATGAGGGAGCGGCAGATCAGAGAGGAGCTGGAAAAGCGTGGCGCAAAGGGAATCTCTCGAAACGACAGACCGCCGTCAGCTGATGAGGAAGATACGCGCTCAAGAGGCAGGCCGGAGGCAGCAATCACAGATGAAGCGTTGATGCTGGAAATGGGAGGAGGCCCACCACCTCCGCGACGGAAGCTTAGGGAAGAACGGCTTTCACCGGCACCTTCCCGGAACTCTGGCATGTCTGAAAACGAAAGGATACAACAGCAGCGCATGCTCGAGATGGAGACTGCCATACGGGAGAAGGAGAGAGAGATGCACGAAAGGGCACTGCGGGAACGGGAAAGGTCACGTGCCGGAGCTGCTATTCCCGACAGTGCAAGCAGGAAAGCTAAACTGGCCTCCGAGAGCGAACCGGTATACGTCTCGCGCAACCGCCGACGACCACCTCCGTCCTCCGCTTCCGCCTCGAAACCATCTACTCCCGAGCCAGACCTCCTCGGGGGTGGTAGCGGTAGTGGCCTAGGCGACAGCAGAGGCAGCAGCTCACTAAACCCCTTTGCCCGCGATATGGCAGCAGAAAGCCAGCGGTCTCCCCAACCCTCGACAATATCAAGGACACCAACTCCCCGCCGCCCAGCTCCCAAGCCACGACAGTCAGTTCCAATCTCACCATCTGCACTGGCTCAATCCAACGCGGCGCGACAGAAAGGAACCGATGCCTTCAAGCGTGGAGACTATACCGCCGCAGACACCTTCTACACATCTGCACTAGCCCCAGTTCCAGAAACCCACCCGCTGTGCATAATCCTCCTAGCCAACCGTTCCCTGTGCAAAGTCAAACTTGGCGGTCCCAAAGACGCCATCGTCGATGCCGATGCCATTCTCCATCTCATAGGCGAATCTCGTGGAGAATCCGAAACCATCACGCTTGACGGCACGGAAAAGGACATGAAGGATTATTGGCTTAAGGCCATCATGCGAAAAGCAGAATGTCTCGAACAACTGGAGAAATGGGGCGATGCTAAGGATACCTGGGAACTTGCCCTCACTGCGGGCGGAAACGCGGCTGCTATCAATGGTAAGCGCCGCTGTGAGGCGGCCCTCAAGCCTAAGGCTCCACCGAAGCCGAAGGCCCCCGTCAAGCCTAAGGTTCCATCGCCATCTGCTAAGCCGAACGTCGCTGTGGCGGCGCTACGGAAGGCAAACGCCGACCAGGAGCGACAGGATAATGAACGCCTGGAGTTGCATGATATCGTGCACGACAGAATTGGAAACTGGAAGAACGGCAAGGAGGGGAATCTCCGAGCACTTCTTGCGGGACTTGACACAGTACTATGGGAGGGGAGTGGGTGGAAGAAGGTTGGAATGGGGGAGTTGCTTATTCCCCAGAAATGTAAGATCGCTTATATGAAGGGCATTGCGAAGGTTCATCCTGATAAGGTATGATTTCTGTTCTAATGGTGGATGAAGTGGATGGATGAGATGCTGACCTGAATACAGATCAGTCAGGATGCTACCACGGAGCAGAAGATGGTCAGTGCCGCCGTTTTCAGTCTTCTCAATGATTCATGGGAGATATTCAAGACTGAGAATGGGTTGTAATTAGAATGGCGACTATAATTTCTCTCCTAGGGATATCTTTGGTAGCTTGACTTGACGCGTTTAGAACTGCGAGTTTTTGGATGTTTATTGCGTTTTTTGTTTTTATTTTTTCGATTTTCGAGCTTTAAAGCATTTCTCTCTCCATCTACACCATTGGCATGGCAATGACCCGCCGGGATCCTTGCCATCTTAGCGCAAACGGGTTTCAAATTCGTATCTATAGCTTGCTGATCACGAGCGTACTGATCACGAGCTTGCTGATCACGATAATACCATAGAAGTTACATAGCGGATAGAAACGGCTTGACTATGGCGGCTAGATCATCGTTGAGACATCTGTTGCAGCCGTGCATCCGAGCATACGGCCAACCCCGCAGCCGTCATCACCTCCCCAGTTCACCCCGCTATCTTCCCGTAGCATACACCCCTCGAACACGACACTTCACCATTACTGCCACCATTATGCCATCTGTCGACGAAATTCTCGCCCGCCGCTACCCCGCAAAAGCACATGCGAAGGCCGTCGCCGACTACCTTCACTCCCGCCATCCTGCACTGACCGACGGCACGATCTACCTGGAATCCGCAAAATCCGGGCACCACGAAGACTGCGACCAAGAGCTCTCCCCGCGGCAACGCCGTCCCTTCTTCTACCTCACCGGCTGCAGCCTTCTCGACTCTTATGCGGTTTACACCATCGCCTCTCAGAAGCTCACACTCTACATCCCGCCTATCAACCCTGCCGATGTCCTCTGGTCCGGGCTGCCGCTCTCTCCACAGGAGGCGCAGAAGCGATACGATGTCGACGATGTCCGCACCACCGACCAGCTAGACACCGATCTCCGCGCGCTCGAGGCGGCAGCAACCCCAGCCCAACCGCTCTTCGTCATCCCAACCCAAGTCTGCCGCTCTTTCAACCAGCAAGTCTCAGGCTCTTTCATCACATCCACGCTCAAGTCTGCCGTCGACGAATGCCGCGCCTTGAAGGACGCCTACGAAGTAGCCCTCATCAAAAAAGCCAACACCATCACCACCGCCGCGCACCAGGCCGTCATGGCTGCCGTCAAATCCGCCAAAAATGAGCGCGAGCTGCTCGCCGTGTTTACTGAACGGTGTATCTCCCTCGGCGCGCCAACCCAGGCGTACACGGGGATTTTTGCAGCCGGCAGGGCCGCCGCGACGCTACACTACGTACATAACAACCAGCCTCTAGAGGGGAAACTTAATCTACTACTAGATGCGGGGGCCGAATTGGATAATTACGCGAGTGATGTGACGAGGACATTTCCCATATCGGGAAAATTCTCGAAAGAAAGCAAACAGGTCTACGACATTGTCCTGCGTATGCAAAAGGAATGCCTTGACCTCTGCAAGCCGGAGCAGAATTGGGATGGTGTCCATGTTCATGCGCACCGAGTGGCGATTGAGGGGCTACTGGAACTGGGAATCCTCAAAGGGGGGAATGTGGACGAGATTTTGGAGAGTAGGACTAGCTGTGCGTTCCTCCCGCATGGGCTGGGTCATTACCTCGGCATGGACACCCATGACACGGGTGGAAATCCGAACTATGAGGATAGCGATAAGATGTTCTGTTATCTCAGGAAACGGGGGCCACTGCCTGTGGGTGCGGTTATCACCGTTGAGCCGGGTGTAAGTCCTCTTGGTGACATACCGGAATGGGGCGCTGACCAGGGAAGATCTATTTCTGCGAATTCATCATCCACCCGTACCTGAAGGACCCAAAGCATGCAAAGTTTATTGACGAGAAGGTGCTGGATAAGTACTGGGATGTTGGTGGTGTTAGAATTGAGGGTGAGTTTCCTATTCCCTGAAACGACTCTGGCTGACGATAGACAGACAATATCCTCATTACGAAGGATGGCTATGAGAACCTCACCACGACGGTCAAGGAGGTCGAAGAGATGGAGAGTATTGTGAATGGCGGGTCGAAGTAGGGGATAAACATACCGTTGGAATGATTGGCTGAACTCAGCCACCTCCCATCGAGTGTAACGGGAAATGCACGAGTGAGAATCCGTGTTCCGCTCTACTAATCACCGAACCCGTTCTCCTGCTGGATAGTGTTCTTTCTCTTTCCGTAGCGGATAGAGGTTTGAATTGAATGTTAGCTAACGTCTCATATCCTCCTACAACCTCGTGGCAATACACACCGATTTGACGTTAGTTTGGGCCCCCATGCTCACTTTGCGATTCAATTCAAGCCGGTGCGTCTTCTGACTTACAATGCGTCAGTAGACAGTCAGGCGATGAGATTTGCGTGACCCGAGCTGGCTGTTGTGTTGCAATATCTGTCTAGATTAATGGTAGAAGGCATGGGCCTTTACCCCTATTCCCATATATCATCTGTTCTCACGAGGCTACAGCCTTACACTTCAATACTACACTGTTCACCACCATATCTTACCATATCTTACTCTATTATTCCAACATGTTGAGGTGCCCAATATCCGAGTGATTTTAGGTGCGTGCGCATAAACCGCGAGTCGACCTGAAAGTACTCATGCAATGAGAAGGCTGTAAACACTGTTGCAGAATTGCTGCGACAAGGTTAGCAAAGCATAACAGAATCTATTATCATCAATCGTCTGCTTATTCAAACCACAAACCTCGTCCCTGCGGTCCCAGCTTGCTGGAAATAGGCTGCAGATGACTCCTGAAGGGGTAGTATCCTCCTACCGATCGGTGTTACGCAGAAGCCGGATTATACAGAACTTCGGTTCAATACGGTACCCGCTACCACTACTGCTCCTTACATTGCTCGACCCAGACCCCCCAACAGTTAGTCGGTTGAAATTGGAACACTGGTTTAAACAGTTCAGTTCTGGTTGGCTTTGTTCCCGGTTCAGTTGGGAACAGAGGCTGTCGGTTCCCAGTTGGTTAGGTAAGTCTGGCAGTTGTTCCCGGGAAAACTGGCAGAACTGTCAGTTCAGCGAATGAACTGACAGTTCAGCTAGGCCAGCCAACGTGGGCGGGATACGTTCCCGTGGTCCCCAAAAAAGCGATAGAAGATGGGTACAGTACTAGTTTTGAATGGTCACGGAAAGAGTGATGGAATATGTACAGTACTAGAATCGAATTACTACTCTGATGTTACCTACCCATGGGAGCACAGCGATTGAACCTCTTGATACTCTTCGGGGCTTCAAAACTCTCGGTACCTAGGGAATGCCAATGATCAGTCAAAATCATCTTGCACTCGGAGAACAGCCGTTCAACCTCAGCCGACATAGCTAGAATAGACAGAATGCCAATGACCATTCGGCTGATGTTAGGAAAACGACGCTGCTGCCGCGGTTCCAGCCACTATTCGATCGCGGCAGAACTGTTCCGAACATTGCTCACGACAGGCAATGAACAGTAGTCCTGGAGCTCGCCAACCGGCGGCGTCCTCCTGGGCGCTGGGTTGATAGTAGCGACTGGATGGTGGGTTGTAGGCGGTTGGCCGGTGGGTTTGTGGTGGCGACGGGTTTAGCCAAAACTTTTAAGCCTCACTGAACTGATGGGACAAGCAGTTTTCCCAGTTCAAACCCTGGCAGTTGGTTCAGTTTGCCAGTTGATTCAGTTCACTACCCCCCAACAGTTGGTTGGTTCGGGAACACCTCCGATTTGCTCCCAGTTCGAACTGTTGGAGGGTCTGGCTCGACCCACCGCGGATTGATAGCTCCGCCATCACTTCCTCCTCTCGCCGATAGCTCCTCTTCTCGTCGATAGCTCCTCCTCTTGCTGATAGCTCCTCCTCTCACAGGTAGTAGCTCCTCCAGTACTGTAGTCATATAGAATACCGAAATTGATTCTATGTCCATATCCATTAACCTCGCATAGCACGCAATATTGTCTTTTGACGAATCTAACATTCAGATGCAGATAGGAACACTGCTGCAGCGCTATTATATTGGATGTAGTGCGCCTCTCGAAGAAAACAGCTTTCTGGTTATATTGATACTATCGCGAGAGGGCTTTCGTATGCGTGAGACGTTCATAACATGCCATTTCGTTACTATATCGATCTAGTAAGGTTATGAGAGTTGAGCAAAGACGCATTCATTTGAATGCCGACTCGCTGCGGTAGTGTCACCAATATCAAATAACGTGACGAATCACAAGATTACGCACCGAAATGTCATTGGGCATTGCTTTGAATATTCTACTCCTTTTCCTGCTGTAAAGATTTCGCCGTTGTTTGATTACCAGTATTTAATCCAATGCCCGTCTTGTACCGGTACTGCTACCATACGGGTAAACCCCCATCTTTTGCCACAGTATCAACTTCAAAATGCTGAACGACACACAACGACTCATCAACTTCAGAAGTCCTTTCCCAGTCTTGGGTTCTACGCACCAGGACGATTCGGATCTGATAACTGTTGAAGACTGGGATTTTGAGATTTTGGTAGGCTGTCTGTCCGTCTTGAAGCGCTGGTGATGGTGGCATTGCCGCATCCCACAGTCGCACATGGTGACATGATGAATGATGAGATACGGCTCGACCGAGTGTCTAATGCGTAATGATGTATGTACATAGGGATCTGCTTGGATACATTCAGGCCAGACCTTGTTGTTTTCAGTATTGAGAGTGTTTGTCGAAGGGAAATGAACTTGTGTGCAGTGGGGAAACATATGATGTCACCCGTTGAAACATCTTTATAAACGATATGCAGCTGCCGACTGACGCTTCCAACAATTGACCAGCTCCTCATGTGATTTACTCCAGGCCGCGGAAATGTCGCTTGGTGATCTCCTTGGGAGTTCTGACCAACTCCCTGTATGGTAACTGTCTGCCACTGGTTCTTGGGTCTTCCGCAGGTTTTGTTATCAACATGGATCCAGTCGGTCTACAGCCGGATGCCTCTGTCGCTGCAGTTATCGAGCTCCAACGGACCAGTCGTTGAACTCGAATCCTCGTATATATCTCCGCCAACCACAGGCGTCCATTCGACCGGCGATAGAAGCGGCAAGTGTGTAGAGTACTCTGCGCTTCACCTCATGTCGTACAGAGTCCGTCCACATCACATCCGCAACGTCACGTCCCCGCAGTCCCACAACCACCACCACCACAACCACCACAACCACCGCAACCACCATGGAACAGGACCCGTACGAAGTTCTCAACCTTCCACCCAACGCAACAGCCGACCAGATCAATGAGCATTTCAGAGTAGCTGTGCTGGGCTGCCATTCCGATGAATTTATCAGGATCCGTGCCGCGTATGCTCAGCTGATGGATGAGGAAAGGAGACGGGAGTGGGAGCGAGAGGGACTGATAGAGGAGGAGATACCGCGGAGAGAGAACAGACTGCGGGAGGAGAGTAGGCTGTGGGAGGAGGAGCGAGCGCGGGAAGAGGAGAGACTTGCTGAACACAGGGCTGAGTGCGAACGGGAACGTATACGACGAGAAAGGCGACGGAGGACTTCGGCGCCGCCTCCGTATGAGAGTTTTGGGTACGGTACTTGTAATACCGATCCTCCTCCGTACTCACTGCCGCCGGCATCAATAGCACCACAGGACGAGGTCGAGACAGCACCACTATTCGCGCATCGATCGAAAGGGATCCTGCGGGGATTTAGACGCAGTTGCGGTCGTGCTGCCGCCGATTGCGGTTCCACGTTAATACTTGTAACCCAGGATGTCTTCGAATCTCTTGCCACTCTCGTTGTTTTCATTGCTCCATTCGTCATTCCCCTTGCCATCATTATCAGCGGGCTCATGATGATTATATTGGCCGTCATGGGGATAGTCGACCTGCTAGGCAATATACATGTGCCAAGTGTCCACTGGCCCCAGCGCCCCCCACGGTATCAGCGGAACATCGCAATCATAGGCGCTGGCCCGGCTGGTGTGACGACCGCATACCAGCTCTTCCGGATGTGCTCACAGCAAGGCATTCCAGTGCACATCACGATATACGAGCAGTCCTCGCATATTGGTGGGAGGGCTGTCCACACTATCGGACTCTCCACAGGCGAAATCCTCGAGCTTGGTGTCAATACTTTTCCGAAGACTGCAAGGCTCTTGATCTCGGCGGCCAATAATCTGGGTTTGGAAACCCAACAGTTTTCCAACGGTGCCGTTGACCTCATCGGCCCCTCTGGAACTGGCTCATTCGGCGTGTTTGTCTCCTTGAATCCATGACCTCATAGAACAGTTAACCGACACCTCCCAGCTATGACGGCCGCTCATGGGCTCTCACCGAGCAAAAGCCCCATAACTTCTTCGATGATTACAACTGGTGGCCTTGCGGACGCTGGGGCTCATCCCCCAGACTAGTCAGCCGCCTCGTCAAGGACGTCCGTAATCTTCTTCCCTACCTGCACAACCCTTTCACCACTCTCGAGACTCTCGTTGCGTCCGCCGGCCTGCAGCAGCTCACGCAAAGAAGCGCAGAAGAAATCCTCAAGCGTGCCGGGGTCTCCACCGGTTTCCAGAGAGAACAGCTCAATCCTTGGGTCCGCGGAAGGTACGCGCAGAACCTCGGCACAATCAGCGCTCTGGCGGCATTCATAGCCGCCGATAACATCGCACCCCTCATGACCATCCACGAGGATGGGGACGGAAGGGTGTCCGCACTCTGGGAACAAATGGTCAGCTACACTGGCGCCACATTGAACCTCCTCACTCGGGTGGAGCATCTTACCAAAGCCTCATGGGGCGGCTGGGAGCTCACCGCCACTGCGTCGTTCAACACCACCACTGCGCCGTTCAACACCACCACCATCCCCTACGACGCCGTAGTATTGGCCACTCCCTGGGCCTTAACCCAGTCTCACCTCTCCACCACCCCGCCGCTCTCCACAGCCCCAATTTCAGTCGCCTACACGCCCCTACACATCACAATCTTCACCTCCCCCTTCCGCCTCTCCCCACACCCTTTCCACGGCAACAAACACATTCCGGACCTAATCCTAACCACGCCGTGTTCATGGGAGTACACGTCCATCTCCGGCCGCAGCGGTGCCCACGGGCTAGGCCAGGCGCCGTTCTGGAGTCTGGCGGTATTGAAGCCCCTCGTGGAGGAAGGAGAGAAGAGGTGGTTGTACAAGCTCGTCTCTGCGCGGGAAACGACTGATGCGGATATCCAGCGCTTGGTTGGCGTAGGCCATCGTTTCTATATTATTCATCGTCATCATGTATGTTCCCCCACCTCCCCTTCCCTCTTGCTATTCCCCGATTAACATGAAAGGCTCCCGCGGCATACCCCCTCTTACCGCCTCGATCGCAGTTCAGTAAGATCCGCCTCGAGGAAAACCTTTGGTACACCGGAGCGATGGATGAACTCGCCACGGGTGTCGAGTGGGCGAGTATTAGTGGCGCGAATGTTGCCACGTTGGTTGCGGGACAGTGGAGGAGGGAGGGGGTCAGGCTGGGTGTGGGGCGCAGGATTCCGGTCCCGCCTGTCGAGAATGGGACTGAGGAGGTAATCGAAGGGAGGTAGAGAACTGATGGTGACTTTGTGTTGAAGGTTATTTAGTTGCATTTTCTTTGGTTGTATTTGCTTTGGTTGCATTTGCGTTGGTTGCAGTTACACTTTTGTTTACAGTTACACTTTTGTTTACAGTTACACTTTTGTTTACAGTCATGGATCATCACACGCTCCGTCGAAATAAATTGATGTTCTCTCTTTCTGTCACAATTGGAAAACATTTGTACGTCCATAGTGACTATGGATACGGGCCTTACATACATCACCCGAAGGTACGTACTTTGTAGCTACCAGTATATACAGACATGCAGAACCAACAAGCCCATGTGAACAAACAGTACACCTCGATTGTTGAACGGTTGCTATGACGCCGAAAAGACAATGCGTGCTTCCTATGACGGCTATAGCCCTCAACATCTCGAGCCCAACCGAAACCGGTCCCTCTGGAACCAACTCAATTAACTAAAACAAACCCGCCGACATCACTTGTAGTGTTCAGGGAAGCCAGTCGGGTATATCGGGAAACTAAAATCATAAACACAAGCCATGCGTGCCGTACATATCTCGATCGTCATTGCGCACTTCCTTCATCCTTCCCTTCCGAATCACGGCATTTCTAATGGCCGTTCTCGCCGTTCCATCTCGCTCCCTGAGCCGAAGCCCCCGATTCCTTCTCGAGCTTTTCGAAATGCCTCCTCGCAACCGCGATATTCCCGAGCGTCGTAGCGCTCTCTGCGGCATTGGCGGGCATGACGACCAGAATGTAAGTGTTCGGCGTGAGCACGTCGATGAACGCCGAGAACGTATGGGCGCGCAGCTCGAACGCGATAAAGTTGCTCGCCATCTTCGTGCACGACTGCTTGAACTGCTTTACGATATTCGAGATCTTCTCGAAGCGATCTGGGTAGGGATTCGGTTCCTGGGCGCGCGTGACGTGCGAGATGACCAGGAACGTGGTGCGCTCGAACAGAATCACTTCCTCGGCTTCCGCGAGCTCGGCGAACCGCGTCAGGTGGTGCTCCAGTTGCGGGAGGTTCGGGATCAAAGTGTACACGATCTTGGCCCACGCTTTGTACAGCGTCTCGTCCCAGATGCTGGTCGCAAACGTCGTAATGTCCATGCCCAGAGATTTGTCGCGCAGTACGGCGGACCGCTCTTGGTATAATCGCTCGCGCAGCTCCGCCTGCACTAGGTCCATCTTGTGGATCAGACAGAAGACGGAGGCATCCGGGGAGTTCTGGGAGAGCGCTTCGATTATCGAACAGTACGTTATCAGATCGCGGTTGAACTCGCGCGACTCCACGTCGAATACGTAGATCAGGACCTCGACATTCTTAAATATGTGGTCGCGCTGCGTGGCAAGGTAGTTTTCCATGAATGCATCTTGTCTGGTTACGTCAGTCGTCAGTCGTGCGCAGTGTGTTGGAGGTAGAAGGTAAAAGCAACCGTACCCTCCACAATCCCACAGGTTCAGCGTCAGGTTCCCCAGGAATCGAACGTGCGAGTGCTCCACGTCAATTGTCGCGCCTAATCGTCGAGTGTCTTTTGCCACATAGTTGCTAAATACGATGGATCGCATCGACGATTTGCCACTGCCTGATTTTCCCTGCCGTCGCCGCTTAATCGTTGGCCTCTCCCTCGCTCTCAATCAAGCTCCGAGCCCCACACCGACGTACCATCAGCAACACTTTCTTCTTGTTGCGATTTCCTTTCCGCTCCTCGAGACTCATGATGGGCTAGAAGTAGTGGCGGGGGTAGTTGCGGTGATGTGGAGGGAGTTCGTTATGGTGACGAGGGCTGGTGGGAAGAGTCGTTCGTGGAGTGCTGGGGGAGGTGTAGTGATGTGAAGGTCGGATGCTCGTAGCCATTCGCAGGTGGGTAGTTAGGGTGCATGGGGTCGCTTGAGCTAACCTGCAACTCCGCTGCGTCGGGTCCGGAGCCGCAGAACGCGCAGTGTCCGTGTTCAGCTAGTCATTGTGAGTACACATGGCAGTCCAAGCTGAAGAAACACAATCCATACTCACAGTCCAAGCTGAAGAAACACAATCCATACTCACAGCCAAAGCTCCATTATAGCCAGCGTGTAAGCCTGGCAAATACATACTCCAAATCGATTCTTTTCCGACGTTTAAACACAGGATATCACTCCCACCAGTGTCTGCCAAGCCTTCCTCGCTTGCTGTCGCGTCCGTCATCGCCAAATAGTCGAAACTCGATTTCGCCCCTCGACCCAGACCAGCCGACACACCATACATCACACTCACTCAACACCCCTCGCCATTCGTTTCGCAACATAGAAAGAAAGAACTCGACCGAACCAGACCCCACACCAGGCACTTCCTCGACAAAAGCCGTAATGCCTCGCCCTTTGCGTACCAGAAAGCAGGCACCGGCCGCGGTTGCAAGTGCGGAGCTGGTAGACGCCGACACGTCCACAACGGTCAAGGTTACAAAGAAAAACAAACCCGCTGCAGCTGCGCCAGCTAGAGCGAACTCCGATACCGAGTACGACGACAGCACCCTCTCCACACCAAAGGCCAAGAAGCCCACCCGGACTCGTGCCGCGGTCCCGGCCTCATCTGATACATCAGCAGTAGTTGAGAGCAGATCCCGGACGCGGTCGACAAAGGCCTCCTCCTCCACCGTAGCCCCACCCGTAAAGAAAGCGCCCTCCGCAAGAACGCGTTCGTCGGCCGCGCCCAGCAGCCAAACCACCCGCGCAACGCGTCGCACAATCCAAGTTCCGGCGACACAATCTTCGATCCTCGAGGTCGACGAACAGGATATTCGCGACCAAACCCCTTCGACCATCATCCCGTCGACCCCTGCGCGACGCTTCGCCCATGGACTCGAACAGGACGAACCCGAACAATCGCCCTCGCAATCGTCAAACGCGGAGAATCGTTCGCCCCGGACTCTCCTGGCCCTAACTTCCTCTCCTCCGATCGCACAGTCCACGCCGAAGGGGAATGGGCGCGCGCTACTGCTGGACTTTTCGTCGGACGCGGGATATACCCCACCACCTCCGTCCACAAAGCAGCGGCCAGTGGGGTCGGTAGAGAGGCCTCGGTTGCGCGACCTCGATGCAAAGACTCTCGAGCCTGTTGGAATCCTGGATGGCTGGGACGACAACGACGAGGAGGATGACGACGACACCCTGCGACTTCCCCCACCGTCGCAAAGCAAGCACGCAGGACGACCCTCGGATTTCCTCATCGCCGAAGAGGAAGATGAAAACGACGACATCATCGGCGTGTCACCGCGGGCGGAGCTGCAGCGGCCAGAAGGCGGCATAGGATTCTTTGTGGACGATGACTCGCAGGAATTCATGATCTATTCGGACCCAAAGTCGAAATCGGCAACTCCATTAGTGGAGCCCGCGAAGAACGGAGCCGCCTTTGATGACGACGACATCATGCGGCCCCCTGAGTCCACGGATTCTTCCTCGCCTGCGAGGAAGCGCCGTAGTTCGGAAGCAGGAATTGATGACGGAGGGGAGGCCACCGAGGTCGAGCTCACACCGCGAGGCAAGCGTCCGCGCGCCACTGCCCCCGGCGCAAAGAAACCCAATTCAAAAGCGAACACCCAGAAGGAAAAGGAGCAAGTAAAAACCAACGACCTGCGCAGCCTGCTTCCTCGACGAAAGCGGACGACCAAGACCAAGACCAAGACCAAGAAGGGAAAGCAAGACGTATACGACGAGCTCACCTCCGAAGACGATGGAGCGGACGACAACGTCGAGGTGGACATTCTCACGCGACGGTCAGGCCGCACCCGCAAGGCAGCAGCAGCCACAGCCAAGAAAACCACTCCCAAGAAGTCCGCCGCAAAGGTTACAAAACCCACCGCGCCCCTCACCGCCTCCAAGAAGCCGTCGAGAACGTATGCACGAAAGTCGCTCGACAACAGCGCCAACGACCCGATCAGCGACCCGGCCACCAACGAAGACGACGAAGAGCCGAGTACTGACTCGACCGAGTCCGGCGACGGAATCATCAAGGGCGAGGTCAAGAAACAGCTCAACGAGATCAAGAAGAAGTTTGAGGAGGTGGATAAGTGGAATCTGGAGTTTGAGGAGGTCAGCGTTAAGAGTAGTGATAGTGGGAAGCGTTGATGCCCTGGCCTGACTCGACTCCGCTTTTCTATTTGGGCTGGGCTGGGGTTTTTTGTTGCCTTCTTGGGGAAACGAATTGGGTGGTTGGTTGGTTCCTTGGATGGAGTTTGTTGACTGGGGGGTATTTTTTCTGTTGCTGTTGCTGTTCTCCTCTCTGTTTCCTTTACTTTACTTTACGCGGACACGCTTTTTATTCGGGGGTGAATTGGATTCTTTTGCGGATTGGATTGGATTGGATGCGCTTTCTCCTGTCGTTGCTTTTGGTTTTTGTCTGTACCTGTCGTACTACTTTTTTTCCGTTTTTGAATGCTGGCCTAGGTTTGGTTTGGTCTGGTCTGGTCGAAGAAAAGCTCAGAGAAGTATAGCACTTACGGTTGAATTAGAAAGATCAGAAGTGAAGTCGAGGACATACGTGTGGTCGGTGTGATGTGATGTGATATTGGAAACGTCATGTAAAAGTGTGGAGTGGAGTGATCATAAACTATCACTTACCCGAGTACAGACGGATCATGGGTTGTCACGCAGGCTGGGTTCTTCGGAGCTGGCGATATGCGTGCGAACTGGCTGCGCAGACGACGTTTTACGGCGGCAAAAGTGAAGTCCATCCCCACCGTCTCGAATCCGAATCATGAGGCTGTATTCTGCCTACACCAGCCGACACGAAAAAAATGGGTTATGGCACCATCACTATCAAGCCATTTCCCTTTCTCATCCAATCATCTCACGGTCCGGTGATCACCCCGAGGCCCGAGAATGCGTTTTGATTGATGCCGGGTAATGATCCTAAATGGCAGCATGCTTGGTGTTTGGCCTTGAGTAGGTTTCTGACCGAGGCTCTTCGGTCGTAGACAGTTGTGATCGAGTACCTAAAGGCCTTGGATTGGAATTTGCGGTCGACGGAGAGAAGTCACGAGCTTGCAGCCGCGTACAAGGCCTCTGTGATGGCACATGAGGCGAATCTCGATGTCAACCCGACACCTCGCACGTCCACGCTTATGTAGCGGTGCCACGGCCCACATCTACACCTCGCACCGGCAACTCCCAGCACCACCCTTCACTTTCGAGTCAAGCTTTCTTTCGCGTTAGCAAAGATCGCGCACCACGACGACGGCCGGCGGGAAATGATCTATCCGATGCGGGAATTCGAAGCTAGCGAGTAACCCCTCACCCATGATCCCCCCGCACATGTCGGTACCGGGTTTCTGGGGGGGAGGTGTTCTGGAAGTCCTTGGGGAAGTTCTCCTTTGTAGGCTTCGTTGGTTTGGGGGGAACGGGGGGGAGGGGGGAGTGGGTTGTTGGGTCTGGATGCAGGCAGAGCTGGCCCGCTGGCTGCTGGGTGCTGGCTCGCTCGCTGGCCTAGATAGTGCCAATAAAGTGGAGAAATCCGAGTGTCACAAAGAAGTATGCGAGCTCGATTCGATGGTGGATACATGTCAGAGGACCACGAGAGATCCGTCGAGATAGTCTGACCCGGATCTGTGCTCGCTCGTCTAGCGAAGATAACAATTCCTATTTTCGAGCCGATCGCCCCGAGCCTCCTCCCCGCTGCCGTCGTGTCTGTGTCTGTTGTCGGCCCAAGCCACTTTTTCGGAGCCATTGCGAACTGCGCGTGTTGAATCAACATCCTCCCCAGTGCCCCGTCGTGCTGGCTGGCCTGTATCCAATCCTCACTGCTGGCCTGCTGGTATCATAGTAACTCCCTTCCTCCTCCCCCCCTCCCAGCAACCCAAACGACCCCCATCAACCCACCCTCCACCCACCCCCCCACCACCTTCCTCCGCCGCCTCCCAAAAGTCTCCACACTCTCCTGCGTCATCTGTGCCCGTTCCGAAACTGTCTTTCCTCGCGCGCGCGCGCCCCACAGCAATCATAAAGACGCAGGCACACACACACGCTCCCACACACACGATGCCCGATACGTCGATGGCTCATCAATCTTCGCCCGCACCCGATCACATTCCCTCAAAACACTTATCGTCCAACTCCTCGTCCGCGTCGAACAATACTCCTATCACCGCGACGACGACGACGACGACATCGACGACGAAGCCGTCGTCCCCCTCGTCGGGATTTAGCCTCAATAATAGACACAATGGAATCGGCAACGGCAACGCCAGCGGCAACGGAGGCAACCACAGCAACTCCTCGTCGCGGGACTCGTCGCCACACAGCAAATCCGACGCCGCCGACGCGCCCGACCTCATGTCCTCGTCCTCGTCGCTAAGGTCGAGAGCTAAAGGTAAAGAGCCCGCCGACGCGAAGCGGCCGTCGACGCCGGTCGCGCGCCCCGTCACCGCCGAGTTGCACCTGATGCAGTACCAGCAGCGCGACCAGGAGCACGCCAGCGCGCTGCTCAAACAGATCGATGTCGGCCACGACCTCATCCGCGACAAACGCCGCGAGATAGAATACTACCAGCAGCTGAAGAGAGATAGGAATCGCCACCCGTGGACGGTGTTCGGCCAGGGCTACGCGGGCTTCGGGAATGGAACCACTGATGGCAACGCACGCGTGCTGTATCCGTGTCAGCGCAAGAGACCCGGGGGAAGAAAGGCGCGTGAGCTGCGATTGACGAGGACCCAGCTGCAGGAACAGGCGGATCGCGTCGAGATGTTGGTCCCCATACGCCTAGATATCAACCATAACCAGATCCAATTGCGCGACACGTTTACTTGGAACATGCACGAGCAGACGGTGCCGCTGGATCTGTTCGTGGAGCAGCTGGTCGAGGACTTTCACCTGCCACTGAATCCGTCGCTGTTGCAGACCGTCACGAACAGTATACGAGACCAGGTCACCGACTACCATCCACATGTGTTCCTCGTCGATGAGCCACTAGATCCCGTCTTGCCGTACACTGCTTACAAGAACGACGATATGCGGATCCTGATCAAGCTCAACATCACGATCGGGCAGCATACATTGGTGGACCAGTTCGAGTGGGATATCAACAACCCCATGAACTCGCCCGAAGAGTTCGCGCAGCTCCTGACGCGGGAGATGTCGCTCTCGGGAGAGTTCACAACTTCCGTCGCGCACTGTATTAGGGAACAGTGTCAGTTGTTCACGAAGGCGCTGTACGTCACCAACCACCCATTCGACGGTCGACCCATCGAGGACGAGGACGTGCGCACGGCGTTGCTGTCGTCGCCCATCGCCTCCGTGTTCCGGCCCTACATTCTCGCCAAGGATTTCCAGCCCGTGCTCTACGAGATGTCGGAGAACGAGCTGGACCGTGCCGAGAGGAGTCAGTCTCGCGAACGACGACGGCTGCGTCGCGTACGAACCGTCAACCGCAGAGGCGGTCCGACTATTCCCGATCTCAAGGATATGCCTAAGACGCACCGGACGCAGATCGTGTCGTCGATACTACCAGGTGCCGTGCAAAAGGTTACGGATCTCGAGAAGGCGATGGCGGTTAAGCAGGTTAAGGACGGCGAATCGGATGACGACGACAGTGATTCGGACGTCGAGGATCTGCCGCCGGAGAAGACCATCCCTGGCTACAGCCGGATGACTGGTCGCCAGCGGCAGGCTGCCATCAATGCGCAGAAGGCGAATGCTCAGGCACGCTCGCAAACGCCGGAGGTCCACAGCGTTCGGTCGGATCGCACCGAGCGTTACGCCGAACGGTTACGACACGAGACGCCACTATCGACGCCATTACAGCAGACCCAGACCATCACACCCAGCATAGTCCAGCGTCTACCACGTCGGCAAGGTGTGCCGCTGCATCAGGACTCGGCTGTGTTCAAAGTCAAGCTCAACCTGGCCAAGTTCAGGAAAACTATGGAGGACCTCAAGGCACGCGATGCGCAGAAAGCAGCGCAACAACTAGAGGACGAGAAGGCGCGGGAGTTGCTACGCCAACAGGCCGCCGCCATGCCGCCACCGTCTCAGCAGCCATCCACCTCACAGAAGACGCCACTACCGTCTGCTTCTACGCCTGCTGCGGCCTCTTCACCTCCTACTCCAGCACATTCTGCCGTGCCCGCACCGCCTCTTACCCCACCAACTCCCACTCCCTCTGCTCCGGCTGCAGCTTCAGCTCCGGCCCCAGCTGCAGCTCAGTCCCCAACTCCGGCTGCGGCTCCAGCTCCAGCTCCATCACCAGCTTCGGCACCGACTCCGACTCCGGCTCCCAGCACAAACCCGCCAGGCTCAGCCGAAGAAGCACCAGTAAGTCACCTCCCGATCCCCCCATCCTGCCCACGCATAACATAAATCTCTAACCACCCACAGCCACCTCCGGACTGGCTCATCACGGCGCTTTCGCGACTGCGCGAGACGTACACAAACGACAACTTCGAAGCGACGATGCGGCGGATCGCGTTCGACGCCGAGACGGGCCAGAGCATGTCGGCAGCGCAGATCCAGGCCACCAGCAAGGAGATAAAGTGGAAGTGGATCCCGCGCATCCGCTGTCATGATTGTCCCGGAAAGCTCTACACTCCGGGTCCGGAACAGACCGTAGAGAGCTTTTTGGTACATGTCAAGAATAGAGGGCATAGGTACGGTTTCACCCCTAATAGATGAGGCCAGACCGGATGAAGCTAATGGGGTGTGCACACAGAGTACGTGTCGACCAGAGAACGAAGACTGGTGGTGGCGGCGCGATGGCGGGCGCGGGGAGTTCGTGATGTAACGTAACGTAAGTGTTGGCATGTTGGGCATGTTGGGTATCTTGGGCTATATGTTGGGGGCGGGGAGAGAGGGAGAGGTGTACTTTTAGACTGTTGCATCTTGTCGTTACCGTTGCCGTTATCGTTATTGCTATCCGTAGGACGTGGGAAGTAATCATCCGTTAATCTTTTTTTTTTACGATTGTGTACGTTTTTTCTTCATTTCTGTTTTTTTTTCTTTGAGGTGGATTGGAGGGAAGGGATGGGGGGATGGGATGGGATGAAGGGATGAGATGGGATGAAATGGGAGGGGATGGGATGAAATGGGAGGGGATGGGGTTTTTTAGTTTTTGTTACACTGTGCTGTGCTGTGAGTAGAGATACTCTACATCTTCATCTACATCTACCTACATCTATCTACAGATCGTCGTCGACCCACCCTGGCGTGGAACTGTGCAGACTTGGATTGCGGGGAGATGGCGGGAGGCGGGAGATGGCGGGAGGCGGGAGGTGGCGAGTGATGTCTGGTGTTCTGCCATTCCTATGTAGCATGGGTACTCACTCGAGATAGTCACCCACTTTCGGAATCGTGCAGTAGCTCCGAACATCAGTTCAAGAAAGAGATCGGACGGGACGGCGGTAGATGAAGTGGAGCGTAGAGGAGCGGCCGAAGCAGTGCTGGGACACCTGACGACGAGAGCGACGTCTGCGGAGGTGGGCAGGCGTATGCGGCGGGATATAAGCGGTCAAGTTTTCTCTTCTCTTCTTTTTCATCACTCTACATATCCCCACTCTGTTTGGTACGCAGTAGCACAGCAATGAACTGTATGGGAAGCGGAAAGGGAAGAGCGGGCATATCATCCCGTAGGGGAGAGAGGAGAGGTGGGAACTTGGAAGAGAGGGCGTGCAGGCGGCCCATTTCAGTCTTTACTGTGCATCTACATTTGTGTGACGAGTCGGGGCAGAGGGTCGAGGGTAGAGGGCAGAGGTCAGAGGATAGAGGGTAGAGGGCAGAGGGCAGAGGGCAGAGGGTAGAGGGTAGAGGGCAGAGGGTAGAGGGCAGAGGGTAGGGAAAGCTATATCGGGCTACTTGCGTGGAAACGGGGGGTAAACGGGATGATATTTCCATGATCTACCGGAGAGGGAGAGGAAGGAGTGCAGCCTGGTGCGGGGAGCATGGCGGAGATATTCGCGGACGAGCGATGTTCATTGTCCACTACTCAGAAGCAGTACGGGAAGGCCTGGAGACGACGGGCGAGGGGGCGGAAGGCCCCGCTAAACAGGCGTGCTCGGCGGGATGCGTGTATGAGGAGCTGTGGGGGCAGGCGGGGGAAGAGGGAGATGGGCGGTCATGCTTTCTCTTCTTTTCCCTTCCATCACTCTACTTTGTTTGCTATGGACATGGTGACACAGAGACGAACCGTACATACGGTAGAGCAGCCCGCGAGGTCTTCACCTCAACTCTCTGCTCTGCGGGGCTGGAAGGAGAGGTCGGGTAGGCCCTAAGGGGGTTTACCCTCATCGTCAATGTAGGCGGGCAGTGTGCGGCGATAGATTGATGGATCTCTCTCCCTTCAGCAGCTCGGACCTGGTTTCTTTTACATACACTTTCACTATATGCTGGGTGCCTTTTTCGGCGTCCAGCTATCCAGATATGTAATAGAGTACCGTACTTACCTGCGGGTGGATGCATGAAAGCGGTATTGTTGAATATTTGAGCTGCAAAAGAAGCAAAAAGAGGTATTTTTCAACGACAGTATAAACAAACTAGCATTATTTGTTAGGCACTGCAGCGAAAGCGGTCGCCCCCTCAAGCACGGGACTCACTCGAACACCGAATAGGCAGGTTGAAGCGTACTTTACTCTGTAATTCCGGGCACATGACCGCCGGCAGTTCCCAAATGCCCGGACACTGATCCTCACTCGTCTCTCGCGCTCATTCTCGCTCCCCCCGATCCATCCATCCGAGGCCGCCTCGACTGGACAGGGCGGGCAGGAAAAGGAGTGCGTTGGTTCGCCATATTCTAGACAGGCTGCATACAATTAATGAATGAATAAACAAAAAAACATCCATCCATCCATTCAACCGTGGGGCTGGGGCCGTGAGAGATTTCGGCTTGACTGGGCTTGGCGTCTGTGCCACCCAACCACCGCAGCGAGATAGATGAAGGCTGAAGCGCGTGTTCTTTATTTCGTTTGGGCTGGTATTTTCGGACTAATGGTGTGCTCGTGGGCTCGTGGGTTCGTGGGTACAGGTTAATAGCATCGCCAGTTCGAAGACCTATTATAACATCGCAATGAATCGAGTTGGTCGCAGGCCTGGAAGTGAGAACGGAACACTCCAGTGGCGAGTGAGAGCTTGTGAACTGCACTCATTTGCACGAGCGGTGGAAAGCTAATTTTTTGAGGATCGATCTACGGTACTTTCTATGATTCTATAGCAGTTTGTGCCATGTGGGAACGAAAGCGTCGAAATGGAAAATGCTATAAGTATGCCAGCAGTTCCGCCTCTTTCTTGCGATTTCCGCGACCTATTTACGCCTTGATTGCTGGTAGGTGAACGTGAAGGCGTGATGGTTACGATACTGGTTTTTGTGGATACATGGCCTGCACTCAACCACCTCCAGTACATATCGCTTCCGCACTCGGCCCTTAGTTTCTCCTCCCAGAGTCAGGTCTTGTAGTAGCATAGTCGGGGTTCGCTGGCGTGTACGGATTGAGGAAATGGGTGGATTGTGTTCATTCGAAGATTCGGCGGCCTTGAAGTGCGGGTGGATATCGTCGGCTTCGATGAGCTGTCTAATTGCAGATACGGATAATATCAGCTGCTTCCCGCGTCGACTTCATACGACTGGGTACTGAGGAAAGTAATTGGAGGTGTAGTCTTCTCTCAAGGTCATAAGTCGAGAGATCGTCGCCAAGGGACCGGCCGGCACTCGTGTTTGAGAAGATCCGCCTCTCTCCGGGTATGCACAGGTTGGAGGACCGAGGGGAGAGGTGTCAAGTACGATGCTCCTCCGGGACAGCACTGCGCGGCGACTCGATTCGAGGATGAGGCCAGGTGGATTCCCGGATCAGGCCTATCATACCTGCACCATATGCACCCGCGGCCTCAAGCTCGGTTGCCACAGGTGTCACATTCGAGTGCAACTGTGTGCGCCAAGTCACGTCACCGCTTATCCAGTTATCCCCACCCCCTCTTTTCGCCAGCACCGCCAGCACCGCCCATCGCCCACAGCTCGTCAACCGGGGGGCCAAAATCTTCCAATTCTTCCAAACAACTCAGCTCTCCCACGATACAACGCGACCCCGACCCGAAAACGAATGATTTGTCTTGACTGATGTCTGCGCCGTGCCGCATTCCCGGCGCCAACTGGGGCTGGAGGGTCGAGATGTGATTGGAGTTGGATCGGTGCGGTGGGGCACAGCAGCTCGAGTCAAGTTCCTTCCGCGGCCTCGACGGGGCTATCCGGCTGCCTGGCCAGGTGAACGAGCGAACCGCCGGCGGATCTACGCGCTTTTTTAAACCGGTTCTCTCACCACCGCACCGCCGCACCCCGAGAAAAGTGGTGGATAGCAGTCACTTTCATGATCCGTTGCAAAGGTAATTCTTATTCTTGTTGCGCTCTCGTTGCTAATTGTTTTTTTGCCCCAGTTTTAATAGAGCCTACGATCCAAAAATGCCCACGACGAAGCGAAACTTTATCGATCCAAAAAATAAACAAGGGCAAATTCGGTCAGGCTGTTCATTCGCGTACCAGGCTTCGGGAGTACGCCCGAATACTCCCTTGGCTGTATCGTCCAGGCGAAGCTCGACACGGAGGTTTCGAAGTGGCATATAGGAGAGGCGTGTATGTTGCGGTCTCGGTGCAGGCTTTGTTTGTTACAAGAGTCTACCGGTGGAATCCATGTTCTTAGAGCTGGAGTTCTATACCGCTTCGTATTGTCTTTTCTGTTGTGGCCGCTTCTGGAACTTTGTTCGGCTGGGAATGGATATCACGGGTTGTTTGCGATGTTTCGTTTCGATTCATGGGATTCATGTCCGGCATTATTTTTTTTCACCACGAAAGTGGTGAGCGGGGGGACAGTACGGGTTAGTTATTCCTCGTGGGAACCGGCTAGATGAGGCGAGCTCGGGGGCTTCATATCTTCAATGGACTCCCCGAGGACTTGCTGGCAGGCTTACATCATTAGGCACTTAATTAGCTGTTTAGTTCATCCGTGGAATTCAGTCTCTAGCTGTGGCGATTCTGCACAAACATCGTCGAAAGCATTTTCTACACGAGCTCGGGTTTCGTCTTCCACGAAACAGAGCATCTGCGTCAAGAAACTCATCCGGCAAGTCGGAATATGCTTGAATACAATTCAGGAAATACTATTGGGTTAATTTGTTTCTTGGGTTGGAAACAGGTATTCGGTTTCCCAACGTTGGATGCATCGATGGCGTGTTGGCAAGTGGTGTCGACCCCCTCTTCCGTCTCTGGCCTTTGGCATCGGGCATTGGTTTCATCGGTGTTTACTCGATGCTAATCATGCCTTGATGGGCTGGGTTTTACCCAGTGCCTTCGCCGGCCGTTCTCCAGACACCAACATGTGTGTACTTTCATGTGTGTACTGGTTGGCTGTCTGACCGGCTGGCTTTGGATGGAGATGCGTACGTTCCCCACGCACGGGTTGAGGTGAGGTCACGAGTTCAGATGTCAGTGGTAGTATCGTAACTGCACCCAGCAAGCAGTGGATGTAGAAGTTGCAGGAAGCCTTCGTTGGCCCTTCGGGGAACCTTCGGGGTTAAGGGCGTCGGAGAGTCTCCAGTCAACTTGCAGAGCTATGTACTGAGATTTTTGCGCTTCTATGTTCTCGTATGAGATGTGTGTTGTATTGGTAAATAGAAATACGCAAAGGCGGCAATGCAAACGTTCTGCCCTTTTGATTGAGACCCGTTGAAAAGGACATTTACCCTCGGCGGCCAGAGCGGCCGAGTTTGAGTGATGACTGCACTGCTTGGGAGGAAGAGGCCAGCCAGACAGCAATCAAGCAAGCGGAGCACCTGGACGTTATCACTCACCTCTCGCTCGCTCGACCCTCGCCTTCTAACCAACCCACCCTTCTTCTTCTTCTTCCCTCACCCGCACACCCTCTTCTTCCCTCACCCTCACTCCCTCTTCTTCCCTCGCCCTCACACCCTCTTCTTCCTTCACTCGCACTCCCTCTTCTCTCCTCCCCCAACCTTAACCTGTCCCCACCATCACAACCATCCTTCATCCATCCATCCCTTCACCTTCTGTTCGACCCTTCTTCTTCTCTTTTCTTGCTCCGGAACCCCGCTCTTCAAGCTTCACTTTTCCTCAAGATCTTCAAGCCGAGAGTTTCCCTCCAGTAAGTGGCCGGAGTTCAGCTAGCCACCCACGCTCTCACGCTACCGGGTCGTTTTCACCGTTCTTCGGTGGTGTCGCCTCGCCGGCAATTTGGTTGGTAGGCATATAACATTCCCCGAACCGACACCACTTGCCATCACCACCGAAGCACTTGCCATCACCACCGAACCATCAAGGTGGTAAGTGCCCTAACCTTTCTTTACTTCCTTCTCTACTTCCCGCTTCCTTCCTCCCTTCCTTCCTCCCTTCCTCCTTTCCTCTCTTAACTCGATACACACCCAGACATCACATTCCCCGAACCGACACCACTTGCCATCACCACCGAAGCACTTGCCATCACCACCGAACCATCAAGGTGGTAAGTGCCCTAACCTTTCTTTACTTCCTTCTTCCACTTCCCACTTCCTTCCTTCCTCCCTTCCTCCCTCCCTTCCTTACTTCATACCTCCCTCCCTTCCTTACTTCCTTCCTCTCTTACCCGATACCCACTCAGACATATCACATTCTCCGAACCAACACCACTTGTCATCACCACAATATCATCACCGAAGCCATCCACCGACCGAACCATCAAGTTCGTAAGTACCCTAACCTCTCTTTACTTCCATCTTTTCCTTCTTTCCTTCCTTCCTCCCTCCCTTCCTTCTTCCTCTCTTACCCGATACACACTTCCTCACTTCATCCTTTTCCTTCCCCTGCCTCCTCGACAGCCTGTCAGCCAGCCACTCGCCACGGCTGCCGTCGCTGTCGTTCGCACTGTCACTCCTGCATTGCCGCTTCATCTACTGCTGGCTATAAGTTCTGCTTGCTATCTGCGGCTGCCTCTCGGCGTCGAGACATTTTAAAAAAGTACATTTCCTTCTCTTCCCACCGTACATCTCATCACCACCATTCCCCCCCCCCCCAACTGCCCCATCCCACCACGAGTCCCCCACCCCCCTAGCACGCTTCTTGCCCCATTCCTCAGCACTCGACTTCTCAACTCGAGTCTGTCCGATATTCTTTATCGCGAGCCCCTCATTTGGTTTTCTCTTTTACTTCCTTTGGCCGAGTTTTTGACGAGTCGCTGTCGTTTGCGTTGCGGCGTGTGTGGCTGCCTTAATCATCCGTGCTCTAAAGTACCCACGTCGCGTCACCAACTAACTCGCTTCTCCAGGCCAGGCCTTGGATCAAGGGGAGTCACTCGTCCCAATTTCTAGATTCTCCCGACGCGAGTCTCGGTGCATACCACCAACCTCAACACCCCCACCCACCACACATAACCATAAGCATGCCAGCTTCTACGAAAGACTCGGGAGGCCAGTCACCAGTCGATACGCCTTCCGTCACAGGCTCCGGTCCGCCCACGCCGTTGCTCGGACGAACCAGTTCGAGGCCGTCGACTCGTCGCTCAACCCCCGTTAGCACCCCCGGCGCTGGGCCCAGCACAACGTCGAGGATCCTCCTCCACCCACCCGACCCACATCATAGATCAAACGGCGACGCGTTACAAGACAATGTTGTTCCCCAGCCACCGCACGGAACACCGTCCTACAAGGAGTACGATGAGAAGGTAATTCCCCAAGGGGTACTACATGGAATGCACGTCCTAGGAGACCTTCCGCCTGCTCAACTCATCGCAAAGACCAAGGCGGCATATCCGTGGGCTCCAGCGAACAAGAACCCGGAGGTTGTAAAGAAGAGAGGCAAATACAAAACGTCCTCAAATGGCAATGGCAATGGCCTTGGCACAGCCGCTACCACCACCGCAGCACCGAGTCCTGCTGGTCCAAATTTCACCACACCTACTCCGACTACGTACAATCCAGCGACTCCGTCTCTATCATCCGACAGGGCTTCAGCAAGGGCTTCCGGTTCTCCCACATCTTCAGTCCAGGCTTTCCCGCAGGCCACGCCTCCGAAGCCCATAAATCCATGGATTAATGGCAGTACGCCGAGCTCGAAGACACCTCTAGGCCGTCAGCGTTTGTCCATGGTCGTTGAGGCTGCCATACAGAGGTCGAAAATCACTGGCAGCCCTGAAATGGGCATCGCGATAAGGAAATTGTATGACGAATCGCTCACTGACGACAGTTTGGCCGAGCTCTTGGATGCGATTCTGGCACAGACAGCTACAGCACAGCAATTCTCACATTTTCAGGCTTACGTCCGAGCAGCACGCGCCGACCCGGGAAATCAGTCGGAGAAGCCGTTTGTGGCGATGACTGCTGAGGATGTGGCTAGAGAAGAGGAAAAGCTCCGTCAAAACGAGAGAGATCATGCCAGCAAGGTTGGGGTGAACGGAAATGGTGAGTAGCTAACGAACAAACCTCCCCGGGGGGGAATCTATGCATACAGAGAGGCTAAAATTCGCGCAGGTGTTGTTTCACCTCCTCCGGAGAAGAAGAGAAAGCTAGAGAATGCAGTTGCGCAGAGCTCCGAGAAGAGCGCGGTATCGACGTCACAGCCTGTGATTAAAGCCGACTCGCCGCTCCCCTCAAATGAGGAGATGCAGAAATTGTCGGATATTAGGGATCCGCCCGCGCCACACCTGCCCACTCGGACCCGCGGTAAGAAGAGACCCAGGAGCCCAAGTCCTAGCAGCAAGAAGAGCTCGAAGCAGTCTTCGCCTGTGCTCGCTCCTCCGGCGGTCCAGCTGGCCACAGTTCCTGCGGCCCCAGCTCATGTGACCCCGGCTCCTCCTCCTCCCCCTCCCACTAAGAAAAAGAACAAAGTGGTGAAGGCCAAGGCTCTGTTAGTATTCCCCACAACCTCTCTTATCTGTGCATTTTTTTGTTTGCCAGGTGGGCATTTGTGTGGCGAGTGAACACGTGGCTAACCTGTTGCAACAGGCCAGCCAAGAAAGCAGTGGTGTTGGAAAACACCGTTGTAACTGCGGGGATTGGTGAGGCCCCTGACCATCGGAGAGCCCGCCACGGTTCAGAGGAAGTCTCGGTATGTTCAACAACCTCTTGATGTGTTGCATGGCGCGACTACTGGGACAGCTTATTAACTACCAAATACAGGAAAACGAGGACGTGTGCGCTGTGTGCAACGGAGCAGGAAACTTCTTGTGTTGCGAGCGTTGTCCGCGCTCTTTCCACTTCACTTGTCTGAATCCGCCCCTGGAGGACACTCCGGAGGGTGTCTGGTTTTGCAACAAGTGCCAAGCGCAGACCAACCCGCCTCCCAGGGAACCGAAGGGCTTATTTTCCGAGCTCATCGACAATATCAATCGGCAGAATCCAGCCTCGTTCAGGCTGCCTTCGCCGATTCGCAATTACTTCACCGGGGTGGAGACCGGCAGTCACGGCGAGTACGTTGATAACCGTGATACGAAGACGATGAAGTTTGGGTAAGTAATCACTGCGATCCAGCCGCATAGGCTCCCTTGCTAACTTGCCCCCTCAGCAAGAATGGATTCCCGGAGGAACATGACACGTACAAGCTGCGGGACAAGAATGGAGCCCTCCTCGTCTGTCATGACTGCAACACAACGGCCCTCGGTGGCCGGCAGATCATTTCTTGCGACTACTGTCCGCTGAGTTGGCACCTCGACTGTGTCCTGCCGGTGCCGATGGCAGCTCCGCCTACGGGCAAGAGAAAGTGGATGTGTCCTGCACACATCGATTCTGTTGTAAGTCTGCGAACCTGCTTGCCCTGCTGGAGTGGGACTGACTACAAGTTTAACAGCTCAAGGCGAGGCGCCCCAAGAACGCCATTGTTGTTGACACGGTCTTGCGCCGTGGCAACAAGAACAATGGCGTCATCGAGATCGACAATGAGTCGGATCACGAAGGGGACTTCGAGGAGATCATCGCGAACGGGATCGTTTACCGACTCCCTGAGCGTGGCATCAAGCTCGATTTCATGGCGGCTGTTCACCGGTAAGTTCCCATGTGACGGACAACCCTGTCATGTGGTGCCAGACTGATCTGTTCCTAGCATGAGAGAGGAGGAGCAGGAGAAGTCTCGGAAGAGAGTCTCGGAAGTCCCCATCTCGGAAGAGCCACCCAAGAGGGTGCGCCTCTCGGTGGACTCCCTGCTGGGACTGTCAGCAGAGGAGGAGAATGTCGTTTCGGCCCTTTGGGAGTTGAGGTATCTTTCGGCGACAGCAGCTCCGGAAGCGGCAGCTCCGGCAACAGTAGCTCCGGCGACAGCAGCTGGCGAGACACCAGCCCAGGTGGCAGCAGCCCCGACTGATGTCTCTGTGCTCTTGGAGCGCCTGATTGTATGTATTTATTATCCGGGTGAAACAGAAGATGGGCTAACATGTGAGCGCAGAGTCAGGCTAGCGACCAGGTGAAATCGGTGCTCTCGACTCCGAGTGCACCGACTTCCCTGGAACAAGAGTTCCAGCAGTTGACGGAGATGAAGCGTCTGATCGACGCAAGGCTGCAGAGCATCGCGCAGCCAGAGGTCAATGGGGGCCGAAAACTCGTCGAGTTGACCCAGGACCACCATATGGACGACCATGAGTTCAACGAGCTCATGGACGCCGATATGGATGGTGCCTTTGCGCTCGACGAGGAGGAAACTGCTCGTTCGACGAACTCCGCGCCAGTCGCCCCAATGGCTCCGATGATGGCTGCGCCCGTCCATGTGGCCCCGGTTGCTCCGATAGCACCTATGGCCTTCATGAAGCCGGGTGGCAACGCCTAGGCTTCATGAGGCCGGATGGCCACCTCTGGACGAGGATACGAAATGAAGGTACCAGGGGACGGAACAGATGGTACCAGACGACGATGAACGCCTTTTTTTTCTTTCTTTTTCTTTTTCCTTTTTTCTTTTTTTACTAGCTGTCGCTAGACTTTTTTAGTTGAAAACCTTTTCCCAATTATTTTGAAGGATTTTCCTTCTTTTTACGGTGTTTTTACCCTTGCCTCTGGTTGATTTGCATTGCACTTTCGCTATGATAGTATCCTTTTCCTTTTTTTTTTGATTTCCAGACTATGAATTGGTTTAGGGTGTTTTTCTTTTCATTTGGCAATGGACTTAGAAGGGGTGTGGTCATGGGAGGGTGAGGGAGCGAATGTCTTTCCATTTGTCTGTATTCCGCATGCGTTTGCTAGTTTTTCTTTTTTGTTCTAGGGGCTCTTCTCAAGTATCTGCTTTTCATGCGATTATATTCATTCATGTATTCTTTTTTTCTTTCCTGTTTTTTTTTCTATTCTCTTTCGTTGCACTCATGGGGGTATTTCTTTTCTGCTCATTCTTCTTACAAGTTTACCGGTACGATTTGCGCATATGCTCTTTAACTTTTCTTCTGTGGTTACTTTTTTTACTCTGGATTCTGTCGGCATTTCGGGGAGCGGTACGGAAGAAGGAGCGAGTGATATTTTATGGGAGAGCTGGTGGTGTGGGTCGAGACAATTTGCGCTGTATTTTAGTTACCAACTGTACGAGTACTCTACATTTCGGTCGTTCGGTGAGTGACGTGACAAAACATCCAACTCAAGGCAACTTTGGGGGAACATGAACATGAGCGGATATCTCTCCAGGGGTTGACCTTACTTGCTTGCTTCGAGAGGATGCTGATTGGTTGACGTGAGTGAAACATGTGATACGCTAGGCTGCTACAAGGATGCCGGGGCCTGGGGAGTGCTCAGTGGTGGGCGCCTGCATGCTGCAGCCCTGTAGGTGTGCTGTGGTGGAGCGCTGCTGGTGGTGCATGTGCTGATGTGGTGTGGCGAGTGTCTAGCGGGTGAGAGGCGGTGATGGTGGCGGGTGAGCTGATGGTGGCTGGTGGATGGAGCGGTGGCTGGTGGATGGAGCGTTGGCTGAATCGTGGCTGGTTGATGACGGGTGGCTGGTTGATGACGGGTGGCTGGTTGATGACGAGTGGCTGGGTCACGCTTCGTATTACATAAGTGGAATTGAACGAGACTTGATACATAACTCGGGAACTTCAATGAAACTCCCGGCAAAGCCTCGCGATCTCCATTAATCCTCACGCACCTACTACTCTGGGTAATTTCAGTTTTACCACTGACCGGAAACCGCTGGTCAAGCCGAACATCTACCCGGTAGATCTCTAATCTTAAGGATCCTGGGGTGAAGCCTCGGCAATTTTCCCTCATTCCATGAGACAGGACTACTCTTCTATTCGGTGTTGTCTCATCTCGTCTCGTCTGGTCTCGTGCTCACTGTTCGGCTCAAAGTGGGCTCGGCGTCGGGGTGGCGGTGCCATGTGGTCGGCGTCATGGATTCTGGCTCGCGTTGGAGCTGGAGTAGCAAGGTGGTGGTGGTGAGATTTACTTTTCCTATGTTTGTAGGGCACGAGCGTAGACGGAAAGAGAGGGGGACGTGATTGCCACGTCGAGCTGAACATTTGGGCTTTGAATAGAGTAGAGCCGGGGGGAAGTACGCCGCCGGTATATGTAGTCTAGACACCGTACCTAGGCTGTGACCCAAACAAACAGCTTCCTAGGCCACAAAGATCGTTTCATCCTAGTTGCTAAACACGCTGCACACTTGTCGTGGCATCTTCACAGCGGCTGTGGCGTTGGTATCTGTGGGGGTACGTACAGTAGCAAAAAGTGGGGTGCGATTGATACGGGAAGAATACCGCGGTCATTTGAATACGGAAGAATTACTAGATTTTTATTCAATACGTATGCCTACTTTTAGAAACGTCTAAAGAAAACGTATTTTCATAAAGACAGGAGCTGTACCGTCTTTTCCACATCATGTATCGAAAATTAACATCTCATCTATAGACAACGAGAGTTCTACAGTGGTGCAATGCACTGCGTAATTATATCAAGCGTGTAGTTGTAGGTCCGTCATACAAACAAGACTGCATGCTTGGTCAATTTCGGTAGTACTACGTGGTTTTCGGCCGGATGGCTGCGGTATCACTACTGAAAGACTTCCGTGCTTGCAGAAATTGGTGCTCACCAGTACTTTAGGGTCCGTACAATGCGATCTTCTGGAGTATCAGTGGGGCTTGGTAGATGCAGTAGCATAACAGATATGCAGACGGCTCCTTTACCAACACCCCTCCAGCCCGGCGGTGGGGTCGAGAGGAGTTCACACACTTCATCTCGCCGACAGCTCCTCCCCACGCCAACAGCTTCTCCATAACTTCCTCCCCTCACTGAAAGCTCCACCTCTCACATGTACCAGTGGGGTGGTTCAAGGGGCGGTCTGTATTGTTACTGACAACGGGGGATTACCGGTAGTATTAAAATCCGTCGTGACAGCGGTGCTAGTAGCAGGTAGGCCGCATGTTCTTTGTCATTACCGTATGTAATCGACAGGAGCGGGCTATGGACTGACTTTGCCAAACTACTGTCGAGCGATTTTAGGATACCCGAACGACGATCAAGAAGTGAGGCAGAGTAAGGGCGGGAACTCGGAACCGCTCTACTAGGTATACACCAGCGAGATGAGGTTTTTTCAGGCGAATGTGCTTCACACACGTACATATGCAAACGTGCTGATATACTATGACGAAGACCGCAGTCGTCCATTCAGGGCCTAGACGTCTGCCGGTCCACAACACTTTCAGGATTGATATCGTCTTGTCCTGACAGCACACACAAGACGGAAGGGATGCCCCCGGTTGTCATCCCTACCGTAGAGGAGGCAATCACTTGTCCGGACTGTAGAGCAGTACTACGGTATTCGGTGATCCGGCAACATCACCAGGATTCCGTCTCAGGCATTGGATGGGTGGCTTATCCAGGAGTCCGACTATCATCACACTCATGATTCTCGGAGTGGCTGAAATGATAGATGGGTCCAGGTATTCGGTCTCACGCACGGATATAGGTATGATACGGTTGACTGGATATCGATGGACTACTGCCTTCCATAAAAACCAGGCTGTTGGTTGAGTGTTCAGATGAGCAATTTCGAGAGTCGAGACTCGTTCTGAACGGCTGATCACGCTGTGATGTCACTAGAAACAAAAGGCCGTCACCTCAGACCTGGTAGAAGCTGTGAAATCTCAATGGAGGGGCGGAAAGGTGTAATGATTCCGGCCATAGGCCTCATCCTCCACAAAACACTGTCGATAACTTTTTCAGTTTGTCAAGCGCATGGCGTCGGCTCCATTTCTGTCTACTACCTCCGATCTATAATATCCGACCAGGCGTAGTTGCTGTCTCCCCACCTCCGAGCTTTCTAGGACGGATCGAACGCACTGTTGGTATCCTTGAGATAGTGGCCTCCGAAGAAGTGGTTAGTACGGCAGGTAGAGCTGCAACGGCCTCTATCTTGGTATGCACATTGGGCTACTAGTAATTGATGAGACACAGCAATACCGGTACCTTCATTAAATTTGCCAACTTCCTACGTTGCGAACATGTACATAAAGAAGGCCATCGTCCGTTGGGACCATAGTCCTTTGGGCGGGCCAACGATGGAGGTTCAGGCCAAGACCATCTGATGGACTCCGATTTCCTCCACAGCGAAGTTCGAACATTTCCTGCTTCGAGCTACCTACCTAATTGTGCTAGGTATCGTGCTGCCATCAACCGACACTGGGAACGACTTTGATTTCCCCATCCTAACTAAAGTACAAAACACGAGCGTCAGTGGCAGCTCGGGTTCGAGGACATATGATACAAATCACCGAAGCTAATGATTTAGAAATTAGGCCTACTTTGCGCAGCAACTCGGTATGAACATCACCCCGCATTTCGAGTGATACATACCTGGTGGGAATAATGTTCGGCCGAGTTGATTAGTTACGATATTCCTCCATCCTCGTATCACTTATGTGAATGGTTTGGAATGGCATAGCCTTATAATGAGCCAGCTGAAGTATGAAGAAGCGAAACGGTCGGAGATAAAGAATGTAATCGGGCAGTGCGCGGTCGTGTTTCGGGGCTGCGGCGAATCCTTCACGGAGAGCTCCGTGCGGGTTCGTGTGTTCCCGTCTCCATAGCCCCGCGCCTCAGCTGTGCCGCGGGATCCGGGACTCAAATACTAGGTAAGCATATACGCATGTGCATGTGGCTGCAGTGGCTGTGCGGATCCGAGTGACAAATAGTGCTCAGTCCGAGACTCCCGGCCAATTCAATCCAGCACCTGTGTACTCCGAAATCCATTGGATACTTTATGTACCTACGCTACATGGCCCCAGCTCCAGCGCGCGTCCCTCGGCGTGACTTCATTTCCCCCCTCCGAATGCGGAGGGTCGGTCCGGACCGTAACGCTGGGGCTTGAGTTTTGCCGTGATTACCGAGACCCCAACCGACTTCGTGGCGGCAGCGGAGGGAGACGGGGGTCTACAATCTACTGCATTGCACTGCCAGTGCGAGATGGTTGGGCGCCGCCCCTGCTGCGGAATACCGGTAGGTTCCCAGCACCCAGCAGTTGCGTAGTTACAGTCTTGCAGACAATAGTCGCTGGCAGCTGTCGGTGCCCCAGAACCGGCCGCGCATGCGTGCCACGATTCGTCGACTTCATATTTTCTCTTCACGTTCACTTCAACCGGAGGATTCCTTGGTATTTGCTGTAAAGTTATGACGTGTGGCCAGCTACGAGCTGCCTGTAGAGTAACTCTGTGGAACTGCTTCCGTGCAGAGTGGAAGGAATCGCGATCGGCGAATGAAGAACTTGGCAATGCTTGTTTTACAGGCCAGACAGGGGCTGCGTCCCGTCCACCCTTGGACCAGTCGGACAGATAGCAGGCTCATCGCAAGGTATCTGTATGTAGAGTACGTGTATGTGTGTGTGCGCAGCCCGACCTGCTTCATCGGCCGTTACTACCTATATTGCATTCCGTCATCCTACCGCCCTCGACGAGATACCTATATCCCCCGTCCCATCCTGTCCGCAGCTTTGCAAAAATAAATAAACGGAAGGAAGGAAGGAAGGAAGTTCAGTCTCGCCTTGACATCTCACCTACCTAGCTTCGAATAACCTAATACCTACCTCCTGCAGACTCCAAGCTCAATGCGTATGTTTACCCCCCGTGCACGGTAGATGCGGTGACGGTGATAAACTGACATTCTCAGATCGAATCCGACGAGCAGCAACCAGCGCCAGTCGCGGCGAACGAGCCAGTCCCCTCCGCTTTTTCGGTCGTCGAACCGGAACAATCTCGCAGGATCAATTAAACATCGACACGCCTATATCCTCCCGGCCTGGCTCGCATCGCGCAAATACTTTGACGAGGGAGGCGGGAGGCGTAAATGGAAAGAAACCTCTCACCATCGCTGGACAGCTGCGGACTTGTCTTTTCAAATGGATCAATATCCTCCTCCTGTTTGTGCCGGTGGGCATCGCCACGTATTATGCTGGTGTTGATCCGTTAGTATTCTCGTTCCGGCCTATCTCCCTGGATAGGAGCTGATGTATGTGTCTGACAGCACCATCGTCTTCGTCCTAAATTTCATAGCCATCATCCCCCTCGCGGCCCTACTCTCCTCCGGAACCGAAGAAGTCGCCCTATACAGCGGCGAAGTGATCGGCGGGCTGCTGAACGCGACATTCGGCAACGCGGTCGAGCTGATCGTGTCGATACTGGCGCTGATCAAGCGTGAGATCGTGATCGTGCAGACCTCTCTCATCGGCAGCATCCTCAGCAACCTCCTGCTAGTGCTCGGAATGGCCTTCATCGCCGGCGGATGGAACCGGAGCGAGCAGAAGTTCAACACGACGATCGCGCAGACCGCCGCGAGCATGCTCACCGTCAGCTGCGCGAGTCTGATCGTGCCTACGGCGTTCCACATGGCCAGCTCGACCGATACCGACGTCGGCATCGCACCCCTGTCCCGTGGCACCAGCGTCATCCTCCTCGTCGTCTATGCGAGCTACCTCGTGTTCCAGCTGAAGACGCACGAGCACCTGTACTCGACAAAGTCCGAAAAGACGCCGAAGGAAAAGCTGCTGCGCCGCCGGAACAAGGAGGTGCCGCTCGCGCCATGCCCCGAGCCGCGCACCGAGGAATCCCTGACCGAAGCCGAGGAGGAGGAGGCAGAAGACGAGCCCGAAGAGCCGGAACTGACGATCCTCTTCGCAGTGGGGCTGCTGATCGCCTCCACCGTCCTCGTCGCGATCTGTGCCGAATGTCTAGTCTCGAGCATCGACCACCTAGTCGAGAGCTCCGGGATCTCGCGCGTGTTCGTGGGCCTCATCCTCCTGCCGATCGTTGGCAACGCGGCGGAGCACGCCACCGCCGTCACCGTCGCCGTCAAGGACAAGATGGACCTCTCGATTGGCGTGGCGGTCGGGAGCAGTATGCAGATTGCCCTCCTTGTCATCCCCGTTATGGTCATCCTTGGCTGGTGCATGGGCATCGAGGAGATGAATCTGTACTTTGATGGGTTCCAGGTTATGATCCTGTTTGTCAGCGTCCTGCTGGTCAACTACCTCATCCAGGACGGGAAGAGTAATTACTTGGAGGGAAATTTGCTGGTGGCCTTGTATTTGATTATTGCGTAAGCCCTCACTCCCTCCCTCTCACCGATGTCCCGGCCTCACCACTGACATTTAACGAATAGTCTCGCGAGTTGGTTCTACCCCAAAGAAGGCGCTCTAGCAGGAGCGATGGAGAAGAAGTAGGTATGTAATCGGGCTGCTTCAAGTTTGTGGATGGACGGATGGGATTGTACATAAACGGGGATATGACGAGATGTCTCCACACTTACGGCCGTGTTTTTTCTTCCTTTTCTTCACGATATCTGTATTTTGCTACTTTAGCGTTCTTTGTACAACATATATATCATACCTATGTGGATGTAATCAATTTGGAGACAATTCAAGACATTCAAGATATGTAACTAGATTCGTGTGGAGGCCGGTTTTCTTATGTAGGTACCCCACATCTGAGCTGCCCCTCAAGCTTCAACCCGAGCAGCTGTGATTTCCACGGGTATGTTGTACCAGACATGTACCTACAAGCTTCAACAACCCCACAGCGGCCCCATAGTCTCAGCAATGTACGTAGACAAATACTCCGAAAGGCCTTGCTTCCTTCCTTCTAGAACAACATCCGGATTACTCGATAAGCGAGCACGATAAGCGAGGTCTAACGGCCCGTATGATGCGTGAAATGGACGGATCTTGCCGTGTCGAGTGTCGAGCGTCGAGTGTCCACAATTTGCCGTTTTTTTCGGTGAAGTTGAGTGCAAGACTCGAGGCTTAGAGTCATCGGGTTGATCTTGTTGGGTTACCGTTACCGTTACCGGTGGAGGAGGAAGAACAAGAGGAGGAAGAGGATATTGACCCTGACTCCTCGTCCAAGGCCCGCCGACTCGGTCCGGGATTCGGCGCTCGGCGTGCTCGGCGTCTCGGCGTGCTGTGCGGTGCTGCACGGTGCCTACCCCCCCGGATCCGGGACCCGGGATCTGCCAGCATCCAGACCGCCCAGCCCGAGCGGTGCCCAGCGGAGTCCAGCTTGGCCGAGTCCACCCAGCCCATCCTGCAGCTTTCCCCCGGTCCCCGGGCCGTGGCCAAGTGTTTCACTGCCATCTCGCGGAGGCCAAGGCAGAGGCACTGTCGGACCGATCCGATCGGATATTTGTAGTGAGCCGGTACTTCCCTACTACATCAATTGCATACTGTACACCTTCGCTGCTGTGCGGGTGTGTACTTCCCGTGCACCAATGTAGGTACCGTATGTACGGTAGGTATGCTCCACGGCCCATCGCAGACGTATATACCGTAACTTCGTTCGCACTGTCTGAACATCGGTATGTACCCGTACCTAGGTGAATCCTATTCCGGCCCGGCCTATCGATCCGTTGACCCGAAGATGAGCTCCGCTTTCTCAAGGATAGTTGATAGTTGACGTGATTACAACCTGCAAGCCATTGCTCTTCTCGTTGAAAAGCCACCGTCGTCACCCGTCACTCGTCACTCGTCCCAGATATTGCATATTTGACATACCTAGTGGTAATATGTGCACGCCTCGAAAATCCCGTTTATTCCCATATCCCTTGCTTCCGCTTCCGCTTCCGCTTCTGTTTCTGTCTGGTACCGGTATGTCTAGAGTAGCCAGCTGGCCATCCGTCGAGTTCTGCGAAATCAAGCAGCTTAAAGTCTGAAACATCACACTCACACTCATATTTCCAACACAGGTAAGTCAAAAAAGTAAAACCGAGTGATACCCATGATCCTCCTTTCGCCTTTAGCCCTTTGCAGACGTCTCGATATTCCTGTTCCGTCACCGGCATCACCACCATCCATCGTCCATAGCCCGCAAGGGCGCCCCCTTCGGCGAATGGAAACGCCGACTCCGAGAATCCTATGTACTATCCTACTATCCAGCAGCGCCACAGGGAACATCCCTCCACCCCCCTTCACCCCCCTCCACCGCCAGCAGGGCCAGCACTAATGTTTCCCCCTAGCCTAGGCTCTACTTACGCGTCCGCTTGAGAGAGAGAGAACCAACTTCCAAGGCAGACAGCTAGAGTAGAGTAGCATAGGCTTCCGTGTCGGAGTAATCCTCCTCCGCTCCACGCTCCGCGCCCCGGAGGCCGAAGCCCGAGCGACGAGTGACGAGTGACGAGTGATATCAAAACAGTAGTTAGATAACGTTAAAGGTATTATTCTCATATCGACAAACAGCCCATCTATTGCAGCGAAAAAACGAAGGAAAAAAAAGAAGGAAAAAAAAAGAAACATCAGTACCCATTTGCAATACAGAGGGATATCTCGTACGCTCATTCCTTCCTTCCATCCATCCTTCCATCCTTCCTTCCTTCCTTCCGTCGTCAATTCAATATCGAAACACATCACCGCATCACATCACCGCATCGCAAATGACCTCCAACGAAACGAAACGAAAGCGGGAAAACAGGCAAAGAATAACGATAAACTCCATCCCCCGCCCCTCAATGCATCGAGCAACAGTGGTATATATAAAAATAAAAGGGAAACGAAGACCGAGACGAAATGTGAGTTTTGTTTAGGAGCGGGCGTAGCCACAGTTCGGTCGGGGCTTATCCGCGCGAATGAGCCACAGGAAGATGTCCTCGAGCGGCACCAAGACCATGAAGATGCGGTTGCAGAGCAATGCAGCGGCAGCGGTGAACACGGCGACAACGGCGTCGAGGTAGTAATGGTTGGCGGTGGCGACGATGGTGGTCAGGATACCGAGGGGGTAGAGCACGCCAAACACGCAGAGCGACCACTTCCAGATCTTGGCGCTGCGGTTCTCATAGCCCAGTCCCGCCCACCGGAAGGCACCGGCATGGTACAGACACGTGGTGCCGATGATGAAGGCGTAGCCGAAGTGCATGCTGGGCATCGCGGCGAGGTGGTTCACGAACTTGCCCGACATCCACACGCTCTCGGCGTCGTCGCGGCGGACGGTGTCGACGAATCCGTACTCCTTGGGGAGCAGTCGCGGCGGCATGCACGGGTACGACGTGAAGATGGCGAAGGCCGTCAGGTTGCACAACGTCATGGTGCGGCGGACCTTGGCGAAGATGGCATGGTTGGGCGCAGCGTAGTAGTACCAGGCCATGAAGTAGACCGTGCCGGGGATGTGGATCAACGCGTAAGCTTTGTTGAAGAAGGTCAATAGTTCGGCGTGGCCCTCCAAGAACCAATGCTGCACACTGAGCTCCGGCACGGGGAAGAAGAAGCGGAAGATGGAGAATTGCTCGAACTCGAGGATGGCCAGTCCGTGCGACTGTGCCAGGTCCCAGATCGAGTCGGAGAAGAGAGCCTGGGACATGATGTGCGTGAGCCGGTAGACAAAGTACGTGACGATCCAGTAGAACATCTCTATGAAGAACGGGAACTTATAGAGCATGCGCGAGTGCCAGTTGTTGGCGAACTGCGACGTGTTGGGCGTCAGGATTGTAGTGCCGCAGAATGGCCGCCGCTTAGACGATGCATGCTTGGATGTGGTGGCGAAGTAGTCGGAGTCCGTGTCGTCCTCTTCGTACTTCAGCGTCTCGTCCTGCCCTATTGTGTCTTGCGACGAATTCGAGTCTTGGTCCAACAGCGCGTACCGTGACGACTGCTTGCCGGATACGTTGAAATTGCGTCGTCGAGTGTAGAAGCAGGCGCCGAAGAGGATGCTCGCAACGATAACGGGCTCGGCCCAGCCGGGCAGCTTCCACGCCGGGTCACTACCCCATTCGGGAGGCGCCGAGGCGAGCGGTGTCGGTGTGGTGGTGGTGGCGGTGGTTCCGAATGTGGAGTCCATGGGTGAGGCGGTATTAAGTATTAGGTTTGTTTTAGGGGAGTTCTAGTATTCTGTGCGCTTTCAATGTTGATTAGAGGTGAATCGAGGAGAGAACGCAGGGACGTAGAGAACCAAAGAGAGGGCTTACAGTTGGACGGGTGGCGGACGTTGCAATGAGTGGATGAGGAAGACGCGGTCGTGTGCTGAGTCGTGTACCACTATACCACTAGGGATGTATGTACCGAAGTTCGACTCTCGCCAATCCAGGCGGTAACAAGGTGCAAAGTGGGTTTGGTCGGGAGGTGGGAGGGATATCGATGGAAAACACGAGTCTTGGGTCCTCGCAAAGACGGTGGTAGTAATGGTGGATCGAAGGAAAGAGGAGGAAGAGTGCCAAAATGAAAAAGGGGAGGGGGAGGCGGAGGTGGTGGTGGTGGTGGTGGAGTGAAGACAGGGAGAGTCAGCACCAGTAGGTACCAGCACCAGCATCAGCACCCAGCACCGGCCGGGACCAGCAGACGTTAGAGTAGATTGGGAAATCTGGACGACAGGCAACGCTCTGGTGACTGAACAACCGAACACAGGGCACAGCACGAGCCGTCCAGCGCAGCAATAAAAATGGCCAAGTGTTTCAGGCCGGCGTCTCTCCCGATGCCAAGCTGGAGATTCATCACACACGCCGTTGGCCCCTAACCAAGTATGCATAACACCGGTACAGACACACAATCGCATCCGTGGGAATACCTCTCTCCGGCTGGCTGATCCGCAGGCTGGGGGGGATGAACCAGATAGTTACATATCTACCTATCTGCGCACGCCCAGGATTGGGGCGTTCCGAGACCGAATAGAGTTGAAGATTGGATTCTCAGGGTTCACGCCGACATCGTGGCTTTTTTCCCCACGCCGAGCTTCGTGCGGGGGCGGGGCGGTTGATCTCGTGTCTTGACTCTTCTTGGTACACGAGCAGGAAGCATGTACTCGTCGATACATACATAATGATTTGCACTGAGACGTCCAACGTTTTCTGCTCCGGCCACCACCACCACCACCAACCACGCGCGTGAACTTCACGATCTGTTGCTGGACATGTTCTAACTTCTTGCCCGATTTCGATAGGACGCGAGCGTGACGTTAGCCAGCAAGCTGTGAACTCTTTTTTTCTTTTCCGGCCGCCGGTAACTGCCCTAGAGTAACTACTCTGCTATAGAGCACATTTGGAGTAGAGCTTCTCAGTGACGCGCTTACTTTCGTTCCATAAGGCCTGGTGGCACTGCTCGGAGCGGGAAAGCTGCCTTCCGTGGAAGCCCTAGTGGAGCTATCATAGTCTTGAGTTTGATGTGTGCTACCTAGAGTACTCGCGTGCCTGTCTTTGACCTGTTCGTGAGCGCGACTGGATAGCGTTACTCTAGTGACTCCGTACCCTACTTCTGTGTAGTAGTAGATAGTAGCAGTTATCGATATCTACCACCTCCGTGCGAACTCTTCAGCGGCAAGTATGTAATTCCAAATTCCGTTTTCATCCTAGGTACCTTCACATAGTAGGTACCGCGCATACCTCCTATTAGGCCTTTCGAGCCGGGTATATACGAGCATGAACACGAGCACGAGAAACAGAACAGAACGTTCCATGGACAGACATAGAGTACATAAATTCGACGTGTAGGACAACTCTGCACATAACTATGCGGCGGGATGGTGGATCATCTGCAATATCTATCCAAATCGACAGGGGAACCGGCGGTCGGTGGTCGGTGGATACGAGGTGAGATACATTGAGTGAGGCTGAGCGCGCATGGGATGGCCTGCGCTCGCCTGCACGTGCTTAACTATGGTTCGGATACTCAGAACGACTCGTTCGACAGCCAAGTGTCAAATCGGGACTTCACCTCGTGATCGATGGGGATGAGGCTCGCGGCGACGAGCGAACCCATCCATCATCATCCATCATCATCACCATCACCACCACTAAAGAGCCCGCAACTTGAAAATCGCAGATCCAGGATGAGGCTATTATCTATAGTTAAGGATCCACCTACTCTACGGTGCACCCGAAGGCTGAAGCGCGTAAAGCACCCCCCGCACATCCATCTCCACATTCACCAGTTCGAAAACCGCATTCGGATCGCATTCACCTCCTCCTCCATCAATGCCCCCTCCCCACACACGCACGCATGCTGATCAGGCCTTCCAGTCCACCAAAAACCTGGTCACCGCGGATGTCGAGTGATATCTTGTTAACCCATGAGCACGATTGCACTCGTGTGGGCCCCCAGCCTAGTTCTGGAAGCGCGGTCGAGAAGGAACGCTCCAAGGATGCGGTTGGCACTCGACGTGCTCGAGCTCGAGCTCGTTCCGTTGATATGGATCTATCCACACTGACATTGTCCCCGGCCCCGCAGCAACGAATGCACAAACATACCTACAGCGGTGTCCTGCCATTGGGGGGATTCGTACTCGTACTCGTACGTACATACAGAGGTTCGACAGTCGTGTGTTATCGAGAGAGAAGCGCCGAGCGGTCGATAAGTGTCGGTAGGTATGGTTCCTCTGGACTCTGCCCTCTGGAGGAGCCTCGGGAATCCAGACGGCAGCCAGCAGGAGCTCGAAGCCTGAAGGAAGCGTATGGTCACTATAATGGGCGCGGTGTGCGGGGTACAGGTAAGTATCCTGTTTCGGGGCCGGATCCGCACCTATGTAGTAGGATCGGCGGTGATATTCGGCGGTACCATTCGAATTTCGGCAACCACCACACACTGCACAGAGTATGCATCCCTACTGTGCATACCGTGCATACTGTGCATACATTTATCAGTGATCACCGTATCACTATTCATTTAGCCGTGCACCGCCTCAACTTTCAAGGCTCAGCGACCACAGCCCACAGCCCATTCCGGCACCGTCCGCCCGCCCGCGCATCGAGAGTTGAGAGTCGAGACTCGTGATGTGACATCCGGATACCTACATACATGTAACATACCTGATATAATACCTAGTACAGTGGTACATGCTAGATCTCGACGCGACCATCCGCCACCCACAGTTCCAACCAGTCCATGTCCTTATCCTCATCCCATCGCCATCAAATCCGCGAGACGAAGGAAAGTAAATCTCGGCGGGAGTCCGCGCGGTTTACTTTATTGTATGCATACCAGTACCTACACCGGGGCAATCTCTTGGAAGTTGAAGGATCAACGGTGGAGGATCAACGGTGAAGGATTAACGGTAGGGATGGAAATTGGAATGGAAGGGATGAAACGGAAAGGATGAAACGGGAAGGGAGTACGTACCTCGTACATACATCATATATGACACACATCACATGAATGCAGAAGTAAGTACGGATGGAGGCCAGACGACGACTGACGACGGACGAGCCGTGATGGACGACGGAGTGCTGGAACTTGGAAGTAACAAGTTGCGGTGGGCCGTGAAATATTGCCGCCGTGAAACACCTGGCTGAGGGGCATGTCCATACCTAGTAGACTGTGGAGTACCTACATGCATATCGGAATAGTCGAGTTTATGTAGATATTGTTTCCGAAATCATTGCTTTCCCGTATGTACGTAGGGGCGGTCCAAATTAACACGCCGCGCGCATACGCACATAATATCACTCCCCCCCCTTCTCCCCGCATTGTACTTCCGTGCCATCTCCATCGCCAGTGCAGTGTACACCTCTATACGAGCGATATCCAGCCGGACTCGATCGTGTTCGGAGTCCCATCCCGAGCAAAGCAAAGTAAAGCAAGACCTCTGTCGAATCTGCCAAATCATGATAAGTCACTCGAGGACGCTGGGCCCGAAGGCTGACAGGCAGATGTCAGATGATGACGGGTGATCGACGGCCTGCTGCGTTCTACTTAGTGACATATGGACTATATACGCGTACCGCGCTGTGATGACTGAATATTTCGAGGGAAACTCCGTTGTCCGGTGGAGTTGATGGCTTCGTGGTGGAGTAGAAGATGGGCAGTGGGGACGATGGAGGGACTCTAGTATGTAGCATCAAGGTCCTCCGGTAAAGATGCTTGGCAGTAGCCGTGTGATTAACGTCATGCTAAAGTATACGCTATATGTAGCCAGTGCTATGTGCGTGCAAGAAATCACTCGTTCGGGAGAGGTATGGTCGGACCCGGTGTTCTGCGGCGGAGCCACCAACGGATCACTTGAGCGTTGCAGACATATGGACAGAAGCGATAGAGGACGGAGACATTCATTTATTGTAGAAAACACATCAGAAAAAAACAGAAGCAAATCACGACTAGTAGTTTAAGTTATAGAGTAAGAAAAAAAAGACAAGACAGAAAAAGCCTAGCCCGCCTCCTTCCCTTCACCCATTTCCTCCACAGAGGTACCTGAACGACATCTAGTAACGCGAGTTCCTCACCTGGGCGGGGATCTCGACGGGACCACCACCGAAGACGCTGCGGCCCGAAGTGCGGTGCTTGCCGTTACCGTAATCCTTCACGCACTCGTTCGACGCGGCGACCGAAAGGCCAGTGATGAGTTCACATCTGGGTGCAAGCTGATGTTAGTGTGTGTGCGAAAAGAGGAAGGAATGATACAAAACAACTCCAACTTACCCGAGTGAAAATTTATATGGTTTACCACAGAACTCGATCTTCGCGCCCATAAAAGTGGTAATCAGGTTGCAGTCGTTGAGGGGATGCATTTTACAGATGCCGCCCTTCTTGCCGGCAAGAAGAGCCGTGTAAATCATGATCCAGATTTCGGGGCTCTCGTTGGTGGTGTCGCAAGCGATACGGTTGTCGGCGGCGGAGGCGACGGGACGGTTAATGACTTTGTCCTCGGAGGACAGGAAGTGGATCTCGAGCTCGGTTCCAATGACTGCCTCGTGGAGAGCTGCCTTGATGACCGAAGGCTCGGAGTGTTCGAGGTGAGCGAGCTGGTTTCCCAGAGCCTTAAGGTCCATGTTCTCGAGACGGGTGAGAGCATTGAAGTTGACCACCTTGGCGGCGGTGGAGCTTATTCCCGCGAGAAAGGCCAGGGAGGCAATAAGGAACTTGAACTGCATCGTGGATGAGATGATCGGGTTCTGAGTATTTGAATAAGTGGTTGAAGTATTCGAAGAAGAAGAGGTGGAAGGATAAAAGTATCCGAAGAGGTGGAGGATGGATGGAGGGAGGTACGGAGGGATGTGTGATCGAAATGTGAAGTCAGCGGCGAGTGTAAAGAAGAAGAAGAAGAAGAAGTAGCGGGGGAGGAATAAGAGGGTTTTATAAGAGGTTTTCAGCCAAATGTTTGCCCTAGGCAAGGCACCTCGCTGAATCCAGTTTTCAAGGACAGCAAGATTTTGGCCGACGGAAACTGCAGTCGTGACTATAAACAGCACTGTGATGCGGCCAAGGCATAAACAATCACCGATGAAGGTGGACACGAGCTACCGGTCCCTCCTATCACAACAGGGACCTGTGTTGTGAGCCGCAGATGCCTTCATTGTTTGATCTGGAGCCTGGGCTCGCATCGGCGCAGCTGCCGCCATCGACTCGCACAAACTGGTTTTAACGTCAGCCTGTCCTAGCAGACCTACAAAGAGCCAAAGCTGAGAGGATGCACGCCGAGCCTGTACAGTACACAATCGAGTGCATCAAGGATTACCTCGAGTTCTGGTCTCTGGTCTGGGCTCGCATCGGTGAAGCTGCCGCTACTATATCGACCCGCACGATCCACACGAACCAGTTTCCACATGTGTCTGTATTGTACTGGCTGAGCTATGAAGGAGAAAAGCCGAGAGGATAAACACAGAGACTTTACGGTACATTATAGAACACATCCGAGTGCTTCATGAATCAAGAATTATCACTCTACTGTATCTCCATCGTGGCACGTGACCGTGATGTAGCAATGCCTTGGTAGTCCCTGGGACCTGTTCACTGCTTTGTTATGATGTCAACACACCACGCCCTCGTGGAGCGAGGTTCACGGCGGTGCAGAGCAACGGCAACAGCACTACAATGTCGAAGTCACAGAGAATCACGAGCGTCACATCGAGCCCATGTGGGTGGGACCGTTGGAACGAAGCATCACTGGCAGTCTACACTCGCCAGCCTGGGCTGACTCGCAACGCATGGCTGGCCTTGACGATCGGGGCCGTACTGGCCGGAGCGATATGTACAGAGTAGGTGCATCATAGAATGGTCAGCTAGCAAGCAGTGAGCACCGAGGCACAGGTGAGGTCGAAGGGTGGTCTACGTACCGGGGGGAGAGGGGGAGGATGATCAACAGAGGAAGACTGGACGGGGTGAGTGAACGCAGGTAGCAACGTGGGAACGACGATCGAAGGACGGAGCTCTGCTGTCGGATCGAGCAAGGACACGAGCAAGTGACGGATGGGACCCAGCATCCAGGCTGGCTTTTGATCTGTAGCCACACTCGAGGAGCGGCAGAAGAAGCACTCCGATGCCTGGAAGATGTGTGGCACCCTGGAAATCGTGCTTCACTACAAGCTGCACGGAACAAACACAGTGGAGCACCTCAAGGTGAACATGCGGTAGCCCTTCACCGGACGTTCCAAGAGGTACATATGGCATTCCCGACGACGACGACGTAGCGAGTTGCGCAGATCGCGCATTGAGCGTGACCCGGGGATGGTGAGATGGACTGCTCATGTCACATATTCGCCGATCCTACACTGCGGCTTCCAGAAGGTGGCCTCCCCGCACGCACACCAGCCATCCAGACTCTATGCATGTACAGATGCTCTCGCCCAAGGGCCATGGGGAAGAACGATCCTCGCAGTGTAGAATCCCCTTCCCCCCTCGGCGCGCGGAGGGGAGGCAGCTGCAGATCCCCCAGATCAGGAGCTCGCAGTTCGGATCGTTCCTGCTGCTGCTTTACCAGTGGGAGTGGGCAGGCCTGACGGCGTCTTTTTGTTTTGTTTAATCGTTAATTGCATACGTCCTATCTACGGTAGATCATGGCGATGTCCGCCCATATGTACACACACCGGTTCCAAGCCACTGTCCAACCCGACCCGACTTTCGTTGAGCGGCCTGATGTGTCTTCTCCTGTCCTCCGCCCTGGCCTGTCCCAGTGATATGTAGAAGTATGTAGAGCGCATCAAAGAAATAAAGCTAGGAAAGAAAAGCCCCAGTCTTCACTCCGCCTCATCCCCAGTCTCCTCGTTAGGAGAAGCGGTGTGGGGAGGAACAGCGGGAGTGACCCCGGCTCCTCAACCTCAGCACCCTCCTCCTCCTCTCGCCTCAAATCCGCCACCCTCTCTTCCCGCTCGTTGAGCTCCCACTCGACCAGTGGAGGAGAGGAAGTCTAGGATAGCTTGGCTGCAACGCTCGTCTGCGAAGAGGTCTCGGATCTTGAAACGATCCCCCCCTCCCCGTCTCCTTCCGGACCCGTGCTCACGGTATCTTCTGCTAGCTCTTCCATCTGGGGCAGCATTTGGAGAGGTGCTCCCGGGTCCTAGTCTGGGTCTTGTAGTGAGCGGCACCATCCGCAGCGGGCGTCTGGGCGGCTCTTCGTCCGCTGGAGGTATGTACTAGCCAGTGAGACAGTGTCCATCTTCAGCTGGTAGAATCTCGAGGCTATGGCCGGCATCCGGCCGGGTTTCAGCCACGGTTTTTGGCTACATATACCGGTATTCTTGTTGGTGACTTTTGCATCAGGCCTGGCGGCGTTGAAGTGTTGAGGATTTGTGCACGCGAGATCGGTGAGTGAGTGAGACGCAGCGACCCCTACGGGATGGAAATAGTTAGCTGACTTACTTCGAATGCCATGTATTGGATCATGGTGGGATGGGGTGGGGTGTGGTCGCCCAAGAAACCGCCGTTGTGCACTCGTCGCCGTGATCAGCGGGGTTCGTTGCGCAGGCGAGAGCGCCCTGAGGATCCTACCGGGATCTATAGTAGGGACCTCATACCCATGCTGATTATTGCGGTTGGGTTCGTCTACGATGTACTAGGAGCTGCCGATAAGTGGTGCCTCACCACCATCACGAATTATAAGCGCAAATAAGCACTAGTCTATATTAGGAGAGCACTGAGCCAGATACAATCAAATGAGTGAGTGGTCGTGACTAAGTTGTATGGGGGAAAAACTGGTGAGGCAGCACTTACCCTTACACCCGAGTACATACTCTGGATCAACTCGCTTGCTCCAGACATCATTTGACAGGCAGGGTGCCCTGACTTTGCGCACCGGAAATCATGTGTTGTGGCGGGCAGGAACTGTGAGCGAAATAGATCGCATAGACGTTGAGATGGCGGAGAGATATGTAGAGATGAGGCATTTGAGCTGGATGGAGGAAAAAGGGCCGGGTGGGTGCGCTTGCTCTGCTTCTTCTTTTTCGGAGCTACAGAAAATCCGCCGAGGGATTGATATCGGAGCAGCGGGAGCAGGGACTGAGTGCTGGGTTAGGGCTGGTTCGTCCCGACGTCACTATTGGCGTTGTTGAGACTCAACAGAATCCGCGGTGCCGGTTACTTTCACTTTGCGATCGATTCCGTGAACTTTCATCGAAATCAACCGTTGAGGGGATGCTCGAGAGGGACTCGGACAGGTGAAGTCTCGACGAGGAGGAGGAGCTTTGGACAGAGGTGCTCCGCGAAGTGTGGACTTGCTCTTGCTGGTCGCACTTCCAAGCCGAATCGAGCCGGAAGAGAGAGCACGGTACTCTACCTATTCTCCGAGGGCAGGTGCATGCTTCTTTGGACGAGAGTAGTTGTTTGCTTTCTGTGCCGCGATCTGTGAGCTGGAACAGCTACCTTGGACATCGTCGTGGTAGGTATCGAGACGAATGGGATTCTGTCGTTGTGGCGGGGTTGGCGACTCAACTCAACCTAACAGTCCCCTGTCGTTGAGCCCCAAACGAATTCCCAACGTCGTTCCTCAAAAATTCTTTCCCGCGTCCGTGACCCACCGCAACCACCACCAAGACTCGCTCTCGCTATTCATCCACCACTCAACCGTCTCCGTGCACGCCCCCATCGTGGTGGACTCCTGTCAATGCCTTCGATGTCTCTCCTCGCGGGCTCTGTGAACATCAATTGCAATTTCGATCGAGAGGAATTGAGCTTTCTGAGCAGCAAGAAAGGTTCCGATGGATGAAAGCTGGCTATAGCTCGTTGGTCTGTGCCCGTTCGCTCTGTTTGCCCAGGTCGTTCTCTGTAGCTTGCTCTCGTCCAAGTGTGCTGGCTGCTCTTAAACTCTGGCTGCTCTTAAACTCGGCGGCGTTGCAGGGTTCATTGCTCCCCCCACTATTAGTAGTACAGGGAACGACCCTTCCCCGCCAACCCACCGAATCTATCTCAACCACCATTCAGCACTCCGCTCTTGTCATCCTTTCCCACCTCCACCACGACTACACCACGACGACCCCCGTCTGGTATACCCACCCGAACACCTTCTTCATCACCCCTCCGGACCCCATCTCCTCCCAATCTCCTCGATCGTTCATCCATCTCCATTCTTCCACCTATTAGTATCTTTGCTGTGCATCAACCACGTCCTCCCCTCTGTGGCCTCCGTTTTCCCGTCTGCTTCCTCGCCTCCACGCTTCCTGTGTCAATCTTCGCCCGCGTTGTGTGCCATTGCAGCTTGTATCCACCTCTAATTCTTCATCATCACCTCAACTCCCTGGCCGTAGCAGCTTCCATCACTTCAACCCCGCAGCAGCGCCAGAGCCGTCCACCCCAGCAGACATGGCGGAAGCATCGACTCCATCTCCGCCGCCGCAGAGTGCAGACTCCCTCGGACGAACCAATTCATACTCGTCCAAATTCACCCTTCCGGACCACTACTACGGTGGAAACAGATTAGATACTGCACCCCCTAGCAAAGTTAAGGACTTCGTGGCAGCAAACGATGGACATACCGTGATCACAAAGGTATGTGTATCCCGTTCTGATTCGTCCTCCTGCCCTCTCCCTCCCCGGAGCTGTAAAATCTCTGTCTCCGGGATCCAAATTCATCACCGGATAGCGATTGGGCCGTGGCGGAGTTCGATGCAGTAGGCTAACCGATTGGTGTCACGACGGCAGGTTCTCATTGCCAACAACGGAATTGCCGCCGTCAAGGAGATCCGAAGTGTACGAAAATGGGCGTACGAGTCGTTCGGAGATGAAAAGGCGATACAATTTACCGTCATGGCGACGCCGGAGGATCTCCAGGCCAATGCCGATTACATTAGAATGGCGGATCAATATGTGGAGGTATGAAACCTGGTTGATTACATTGAGGAAATCATGGCAGGGCCCACGGTTGGATCGGTGCTGACATCTCAACTCACAGGTTCCCGGGGGCACTAATAATAATAACTACGCCAATGTGGAGTTAATAGTAGACGTTGCGGAGCGAATGGGGGTACATGCTGTGTGGGCAGGATGGTGAGAAATCCCCACGGATTGGCGGCGAATTGCGGGGCATCCTTACTGACGGTGATTCTCTCATCCACCAGGGGCCATGCCAGTGAGAACCCTCTACTACCCGAGTCCCTCGCCAAATCGAAGATTGTGTTCATTGGACCTCCCGGGGCGGCAATGCGGTCGCTCGGTGACAAGATTTCGTCCACGATCGTCGCTCAGCACGCCAAAGTCCCTTGTATCCCCTGGAGCGGAACAGGTGTGGACCAGGTGGATGTTGGAGAGGATGGACTCGTCACTGTTTCCGCCGAAGTCTACGCTAAAGGATGCACTCACAATGCGGAGGAGGCGTTGGCAAAAGCGAAGGAGATCGGGTTTCCCGTCATGATTAAGGCATCTGAGGGAGGAGGAGGAAAGGGTATCAGAAAGGTTGACAGCGAGGAGGGATTTGCGGCCCTGTACAGCCAAGTCGCCGGCGAAGTGCCGGGATCCCCCATTTTCATCATGAAGCTGGCGGGTAGCGCTCGTCATCTCGAGGTACAGCTTCTTGCCGACCAGTACGGAAACAACATCTCGCTCTCCGGCCGTGATTGTTCCGTGCAGCGACGACACCAGAAAATCATCGAGGAGGCACCGGTCACTGTTGCCAAGCCCGAAACCTTCCAGGCGATGGAGCGTGCAGCCGTACGACTGGGAAAGCTTGTCGGATACGTGTCTGCCGGTACCGTTGAATACCTCTACTCGCACGTCGATGACAAGTTCTACTTCCTGGAATTGAATCCCCGTCTCCAGGTCGAGCACCCGACGACCGAGATGGTCACCGGAGTCAACCTTCCGGCCGCTCAGCTCCAGATCGCCATGGGTATCCCCCTTCACAGAGTCCGTGACATTCGGTTGTTGTACGGAGTCGACCCCAACACAACGAGCGAGATCGACTTTGATTTCTCCAAGGAAGGTTCCGAGACCACCCAGCGACGACCTTCGGCCAAGGGTCACTGCACTGCGTGCCGTATCACTTCCGAGGATCCCGGCGAGGGTTTCAAGCCTTCGAGTGGAATGATGCACGAGCTCAACTTCCGATCATCCTCGAACGTCTGGGGTTACTTCTCTGTCGGTACCGCTGGTGGTATCCACTCTTTCTCCGATTCGCAGTTCGGTCACATCTTCGCATACGGCGAGAACCGTAGTGCTTCCCGAAAGCACATGGTTGTTGCGCTGAAGGAACTGAGCATCCGTGGTGACTTCAGAACCACCGTCGAGTACCTCATCAAGCTCCTGGAGACCCCGGCTTTCGAGGCCAACACCATCACCACCGGCTGGCTCGATGAGTTGATCTCCAAGAAGCTTACATCCGAGCGGCCAGATCCCATCCTTGCCGTGGTCTGCGGTGCAGTTGCGAAGGCCCATGTCGCCAGCGAGGCTTGCATCACCGAGTACAGGGCATCGCTCGAGAAAGGACAGGTTCCGGCGAAGGATATTCTCAAGAATGTTTTCCCCGTTGATTTCATCTACGATGGTTTGAGGTACAAGTTCACCGCTACGAGGTCCAGCAGCGAATCCTACAACCTGTTTGTCAACGGCTCCAAGTGCACTGTTGGTGTCCGTGCGTTGACCGACGGCGGTCTTCTGGTCCTCTTGGACGGCAAGAGTCACAACGTGTACTGGAAAGAGGAGGTCGGAGCGACCCGGTTGAGCGTGGACAGCAAGACGTGCTTGCTTGAGCAGGAGAACGACCCGACTCAGCTCAGAACTCCTTCTCCGGGAAAGCTCGTCAAGTTCCTCGTGGAGAGCGGCGATCACGTCAAGAAAGGACAGGCGTTTGCGGAGGTGGAAGTCATGAAGATGTACATGCCTCTGGTTACCCAAGAAGACGGTATCGTGCAGTTCATCAAGCAGCCCGGTGCCACCCTGGAGGCCGGAGATATCATTGGTATCCTCGCACTCGACGATCCTAGCCGCGTCAAGCACGCATCGCCGTTCAGTGGCCAGCTCCCCGTTTTCGGACCTCCCCGCGTCGTCGGAAACAAACTGCCTCAGCGATTCGCCCTTCTTGCAGGTGTTCTCGGCAACATCCTCGATGGTTACGATAATCAGTTTGTCATGGGCTCTACCCTCAAGGAGCTGATCGAAGTGCTGCGCGACCCCGAGCTTCCTTACGGCGAGTTCGCTTCGCAATACTCTGCCTTGCACTCCCGTATGCCTCAGAAGCTTGAGCAGACTCTGTCTCAAATTGTCGAACGTTCCAAGGGCAGAAAGAGTGAATTCCCTGCCAAGCAACTCCGGAAAGCTTTGGACAAGTTCTTGGAAGAGCACGTTGTGGCCGGTGATGTGGAGATGATCCGACAGTCGCTCGCACCGCTCACTGTGATCATGGACCAGTACATGGATGGCTTGAAGTCGCACGAGTTCCACATCTTCCTTGGATTCTTGGAGCGATACTGGAGCGTTGAGAAGCTATTCTCCGGCCACAACAAACGCGAGGAGGACGTTATCCTGAAGCTTCGTGATGAGAACAAGGATGATGTTGGAAAGGCTGTCACTGTCGTGCTCTCGCACAGCAGGGTTGGGGCCAAGAACAACTTGATTCTTGCGATCCTCGACGAATACCGTCCCAACAAGCCCAACAACTCCCAGGTCGCAAAGTTCTTCCGTCCGATGCTCAAGAAGCTCACCGAGCTGGAGGCCCGTGCCACTGCCAAGGTTGCGCTGAAGGCCCGTGAGGTTCTCATCCAATGCGCACTGCCTTCGTTGGAGGAGAGAGCCAGTCAGATGGAGCACATCCTTCGGTCGTCTGTTGTGGAGTCTCGATATGGCGAGACTGGTTGGGAGCACAGAACCCCCTCCCTCGATGTCATCCGCGAGGTCATCGACTCCAAGTACACTGTGTTTGATGTCCTGCCAACCTTCTTCGCGCATGCCGATCCCTGGGTTTCTTTGGCTGCTCTGGAAGTGTACATCCGCCGTGCCTACAGGGCCTACCAAATCCACGACATCCAGTACCACGGTACCGATGCCGAACCTCCGTACGTTCTCACATGGGACTTCCAGATGAGGAAGGTTGGTGTTGCCGAGTACGGGGCCGCTCAGCCTTCTACTCCGGCTACGCCCACGTCGGAGCACGGCAATCCTTTCTCGAAGAGAGTCGGATCTATCAGCGACCTTTCTTTCCTGGTTGCCAAGTCCGGCGAGGAGCCTATCCGCAAGGGTGTGATTGTCCCCGTGCTCTTCTTGGATGAGGTCGAGGACTTCTTGACAAAGGCGATCGAGCAGATCCCTCCTCGCATCAAGAGGAGCCGATCTCCCCAGGCTGGGCTTATGGCCAACCTTGAAGGTCGGAGACGGCCACAGCCGTTGCTGACCGGTGCTACCAATGACGACGACGAGACGCTGTCGGCGGTGTGCAACGTCGCCATCCGGGATGTTGAGTCCAAGGATGACAAGGAGGTACTGGACAGAATCCAACCGTTGGTCAACGATGTGAAGGAAGACCTTATTTCCCGCGGTATCCGAAGGATCACTTTCGTCTGCGGTCACAAGGATGGATCGTACCCTGCGTACTTCACTTTCAGGTGGCCCGAATATAAGGAGGAGGAGAGCATTCGTCACATCGAACCGGCGTTGGCTTTCCAGCTCGAGCTGGGCAGACTCCGTAACTTCAACATTAAGCCTGTCTTCACGGAGAATAGAAATATCCATGTCTACGAGGCGATTGGAAAGGAGTCACCCGGCGATAAGCGTTACTTCACCAGGGCAGTTGTTCGTCCTGGCAGATTGCGCGATGAGATCCCAACCGCGGATTACCTCATTTCGGAAACCGACAGATTGGTTAACGATATCCTGGATGCCATGGAGATCATTGGCAACAACAACTCCGATCTCAACCACATCTTCATCAACTTCTCTCCTGTCTTCCCCTTGAGCCCTGAGGAGATCGAGCCCGCCCTTGGTGGTTTCATTGAGCGCTTCGGAAGGCGTCTCTGGAGACTCCGTGTTACCGGTGCTGAGATCCGTATCGTCTGCACTGACCCGGAGAGCGGCCAGTCCTTCCCCATCCGTATGTTGATTCAGAATGTCTCTGGATATGTCATCCAAGTTGAGATGTACGCCGAGCGAAAGGCCGAGAAGGGTCAATGGGTGTTCCACAGCATCGGTTCCAAGCATGGCTCCATGCATCTCCGCTCAACGACCACTCCTTACGCCGCGAAGGAATGGCTGCAGCCCAAGAGGTACAAGGCCCATCTCATGGGAACCCAGTATGTCTACGACTTCCCCGAGTTGTTCAGACAGGCTGTTTTCCAGTCCTGGGGCAAACTTGTACAGAAGTTGCCAAACCTCAAGGAAAAGGTTCCGGATATCTCCGACTGCCTGGACTACAACGAACTCATCATCGACGAGAATGGTGAGCTGGCTGAGGTCAAGCGTGAGCCCGGTACCAACACCCACGGTATGGTTGGATGGATCGTGACGGCAAAGACTCCCGAGTACACTCGTGGAAGGAGGTTCGTCATCATTGCCAACGACATCACCTTCAAGATCGGATCTTTCGGACCTCAGGAGGATAGCTTCTTCAACAAGTGTACCGAATACGCTCGCAAGCTCGGTATTCCTCGGATTTACCTTTCCGCAAACTCCGGTGCGAGGATCGGAATGGCCGAGGAGTTGATTCCCCACTTCTCTGTTGCTTGGAATGATGTAGAGAAGCCCGAGACTGGATTCAAATACCTCTACCTCACCCCCGAGGCCTACCGCCGATTCTGTGACAGGAAGAAGAAGGATGTGATCTGCGAGCGCATCGTTGAGGACGGAGAGGAGCGGTACAAGATTACGACCGTTATCGGTGCTGAGGATGGTTTGGGTGTTGAGTGTTTGAGAGGCTCCGGATTGATTGCCGGTGCTACCAGTCGCGCATACGAGGATATTTTCACCATCACTCTCGTCACCTGTCGATCCGTCGGTATCGGTGCTTACCTGGTGCGCCTGGGACAACGTGCAATCCAGATCGAGGGCCAGCCTATCGTGAGTATTCCAAGCCTTGCATTCCGTGAAACATTCTAACTTACTTGCAGATTCTTACCGGCGCTCCCGCCATCAACAAGCTCTTGGGACGTGAGGTCTACACTTCGAACCTCCAGCTTGGAGGCACGCAGATCATGTACAAGAACGGTGTCTCGCATCTGACCGCTACCGATGATTACGAGGGAGTGCAGAAGATTATCGAGTGGATGTCGTACGTGCCAGAGCGCAAGGGTGCTCCGATCCCCGTTTCGCCATCTGTTGATACTTGGGACCGGGACATCACTTTCGTGCCACCCGGCAAGAACCCATACGACGTTAGATGGCTCATTGCCGGTAAGGAGGATGAGGACGGCTTCCAGTCTGGATTCTTCGATCGAGATTCCTTCCAGGAGACTCTTAGCGGATGGGCAAAGACTGTTGTTGTCGGTCGTGCTCGTCTGCACGGTATCCCCGTCGGTGTCATCGCCGTCGAGACCCGGTCGGTGGAGAACGTCACGCCTGCGGATCCTGCCAACCCTGACTCCACTGAGATGGTTACCCAGGAAGCCGGTCAGGTTTGGTACCCCAACTCGGCCTTCAAGACTGCTCAGGCCATCAACGACTTCAACCACGGTGAACAGCTTCCGTTGTTCATCTTCGCCAACTGGCGTGGATTCTCCGGTGGCCAGCGCGACATGTACAACGAGGTCCTCAAGTACGGTTCTTACATCGTCGATGCCCTGGTCAAGTACGAGCAGCCCATCTTCGTTTACATCCCGCCTTTCGGAGAGCTCCGTGGAGGATCCTGGGTTGTGGTCGACCCCACCATCAACGAGAACATGATGGAGATGTACGCGGACGAGGAGTCCCGTGCCGGTGTTCTGGAGCCCGAGGGTATCGTGGGTATCAAGTTCCGTCGCGAGAAACAGCTGGATACGATGGCACGTCTTGACGCCACCTACGGCGAACTTCGCCGCCGCGCCGCCAGCAAGGACTTGTCTCCTGAGGAACAGGCTGAGATCAAGACCAAAATGACCGACCGCGAGAACCTTCTCCTGCCTGTCTACAGCCAGGTGTCGCTTCAATTCGCTGACCTCCACGACCGTGCTGGCCGCATGCAAGCCAAGGGCGCCATCCGCATGCCTCTGCAATGGCAGCAGGCCCGTCGCTTCTTCTACTGGCGTCTCCGCCGTCGTCTCAACGAGGAGCTCTTCCTCCGCAAGATGGCCGCTGCAGACAAGGTCTCGGTCCGCGCCGAGAACCTCGCACGCCTCAGGAGCCTTGTTGTGTCGGACGAGAACTCGACCATCTTCGATGAGGACGACCGTCTCGTTGCCATGTGGTACGAGGACAACATGAAGGACGTCCTGATCAAGATTGAGGGTCTCAAGCAGGATGGAATTGCTGCGCAGGTGGCCGCGCTCATCTCGGACCATGGAAAGTCTGCGCTCAAGGGTGTGGCTATGGCTTTGGCCGGTATGAGCCCTGAGATCAAGGCTATGGCGCTTAAGGCTCTTGGTGGTGCGTCGGGGGAGAAGGATGCGTAGACGTTTTCTGTGGGGACTTGTAGTTTGAGGGGGAGGGGGTCAAATGGAAATGGATATGGAAAAGGGGAGGGGGGCGTTTTGTTTTGCGTGGATTTTTTCTTCTTATTTTCCTTGCTGTTTGTTCATTTCATTTTCATTTCGAGTTTCATGTGTCATGTGTGGTGGTTGGCTACTTGCTTTCGTTTCGTTTTTTGCTTACCGTATTTACTCTACTCTATTGGTGGGTGCTGAATAAATTCTCATGGTTGGTTTGCGTATAATTGCAGCTTGTGACTGTGTGGTCCATCTGTGTGGCATAGCTCCCCGGGTGGCCAGCCAATTCAGCAAATTCAGCCGGTGGGTTGCGCAAGAGTGACAGTCCATGTCAAATTCATTACTCCTCTCCTCTCTCTCCTCTCTCCAAGGACCCCGTATCCAGAATGAAAGAAAGAGCCCGAAACGAAACAGTGTACATCAAGAATCAAGAGTCAAGAAATCAAGAAACCAAAAGAAAATGAGACGCGCAAGAAAAAATCCATCCAACCATCGATCATAAACCTCCCCCGCCCCCCCCCCCCCCCCCCCCCCCCCCCCCACTCCCCCCCCCGGAAGTACTACCACAACCCCCACCACCAATAGTATCTACCTGTTACCTACCTGCTACACCTTCTGCCCCTCAATAAACTCCAGCGCCTCCTCCTTCGTGACGGCGTCGACCGAGGACTGCTTATTCTTGTGCAGGACTCCGTAGTGCTTATCGGCGATCTGCACCAGCTCTGGCCGGAACGTGGTGCATATGAACTGCCCGTTGTCGCGGCTGCTCAGGTGTTTTACCATCTGCGCTACTGCTGTGCGGTATTGTGCTAGGGGGGGGGGGGTGTTAGTAGGGGGGGTGGGGAGGGGAGGAGGGGGAGGGATAATGGGGGGAGGAGGGAGGGACGTACCGTCGAGGTTGGCGTCGACTTCGTCGAACAGGTAGAATGGCGCGGGGTCGCATTGTTGGATCGCGAAGATGAGGGCGAGGGCACCTTTGTTATCCCGTTAGTTTTGTGATAAAGTATGGTGGATGGAGAAGGAGTGGGGACATACAGAGCGACTTCTGACCACCACTGAGCTGCTGGATTCTCTGCTGCTCGTCGTCCGACGAGTTGAAGCTGACGGAGATTCCAACTCCCGTGTAGTTCTCGACGTTTCCCTTGGGCCTATCGTCGCCGTCGCTGTCCTCGTCGTCGTCCAGTGTCTGGCCCTTATCCGCCTTGCGCTGGATGATGAGGCGGCCGCGGCCCGCGGGAACGAGCTTCTCAAAAATCTCTGCGAAGTCCTTTGATACCTGGCGGAAGGTGCGTTCGATCGCCTCGTCTTTCCGCTGGTCCAAAACCTGGATGAGTTCCTCGATGGAAGCCTGGGATTTGTCGAGCTCCTCGCGGCGCTTCTGGAGGGTGTCGCGCTGCTTGGTGAAGTTGTTGTACTGCTCGAAGGCCTTCTTGTTGACGTGGCTGAACTTTTTGAGTGCATCGTTAACCTTGTGGAGGTGCTTGACAACTCTGTTTGATTCTACGCGCTCGTATTTTTCGAAGGCTTCTTCGGGGAGAACACCAAGGTCGCGGATGTTGCGTGAGCATTCGGCGGCTTTCTCCTGGAGGAGGGCGCGCTTGGCCATGGACTTTTCAATGCGCTTCTTCTGGCGCTCGATGTTGCGCGCTTCGTCTTGCTGCTCGGCCTGTAGCTCCGCCTTCTCCTTCTCCAGGGCGTCGAGTTGTTTCGTAGCCGTGCTGATGTTTTCTTCGGCAGTCCTGAGCTGTTCCTTAATCTTGATCAGCTTAGCCTTAGCCTCCTTCAGCTCGCGTTCAGCAGCCTTGAGATCTCCGCGACGGCGTCCACCATGTCCGGTATCGGTGGCCTCGAGGTTATCCATGCTCTGACCCTTGAGCTGGTCCAGTCTCATCCTCAGATTCTCGCGCAGCTCGACCTCGAGAATCGACTTCCGCGATTCCTTCTCTGCGCGCTCAGCACTGACGACTCCGACTTCCTTTCTGAGTTCCTGGCATCTTTGCGCGAGCTCCTCAAGCTTGGCCTCTTCCTCTGGAGTAAGCGATTTCTTAAACCCGCTACTGATCTCGGCTTGATAGGCCTCCAGCTGCTCGTTCATACTCTTGAGCGACGCCTCGACGTTTTCCCTGCTCTTGATCTTCCGCTCGAGATTATCCTGGAGCTGACCCAGCGACGCAACCATGCCCTGCAGCTTTGAGCGCAACGGCGCGAACGAGTTCTCGACCTGCGCCTGTCGTGCCGTGGCTTTCTGCAGCTCTCCAACCGCATGCGTGATCTCCTGATCTATCCTCTCGATCTCCGCCTTCTTCCCCGCCGCCTTGGCAGACTCGTCGTCGTACAGCCTCTGCCAATGCTTGACCGACTTTACGGCCTCAAGACGGCTCCGCCGGGGATCGTGAAACCCTCCAGTGAGCGCTCCCTTCTTGTCGGCGCGATCACCGGGAAGGGTGATGGCGCTTACTCCGTGGGAACGAGCATACTGCGACGCCACATTGAGGTCGGGACAGATGATGGTCTTGCCGAAAACCTGCTCGAACGCCTTGCTGTACTTGGGGTCGAACTGGAGCTTGGACATCATAGGGATGGCGTCGTTTGCGTTCGGCAGCTTCCCCGCCCGTGGCTTGAGCCGGTTCAGGGGCATGAACGTCAGTCGTCCGGATTTGTCTTTGTTGAGTTGTTCGAGGACCCGCGTCGCGGTCTCGTCGTTGTCGACTACATAGTGGAACAGACTCTGGCCTGCTGTGACCTCGACTGCGGTGTGGTAGCGCTCTTCGATCTTGAGGATGAGCTCGGCGAGGGTTCCGTAGCAGCCGCGGTTGCCGGATCGCGCCAGCTCGTCCTTGATCTTGCGGACGGCCTTGAGCCCGCGAGATGTATTGTTGTCCATCACTGAGGAGAGTGTCCGTTCTGCTCGGTCGAGTTCCGCCTTGTATGTTTTGAGGGTACTATCCAGCTGGGTATCTTCACGCCAGAGACGCTTGCGTGTGTCCATCAGCTCGTCTCGTACGTTCTTTTTCGCAGCGACATCTTCCAGGATCTTGTTGATCTCCTCGTCTCGGCCATCGAGTCTGTGACGAGCATCCTCAATCTCCTCTTCTAAAGAGCTAACGGCTTTCTTCGACTCGGCGATCTCCTTATCCAGGTTCTTGGCGATGACTTTGCTCTTTGAAAGCGCGTTCTGATACTCCTTGATCTCGTCTTTCAACCAATCATCCCGCTCCTTCTTGCTGCGGAAGCGATTATTCCGTCCCTGTTTCGCGTACAGCCGCTGACGAGCCGCATCCGCCTCCGCGAGTTCCTGCTTCAGCTTGCTCTCCTGTTCCTTCTTCTCGTTGTATCCCGGGAGCAGATCCTGCAATTCCGCTTCTCGCTCCGCAATGGCCGCTGTGATCTCCTCGAGCTCCTCCTCGTACCGCTGTCTAGCCTCCTGCAGATGTTCCTGGTCCTCGGAGAGCGCCTTGACATCCAGCTCGATCTGCGCCTGCCGTCGCACATGCTCGCGGCGCTCCTCCTCGTGCTGCGTCTTATCCATCCGGTGCAGCTCCACCTCCTGCTTGATATTATTGATCTGGCCGTCGAGCTCGCGGATCGCCTTCTCGCGCTCCACAAACGCCTCCCTGGAGTCCTCATTGCTCTCCAGCCCCCGGATCTTCCCCTCCTCGATCTGGTCCAGGGCATTCCCGATCTCGACCTGCTCGCGGTGGTAGATGGTGTACTCCAAGCACCGGCGCTCACGATCCTTCTCCTGGTAGCCCCGGAGCTCCTCCTTCTCCTCCTCCAGCTCCCCCAGCCGCTCCTCAATGTACTTCAGCAGCTCGTCGATCTTCGCCCGCTTATTATCCGTATCGTCCATGATCTTGAGACTCTCCGTCCGCCGCTGCTCATAGACCTGCGTCCCCGCGACCTCCTTCAGCAGCAGCAGCCTCTCGGCATCCTTCATATTCGTAAGGGTAGTGACCCTTCCCTGGGGGACGATATAGTAGGGATTACTCCTCGAAAACCCGGCGCTCTCGAGTAAATTCATAACATCGCTCTTACTCGCATTCTTCCTATCGAGGGTGTACTCATCCTTCTTGAGCCCAATAGTGCGTCTTAGTACAACCTCGCTCCCGCCCGTCGGGAAGCGTTCGTCAGAGTTGTCAAAGATGATCTCGACGTAGGCGGATAACACGGCGGAGCCCGACCCCTCGTGCAACAAGGCTTGTCGCTCCTCCCGCCCCATCTGCGTGTATGCGTCTGACAGCACGAACCGGATCGCCGCGAAGAAGTTGGACTTTCCGGACCCGTTGCGCCCGACGATGATGTTGCATTTGGGCGAGAACGGCTCGATCACGGTTTGCTCGTTGTAGCTGGAGGAGGCACGGTTAGATACACGTGTATGCAGAGAGAGGGAGTGGGGCGGGGGAGGCGGGGAGGGGAGGGGAGGGGGAGTCACGATTTGAAGCCTTGGATGATGATCTGTTTGATGTGCATGATGGGTATGTATTGCGGCCGCTGGACTGGTCCCACCGGGTGGGGTGCGTGCGTACGGAGCTCTGGCGCTGGTAATGGCGGTAGACGATTGAGCGGTGGCGGCGGTCGTGCGGTGCGTCGTCGTGGATGTTTGGGTTTTCGTTTTCGGGATGGTGTAAGACGCGTGGAATCGCAACGGGCGCGTCGGGAATGCTAGTCATGCCTTTCATTCGTTCACGGCTCAGGGCAAGGGACTGTGGCGCGGCTGTGGCTAAACATGTGGCGAGACAAAATTCATGACCCGAAACCCGATAAGTAAATTTGATGGTTCAAAATTACCACTGCTACATGACCTCCACAGAGAGATGGAAATAAGAACGGACGGAACCCAATTGTCGCAAACGCCCGCCAAAGTGCACGCATCTATACAGTGAAGTGCCAGCCCAACCCAACCCTACCGAATGAATCCACGCTCCGCCATACGACTCACCAACCGCATGCAACTTTATAACTAACTAGACCCCTCCGACTTCTCCTACGACTTGTCTTCTACTCTCAGTATTGATATTTACTGAGTCTTGCGCACAATGGGCGACCCCATCTTCTGAATCTCCTTCAGCATCGCCTCTCGGGTGGAAGTAGTGACTCGCTCGACATCATCCATTGTCAGGTTATCCGTTTGGATAGGCTCCATGACCTGTCGCACACTGTATCAGCAGCCATCGATCTACCCCTCCACTTCTCGTCGACACATACCTTCACCCTGATAGTACCCGGCTCAAACGTCCTATCCTGCAGATGCAGCACGTGGGAGTAGTTCTGGACGACAACGGGGACGACCGGCACACCGGCCTGGACCGCCAGATGGAATGCGCCCTTCTTAAACGGTAGTAGATCGGGCTTGCCGAAGTACGACCGGGTGCCCTCGGGAAAGATCCAGACGCTCTGCTTGTTCCCCTTGATCTCGTTCACGGCGCTGTCGAACGCCGCGATGGCAGTTTTCCTATTGCCTCGGTCGATGAAGACAGTTCCGCTCAGGGCCACTGTCGCGGGTGCGCATAAGCATCTCTCACATGTCATGTCACGTCTCACAGACCCCGAAACCTCGGAGGAGGAGGAGAAGGAGGAAACCTACTGAACCAGCCGAGGAACGGCACGAACTTCAGGCTCCTCTTCGCGGTGACGGAGCAGTGTTTTGGGAACGCCCTGCCAAGGAACAAGATATCGAGTTCACTCTGGTGATTACTGACGAAGACGGCGGGCCTAGTGTTCAGGTGCTCCTCGCCCTCGACGTCAAACTCAATGCCCATGATCGGACAGCCCAGGTTCTTCATCGCGCGCGCGGTGGTCCACTGGGCGATCGAGACCCGTCCGACGGCACGCAAGGCGAGCGACGCTACGACGCCGTAGGTCGCACATGTGAGAAGCAGCACGTAGCACGTGAGAATGCGCGCGTAGAAGCGGCAGCTCTTGAAGAATCGCCCGAGCAACGAGAGAACCATGATGAGGCCGAGGATGCTCGAGGGGATGGTGGTGAGAAGGCTGTACATAGAGCGCGGGCGGGTGGGGGGGTGGTGGTGTTGGTGTAGATACTACTAGTGGTGGTGGGCGTGGTCGTGATCGTGGTGGGTGGGTGGGTGGCTAAGGAGAAAGATGCAATGCCATGTGAGAACACACGGAAATTTCGTTTGTTCCTGCGGTGGTGGTGGTGGTAGTAGCGGCGATGCTGGTGGAGGGATTCGCTCGTTGGTTTGTTCGGTTTGGACGTCGCTCGTGGCCGCAAGGGTTGGACGCGGACCGGAAAAGAAAAAGTCTTGAAAGCGAAACGACGGCGGATTTTATCCAGGGCAAGCTGCTGGTGTCACCGGACTACTCCTATGGCGTGGGCGAGGGTGGTGATGTTTGTTGGCACGTGGAACGTGTGCGTTCGGTTCTGCATGCCGACCGAGCTTTTCCGGCGTAGATGTCGTACTGTGCTGAAATCACGGTTCATCACTCAGGGCGACAATCCTTACCCTGGTATATGGTACAGCGTAAGTTCATGTCGCTGTATGCGACAAATTGATTCTCTCTCCCTCCCTTTCGTGGGTTCATCTCTCATCATAGTCCAACAAGGCCGTATGTGACAACATACATATCTCTCTCCCACAGGTTCATCTCCACAAACAGTTCCATAAACGCTAACTTGCCTTCGACGATAATGAACACCTTGCTCTTCGACGGCTGCGTGCTTCCTGCAAGACGGGAGGGAAGATGCCGAGAGTAGAAATTGATCAAGTGCGATCGCAGCTATCACATGCCGCCGCACGAAGTTGGGTTGATGCTGGTCTGCCGGGAAAACTCCGAGAGCGACGAAAGTCGACAGAGGCGTTGTGCCTTGGTCAGGCGGCTGAATGAAGCTGCACATGACGGCTGGATCCGTGTTTGTGATGAGTGACAGTGAACAGGCAGACCTCTATTTTGCAAATCTATACCCTCTACCGGTACTCTAGAGTGATCATGATCCAGATCAAGACTAACCCCAAAACCAACCTAGCTTGTAGGTACCTTTAGACCTCGCCTCCAAGCTTCTCCCGCTTCACCAGGTCCTCAACGACCCTCTCAAGCCACCACCGATGCATTCTCGCATCAGCCCTCAGCTCGGGATGGAAACTGGTACCGACCACATTCCCCTGCCTAACGGCGACAACCCTGGCATCGCCACTACTCCTCTCCCTCTCCCTCTCATGATCCACGCCGCTCTTCAGCCCTACCGCATCCTCCTCACTGAACGGCCTATCCATCTGATCCAGGCCCTCCTTTGGCAGGGTACCCCTCCTCAACTCCGCGAGGATCTGCACGACCCCATCCTGCGTAAACTCCCTCTCGATATCCCCCCTGGGCTGCAAACTCGGGGCATGGACCTGTTCCTCACCCTGTTTCGGCGTATGCGGCAGGACGGCCTCGACGACGGGGGCACGGATGAACACGCCCATGAACGGGGGCTCGTCCGGGCCCAAAAACTCCAGCCTAAGCGGCTCGGTAAAGCTCTCCACCTGCCTCCCAAAGTGGTTTCTATTGACGCGCACGTCGAGTCCTCCAATGAGCTCCTGGCCGCCGGCCTTAGTGCGGTTCGCAGACTCCGACAGTAGGATCATGCCCGCGCAGGTGCCCCACGTTGGCCGCCGCGAGACTTTGACGAACTCCCGGAGTGGCGAGAGCAGCCCGCTGCGCTCCGCGATCAAGGCCATCGTTGTCGACTCGCCGCCGGGGATGATGAGGGCGCTGCAGGAAGCGAGCTGCAAGGGCGTCTTGACCAGGAGGAAGCTGAATGTGTACGGACTGTTGGGGAGCCCAGACGAGGCTTTGCGGAGCAGCTGGACGTGCTCGTCGAATGCGCCCTGCAGCGCTGCGGCGTGTGAGTCATGGTAGTTGGACAAGTGCTGTGATCAGAGGACGTACCGAGGACGCCTACGACTGCCGTCTTCTTCTGCGGTGTTGTTCCGTTCATGGCGATCTATTTTGCGGGAGTGTTGGAAGCAAGTGGGACCCAAAGAAACTGTGGACGTTAATATACTAGTGATCCGTGGCGGGGATGGAGGGGCAATTGTTTTTCCGGAGATAGCCGCATACATAAATTCAAGACTCTTGGCGACAGCTATGGTGAATTGCACAACCGACGTCATGCATTCCGTTAGCCAGCATGATTACCACGGAACGACGATGATCATCTCGGAGAAGCGAGCAAAGTGGATTTGCATATACAAACTTCCAGAACACTTCGAAGCAAAAAAAAATACACAGTTCTGGCGGGTGGGATGATGGGATCACAGCATTCCCTCCCTCCAGACCCTCTGCGCAAGCGTCTGAATAGCATCCACATCCACGGGTCCACTGACACTCTCATCCTCGAGCGCCTTGACCGCCGCGCCCGCCACATCATCCACGGCGAGCGGCTTATACCCCGCGGCGCCCAGGCCCGGCAACTTCCTCCCAAACAATCCATTGACCGCACTCACGACGCCGAGGATGCCCGCAAGCGGAACCGTGATCGCGCGTGACGAATCGTAGAGAAACGACGGCCTTAGGAAGATGGTGCGCATGTTATCCTTCGCGCCGATCCGCTCAATGATCGACTCTGCCTCCCGCTTCGTCGTTATGTACCGCGCCGGCAGTGTAGCGAACGAGTCGATGGCCGAGACGTACAGGAACGATTTCGCTTTCGCCTTGACGGCTTCTTCGGCCAGAGTCACCGCTGCACACACACACACCCTGTCAATGCCATCCCCGCCGCAGCTGCAGAGCACAAACCCGTGTCCCTATTCATAGTCTCATAGCTCAACGCGGCATGTCCGGCGCGCACCGTATTCTCCGGCCCGCCGCGGGTAGAATCGAACGCCTTCTTGAGCCCGGCCACCAGCGGCTCCTTCCCCGTCAGCACGCCCTTGTAGTCCGCCTCCAGCAGGATCCCCATCGAGTGCACGACCGCGTCCACGTCCTTCAAAGCCGCCTGGTACGTCCCCGGGTTCATAACGTCGCCCTTGGTCCAGTTCACGTTTTTGGCCCACGAGGGAGGTGTGGCCTTGTCCCAGGCGGGCTCGCCGGAGCGCGAGAGCGAGGTTACGCGCCAGTTGCGTGAGGAGGCGAGTTTGCAGATCCGGCTTCCAAGGAAGCCGGAGCCGCCGCAGACGAGGAGCGTGCGTGGTGGTGTGGGCATTGTGTGGGTGTGTGGGTGCGAGGTGTGGGGTGTTGAGAGCGCGAGGGAGGATTGGCGGGTGTGGGGTTTTGTAGTGCTAGCGACTGTGATCAACTGCGATGCAGGCGGAGTTTGAGTGGGGTGATATCATCGATCACCAGCGGTCATCGGCTTGGCAGGGTCCCCGATGTGTTGCAGTAGGAGCATGTACCTCATGGTAGGTGTCGTACATAGCACGAGGTAAGACATGCACAGCGGTTGAACTTCAGCCCGGCGGAACTAAGTAGAAGTGTATGTACTCCAATCGATGATTCAGTCCTATCCACAGAACCTGCAGTATTCAAGGCAGGCCGTCTCGAGCGAAGTTACAAACAAGCGAAAGAAACCACAGATCCCAACCATTACGCCTTCAGGAAAGTCCAATGCCAGTCGCCACGATCGATGTGTGCGGGTACGGCAAAGGCAAGCCCAGAAATAGAACATCAAATCAAAAAGCAAGACAATGAGCAAACAAAACCCGTTGTCGTCGTCGACACCCTCTAGATCATGGTGCCCCTCTCGAACGAATCTCTGATCTCCTTGGTGTACTTGCCGTACGCCCTCGCCAGCTTCTGGTTGAACGCCTTGTTCTTGTCGTTGATGTATGTGACGTCTTCGTCCTCTCCACCGCGCTTCCGACTCATCCTGGCGTCCTCGGCCTTCTTAAGATCCGACACCAACCGGTCCACGGCCTCCTTCTTCGGCCTGTTATCGACGAAGCCCAGACTGTCGGCGTCCGCATAGAATGTGCCATCACGATCGACAACCACCAACTCGCCATCCTCCGTCTCCACCACGGTCCCATCCTTCATCAACTTCGCCTTCTCGGCGCCATATCCGTCCAGGTCCGGCTTCAGCTCCCTCATCTGCTTCTTGTACATCTTCCTGGCCGTCTGGGTATAGTCCTGGAAAGCGACATCCTCGACATGGCGCTTCTTCTTCTCCATGCGCCGATCCCAGCGTTCCGACTCCTCGACAGTCCAGTCCCATGCCCGCTTGCGTTCAAAGTCCTCGCCCTGCTCCGCCGTCTCCACCTTCGCCAGCTTAAACTCCGCCTCGGCCTTTTTACGCTGCAGCTTCGATGTAGTGGACGGGTCGACCGCCTGGCGGCGCCGCTCGGCATACACTTCTTTCAGGTTTGTGGCGGACGATTTTTTCTATCGGTTTTTTGTCAGTCGAGAGTGCACCGGACGGAAGGGAGGGTGGGCGTGCTTACGGCTCGGCTTTGAAGCGCTTTCCAGCGGTCCATTCGCGCTTTGGCGGCATCGGTGCCGGTGCTGGCGCTGCTGCTGGACGGGATGGGCTCGGGGGTGTTGGAGGTGGAGGTGGCGCGTGTCGCGGGCGCTGATGAGGCCTCGGGCGCAGGCGAGGTTGAGGTCTCGCTGGGTGGCATGGTCGTGATTATGGGCTATGTGGTCTAATAAGATGGATAGGAACGGCGGCAGCGGTGGTAGAATGGGGGTGTTGGTGGTGTTGGTGGTGTTGGTGATGGTTGTGAGTTTGTGTAGTAGTCGTGTCGGTCGGTGATGGTAAGCGAAACAGCTTGGAAGGAGTTGCCAACATTCCTGGAAAACGCGTGCACGTGATTAAGCGAGCGCAACTCGACTTGAGTGATGGTTCTACATACAATTTTCCGCCTGACACACTCATTCACCGTGACTCCACCAACTCACGTCGCGACACCCACCTGCATACCTACCTCATACTTGGATTAGCTCAAGAAACACACTCTCACTCCGACTTGCCCTTCCTCTGTCCATCACTCGTCCCCGCCGCCACCACCAGAACTTTAACATGCCACCTTCAAACACTAAGCGCGTCAAGGTACCAACCACACGATCCAACCAACACGTCCGGGTTCGCATTTCTTTTGTCTATTCAAACAATCATAAGTTCTCACTTTTTACCATCGACTGGTGCGGCGAGTTCTAGGGAATCAGTATCTACCGTCCGATCGTCTACGGCAACATCGCGATCCCGATCGATCCCAATGACCGCCCGCGCGGCATGCCGGTGGACCACACCCACCAGTGGACCATCTGCGTCAAGGGCGTCGACGGCGCCGACATCACGCACTTCATCAAGAAGGTCCAGTTCCGGCTTCACGCCGATACCTATCCGAATGCGTTACGCTGTATGTCGCCCCCGCTCGCTGCCCGGCCGCGATCGATGGTACGTACTGACGGTGTGGGATAGCGTTCGAGCAGCCCCCCTTCGAGGTCTCCGAGAGCGGCTGGGGTGAATTCGAAATCCAGATCAAGCTCTTCTTTCACCCCGAGAGCAACGAGAAGCCGTTGACGCTGTTCCACTATCTCAAGCTCCACCCGTACATCGGCGATCCCGAGGAGCTCGAGCTCGCGCGCCAGCAGCGCAGGCCCGTCATGAGCTATCTCTACGACGAGCTGGTCTTCAACGAACCGACTGAGGCGATGTTTGAAATCCTTACTACTAAGGGCACCGTTAAGCTCCCGTCGAAGAATAAGGCGAAGGGACGCGGGGAGTTCGTGGCTGAGACGGAACAGGTCGAGTTGGATCGGCTGAGCGAGGGATTGAGGACTGTGCAGAAACATATCGAGGAGGCGAAGAACAAGCTTGCTGCGAAAGAGGAGGAGATCAAGGAGATGAAGAAGTTGCTGGACAAATGATTGCGATTGTGATTTATTGGGGGCGTTTGGCGCATTGGTATTGGGATTTGTTTCAAGGCATCTTTGTTTACTATACCGATAATATCTATACTCCGACTGATATCTTACAACCCCAGCCCCCTCCCCACCGAACAAGAGCTCACTCAATCTTGGTCTTCAGCTGCACTCCATGCCACCCCTTGATCTCCTCCGCGAGCACTTCATTAACCATTCTGTGCTGCTTCATCATGTTCAATCCCTTGAACCGCTGCGACGCGATCTCAATCGCATACATCGATCCGCATCCGCCCGAGACATCATGTACCTGCCCACCATCAGCCCAGCCCAGCGCAGTCCAGCGCAGTCGCCCCTCCGCAAGCCAAAGCACATAACATACCTCCAGCCTCGACGGCTCCAACGCCTCGGTGAGTTTCTTGAAGACGTGTAGCTCGCGCTCGTCGAGCTCCGCCGGGGGCTGCAGTTGCGGGTACGAGGCGAAAACGGTGCGGCTGAGGGTTCGGACTTGCTGCGCCCGCGGGAACAATAGGCGGAGGCGGGTGGACAGCATCGTGGGGTATTTTTTTGGTTTTGGTTTTTGGTTTGGGGTGAGGAATGAACCGAACCGCACGGGGATTGCCGAGATGCAGGCTTGTGATGCAGTTACGGCGGGGTTGTGTACACTGTGTGTGTGTGATGCTCTGGGCGTAAGGCTTGGCGTCACGGGGATGAATGCGCGGGTGTGAGATCTCAGATGGAGGCGATCGAAGAGATTTGTCGGGACTCTTCACTCAAAAGTCCCTTGTATCATGTGAACCCTAGTGTTTGGTCCTTTGCTGTTGCGAATCCGGCCCGACGTCGCAACTTGGCGTAAGATCAGTCTTCCCGGAACCTCGAGTGATCTGGATTGATTGTCGCGATGACGGCGGGAGAGGGCAGGGAGCTCCTTTACGGAATAGTTGGCGGACACTTCCGATTCTTTTCGCTATCTACTCGTGTGCTGCTCTACTCTTTGTTCACGGATTTCCCGACATCTCTGATGTGGCCTTTGTTCCTCCACATTTGGTTGCCCTCGCAACGGAGCGGCGGTTAGGTTTAGTAAGGATGGCGGTTAGGGGGAAAGGGCGAAGACAGAGGGAAACAGGCACCAAAACAACTGAGCATATCGTTATCTAATTGAAAGTTGAAGAGGGAAAGGCAGCGAAGAAGAGAGCAAAAGAGACGGTAATACTCGCCCGAAACATCATCACCACTGTACACTCGGATCAATAATATTAGGGCTATCACGGTCGTTCGTCACTCGGGATCTTTTCTGTTTCTGAGAACTGTGCTGCTGTGGTTCTTCACCTTCTCGCCGCCACCACCTCCACCACCGCTACACATCACAACCACACAACCACACACATCACCTTCACTACTACCTCCACCACAACTTCCTCCACCACTTCCTCCCACCTTTCCAACCTCCTCCTCCGCGACCGCGAACCTCTCACCTCCGCCATACCATCTGCTGAGTATTCTTTTCCAGCTTCGCAACTTCAAACAACCACATCCACCGCCCTCCGACAACCCCGACCGAACTCAACGCTGGATCTATTCTCTAACCTTCTGTCTCCCCTGCGCTCCGCACGACCACACTCCCTTGCCAGCAACCCGCCTCTCCCTTCGAATCTCGGCGCGCCCCATGGTCTTCATCGCTTTAGTCGACTAAGGAACTCGCTTCGTCAAGCTTCGAAGAATCGCGAATCAAAACAACACCCTTGCCCGTCACCTGCGCAGAGCCGCACCACCACTGCGTCCTCCACCAACACCACCACCGCAGAAATGCCCGCCCCTACAGCATCGTCGGCCTCGACGCCGCCAGTATCGTCATCGTCACACGCTTCGACCGTGCTTCAGCTGCGAGGGTTGATATGGCACTCGTTGGACAATGGCATGTTGGATACTGCGCTCTTCACCGCCGAGCGATTACACGCGTTGGATCCAAAAAGCGCCGACTCGGCACACTTGCTCGCGCTGTGTTTGTTTCGGGACGCTCAGTGCCGGAAGGCTGAGGCGTTGACGGAGAAGTGGTTGAAACATGTTGGGTGTGCGTACATATATGCGCAGTGTTGTTTGAAGTTGGGCGGCGGAAGAGAGGCTCAAGGGGTTATCGCGCTCGAGGCTTGCAAGCGGTTATGGATTTCGTCTACTGGATGGAGTGAGTGCTCGCTCCTTTATTTTTTGGCGGGGCTTTTGAGTGCCGAGATTCACCGGTGCTCTTTTCTGCCCCGCACCAATCTTCCCTTTACGTCCCACGTTTCCAGACTGACATATTGCCCATGGCACGCCTTGCTTAGACCACCATACGGATACGAACAGGAAATCCCTGCCGGATGCTGCCGCGATACATTGCTTGATGGGGAAGCTATGGCAGGCCCAGAGCGATAATAAGAGGGCCATAGATTCATACGTTGCTGCCGTGAAGGCGAATCCCTTTCTTTGGGAGGCTTTTACCGGTCTCTGTAATACAGGTAAGAAGGACCTGTGCTGGCGGTGGATCTGTGCTACGGCGACCTCTCCTCGGTCCAGTTTGGCTGACGACTACAACTAGGTGTGAACCTCCGGGTGAACAACATCTTCAAGCAATCCTCAGAGATGATTGAATTTTGCAAAATCATACCTGCCCCAACGAATCCGATGGTTCCGGAAGAACTACCACCGCGAACCCGAAACATCGAGAACTACCAGAGCGATCCATTCGTATCCACAACCCACAACCGGGATCGCTCCGACCTTTCATACAACAACCACCCTTCGTTTTTCAACAGACTGAACGAGGGCACCGGCAGCTCCAGTCACCTCGAAACACCAACCGCCCAGCCCTCTAGTGCTGGCCCCCACGACCTCCTCGGAATGAGCAACAATCTCCACGACAAGCCACCACCACCGCCACTACGAAAGACCCGTGCAGCTGCTGAACTTGGTGCCCGCAAACTTACAAGTCGAGCCGGCCGAGATGTCAACGAATCGAAGCGAGTAACTACTGAGCCAACAGCACCGGCGGCACCAGCTAGGAGAAGCACCAGGTTGAATACGCTCAAGTTCAGCAGTAGCAAGTCAAGCACAGGCGAGCGCGAGACGAGATTGACAACCAAAGATCGCGAGCGCGAACAGAAGAAACGAGCGGTCAGTGCCCGTCTTCGATCGAACCTCGCCAGCAGTGCTGCACTCGGGGGAGGCAAGGAGAAGGGTGGCTCGGAGGATGTAAATGTTCGTGGCAACCCGCAAGCAGCCGACGGCGCTCTGCCTGTGACTGCCGCCGATAACAGCTCGGGCAAAAAGCGCAAAGCCCGCGGTGAACCATCGCTGACCCGATTGTATAAAAAACAGATGTCGGAAGCCCCGTCAAAAATATTCCAGGTGCCTCAGCCTCCCCAGCCTCCAGCCACCACAAAGGATAAGTATAAGGAGGAGGCCCAGTTATATCTCCTAGACATGTACCGCAAGCTTGGGACCGGTTATTTCAATCTGAACCGGTACCACTGTCCTGAGGCACTTGCGGCGCTAGGATCGTTATCGGTTAGCCAGCGGGAAACTCCACGGATACAGTGTCTTATGGGTAAGGCGTATTACGAAATGGCGCAATATAACGAGGTATGTCGGTCGGAAGTCATCGCGGGAACAGGCACTGACGAGTTTTGTAGGCGGAGACGGTTTTCACCAAGATCCGGAGGATGGATGCAGTCCGAACAGAGGACATGGAGGTGTTCTCAACAATCCTGTGGCATCAAAGGAAGGACGTCGACCTAGCTCACTTAGCAAAAGAGCTTATGGAGCTTGATCAGAATTCGCCGGAGGCTTGGTGTGCCATGGGCAATTCATTCTCCCTCCAGCGGGATCATGACAACGCACTCAGGTGTTTCAAGAGGGCAACACAGCTCAACCCCAAGCTAGCATACGCATACACGCTGCAAGGCCATGAGCACGTCAGCAACGAGGAGTATGAGAAGGCTCTCAACAGCTACCGCTTGGCCGTCGCAGCCGACAACAGACATTACAATGCTTGGTACGGCCTCGGAAAGGTTTACGAGAAGCTGGGCAAGTACGAGAATGCCGAAAAACATTTCCGCTCGGCGTCGAAGATCAACCCTACCAATGCTGTTCTCGTATGCTGTGTGGGCATGGTTTTGGAAAAGATGAAGGACTTTGAAGGAGCTCTGATGCAGTACAATGCCGCTGTCAAGATGTCCCCCGGAAGTGCGTTGTCTCGGTTCAAGAAGGCGCGGACTCTCATGAGCATGCAGAATTACCAGGTATGCACCGAGTGTGAATGATAAGGCGAATGTGAGATTGATAATCCATAGGCTGCGTTGGAGGAACTTATGATTCTGAAGGATCTGGCTCCCGATGAAGCGAACGTGCACTTTACTCTGGGTAGACTCTTCAAGAGCCTGCATAACAAAACGATGGCGATCAAACATCTGACCATCGCACTGAATCTCGATCCGAAGGTACCTCATCTTCCGTACCGCTGCAAGAGCACAGCTAACCACAAATATCCAGGCGGGACATCTCATCAAAGAGGTTATAGAGAACCTCGATGAAGAAGAAGACAGCTTTTCGGTGGAAGACTCCGAAGTGTACAGACTCTTGGATGGCGACACTTAACATCCGCCACTAAAAAAAAAGCTCCTGATGATCACCCCGCAGTAACGATATCCCATGAACACCCGCACTACCACAACACACCAGCTTACGGTTCTTTTTTACTTTCTCTTTTGGCGTTCTCAAAGGTGTTTTCCTTTAACACGCTTCATTGTGCTTTCCCGGGGATTTTCCTAGAGTACGGAGTTGTGCTTTTTTCTTTTTCTTTGTTACTTCTTTTTTAGTCATTGTGTTTGTTACCATATCCGGGGGGGAGGGGGGGCAATGGGAGAGTGTGTGTGTCTGTGTGTGGCTTGCATTGATAATGGCTCTCATGGTTTTTTTTTTGGGAAAAAAAGGCATCAATCAGTGTATTCGTACGTCTTTTTTTTTTTGGCTTTCTTCCTCCCTCTTCGTGATCCCAACACTCCTGCTTTCGATTGTTTGATGTCTGCAGTAAGGTAGCAGCTGCAGGGTTGGATTGGGATGGGAGGTAGGCGGAGTTTTGTCCCTTGCGCTTATTTTTTGATAGTACCTATACTTCTTAGGGGATTTTGCATATGTTTATTCCCAGCAGCTGCCTGCCCTGGTGGGGGATGAGGGGTGGGTGTGGGGGGTGGGATTGTTGGCTGACTGACTGCGGCTTTGCGCTCTGGGAAACCGATATGGTGCGAGTGGGGGGTGCGGGTGGGGGTGGTTTTTCGGGAATGTGTATAAATGAACTGGAAGATCATTATTTCCAACCCGGACAGTAATTTATTTTGAACAATTTTTGAGACATTTGACAAGACGGTCTTGCAAGTTGTAGTGGTCACTGCTCACTGGGGTGTGGCTGGAATACGACAGAGTACTCTACTCGTAGAGACCGGTCATGTGAGAACTTGGAAGTTGGAAGGCGTTTTGTTCACAGTCTGGGTTTCCGGTCGCTCTTTCCTAGGTATATACCGAACCCGATGCTCCCCGTGCCGTACTGTACTGCCGCCACTATAAACACAATCATGTTACGCCACGCCTGGAAACACTCGGGATTTCGGGCCGGTCTTGGCCCCCCTCGGCTTCTTGTCTACATACGAACTTCTTCTCCGCCCTCTTTACCTCCAGAGGAGCTCACTGTGGTTAGGAGTCGAGGAGGGAGTTTCGGGGAGAAAGATATGGCGAGTGATAATCCTGATGTCGCAGAGGAACCGGAGGAGGACGAACAGCTGCGCTAGGAATGAGCCGGGTTTAGCGAAAAGGATCAAGGGCAGGAGGGAGACCACGGTATCTATGGATGGTGAGCAGATCACTGGTTCATCACTCTTTCGGGAGTATGGAGTACCTACCTGTCGTAGGTACTATTCTATCGAATCGCAGCTCATGAAACATGGGATGTCACTCGAAGATCGACATCTATGTAATTGAGTGCTGCGCCCTGCGTGATCAATCCTTTGCCATAGTCTAGATAGGCTGCATGCGAAATAAACTGAAGATCTCTCTCTGCGTGGTCAATTATCCTTGTTATGTAGTAGTTGCATGGTGCAGGGCGTGTGGTTGATGGGGTTTTTTGGCGAGATTATCTGTTGATGAAAGCTAGCCGCAAGACGTAACGACTCGGGTATCGCTAGTAGTGGAGTGGGTATCAACCACTATCTGTCTATTTAAAGATTCAAGCCGGCAACTTTGAAGAGCGGCTGTGTTTCTAGTATGTGAAATACGGCAATCGATCGTCTATAGGCGGTGCCGTGGTGGTGGTGGCCGTATGTAAACAATAGGCGTCACGGTAATGCTTTTTGCCAAGCGTGGCTGGCGATGGCTGCTGGTGTTGGGTGCGCATACCAATTTCTTTTCACTTCGGAGACTCCATTCATCGTGTTGGAGCAGGGCCAAGGTAATGGAAAAACACTTCACAGCCATCTACGGTATGATAGTTACAGAAATCCATTTGCTGTCGTCCTGACTGTTCTTGCAACATCGCTCAACCTCAGTATCCGCGGTCATGCAGGTGGAGTGTCGCAGGGTATCATGATAGCCAAGATTTTACAACTTTATATGATACTTTCCCGTTAGTTAGGCCTCAGACTTTACGGCAATCTGACATCCCTATTCCACAGCCTCATTAGAGTCGGCACTCGGCACTGCCTATCATTACCATGACCAGTGAATAACCCGCTGTTAGTGCCATGTCCACACGATAAATATGCATCTCCCCCCGCATGCCCACCGAACATACCTCTTCCGACACAAACGCAACCGCCATGGCAATGCAGCGGAACTCCTTACCGCCAGTTCTCCGGCTCCCATCCGAGCTCATTCTCGAAATCAACGACCATCTAAACACCTGGCATGACGACTCGCTTAATGGGCATCTGAACTCCTACCACTTCTCCCTTGCGCACCCACGCCTCCGGTCCATCCTCGGCCCAACCATCAAGAGGACGGAGCTAATAGCATTCTACCACAACTTCTCCAACTCCCCGCTCATGGTACCTTGCGAGTGTTGCGAGCGCTTGCATCCGTGGTACAACTTCAACACGACCGTCGCGCAGAGGCGCGGGTTCTGGGGGGGAACCTGCATCACGTGCTCGTCGCCGTGCACACACTATGTCTACCACACCTGGCGGAACAGAGGGGTCTGTTTCCACGAGGGCGTGCGGTGGATGGGCGGGTACATATCGCTGTGCCGGGAGTGCGAGGCGCCCGTTCTCGTGCAGTTCCCGCGGCTGCGTCTAGCGCCGCGCCACGACGGATGCGAGAAATCCCAAAAATGCACCGTGTGCGGCGCGTTCCGGCAGAAGGCGTTCTGTCCGTGTGAAGTCCCGCCCGGCGAAACGATACCGGAGTACGGGGAGTTCAGGGTGCTGGAGCTGTTGAGGAGGCTGGATGCGTGTGTGCTCACTACTGAGGGCTACGGATGGGATCTGGAGGAGCTGGCTGTGCTCCTGGTCGCTGCGGATGATATGGTCGAGCTCAAGCGGCGGAAACGGTGGACTACGGATTCGGACTCCGGAACGCTCGAGGGGCGGCGGAAGCTGGGTGCTCGCTGGAATGCGGTCGAGGAGTTCGTGTTATGGGCGGAGGAGCGGAAGAGGAGGAGGGATGCCAGCTTAGTTGGCATGTCGTTCATCTGGAATTATGGGCGGAATCCAATGGAGGGGATGGAACCGCTGAGTGTTGAAATGAAGCCAATGAGAAGGGTCGATAGGAGGGAGCCTAGGTCATATCCGCACAAGCCGGAATCGGGGCCTGGTTGGTTCCGTGCGAGTACTACGGCGAGGGGGAGGTTTTATACGGGGCAGAGCTCGGTGGAACGCGGTTATTCCAATTGATAATAGAGTTTTGGAGGGCTTACTCGCTCACCTACCCCATTCGCGGGTCAAAAATTGTGTGCATAGTCGACTCGCGTATTGGAAGTTAGTTCGTAGTTACATATCATTTGACGACACCTCTCAGTCGATTAGCGAACCCTGAAGCGCTCTCGTCATTTATGAATGGATTATCTGAGACTCTGACCTATTACCTCCTCCACCGGTCTACTATCCGATGCTTCCAAGCGGCCTCCAACAGTATTTCCGGTAGCCGATTGGACACAAGACCGAATGACACAGTTAATTAGTGGTTCCCTGCGTCAACACTTCAATTCATTCCAGCCTGGGCCCGCTCAGCCCACCCGACAGTAGAGTAGTCGAGCAGCTGCATATTCGCGTGATTCCGGCCGCCGAATGTCCCGCCTACAGTAGTGCAATTCTTCGGAGCAACACTCGGCTCCGGATTTGGCCGAGTGAGCCCCGGAGATCCAATGTGCAACCCCGGAATCCCGAAAGACCCACGGAGAAGAATTTTGGTCGCCGAAGATTGGGCCGAAGAGATGGGGAGTGTGCATTAGTCTTCGTCTTGGTGCCCGAAAGCGCGTGTGGATTCGGAAAACACTGCCGGACTGGGCTGCGTGGTCGACTCGAGTTCGTGTTTCCACTACTAACTATGGGTCCGCCTACCTAGGAATAAACTCATTATGTGAATGTGAGACAGCGATTTATCCAAGGGAGATCGTGAAGAGGGGGACTACTGGTACCTTGAGGCGTGTTCACATCCTTAGGTGGGGTACCCACGGTGGAACACCGCATTCCCGTACACAATGTCATCGGCGACTCGGCGGCCGATAGATAAACGGGTGGGGTATCAAGATGGGATTTCAGGTTTGTCAGTGGGTATATAAACGTACGGATCCGCCAGAGAATATATGCTCATCCTCACCACCAGCTTCATCAGTATCCCACATCTCACCACATCTCACCACATCTCGCCTCATCTTACCACATCTCACCAACATCACCAAAATCACCAGCACGATGTCTTCCCAAACCACAAAAATCATCACCGTCTTCGGTGCCACTGGTTCTTAATCCTGCGTCTCTTCGCTCGTACAATCTACTGACTCAGTCCCAGGCCACCAGGGCGCCTCCGTCATCGCTTCCCTCCTCCGGAACCCCGCCTTCGCCGTCCGCGGCACAACCCGCAACGTCTCCTCCGAAGGCGCCCAGGCACTTACCGCCAAGGGAGTCCAACTGTTTACGGTTGACGCCGTCAATCCGGATGCCGACCAGCTGGAGGCCGCGCTGAAGGGGGCTTGGGGAGTGTTCTTGAACCTGTCTTCGCACGATCCTGTTGGTCGTCCCATACATCTCATCTTCTGGGCTAGACTGACGGTAGACATTAGTCGATCGAGGAGAATGAATACGCGGCTGGAAAAGCCATGATCGATGCCATCCAGGGGGCTGGAGTAGAGCATATCGTCTACTCATCCCTCCCGCCGTCCTCGCTGCTCACTTCCGGGGAGGTTCCGATGGCAACGTTCGACGGTATGTTCCCTCCCCACCCTCCTCCCCATCCTGGTCCAAAACCTCTAATACCTCTCCTATATGTAGAGAAATACAAACTGCAGCAATACATCAGCAACTCGTGCAACTTCGCCACCGCCAGCTTCATCCAAGCCGCCTGGTACTTCGATAACTTCAAGTACGCGGACTTTAGCGGCGGATTCCCGTTCGTTCCGGGTGCGGATGGGGTCTACACCTTACGGTATCCCTCATGTGGCCCGAACCTCCCGCTGGTTGCGATCGAGAACGATTTTGGCGACTGGGTGCACGGGATATTGCTCGAGCCCGAGGCGTGGAACGGCAAGGTGGTGCAGGGAAGCAGCGCGATCATGAGTTACCAAGAGATGGTGGAGAGGTTTGAGACATGTTTGTCCCCCCACCCTCCCCTGCCAGTCTTTGGCGATGCGGTGGCTGATGGATGATGGCTAGACACCGGCAAGAAAGCCCGCGTCGACGAGATCTCCGTTGCTGAGTTTGAGACCTTCGGGCTGAGCTGGATGGAGGAGATAGCGAAGATGTTTACCTTCTTCCAGAAGACGGCGGGGAGGTATTATGGTGTTGAGAACGACCTGGGAAACGCAAAGAAGCTTAAGGCGGCGGTCGCGGAGAAGGTCGGTGGGAAGGCTACGTTGACGACTTGGGAGGAGTGGTTGGCAGAGAATTGGGAGGATAAAGAGAAGCAGTAGGTATAAACTTGATTATATTAAGGGGGTTGCTTATCAAATTTGGGCTGTACTCGAACGGATGGGAATGTAGGATGGAATGTTATGCAAGTTTTCTCGACGCAAAGCGGTACATGAAAAATCACTCATTTAGCAGCCTTCTGAAGTGATGGAATTGAGAGAGGAACTTGACTTGATTGATGTATTGATACGAGGAAGAAGCGAAAGAAGACTGTTTATAAAGGAAAACGAGCTCGTGTAGACGACGAGAAGGTCGGGCCTCAGACAGAGGATGCGACGAGAGTCGTCGCCGGACTGGGCTGGGGGCTTGAAGGCTTTCAGCTGACGAGGCTGATTACGATGAGAAGCCACAGACAAAGCCACGAAGGAAATGAGGGCAGCATGCAAAGAACAGTGGAAATTAGCATGACTCCGGAACAGGTAATAAGACGCATAATATCAACATGAAGCTCGGATCTGGAACGTCCTAGAAGAAGCTTCTATATGAAGCCAACAGTCTCTTTCCGGCAGCTTTATTCGGACCCACTTTTAGGGCTCCCACACAGACTTTCGCTCGTATCTGCGACACAGGTGGCTATGGGAATATATATGAAAGCACTGGATGTCATTACATCCTGAAAATCATGTGCAGACATCGCCTTCGTACTCTTTCATCGGATCCTTTGCCTGGATAACATCAGCACGAATCCCAGACAAGATCGATAGAAAAGCGGATTGGTCATCTTGACCACCAATGCGTAGCCCCTCGTCCGGCATGGCTTGTTAGATACCACACAATGATGCGCTGTTGGTGATAATCACGGGTGGTGATAGAGGTATGCCACTGTTAAAGGCCAGCGAAAGCAGAGGATCGTCGTGAAGTTTGACTACATCGCGGTGTCGTATCAAGCAAGTCAGCGCCGCTGGTAAAGGAGGATTGTACAGATCCGAGTTCATGTGGTCAAGTTCTTCGATACAGTCTAGTTATACGCTTGCGAAGGGATATCAGAGGCATAATTATGTAAGGTGGTCATCGTGGTGTAACAACTGCTACGCCACGAATCTTGGAAGTTGCACCGACATGCAGCTGCGGGGCAGCATTCGCTCAGCTCCACTTCGTAACAGGCAACCGCCAACAGCCTGGTAGACGCCATCTGTGCACACCGAATCTTTCCTGTCGACCAGAAGCCAATTCTCGGATGGAACCCATTTCGCTCGTAACGGTAGTCCCGGGGCTATTGAAAATCTGTGCAGAGTTCATCGCGTTCATCTCCACCGCGGTCGATGCACCTAGCACTGCGCGTGACGTGGTCGCTGAAGTTCAGGCGATGCTCGGCATCTTCCGGCTGCTGAACAATTTCATAGTCCATTTCGACGAACAAAGCGTGGACCAGAAGTCTAGAATCCGTGCCGACGATCTGCTCTTCGTTTTGACGGACTGCGTATGCACTTTCTCCAAACTCGACAAGGTGCTCGGAAGCCTCAAGACCGACGTTGACAATCCGAAGTCCACGTTCAGCGCCTGGGACCGGCTCAAGTGGGCGGCGAAAGACGGGGATATCGCGAAGATATTACAGCGCTTTCAAAGCCAAAAAACATCTCTGAATACTTTATTGTCGGTTCATACATGGTTAGTTTAGAGACCCCTTTCAGTGTACTTTGTACGGACGTCCAAAAGACGATCAACCCGCTGCCCTTCCTAACCGTGCTCCGGCGTGCCTATGAAATAGTTGCTGATAGCGTAGCTCGTCAGCTCTGCAAGCGCAGCGCGAGAGGGCGGAAATGAATGCTTCCAAAACGACATTTTTGCAGGAAAACCCGCATATCGCGAATCGCATGGCACCAGCCACTTCCTTTGAGGATAACGCCGACGTATTCTCTGTCCGCTCCAGAACTGTGATTCACACCGCAGCATCCGGGGGAGCGGATACCTCGCCCGGAGATAATGACGACGTATCCTCTGTTAGTTCTAAATCTTCAGCCCTCTCCACCAGATCTGAAAGATTCTCTCATAGATTCTCAATCGAGTTTGAGCGGTCTCTAGTTCAAAGTCGGGTCTACAGAAACGCGTCCAGAAACTCGTCAAACGGCTCGTTCATGAGCAATCAAACATCGGATTCAAGATGGTCTCATCTCACCGGACTGAGCATGACCCAGATATCAACCATATCGGTCGTCTGTCTTCCAGTATACAGTTCCGAGCTGAGCAACGGCCATATGTACCAACAGGATCGGGTGATACCTGGTGGCAATGTCACGGGTGGCGGTCTCGCAGTAGCTCAACTTCAACGGCTGCGGATGGGAGGCGTCAGACCCACCACCACAATTCGGCATGGCTTGACGCCCGTGAGCGAACGGGGCGATCTTTTACATGTTGCGGCTGGCAAGGGTGACAACGTCGGTGTCGATATGCTGGTGAAAACGCTGGGTATTGATATAGAATCGCGAGACACTAAAGGCTATACGGCGCTGCATCGCGCGGTCCTTGAGGGGAAGAGTGCTAACGTCCAACTACTACTCGACTGCGGTGCCAACATCGAGGCTGAGGACGAAAAAGATAGCACTTCGCTTCACCAGGCCGCCAAAGGCGGACGTACAGAAATTGTGCAACTACTGCTCGACCGCGGTGCCAATATCGAGGCCACACAAAGGGACGGAACTTCGCTTCACTAGGCGGCCAGAGCCGGGCATATACACACTGTGCAGCTACTGCTCGACCGTGATGCCAACATCGAGGCCAAGGAAGTGGACGGTGGGACCCCGCTGCACAAGGCGGCCGAAGGCGGACATACGGGCACCGCGCAGTTACTTCTTGACCGCCGTGCCAAAATCGATACTGCGGACACCGAGGGAAACACGGCACTCTTCCTGGCGGTCAGGTATTAGCATAAAGGCATGGCACGAATGCTCCGTAAATGAGGAGCCACATAGGTTGGTGAGTTTACTGCCACCCCTTTCCGACTCTCATCGGATTCTAAACATCGTTCTCAACGGAAATAGAATTAGCAGAAGTATATCAATAGGGAAATCGGGATGGAAAGTTTGACTATCAGGGAGGGTTGGAAGTAGGGAGATGGATAGGAGAAGATGTCGATTCTCATTATTATCACTCGTCAGACCGCAGAACTTCTTTATAACCACGCTCATCGGATTCAAGGCTCGATATCTCTTCTTACGACAGACTGAACTCCTTTTCATTGACTGCTATCTCTATAGTTCTCTAATATATGGGTGGTGGGAATTATTGGCCAAGAGAAAAGGGGAAGTTGGCCGTGCCTGTTACGGTTCCGTGTCCGCCAGACCGTGCAATGCATAGAAACTCGACCGGAACTTTTTGGCATGGGACTGCGTGGGGTCGGAATTGTATTATGATATGTACAGATCGGCAAGTCATGACGGTTCTGCAGGGTCGCTACTTACCATGAGGTGTTTCGGTAGCTTCATAAGGTCGGATACAGTATGAGGAAACAAAAATAAAAGCCGAAATAAAAACAAAACACTTCATTGGCACCCTATCGACCTAGCACAACCTGTTATTTATGATAGCATCAAGGGTTCTCTCCTCATCGGACGTCGAATTACAAATGTCTAGTGTCTCTGAGACGTGATCGTTTACTGAATGTGTAAAATTGTGATAGGTCTCAGTAGATAATGGTCAGGATGAGAAACCCAATATTATTATAAGTGCAATATTTGCGTACATACGAATAGAGAGAAAGTAAAACAAAGCCACAGAGGTTATCCGCTCGGAAACGAAGAAAAGAAATGAGGAAAATAGCAACACAAAATTGGCAGACTCCAAAAACGAACGAACAGTATGGAAATGCAATTGAAATTACCCAGCTTACTTCTCTTCAGGATTCTCGGCGACAGGAGTCTGAGTTGGAGTCTTGGTTTCTTCGTCCCTGGGAACAACAACGTCTTTCTTGTCTTTGAGGTGAAGGTCGCCAACACTGGCTTCGAGCTCTTTGAACTTGGTTTCCTCAACAACCTCGTCCGGAACCGGCTTCTCGTTCTCCTGCTTGATTGGCTCCTCATCGATGAACTCTTCCTTCAGAGGTTCTTCATTTGAAGTCTCCTCCTTCGAGACTTCCTTGATAAGTTCTTCCTTAGGCGTCTCATCTTTTACCTTCTCCTTCGTGGGTGCCTCCTCTTTTGAATCCTCCTTGATTTCCTCCTTCCCCTCCTTCGCCTCCTCTTTGGTGGACTGTTCCTTCGCGGCATTCTCACCCTTCGCCAGCTCTTCATCTGGCACAACTATATCCTCCTTCTCCGGTCCCGCCACAGGAGCCTCGATCACGGCCTCGGCGGCGACCTCTTTCACTTCTGCTTCGGTCTCCGTTTCGACCTCTGTGGCCGGTTCTTCCCGCTTAGCTTCCTTCACCGGTTCCTGTACTTCCTTTTCCTCACCCTTCTCGACATCTGCATCCACGTCCGTCTTCTCCTGAACAGGCTCCTCCTTCTCAACGACATCCGTCTTCTTCTCCTCGACTGGCTCCTCCTTCTCAACGACATCTATCTTCTCCTCCTTAACCGGCTCTTCCTTCTCAACGACATCTGTCTTCTCCCCCTCAAATGGCTCCTCCTTCTCAACGACATCTGTCTTCTCCTCCTTAACAGGCTCCTTCTTCTCCTCGACTGGCTCCTCCTTCTCAACGACATCTGTCTTCTCCTCCTTAACAGGCTCCTTCTTCTCCTCGACTGGCTCCTCCTTCTCAACGAGATCTGTCTTCTTCCCCTCAACTGGCACCTCCTTCTCAGCGGCCTCCGTCTTCTTCTTCTTCTCTTTGGCTGGTTCCTCAGCGACAGATGCAACTGACGGTTCAGCTGCAACCTTATTCTTTGAAGATGAACTCTTCTTCTTCCCCTCAACCTTGCCCACAGCACTCTTAATACCGCTCGACTTCCTCTTCCCGGCAGCAGCAGCAGCGGCGGCGATCCCAGCCTGCGAGAACGCCGTCGGAACACCTCCTGCAGGGTGGCCTGATGGGGCGGCTCTCTCCCCGACGATATTCGGTTTCGCGGTGGTAGAAGGATCCCTGTGCGTCGTGGAACCGTCCATCACATTCATCTTCTTCTTCTTCTTTTTGAGCCCCAAGTTCTGGCGTAGCTCGCCATGCTCATTCCAGTCTTCAATATCGTCATGGTTCTATACAATGGAGATCATGTCAGCTCAGGGATGCTGCAGCTTTCGGTAACAAGGGATGGCTAGTAGGGGTGGAGCTATGGCTTACTTACCCCCAACACCTCCCCGTTCTTTGCAATTCCGGGTAATCGCTTGCCTTTGCCTTTCCATTGCCAAAGGCGGCGAGCTTTGTCGTCGGTAGCGAGGTCGACGGCTTTGAAGGGAATCTTGTGAGATGTAAGGATGTGCTCGAGGCGAGAGGTAGCCGTGATGATGCCCGACGATCCGGAGGTCAACGAGGTGAGAAGGAAGATGGTGTCTGCCTCCTCACGCGAGAAGGCTTGCGGATCGAAGGTCTGGGGAGCTTCGCTCGGTGCGGTCGTCATTTTTATTGCGTAGATGGAGATGTAGGTGTAGATATTGTTCTTTGTGTGTTGAGTCGAGGGAGAAGGTGAGAAGGAGCCCCTGGCCCCTGTTGGACGTCAGACCTCCCCACACGACACGCCAAGACGGCAATCTCCGGAGCCGTCCCAAACGAAACGGGTTCTGAGCAGATCGCAAAGGTACTTTGCGCATGAGTGAAGCGAACGAAGATATAATCCGCGGTCAACCCACCTGGACGCGAATCAAACTCCAACAAAACCACCCTGCTGTCCTTCGCCACCGCGAATACTACCACGTTGCACCTGCTTCGTACCACCGGTCTTCCAAGCACCGCGTCGAATAATCATCCATGGCAAAAAAACGCAAGAGCAAGGCCAAGCACTACGCGTCGTCGGGACCGTCAGAGGCACCAGCCGCGCCCCCACCGCTGCCCGCACTTGATGTGCCCGCCTTCGCGCTGACCGCCATCGTCGTCGAGGACAAGATGTCTGTTTCGCCTCCACCGTACCGCGTTCCCGAAGAAGCCGACGAAGGGGAATGGGAGCTGCCGGGTCGCAATAAGAAACCGAAGAAAGAAAAGTCCGAGAAGAAACGGAACTACCCAGAATTTGTGGTGTCGCCGCAAAAGCTGAGAAGGCAGGTGCAGCTGCACGATATTCAGAACCTGGTTCTGTGGTTAGCGGCGGATGCAGCTGCGCCGCAGTGGTTGCTTGTGAGGGTAAGTTTTCTATGACAGGATGGGCGGGGTGACTTCGGCAGAGTTGATCGTGCGGTGTAGCATAAACCGGCGATCCGAAGGCTGGTAGTGCTTATGGTGTCGGGGTTGACGATGAACATGTTTGACGGAAACCTGGACCTGGTGCCAGAAGGCCATTCGCCGTCCGATCAGGTCGTACCTGCCAGCGGAACAGCAGAGGAATTCTTCCCCAGTACACTTGATTCGGAAAAGCTTGCACCGTGTCTCCGGGGGATGGCAGATATGTTCTCACACGTCTGGCCTATCAAAGCCTCCGGCGATGACCGCGCCAATAGGATGCATTCGCCCGTGGGTAACTTTCTCACTGCGCCGCTTCCGAAGAAGACCGATGTCGTCAAGGAAACTCCGTCCGCACCCAAACAGCTGAAGGTCATACAGCTCTTGATGACGCTGGCCGAGCTTGTCGAGAATGAGTACCCTCTTCATTCTTCACAACTGGAGGAAGTGCGTATGAGTATTGGCGAGGAGGAGACAGACGAAGATCGGGATCTGTTGGAGAAGAGGACATCGGAGGGCTGGGTGGAAACAGATATCTCGAAAGGAAACGGCGAAGACAAGAACCAAGCTGGCTCTATCCTCGATGGAAAGACCGTCTACTCCCTCGACTGTGAAATGTGCCAGACCGAGCACGGCCTCGAGCTCACACGAATCAGTATCCTGAACTGGGACGGCAAATCAATATACGAAACCTTTGTTAAGCCCACAAATGCAATCACCGATTACCTCACCGTATACTCAGGCATTACCAAGGAGAAACTCGAGAACATCTCGACAACACTAGCAGACGTCCAGGCCCACCTCCTTACTCTCTTCAATCGCGACACCATCCTCGTCGGACAATCCCTCAACTCCGACCTGGTAGCCATGAAATTCGCCCACCCGCACATCATCGACACTTCCTGCATCTATCACCATACCCGGGGACCACCCTACAAACCCTCATTGAAATGGCTCAGTCAGCGCTTCCTCAAGCGCGACATCCAAAACACCGGACCAACCGGCCACGACTCAGCCGAGGATGCACAGGCTTGTCTCGATCTGCTCAAACTAAAAATCGAAAAAGGTGAAAAGTTCGGTACCAGCGACGAAAACCGCGAGAGCATCTTCAAACGCCTCACCCGAGCACCGTACGGGAAAAAGGCCGCAATGGTAGACTACTCCGATCCCAACAAATTCTACGGCGCCTATGCAACTTCCACCCTTGACGCCACCAACGACGATGAAGTCGTTAAAAATGTAGGCAAGTGCGTCAACGGCGATATGGAAGCCGGACTACCAGCGATGGACTTCACGTGGGCGCGTCTACGCAGCCTTGAGACTGCACGCTGCTTCAGCGGCTCTAACAGCAAATCCACCGACATTGACGGCCCGCTCCCGGAAGTCGTTCGCGACCCACCGAAAGAAGTCTTGATCGAAAGCGTTCAGGAAACGGTAACGAGGATCCGGCAGATTTATGACGCCCTGCCGAAATGTACCGCGTTCGTGGTGTACTCGGGGACTGGAGATCCGAGACAGTGGAGATGTATGAATGACCTGCAGAGGAGGTTTAAGGAGGAGTATAAAGTGCGCAAGTGGGATGAGCTCGGCGTCAAGTGGACGGATGCCGAGGATCAGAAGTTGAAGAAGTCATTGAGTGCAGCGAGGAATGGGGTTGGATTTATGGTTGTTAAGTAGCTAGTTGGTTTTTGGAGAGTGGGAGCTCTACTATCGGAGGATGGTATGATACATGCATGTCTGGAATATTTTCGAAACAAAGATGATTTTTCTCGATATAGTAGAGTTCACGAATCAGTTACAATCTAGCCTGGTAATCCGAGAACAGGACGACGTTTTTGTACCCACCCAAGGTTGCCATAATAGATGGGTTCTGTAAATTTCTTTGCTCGTCAACGTGAAGCTTTGCAGTACAAAAAAGTTTAGCTACTCTAGATCACAGGAGAACGAAGGTTTAGGTTTCATGAACGTCAACGAAACCTCGGCAGCCGGACCCGACGGCGCCGGGACCTGACCACGTCGGCCAAATTCTCAGAAAAGTTTCTGAGCCACAACATATAAATTGAAGATCTCTCTCTCGCAAATTCAACGCCTCCATAACTCCAGTATCGGTTATGCGATTCACGTTTTTTGTATTGAGAATCCACGAGTCTTCTGAGATTTTCCGTATGGACCTACAGTCTCCAGACACTCCTCGGCCGCCTATCAATTACTATACGGCTCTCCTTGATCGGCCTGTTCTTTCACGCTATTGACAGCTTCGCGGCGGCGAAAATCACCTCAACAAAGCACTCTCAGTTTAATCTTTGTGTCATCAGACTTGGTTTGAGAATCCACGAGTCCTCCAAGGAGTTTTCCATATGAACCGACAGCTTTTTGGCCTCTTAACCGATGAGTTTAAAGATAATCGCATCTTTTTCAACAACTCGCCTGGCGCTGAACATACGCCTGTTTGCTATCAGCTTACCGTCTTCCCTCTCACCTATCGCGCCCGATCAGTGGCAGTCCTCCGTCCCACCTATCGCTCCAAAGCGTCCAGAGGCACTAGTTGCGCAGAGCCAGCCCAGACAGACCGTTGTGCGAGCTCCCAAATAGACAGTTGTGTGAGCTCTCAAACGGGCCAGCGCTACCCGAAGACGTTCAGCTATCCCCCATAGCCAGAATCTCAACAACTCAGACTTTTCGGCAATCAATCGCGGCCACTGGTCGGAAGATGACAAACAGCTACTCCTGGGCTACTTGTCAGAGAATCTCCGCAATTACGAGGAGTTTAAGGTTAATGGAGTTTTTATACATCCGTAGTCATAGTTGAAGACGGAAGAACGGACGATTGAGAAGCCTGACCATTCCGAATCGAACCCAGGTATTCATATTCATTTTGGAGATCATGTTAAACCTCCTACATACGCCGTCCCAATTTTCCAAAAACCCCTAAAAAGGCGATAAAGATCAACCCAACTTCCAGAACCATAAGATAAACCACGTATCTAGACCTAGCTAGATTCAAGCTGAGCATCCGAAATAAAATGACTCCCCCCCGCACACCTCCATCCATTTGATGTCTTTTGCCATTGGTATCCTGCCACACAAACTCCCATCGCCCTCAACTTTTGCTGGACCTGCGCCTCCTGTTGCCTTCTCTTCTTCTCTAGTTCTCTAATCCTCTCCAGCTCCCTCGCCGCCTTCTCGCCTTCGATGCGAGCCCTTAGTTGCGTCAGCCTCAGGGTCTCCTGCTTCCGTTTGATCTCTTCAAGGGCTGCGTCATCCTTCGCCTTCAGTGCAGCTGCCTCCAGTCTCGCCAGCTCCTCAGCCACCCTCTTACGAACGGCCTCTTTAGCCGCCAGCGCTCGGAACTCAGCTTGCTTCTTCGCGATAGCCTCCTGCGCTTCTCGCAGCCGTTTTTCCTCGGCTGCCTTGCATGCCTGGAGTTCGTTCCAGACTGCGTCCGACACGCCGGGATCGCGCCCGTCGTCTTGCGGGGATGGCGGGACCTCGGCGGCATCCTTTTGCTTCTGGGCGCGCGGCGGTGGGGGAGCTGTTGCTGTCCTCGGGGCTACGGATGGCGGAGGCGGCGCATCTAGCGGCGGCAGAGTCTGAGCAAACTTGGACGTTTCGAACTGCGGAGTCCGGTTTGCGGGGAGGTTTGCTCTTCCCCTCCGTTCTACCAGTAACTGTTTGACACACTCGAGCGCGGTCCGCGCAGATAGCTCGGGCGCGAACGCAGCGGACCCGGAGGACGATGGTGTCTTGTAGACGAAGCCGATCATTTTCTTGGCCAGCGTCTTCATGTCTCGGGCGTTTCCCCACGATGGCAGGACCGTGAGCTCACCGATGAGGCTCCGGAGCACGACATATCCGGGAGAATTCTGATCCTGCAGGAAATCCACGGTGATATTCTTCTTCCCGATGTCACTCGCCATGACCTGAAGGCAATGTTCTGGCGACAGATTGGTGAACTGAACTTCTTCCGGGAACCGGCTCGAGAGCCCGGAATTGACACTTAGCAGCCGGTTCATGTCGTCGTCATAACCTGCCAGGATTACGATCATCTTTCCCAGAAACTGTGGCTTCGTCAGAATATCGACAAGCTCATTGACGGCTTCCGTTGCAAAGTGTCCCTCTGCGAGGCGATAGGCTTCATCCACAAATAGCACCTGACCCAAGGCTTTCTCGAGCTGCTTTTTCGTCTTGGGACCGGTCTGCCCGACATATTGACCGATCAGATCCGTTGCCGAACATTCCACGACCTTGGCTGTCGATAGGAAACCCATGTCATAATATACCTGACCCATTTTGCGAGCTGTCGTCGTCTTTCCGGTACCTATTGAAGGGGTTCAGTATGTTCCGGTAGAGTGTCATGGGGTCGCAGCAGTGGGACTAACCTGGGGGACCCTTAAATATAAAGTTCGTCGGAATGAGCTCGTGCAGTGGGATTCCCTTAGCCTTGGCATTGATGGCTATTTGTTGATAGCCTTCGAGCTTAGCAACGATGTCCTCGCAGCCTATGACGTCTTCAAACAGCTTCCTGCAATTCAGCGTGGCACTGGCGCCTCTGGCAAATTCGGGATCGAAATCCTCGGGCTCGAAGACGACATCGAAGGCTCGCTCTGCTGGAGGCTTCTTGCTCTGCCGGGTTTGGAAATTCGTCTTCGCCTTGCTGAGCATGTTTTCCACCTCGCCGGCATTCCCGAAGTTGGGCCGCATGCTGCACCGATCGAGCAATTCACAGGCTACATCCTTTGCTTCTGGTGTGGCATCAAGACCTTGGTGCTTCAATTTTAGGTCCAAGATTTCCCTCAGTTCAGCGTTCGTAAAGTCCAGGAAATGGAATGCGTCATCTATTGCGAAGCGACGCGCGAGACCCGGATTGACGTTCTGGAACATCGTATTCATCTGTTCTTCGTATCCTAGGAGGAGAACGCAGCGATCTTCTCCCGGTATCGATTGCACCTCGGCGACCAACGTGTCGATGACAGCGGTCTTGAACGGATCACTCTGGTTTCCGACCCCACCCCCTCCTGAGTATAGGCTGTATGCTTCGTCGATCACAAGCACCTTCCCGACCGTTGTTACTAGTATCCCCTTGGTTTGGCTTTCGGAATGTCCTATGTATCCCCCGATGAAGTCCGATGGGTTCTTGACGACAACTGCATACTATTAGTGGTTTGAAAAAAGCCATCCAGAGATTGTGACCAACCTTCCCCGTTGCTGAGCATGCCCAAATCGTTCAACACCTGACCGTAGTACTTCGCCACAGTGGTTTTCCCGGTCCCAGGGGATCCGAGAAAAACACGGTTGAGAGGAACCCGGATAGGCTCCTTTTCACTGAGCTCTCTCAAGTAGTTCGTATGGATCATATCGACCATCGACTGCACCGACTGCTTGACGGTTTGAAGACCTATCAACTCCTTCAGTTTGTTCCACGCCTCACTCTCCCCCAGGGCCTCCGCTGGGTTTGGTCCGATCAGATCTTCCCTTGTGAAAAAGAAGTCGTCTGATATCTTTCCATCTCGAGTCTCTCGGGTCAAGCGAACTCCCTGCCTCTCCCTGATCTTGGCGAAGACATTTGCAAGGCCTCTGGCATTCCCGAATCCGTTTCGGCCTCGGCCTCTTCCCAGGCGCCGGACCACGATCCGCATGTAGAGGCCGCCCATGCCCTCCTCCACCTTCATTCTACCGCCGTACCATTTGTCGATCATCTTTCGCAACATCAGGTGGAGTTCGGGATCCTTGTAGTCTTCGAACTTCAGTGTGTACGGGATTCGACTTGGGATTCCCGGATTGTGCTCGAAGAACTACGAGTACATCACTTGGTGTAAGCATAACCCCGTAGCATGATAGCATGGTGCAGTTGTAACTTACAGACTCCATTTCTTTCGTGTAGCCGGCGAACAGGAAGACGATCTTTCCCACATTGTTCTCGATCTCCGCAAGCAGGAAATCGAGGACTTGGGCTCCGCCGGTGCTCTGCTTCTCGGTGAGCTGGTAAGCTTCGTCAAGAAAGACAGCACCGCCCCCGGCTTTCTGAATGTCGTCGATAATTTTCTTCGCCCCGGGTACGCCGTCGTTGGCCAAACGAGAGCCAGTAGTCTCCACAAATTCGCTCCCCGGCAAAACGCCCTGGTATGTATTCAAGAATTCGGCATATAGACGTGCCACGGTTGTTTTACCTACAGATTGTTGTCAGAAATTCGTCACCAAAAGATGGATACGATTTCATACCAGTGCCGGGATTGCCTAGCATCACCACTCCAAAACGCTCATTCTTGAAATCGACATTTTGACGGAGAGAAACGTCAATCTTTGCCTATTTTTTTTCCGGAGGGGGAACAGTCAGCGATCGAAACATGACCTGCTCACGCCTTGGGAATACCTTGATATTCAAGACCTGCTCCTTGACATTCTCCAGTCCGGTCATGTCCATGAGCGTATCCAAGGCCTTGTTGTTGGCATTTTCGAAAGCTTTCTGCCGTCGCCATTCTTTCTCCGAATCTGAGGGTTCGAGCACTGGATCTGGAACCAGTTTGCGCGGTCTGGCATGTGGTTTGGCCGTAGCTGGTGGTACGGCGGCGGGAGTAGTGCTGGTTGAAGGATTGGTTGGAGGCGTGTTCGTGCTTGGATCCAAGGGTGCTAGAGGGGGTACGCGTGGGGGCTGCTGAGTTGCAGGATCCTGTGGAGACGAGGGCAACGTGGGCTGCTGTGGGGGAGGGATGGGTGCCCGACGTGCAGCGATAGCAGCGAAGGCAGCGTTCTGCAGATCCCGTTTCTTCTGCTCGATAGCATTTTCCCTTGCTATGCGGTCCTGTTCGTCTTTCATCTCTTGTCTCTTCCGTTCGATCTCTTCGTCGAGAAGTACCAACTGCCGGAGGTGTTCCTTCTGTGCCGCTTCGCGTTGCTGTTGCAGCTCGAAATCTCTCTGTTGCCTCTTTTCAGCAGCCAGCCGCTCGCGTTCACATTTTTCACACACGACCGGCGGCCCTTTGTGACACTTCCATCGGTACGGGTGGCCTTGATCGCACTTCGCGTGCGTAACGAATTCACAAGGCATCTTTGAATGATCCGAAAGCTGATGACAGTGTTGAGGGCACTTATGCACTCCACAGCTGAGGATAGTTCCGCTAGAATTCTGGTTAGAACCATGCCTTTGAATAGGATAAAGGGAATCCTTACCATGGTTCTGTACACCCACCGTCGGGACACTCGTCGTCAAAGTCTTGAGGCTTGCGGAGGAACGTTTTCCTGTCCGGGTGCCGCTCACATTTTGCGGGAAGTCCGTCGTGAATGAATCCACCTACCTTCAGAAGATCGAAGAACCTGGTCCACATTTCCTTACCCTTGCGGGCATGGAGGAAGGTTTCCGGGTTGCTGAATGTGAAAGTTAGCATTTACTTTTGTTTCCATACTGCACCAAGGACGTACATACCCAATCAGTATGAGACCGTTTTGCGCCCGAGACAAAAGAACGTTCAACCTCTCCGGAGCAGACATAAAGCCAATGTCGTTGTCGTCATTGCTCCTTGTGAGGGAGGCAATTACGATCTCGCTCTCCTCGCCTTGATAGTTATCTAAGAACAATCAGCCTTTGAACCCAAGTTGTTTCAATACTCGACATAGCCGAAGGTAGGTTCCCGTACCGATGGACGAAATCTTTATAGGGTTCTTGGTGACGTGAGCACTGGCAGCCGGTAACAATCTATCCGACAGTCAGAAATTTCGTCACACGGTGTTTCTGCAGTCGTGAACTTACCCAGCGCGGACCAGATCATAAGAGTCAAGATCGTTGAGGACGGGATCGTTGTCTTTGCTCAACTTTTCTCGAAGCAGTTGTAGCTGCCCAAGATATGGCGTCAAAACCACGATTTTGTCCGTGCCATATCCCTGCTGCCCAAGGTATCGAACGGATTTCAAAACCATTTCAGCCTCGAATGTGTTTTGTTTGGAGGATTTGTACGTCAGTCCGTCCTTATCTCCTAGTCGGGGATTATGGTCTTCTGGCTTGTCATGGCTGACAAAGATCAGATTGCCATTATGGAATCCTCGAATGTCTGGCCGTTGCTGAGTCCCAGGTCCGTCGATGAGGTCCGGATAAGTTAGAGTTCTGATGAGTGAGGATATTTCCGGTCGCATGCGATGCTGCATGGTAAGAGTCTGATGGGGAAACCCCTTCATGACGAGACGCTCGAATAAGGATCTATTGAGATCGTATCCGTCACCTTTCTCGACTGTTAGCTGATAATTGCTCACCTTTGGCCGTAGTTGTTTGTGGTCGCCGATCAGGATCAACTGGTCGGTCTTAAACCCCAAAGCAGTGAGGATATGACTCTCCAGTATCTCTCCCGCCTCTTCCTATTAAATAGTTATTCAATGAAACTGGCTTCGAATGGTGGTGTTTTAATTCTTACCACTAGAAGCACGTCTGCATTCGCTGCCTGTAATTCCTCATACTTCATAGCTGCAGCACTCGTCGTACACCCGATGATACGTTTCTCCCGTAGGACTGTGGCATCCTTCAATCTGTACATGCGGCTGATTTTGTTCTGGCATTCGTTATACTCTTGGGCGAGAGCACTGATGTCATGTGCCTGTTCTCTGGACAGTGTCGTCGTCCATCGCTGGTATATAGCCTCCCGGTCTGGGTATGGCTTTTCCCAGATCCCCCGCGTTTCTTGGGTGACATTCCATCTGAAAATTCCAGCATCCAATCCCCTAAGCCATCGATCAAGTAGGTAATATTCATCCACGGCCTTGCCTTTTTTGCTTACCGTTACCATTCCATCGTCGTTGGAAGGCACAGTGAACGCCCCGAACCAGTCCGGTCCATCGTCATCAAGGAACTCTAGATGAGTCATGAACTGGTGAAATTGGTTCGGAGCGGAAATATATTGTTGGAAGTCCTGTTTCAGCTGCATATCCAGACGACGTGCCTCCGATTTGAGTTGGTCAATGACCTTGTAGGTTTCCCGGGGAAGACCTCTGCCGCCGGCACCTTGGAGAACAAGAGGCTTCGTCCTGGCAGTCGACTTGGCTCCGAGGCGCACCATACTTGACGCAGGAATTCCGATATCAAGCAGATCCTCCAAGAACTGATCGAGGGCGTGATTTGTATAACACACCACGAGGATCGTCTTGTCGGTGGAGTCATGGATAATCTTGGCAAGCAAAGCTCCGATGAAAGACTTGCCGGTACCTGCAGAGAATCAATTAGTAGGCGAATAGACAGTGGGGCCCGCGTGGGATGAACTTGCCTGGCGGTCCTTGGATAAGACTGACTCTCTGCCTCAATGCTGTAAGTAGAGACACGCACTGAGACTTGTCCAGTCTAATTTCTTTCGGCGATTTGATTTTGAGAAGCCCGCGCAAATCTTGGGACGGGTTGGTTTCAATCTCCCGAATGCGCGCGTCGGGAACTGACGAAGGTTGCTCGACATTAGTTCCTTCGGTCCATGACAGCAGCTCGTCGCTCAGCTCCATTTCCTTGATGCCTTGTAAGCGGATAAGAATCGGCTCATATGCGAAGACCGCAGTGTTGATCTGAACCAACTTGATAACACGCCCGGTCTTGAGCTTGAGAAATGCGTTATGCATGTTCTGGTTACTAGAGAACTGTAGCAATAGTATCGGTAGTTTGGCGGCAAGGAGGTCTTCGTCGCGGTTGATGCATGGGAATGCCACTACTTCGTTATCGACGATCAAGCAGGTTTGAGAAAGATGCTTCATGAAAGTTTTGTTCGTGATTAGGAACTTCTTCCGCTTCGCCGGCTCCTTGTGCTTGCCGAGTTGGGGGAGATCCTTCGCGCACTGAAGTTTGAGGCCCCATGGTTGTTGGCGAGCAGGATTGCATTCGATTCCGAGTATCTTGAAGCCTTCGAGAATCATCCCGCGATGGGGTTTCTTCTTGATTCCAAGGGCAATCTGCAGCTCCTCGCGCATCTCCGCAACCATGTCTTCCCGTAAAAGTCGAAATTGGTTGTCCAGATGGATTCCGAGACGCACCCCATCGTCACACGCCTCCTCCATAGCCTTGGCCGTCCGCATGAAGGGCTTCTCTTCGGTTCTGAACTCGTCTGCAGTTGGCATGATGGTGATTTTCCGAAAGTCGGGGAAATCATTGTCATGACGCCCTCCCGGACCGCCGTATCCGTCGAAGGTGAGTGGAGTCGCCGTGGTGGTCGAAACGATGTGTTTGATCCTGTGGCCGAGGTTGCGGACTTCCAAGTGAGGAGAATTCAACAGGCGTTCCTGCAGGGCATCCTCTTGAGCGAGCTCATTATACTGCGCGGCCTTTTCCTTCTGAAGAGACACGAGCTCAAGGAGTAGCCAAGCAAAACATTGTTGCGCCTGTCGCTCCAGTTTATCGTCTTTGTATGCGCGTACGAAGCAATCCCAGAAAATCGGCGGGTCTACCATCTTCGAGAGGACCTGGTGTAGGAGATCGCCTCCCATGATGGTCTTGAGGTCTGGATTCTGTAGATATTTGAGGGTCAAGGCTGCCGGCCCGTTCAAGAAGGTCGGATCTGTTCTGAAGCGCATACATTGCTGAACAGTAGGAAGAGCCCCAGCTATGAGCCTCTGAATACAATCTGCTGGGTCCTGCACCCTGATCGATTCCAAAAAAAGGTTGCCCTGTGTAGAAGTCGATACCGGCTTTTTACCTGTTACAACCTGATTGAAAAGAACGTCGAGTTTGGCCTTTCGTTTGGCGTCGTTAGGGTCCCCAGAGGACGCAGACATCTCTCACGATGTCAAAAGATGTAAATTCTGGGAAATGAGGGGTAGAGGATGTTTCGTGCGAGTGAGGTGAGACAGCGTTGGGAGCCAAAAAGAGAATGCAGAAAAGCGGATGTTCGGACGAAGTAGAGGGCGAGACAGAGGACGAGACAGAGGGTGATTTTCAAAGGCAACTCAATGGGGGCGGCAAGAGTATCTAGACTTCCGGCGGGTGGAAGAAGAGGGGTTGTAGAAAGACGGAGAAGATATGAGGATGCCGGTATTCTAGAACGTGCAGGCTGCAGCACCGTGTTTGGACGTTTGGGGCTCGCCGGTTGAAGCATCATATATCACGTCACTGCGCCGCATGCGCTATGGTTGGCCGTGTAAGGAGCAGTGTCGTCCATGGTGTTCTCTCTCTAGCAATGTCGTCCATAGAACAGCGGCGATAGGTGTGAATGTACGTTGTGACCGTCGAGGCCCATCACTAAGACGTTCGCATCCTGCCACAACAATTCAGACTCTAGAGAACTCCTCCGAATCTTCGGTATTGTCCCGCAGCACATAACTGCCCCCTCAGCCTCCAGGTCTTGAGAATCCAGACACCTGTGTCCAGCACACCTTCCCATTCACATATCGTTAGCGCTTTCTTCCATGCGCACTGACGCGTGCATTCCTTGTGCTCGGCAGCGTGGCCCCCACGATGCGAACAGGGTCGCGGTGCTGGAGACATCACGTCGTTGGAGACATCACGCCGCTAGAGACATCACGCCGCTGGAGATATCACCCTGCTGGAGACATCACCCTGCTGGAGACATCACCCTGCTGGAGACATCACCCTGCTGGAGACATCACCCATTGCCCGACCAAGTACAAGACTTCCCCCAAGTCAAGCCGTAGGATTTGCGGTCCACGCAGAGAAAACGTCACGAACCGAAGACTAGCCCCGCAAAGGCCGCGACTACTTACATACCAGGTAAATAGTTACAATGTCGCGGAGAGGGAACAAGTGCGCGAAGTGTCACGGTCTTGATTGTTCTGCAATCATCTATAACTATACTCTAGAGTACCATTAGCCGCATTCCGCTAACCACATACCATCTGGTCCGACTTCAATCATCTCCACAGCATGTCGTAATTTCCGTCTGGCGTCCAGATTGCTGCATTGCGCATAACCACGTTTACGGAGGAAGCTTTGGGTGCGGCACGGTGGGATGGTTGGACGGGGAACGGAACCTTGTCGTGACGGGGTTCGTTCGCAAACCTGCGCCTCTTTACCAAGCGAAGCGTGAAGGGCAAGAATGCACAATGCAATGCGCGTGACGGTGGACGCGGATGATGAGAGCGGATGAAGGCGAGGTAGAGGCCGTCTTTCTGGAGAGTGATCGCGAATCTGGGGGACGCGCTGCCGGGGAACCGGTGGTTACTCTAGGGCAATGGTATGCGCGAGGGGATGATTGTGTTGTTTTCCGTGTTCGCTTTGTTTTATTGTGGAGCGCTTGTTGCGGCGAATGTGCTTGCCGGCTCTTGCGGCCGCAAACTTGCTTCCATTCCCGGCGGTAAACGGTTGCCGGCTGGGGGCGGAGGTCAAACCGCAGGCAGTGCGGGCACTGGGACAGTGGTAATTACTGCCTGTTAAACGGCGCAATCAACCAAGTCAGCATTCCTGCGCCGAAGAAGTAGCGAACATTGCGGGAGTGATTGTGCGCCGTGCCGTACTCTACACGTGTGCCGGGAGCCCGAGCGAACACGGCGTGCAAGCACCCCCCGCCGCAAACGCCTCCATTCCAGAGATCCATGACTCCTCCACAATACACACCGTTTTCAAAATCCGAGACGACAGAACTTTCGGGTGCCTCATCTTCCGCACTGTCCTCTACATGCTACGCTTGTGTTCTGCCATCGGTGTTGGGGGGAAGCCTGAAGGGAGAGTCCATGATGGTGTGGGCACTGTGTCGTGTGTTTTTATCCTGGCCGCACTGCTACGCGTGGTTCATAGTTTCTCTCCAAAATCCGCGACACGGCAAAAAAACTCCCTCCAACCGCTGCATTGTTTCTCCACCAGGGTGCGTGTGTGCTGGAGGCTATGTTTCGGCCTTCAAGGTCCGGTATGTATGTTGATGTTGGGCAACCGAAGCACAATCGGTGGTGCTGAGGGAGCTGTTAGCTAAAGTCGACGAGAAGAAGACGATATGGCTTGACGATGTGACTTATCGAGTGAGAATCGCAACAGTGCTATAGATCTAGCCTACGGCGAGTTCTAACTATCACCGTACCAGAGAAGAAGGGAAGCAAGATGACGAACGAGGTAGTCGCACACCGGAATTGCGTACCGTCGTTACCTCGGGGATGGCGTGCCGACGGGGAAGGGGCTCGTTCAAGAGTCCCCCACTTGTGGAGAAGCGGACGAGGGGGAGGAGGTTGTCCAAAGCCTCTCGCAACCTAGCTTTATACATCCCGTGAATTTTGTGTGAGTGCTCGGTGTCAAGAACTACCGACACGTTGGCACACCAATAAACAGCGATAGGTAAGTTATTCACATCGAGCACCTATGTACATACTTAGTAGGTACATGGTTAGGACTTCTAAGCAGTCATTCTCTCTCACTCGTCTTCAATTTCCGTTCTCCTTTGATTGTTTGAAAACAAAACCTACACCATCCCTGTGGCCAGAGCGGAGCAGAGCGTCAAGATGTCAGCCTGCAGTGCCTTTCTTCTCTCTGCAGTATAGCTGGCATGTTTCCACTAGTCAATCTAGTTAGTCCTCCATCAAAGCACCTGGAACCTCTAGGACGATTCTATGAATGTTAGTACTATGTAGGAAACAGAGAGTGCGCTCTCGTACTCAGCTGACTGCGTCTCGCATTCTTGGAAGCCCGGCTGTTTCGTCACGTACGGTTCGTTCGTCCAGTGGATAGCCGAGAGCCCCATCACCCCCATCCGAGATCTCTACTTTCCTACAGAGACTCAGAGTACTGGCAATCAAAGCGGGAGGCGGGATACAGGTTTTTACTTTGTTTAATTAGTAATCGCTTGCGACCCAAGCAGATCATGGCAATATAAAGGCGGGATACAGGTTGGGGGCTATTTAGAACCGAGTTAGCGACCGAGTGACGCGCTGTGTCGTCGCGCGGGAAAGTCCATCAGCTCGTCCAAAGCGGTAGGGGCGGACTACTCAGCTACGCATTCATAAGCCGACCTCCGGCTGGTGGAGGAGAAGACGTCTGATACCGGCCACGAAAGAACTGCTTAGTAGTTTCCAAACAACATACGGAAAGTACCTACCTAAGTAGGTCTACCAGGCTCCAACGGTATACGGTACTTGCAGCGCAGGCTCAACGCCATACGCACACCCGCCTCTCCATCCGGAGAGCGGGTTGAGTTAAGCCGGACGAGGTCGGCGTTCCACGGTACCCCCACCTGCTGCGGCAGGCAGTGCTTCGGTTGCGGCGGGTGTCCGGAGTGCAATGCGATATCCACCGGGGGTGACAGAGCAGGGTGGAATCGGGATGTTGGAGTGGGAAGGAGCGAGCGAGGGAGCGAGGGAGGGAGGCTCTATTATACGAGTGAAGTATTGGTATAGAGCACTGCGGAGTGCACAGCACAGCACAGACAGATGTATGTAGGATATATGTAAGTATGTATTTACTGGTGCTGTAGCTATCATCCGGCATCCCAACGGGCCGGCCAATGGTATGTTGTTGGGCTTCGTCGCGAAAACCACACAATGGGCCCAGCGACGTCCCCTGAATCGGCCAATACCGGTGCTGCAGAATCGGTTCGCTGAAGATTAGAAACATTGTGGGATGATTCCTGACCTGAGTACCTAACCATCGTCCGATACACCGCAAGAAAGAAAACAAAACACCATTTTCGGGACTTCGAGTGCCTTTAGGAACCCAGGTGTATCAATAGAAACGACGTGCCGTACAAAAGAAAGTCATTCCCTACCCATGACAGAAGGAAGAAAACGTATGCGACAGAAACTGATCGATTACGTACATGCAAAAGAGCGACAAAAGAGCGACAAAACACCAAGATTCCCTTCCACCATTTGAGAATAGCGCAAGTAGGAAATCATTAGGCCTAGGAAAACATATCACCATCACACACCTCGCCCTTGCACAAACATAAGGAACCAACATCGGCATCTGTGATCCATGCCCCATGGATGTGAATAAGTCATTTTGCATAATATCTCCCACTCGAACTTGCGGACTGCGCTTAAGAGAATGAAATGAATGAATTTACGATAACTGTGGCAAGATTTTGTAGTAATATTAGCACAAATGGTAAAGACGGCGGTTAGAGGGTTACCCGCACCTTATGTGGTAGCGCCTGCTGTACATAGCCGTTCCACTATCTCAAGATGGCCTCCCTTCGATGCTGCTTGTAGCGCTGTTCTTCCAAGAAATTCAGCTGGCTCTGCGTTGACATTGGCCCCCTTCTCCAAAAGTCGATTCACCAGCTCAAGATGGCCTCCCTCCGATGCTGCTTGTAGCGCTGTTCTTCCATCGCCACGTGCTGGCTCTGCGTTGACATTGGCCCCCTTCTCCAAAAGTCGATTCACCAGCTCAAGATGGCCTCCCTCCGATGCTGCTTGTAGCGCTGTTCTTCCATGAAATTCAGCTGGCTCTGCGTTGACATTGGCCCCGTTCTCCAAAAGTCGATTCACCAGCTCAAGATGGCCTCCCTCCGATGCTGCTTGTAGCGCTGTTCTTCCATTCCTCCATGTTGGCTCTGCGTTGACATTGGCCCCGTTCTCCAAAAGTCGATTCACTATCTCAAGATGGCCTCCCTCCGATGCTGCTTGTAGCGCTGTTCTTCCATTGCCCCATGTTGGCTCTGCGTTGACATTGGCCCCCTTCTCCAAAAGTCGATTCACCAGCTCAAGATGGCCTCCCTCCGATGCTGCTTGTAGCGCTGTTCTTCCATCCGATTCAGCTGGCTCTGCGTTGACATTGGCCCCCTTCTCCCAAAGTCGATTCACCAGCTCAAGATGGCCTCCCTCCGATGCTGCTTGTAGCGCTGTTCTTCCATCGCTACGTGCTGGCTCTGCGTTGACATTGGCCCCCTTCTCCAAAAGTCGATTCACCAGCTCAAGATGGCCTCCCTCCGATGCTGCTTGTAGCGCTGTTCTTCCATCCGATTCAGCTGGCTCTGCGTTGACATTGGCCCCCTTCTCCAAAAGTCGATTCACCAGCTCAAGATGGCCTCCCTCCGATGCTGCTTGTAGCGCTGTTCTTCCATCCCACACAGCTGGCTCTGCGTTGACATTGGCCCCGTTCTCCAAAAGTCGATTCACCAGCTCAAGATGGCCTCCCTCCGATGCTGCTTGTAGCGCTGTTCTTCCATCCCACACAGCTGGCTCTGCGTTGACATTGGCCCCGTTCTCCAAAAGTCGATTCACCAGCTCAAGATGGCCTCCCTCCGATGCTGCTTGTAGCGCTGTTCTTCCATCGCGACGTGCTGGCTCTGCGTTGACATTGGCCCCCTTCTCCAACAGAATTTCCACGATATCCGTTTTGCCGGACGCCGCTGCGAATTGCAATCCCGTCCGCCCCGACCCGTTATCGCAGTTGACGTCAACAATTCCATAATCTAGCAGGTGGCGGACGTTTACAGCATCTCTTGAAAGGATTGCATCATAGAAGGCATTTATGTACCTCGCGTCCACGGCCGAGGGAGAGATTTGGTTTTCTTCATCAAGAATTTTCGCCTTGTTGCTGGAAACTAGTAGTCGTAGTCGTTTCAGGACGTTCAGCATGGCTTCAAGTAAACCCTTCGCCAAATCTTTCCCTGGTTGCCGAAGGTACTTCAGCAAAACCACCGCCATCATAACGGCAGCAAACACTGGCACTGCAATGTAGAAATAGGTCGTCCAGCGAGGGTTGTCCTTAAGCGCGTCCACATTCATTCCGTACAAACTCTAATAGGTACTTAGTAAGCAACTCTCAAAGTTTCGAAACGCAAGGTATCTTACCGCGACGAATAGTAACGGTAGAAAGATAAACTAAGAGGATTTGTGGTCAGTTACTACTAGACTAGGGATTGTTACGGTGGAGGAATGTACCGTGATCCAAGAAAGCCTCTTGACGCTGTAATTCTGCTCTCGGGCCTTGCATGCCTCGTCGATGGAGACGATATTGGATGCCTAAGCATAGGACTGTTAGATTTCACACTGGAAAAGAGAAATTTCCACTAGGATACCCTTTGAAGCAAGACATCGATTCTTCTAATCAACCCTTCTTCTAAGGTTTTGCCGACACCTGCAAGCCGCTGCTTTGCTTTTACTAGATCGGTGCTGACCTCGTTGTCTCGCTTGGGTACCTTGCCCTCTTGACTCGAGCGCTTCCGTGGAACTCTTGATGTCGCCCACCCCGGATGTGAGGTCATCCGTACAGCCCTATAGTAACTTCCGTAGGGATATCTAGGGCGGGGGCGTTGGTTGGAATGAGGCGGCTTGTCCTGACTCTTCAGGTCGGCGTCGTCATTTTCTTCCTCGTCCTCACTCCCCAGGCGTTGATTCCACTTCACATCACTGATCTGATGCAAGGCCTCAATGCTCTGAATTTGTTCGCGCTGCGCAGCTTCCAGTCGGGAGGCTACGTCGGCGACGGAGACCAAGGACCGTATGAATTGTCGGTAATTCAATTCCTGATCACCCATTATTTTCCTGCTCTAAAAACTATGAGTCTCATACTCTGGTATCATAGGATTGAGAAAACATACTGCGTCAGACAATAATTGCTTATAGCAGTTGATCAGCTTCTCCCAATCTCCACACACATCGTTTAAGCAAGAAGCTAGAATTGATGCAGGTGTGGTGTTAGGTATAGATTGATTGTCGGTATTCTTCCAGAGGTGGTTGAAGTAATACTTTCGGCCGGATTTGTCGGTCAGGAAGAAGAAGGCGAGGCGCTTCCGGCGGACAAACGTGTGGCTTCTCATCGTCAGCTTCTCGTGTTAGGGTTATTGATCACAAACGCACATCGCAGTATCAGTATACAGCGTTACCGTCTCATCCGTGGACGCGATCTGCGCCGTTTCGACGTCCTCAAGTACTTGTGGCCTCTCTCGGATGCCCACCTCTTCGTAAGTTGGAATTTGCACCCAGAAACCGCGTGCTGTTCAGTCAGTGATGTCCACAAACAAACACTCCAAGCCGCAGTCATTTATCACGTACCGCAACGGGGTTTGAGATCGCCTGGGCATCTTTTGCAGCCACATTTTTCGGCATTCCCGATACATTCATTACAATCACATGAGGAGCTCTTGAGGTAACCCGAACAATCTTTGCATTCACATGAAGAGCCTTGGCACGTCGCCTTTAATCCGGAAGAATCGCCTGTTTCGGGGACATTCACTAAGCCTGGAGCCAGAGGTGCGCGGGACGAGCTGCACAACCCGGCGTATCGGGAATACAGAAGGGCTAACAGTTTTGCCGAGAGCTCCTGGGTGAAGCTATCTTGAATGAGAATGTGGATACACACTTGACACTAGTCGAGGAGATACAAACTTGAAGAGAACTGGTTTATCTTTCTAAATGGGTATTAGCAATGGCGGCTGGGGCGACAGCCACTCGATCTCCACCTACCGTCGTGTCGACCTTATGTAGCGCATCTCGTAGATCTGCTTCGGTACAGATCTTATCGAAATCATCTCCTAGCCACACCTCCATGACAACCGGATTGGACATTTCGAAAGGCTTTGCCGGGTAGTGTAGGTGTAAGTGACGGAGCGCGAGGACCGGTGTTGAGCGATGACAGTTCTTCGAACGCGACAATTGATGCGGGCTTCGAGTTCGTAGGGTACGTGAGATCCGACGGGCGGGCAAGATTCGTAAGGTACGTGAGATCCGACGGGCGTGCGAAATTCGTGGTGAAGTTACGCTGTGACGAGAAGATGGGAAAGTCGGGCAAAGCGGAGATACTCCAGCCGCCACACAGATTATGTGCTTCTTGGCTTTGCCAGTTGTCGGATGGTGATTGGGATTGGAGTCCCCGCTGAAGTGAGACATACGTGCTGCAGGCCGGTTGGGAACTGGCGTTTGCCTGATGGTGGAGCAACAGCCGCGGTCATCGTGGCATTGCGAGTAGATACAGAACTCTGAAGGGACGTTTATTTGCTTCCGGCATGTGAGATGTTGATAGAGTAAGTACTTGTTCGAAGGATGTTGGGAGAAGAGAGGTGACTTTACGTCGTAGAGCGTCCTCGTTCCTGAAGGGCCCATACGCAGCCCTGCATGCGTATGGTTTGGGACACTTTGAGCCGACACTAACTAAGGGCCTGTTCGGTCGCCAGCTGCATTTTCAAACCTTGGGTTTTCTGACGAGTTGACGCTTACTAAAGCTGAAGCTGCAAATTCTCGTCTCCCCCAATGTCCCATTTGGCAACCCAGATATTTAACAGCACGCCACACTGTTTATTTGTATTGTGGCTCAGTCGAAAATATGCAGTTTTTCAAATTGTTAACTTGGGGTGGTGTGCCGAACGCTCACCCATCGCCCGGAAACTGAGGGTTTCAAACTGCATCTAAAGTTTATGTGGTAAATTTGAAATGCAGCTGTGTTTATCATTTGAGAGCGTAAACTGAAAATATGGGCCCGTCGACACAAGTTGTGATGGTGAATGCCGAACGACAAGGGCGCGACAATATACCGAGAGAAGGGACCAAGACCCAAATCCAGCCTCGGTGGGTGCAGAATAGGAAAGTACTATACTAGGCGAGTATTTTGCATTCTTCAAACTTATTGTACCTATATGTAATCCAACCGCAACGTTCACCAGCTCTCGGAAACTACACTTCACCACGAGGCCTCAGCTAATGGAAAATATTTATTTTTCTTTTCTCAGTCCTCGCGAAGGCGGAATGGGTACTTCAGATAATGGTGCACTTCGGGTAGTCGGGCTTCACGGATCGCCTCCCGCAACACCTCCAAGCTTCGGCCTCGAAATGTGAAGCGGTATTCAATGTCAAATATGTGCCACCCGGGGGTTTCCAGTCTTGCCTGAACGACGCCGTGAGACTTAGCCGCGAAGGTCGGGATCGTTCGGCACGGCAATATTTCACGGATCATGTGATTTCAAAAGTGGCCCCCAATTCTGGCCGCACTAGCACTACACACATACAAAAAGTCATATGGAGATGCCCGACTGGAAAGTCACTTCAAAGCACAATTAATTCCTGATTTCCAACGCTCAACCTCTATTTATCCTTGATCGGAATGTCGCTGCCAGTGGTCGACTTGTACTGTCCGCGGATGACTGCGCATCTCGTGTTAGCGACGGGCTCCCTGGGGTAGGAGCACGCGACTCACAATCGCTAATCTGTTCGTCCTTTGCCTGCTCAAGGGCACTCTCGTTGTCCTGGGGTCCAGCTCCCATGAACTTCTCCTGGACGAGGTCGATACCTTCATTCAACCTTGTCAGTTGTCCGTTTGGATCCCGGGGAAGAGAGGTAGCGCTCGGGCTAGGGCTCGGACTCGGACGCACCCTTGTCAAGATAATCTTCCTTCTGTTCACTCTGCTTGCCGCCACCGAGAGCACCGTTGATGCTGTCCATGAAGCCGCCGCTCGACTCCTGGGTTGTCGCCTCGGGCTTCTTCTGCGTGTTGCCGCCGCCGGTAAGGTTCTTGACGTAGTCCATGATGTTTCGATTCTTATTGTTTGGATTTCGTGGATTGGATGTGTAGTGGTCGGGTTAAGGGTGCTCGTTCGTATGTTGGTACTGATGTTGTCAAGCGGAAAGCGGAAAAAGTGATGTTTTATGGCCGCGGACAGAGGCGGTGATGTCACGGCGCGGTGACGGATTGCCGCCGATCATTCTTGGAAGTTGGAATTGCTGGGGGAGCCTGGGGGCAAATTGCCGTAAGGAACCGCGGCGAGGCGGTAATCTATTCTGCCCCAGATTACCTGGCCGCTCGCGACTCCCAAGTAACCAACTGACTGAGACCGCATGTGACGTCAGCGATCGTCACTGACCACACTAACTCTCGTCGGTTGCAAGCTACAGGCCGATCACGGGAGAAATATTCTCCGAACACCTGTTTACCCTTGATGGTGCGCCGGCTGAATCTGGGTTCGAATTATTTTGGCATGCGATAAGCGAACGAGGCCAAGAAACGCATATCCAAAGAGAGAGAAAATCAGGTTCGAGTATGGTGCCTGCAGTCTATAACGGCACAGTGGTTTTTAGCTTTGCATCCGGATAACTTACATGGCAACAGCCGACCCCACCAAAAAGAACAAAAAAGATCACCTGACAACTCTCAAACATGCAACTTCACCACCCGGCGATCACTAGTATACACCAGTTCCTTTCCACTACGAGAATCAATCATTGCCGGTGGTTGGCTATGCATATCCTGGGACAGGCTATCTGGTGGTGGCGTCTGGATGGCGGCCCGTATTTCGGATGGCAGTTGAAGAGCTGAGTTCCGGGTCCGAAAATCTCTCCGAGCTTTTCTTCAAGCGAGTACATGTGACCACTCCACTTACTTTAGAGTGAAAATCAGTTGCTATCACGTGGGGGTTTAGTGTACACGATGATGATTTCCATAAAAACCCGATGTTTCATCTTGCAAAAAATATCCACACCAGCATCGGACCAGGAGTCTAATGATGGGGGAGGTACACAACCTGTGCCTTTTCCACTTTCCGTCACTCATAGCTGCTGCCGGCTGCTAGCTGGCTTGAACAATTAACCGCAATAAGTGGGCCCTTCAAAATTGCAGGCACCATACACACAGGGCTTCGTTCGGGAAAGAGAGTGTGACAGGCCTCGGAAGCTCGTGCACAAAACATCCGAGATGGGGCGCAAGGACGGATCTCAGGAAGGGTTCACGCTGATGACGAGGTGCGCCATAAATAAAGACTCGGTGCATATTATTCGTTCGGTTTGGCTTGTGAAGGCCCAGGCGGGTGGAGTCGCTCCCTCGTACTAGATCTATGCAACGCGCCTCCGAGTGCTCGAAGAGTCGGGATCCGGGTACATACAACTTGCCATTCTGGCAATACCTACGGTACCTAACGTATGATACGGCGAGGCAATAAAACCGAAGTAGGTGCATATAAAACATGACAACCGAAATGCCCACCTGAAGGCTGAAGTATACCACGATTCCGTGCAGATAAAACACCAGCAAATATGCAGTGCTTGGAGACTACCTACATACGTCGGCATCGCCTACACTTCTGGTAGTGTTCAGTACATCCCTCACTGGACAAGTAAACGGCTGCCGGAGGAGCAACCATCTACGGGCCGTGGAAGCAATGTACACAGGCAACGATGCATCACCATCACGTCACGGCCGAAACGCCTTCATATATCCCCCCTCTCACCATACTCTACTACCCTATCAACACAAACCTCCCAAAATGCCAACCATCACAATCCGCTGCCTCCCCACAATCCGTCCGCGCTTCCTATCCACGACTGCCCGCCTGGCCAGCCGCCGGCCGCGGGAAGGGACAACAGGAGTTTTCAACGACCCGGCGTCTTCCAAAGCCGCCGAAGAAACGCGGCCCATGGGCAGCCAGCAGGACCGCGTGCTCACCGACGAGATCAGGAGCCGGAAGTTCGATAGGATGTCGGAGGCCAACGAGGTGCGTTCGATACCTGCGATACCTGTGACTGTGCGATGGACATGGGCATGATGCTAAGCATTAACCTGTGGATAGGGTCAGGGGGAGTCTTCGACGTTTGGTAAGGAGGAGCGCGTGGGCGAGCGTGGCGATGGGAAGCCGACGAAGACTGGCGGCAGAAAGGGTGGCGGGTTCGTTATGGTGGATCAGTGATCTTTCGCTATCTCTATGCTTGACTTACTGGTACATGTGCACATCTGTTCAATGTTTACTTTCTTAACCGAACAGAAATGTCGCCGCAGCCTGTCTGTGCCATCATATTCGAGGGGAGGGTACCGTGCGGTGGTGATTAGGTGTGAATCGTAACTGCGTCCCAAGTCGGGATCTATGTAGCAGCTGAGGGACCTGGTGGCGCAAGGATGAAGAAGGTATAATTGCAATCTAGATACTCCAATGGCTCATTCGTAGACGTTTATATCCTATCCTTTAGCGGTGAGTCCTATTTTCCGACGCGTCATGCTATGTAGAGGCAAGTTCCCATAACTGCAAACGTTACCTGTTGGGGAGGCTCGCCCCCCGCACACGATCGGGACTTGGGGTTTCTCAATTATCGGTACTGTATGTAGAGAGAGTCCTTGAATAGCCGAAAAGTCTATCTTTCGCCTCTGATTATCTGAGATTAGATTTGTGGTCAGCTAAGGACAGCTGTACCAGAATTCGGCCGAGACATTCGCTGGGCCACAGATCTAATCTCAGATAATCTCCTACAGAGGGGTAGTAGTGGGGATTCAGAGCACCTACGGTACCTACATCTTTCCAGCCGCCCAAGTAAACTGCTACCATACTCACTGCTCGCACTCATACAAGCGGTGGTAAGATCTTCGGGTCACGTGGCTCGACTACGGTAGGTATTCGGAGCCCATGGCTAAATTCCACGGAAGCAACCAACCAAAAGTTTTGCTTAATGCAACCTCGCCAGCTTTCTGTACTCTGATGTGTATCTTGGATACCCTTTTACCTCCGGTCACTTGGTACTATCATAGCCGTCCCGCCTGCTCCGTCGGCACACCCATCAATCAAGCTGCAGCTTGATAGCCGGGAACGCCAATCGGCAAGCGGGCTGCGGCCATAATCCAGTGTGAAACTGCCCGTCCTGTTGGTAGGCAATGGCATATACCCATGGTAAGTTCGGAGTGTTCATAACGGTGTGGCGTTTTTCCCGGTGGTAGGATTTCGAACCTCGAAGGCGCGGTCGGCCGCTGGATGCGGGGGGGTGGGAATCCTTGGGATACTCATGTCTCAAAGTTCATGTCTGGAAAGAGCTACAGTACAAGATTGGAGAGGCGGGGGGGAGGAGGGAGAGGAGGGAAGGAGAGGAGGAGAAGGAGATGCTTCCTCGGACACAACAACCGACGAGGGACGAGCGCAGCCAACAAGGAACCTCTGCCTTCGTCAGATCCGCGGCAAAACTCGCGGTTAACCAGCAACCATGCAAGCGACATCTAGCGACGAACCTCATGCGGTACGGTCAGGCACCGGCATGTATGGGGTCCTACTCAGGTTTACAGCAGTCCGTCATTGTCGTGTGAGTCCTTGCCTGACAAGGGCCCGTATCGGGCGCTGGTCCTCAAGCTCCGGACACAATCTGCCTCCGAGTCGCGCCGAGTCAGCCGCCAATCGTCTCCCGAATCTGTGCATCGCCGGAACGCCGGTTGTGTGTATTGTTTTTTGATTTCACTTCGTGTCGGTTACGCGCTGCGTGGTGATGCGGGCTGGCTTTCGAGAATGCAGTGAAACACACCTTGCCGATATAGGATTCATTGGACGTGGAGCAGCACATCTAGTGGGGTTTTGACCGGCCATACACCGCATCACTTGAACCTTCATGACATCTGTGGGGACTACCATCACCTGACTGTGATAGAACGTCTGAGGTGGGGTGCGTGTATTCAAGAAAAGAAGTCACGGCCAGTCAAACGGCGAGAAAGTGCAGGAACCTAGTACCGTAGAGTAGAGTACCTATACCGTCAGCTCACGGGAAGGCCAGTAACGTCCAGCAATCATGTGGAACAGTAAAATATAGCTAAGTGCGGTTTGTTCCATGAGTCCTTCCGTAGAGCTCGCCGGGATGTTTGCGAGATTGCACTAGCAGCCATCCGCTGGGACTCAAGGGATGCGGCAAGTACATGCCAACATCGTGAGCCACGTGATCGAACGGATAGTGTTTCGAGTAATATCTCGTTCCTTCGTGCACGCACAGGACCCACCACTCCCGTCGGTATTTAGGTTACACAACACCTATAAAAGCTGTCGAAAGTTTCTCTCGCAGCTTCCTATGCAGCTTACCCCACCACCACTCCTGAGGACGCCTGCCGTTTGCCCGCCACCTCCTCTTGCCGATCAACCACCGCTTGCTCATCCACCAAGTGCTGCAGTGGGCCTTCAATTAACGTTACAATTAGAATTGCTTATATTGTGTCAGGTAGCAGTCTTGCGATCAGTGATAGTCGCGAACACCCGTCACTGAGCTCGGGATGTCGCCGCGCGATCCCATCGTCGAAGCGGGCTCTCCGGCAAAGGGCGAGAACGAAGTGGCACCTTCGCCGGCGGGGGTGAGGAGGCACAGAACCCGTCAACAAACAGCCTCTATGTTTGTTCTCGCGACCCTATTTCTGGACGACGGTCCACCGCCCCCGCCTGCGAGGTGATCCAAGAGACACTTGGAGACGGCTGCCGCGAAACCCATCCCACCAAAGAAGCGGATGAAGGCTACCGGAAGCTCCGATGTGACTACCTCTAAGGTGCAGCGGCAATCGAAGAGCACAGCGGCACCGGTTAAGACCGAAACTCCAGCTGCAAAGACCCTGACTCGGGTTAACAACACTGCTCCGAAAGAAGTCGCTACTCGTCCTCGTTCGGCACGAGTCATCAAGGCCGCTGCATCGCATCTCAAGGCTGAAAGTGCTGCTTCGGGAGTAGCCACAGTCCGATCTCGTTCGGGACGGCCCATCAAGGTGCCCACTTCGTTGCAGCCCCAGGCTGACACTGTCGCTTCGGGGGTAGCCGATGCTCGTCCTCGTTCGGGACGGAACATCGATACCAGCTCAACCCGGAAAGCGCCTCGCGGGCAGCATGTCAAGGCCGTCCCGAGGAAGCCAGTGGCCTTACCAGAGCCAGAGATCGAATGCGCGATCTGTTTGGAGTCCATGCGGCCGGCGAACTTTCCGGCGAAGCTGACTTCCACCTGCAACCACTCGCCCACTAGTTGCGGCGACTGCGTGCGCAACCTCCTTACCGAGGCTTTCGCCGGCAAGGAATGGGTTCTCCCAGCGTGTCCGGATTGCTCTGCCGAGTTCACGTCCAGCGAAATTCGGCTCCTCGGCACCGCCGAACAGGCGGAGACATTCGAGTGGCGGTTGACGAGCCAGTTTCTGCGAACACTGGAGGAGTACCGCAGCTGCCTCGATCCCGAGTGCGACGCGGGGCAGATCCACGCGGGCGGCGACGACACGCCCATCGTCACCTGCGACGCCTGCGGGTTCCAGCAGTGCTACTCGCACAACATGCCGTGGCATGCGGACCTGACGTGCGCGCAGTACGATGAGCGCGAGCACCACCAGCGGCTCGAGGAGAACAAAGCCTCCGAAGAACTGGTGAAGCAAACTGCGCAGCGCTGCCCCGGTTGCAGCATCACCGTCACGAAGATCGATGGCTGCGATCATATGACGTGCCAACGATGCAAGACCGGCTTCTGCTACCTGTGCGTGGCGTTGTACGCCGGGAAAAACGGGTATATCACGTGGGAAACGGTGCCCACAAAGAATCGTGTCCGTACTACGCCCGGTACGACCCTCACGCCCGATATGACCCTCACACCGGGCACGATCGCACCCACGACCGCAACTAGTAACAGCGCCACGGTCATATAACGCTCTCGTATGCGTATATAAACCTGGGGCAGGAGGCGTACTCGGGGGACGACGTTCGAAGACAGCTGCGTGCTGAGACATATGGGATGGATGGTGGCTAGAAGGAGGAATTGCGGGCGGGCTTCAAATAAGCTTTAGTCCAGTATCTCGGTGTTAACTATCATTAGCTGTGAGACAATTGCGTTTATTTCCATACATATCGTTTGTTTCTTGTATGTACCCGGTCGTGGCGGCCGGCAGTTCCTTATTACTTCATTCATCTTGTTTACGATATCTCCTAGGCTAGTTATTTTCACCTTGCATACTCTGCTCTACTCTAGGCCACTTATTGTTATCTCACCTGCTTCATTAATTCCCACACGCCGCGACGATACCAGTCGCGGATAAGAACCTTCAAGTTGGATAAGAGTCAAGACCACATTCGTACCCGTGCCAGCGCCCGTGCCAGTGCCCGTGCCAGTGCCAGTGCCAGTGCCCGTGCCCGTGCCAGTGCCCGTGCCAGTGCCAGTGACATCGCACGGTCCAGTCCACCTCAACGACGACCACGGTGCACAGAGCGGAGACACAGTGCTCCTAAGCAGCGACTTTACGCAGTCCATTACTATCTACTTCCATATCTACATACTCCACCAACCCCTCTCCCTTTTTCAAACCCCTCCCCCGTCCGGGGCCATCCTTCGATCAGAATTTACCCTCCCCCACGCCCCCTCCCCTCTGAGCCACCGCCTCCACGCCCTCCTCCTCCTCTCTCCACATCCTCCTCCCGCGGCGATTCTCCACGTGCTGACACGTCCTCTCAGCCCACGACAGCGTGATCTCGCACGTGACGGCCAAAACGACCAGCACCGCCAGCAGCGCTGTCGTGAACTTTAGCACGTTCTTCAAAGACGCGTTGAAGTCGAAGTCGATGTCGGTGGTAGAGTCGCTGGTTGGGCTGAATGGGCTGCGGCGGGTGACTATGGGAAGTTAGGGGGTGGGCATGGGGTGGGTACTGCTGGATGGCCCACCCGCGTAGGACTCCCGGTGGCTCCCGAACATGTCGGTCACCAGCGTGAATACCTTCCCGTCGCTGCCGGCGCCCAGCCGGTGCGAGCCGAAGGGGTCGAGGTAGTTGCGGGCGAGGACGGGCATTTATTTTCAGTGTTCGGTGGTGGATGAGGTGAGAATGGGGATGAGGATGAGGGTGAGGATGAAGATGGGGAGAAAGATGAGAAGGAGGTATGAGGAAGGAAGGAAGGGTATCGTGATTAACGGGCTCCTGGAGAGTTTGCTATTCCCATAGTAGCTTCGACGACTCGAAAGTAAAATCGATAGAGTTCGGGCCAGGCTATTGGTTTGGCTTCGGCCCGTCGTAGGTTGATTACACAAAACGATATTGATGGTCTCGGCGTGGCGAGACCCACAGTGAGAGTTCGGGTTTCTTTTTTGGCTTCCTTTTTTTTCTGTTTCAGTTTTACGTTTGTTGGTTCATCTATTACTGTCATCGTCCATCGCGATTCGCGAGCCCACGGCCCGAGTATGTAAGCAACTATTGCGAGTGACATCGATGATGGTGAGGATCCACGGTGCATGCACCGATGATCATCTTGATATTGATGTTGGTATTATGTATCAGCTAGCCGGTTCGACGCAGCCAAGGAACGAGCTGGATGCAGCTGCAGCTCGCCATAGATAGGATCGCCGATGCGGAAGGGAAAGTCCAACCAACCCCACGCGGAGCTTTCCGGTTCGAATACGGGTATCGTAGGTAGGGAGTTGTGTGCGGAATAGCGTACCTAGAGGCTGCCGGAATCTCCGTATCGCAAAGCTGGATTTCCATCCGGGGGGTTGTCTCGTTGGAGGATGTTCGTTGAAGTGCGGGGTACCGACTAGCAGAAGCTTATCCGTATCGTAGGTAACTAAGGACCAACGGCAGTAGTGGGTGCGCACTCGTAGGTTAGCGTCGAGCACCCGTTTGCGCACTTTCCACGCCACGCCAGGCCCACAATCTCGCCTACATACGGTGGTTGTGGATGTAAGTTCAGCCGTTGGTAGAGAAACAGCCAACACAGCACACACACATACACACCAACCACAGCCTTGACGCATCCAGCCGATGGGGCCGCCACCGCCATTGGACGGATGCTTTTGTTTGTGCAGAAAGGAAAAGCCCCAACTCTACTCGATGAATCCCGCAAGTGGCTGGTCGATTACTGAGGGGTGTGTGGATGTGTGTGGGTTGCACTGTGCCCCCGCTCTTGCTGGAGCTTCCCCTCCGCCTGTGTTTATTATGACCATACCAGCTCTCTGCGCTCGCGCAATCCTTCCTGTCCGCGGATCTCGCACATACCGCTCGCTCTTCTCCGACTCCGGATCCCACCACACGGCGCCGAGCTGAAACATGTACGCTGCTACTAATCCCAACGGATTCTGGGAGCACCTGTTTCCCGGGGCTGCCGGTGTCCCTCACACTTTCCCGCGCGATGTCCCTCACTGGCCGCCGGCGCCGGGCCCACCCGCTGCCAAAGCGTTCCCGGAAACGTTCACACCGCGCTACTCGCACCGCTCCATCTCTCCCAAGCTATGCGTCGGCTGCGGCGACTTCGCACCCATCTACTTCCACGAGACGCCCGGTCTCTCAATCCTCGCACGGCGCGTGCACCAGCGCTGCTATATCTGCCTGACGTGCATCCAGTCACGGATCTCTGGCACAGTATCCGGCACATGGGTGCGCTGCCCCGGCTCCCTCTGCAGCCGCGAGCTCAGCAACGCCGACATCCGCATCCTCTTCCGCGCGAACGAGCACGGCGAGAGCCGCGACATGCCACTACCCTCACCCGGCACACTCTTCCCGGCCACACACGCGCCCGTCAAGTGCTGCACCTGCCTCGAGACCGACCCATCAGGCGGCTTCGCCCCCCGGCTAACCGACAACTGCCGACACCACCCCACACTCTGCTTTGGGTGTCTGCGGGCGATGCTCTCGCACGCGCTCGACGGGAAGGCATGGGTTGATCCCGCGTGCCCGGACTGTCGACAGCCGCTCTCGGCCGCAGACGTAAAGCGCTTCGGCACCGCGACGCAGATGAAAACGTTTGCGGACCGCGCGGCGCGCCGCTTCCTGCAGGATAATCCCGACTGGCTGATGTGTCCCAACGGCTGGTGCGGGCAGCTGCAGAAACATGAGGGCGGAGCCGCTCGCCCCTGGCTGCAGTGTCTCGCTTGCGGATCGTTCATGTGCTTCAACCATCGCGACGAGCCGTATCATGCCGGACTGTCGTGCGCGGAGGTGGATGATGCGAGGAATAGGGTCATGCAGGAGGGCATACAAATGAGCGAGGAACTGGTCCGCAGCATCTCAAAGGTTTGCCCGAACTGCCAGTTCGATATCCATAAAACTGGCGGATGCGAACATATGACCTGCGGAAAGTGTAAGTACGAGTTCTGCTTCCTGTGTCTGGCGTCGTACGAAAAGATTAGAGCCATTGGGAACACGGCGCATGTGAGGTCCTGTGCGCATTATGCATGAGGAGCGTGGGTGTTGGATATATGTACATATGGAGTTTTTTCCTTGCACCAAAGGGGGGGATCGTGAAGAATGATTGCGTGTAAGCGAATCGTTTTTTTCTAGGGGAGAGGTGAATTAAATATACTGAGAATGAGCTTCAAACCTCGATATCGGAAGCACTCGCAAGATGTCGTCCGGGTACTATATGCGAAAGCATGCGTACTGGTACCGTCGGGATCCAGCCCTACCAGTCCAGGTTGCAGGCGCTATGGAGTAGGTATGCACGACGAACAGAAGAAGGGACGAACATGGACGTGATTATTCGTGCACCGTGATAAATGGATACGAAACATCACGTATTTGCATCCGGCGTGTCACATGATGCCTACGGGTGATATCCAGTGCACCACCCGTCTAGCCAAAAACAAAAACAAAAACCGTCACCACCCCCGGTGGGTGGCTTGGAAACCCCAAGAGCTGAATAGAAAGGAACTCTATCAGTGCCTTTTCAGCGGCCATCTAACTACTCGAGCGATGTCATCAACATCGATCGTGCCCCACACATACAGCACGCTCGCAGAGAGTCAGACGTTGGAATTAGTAAGGATTCTCGCCTCCCCAGCCAGCAGTGTGCAGCGTGTCACATGATAAACCCGAGTGATATTCAGTGCTTCACCCGTCTTACCAAGACAAAAACAAAAACCGTCACCACCCCCGGTGGGTGGCTTAGAAAGCCCAAGAGCTGACAGGGCCTATCACCCGAGCTTGAACCGGGGACATTCTCTCAACTACCCTCGCCGATTGCGTGGTCTTAACCACTAGACCACGCGGGGTTTTTTCCGTGCTGGAGACTTGAATTCGAAAATTATGAAGTGGTGGGTACCACCCCGCGACAGACAAGCTTCTACGCCACAACTCTGGCTGTATTGAACCAGCGAACAACATTCCGTGTATTCTTCATACCCTGGCGGTTTGCTTCCTCCCTATCCATGGCGGCCAGCTTCTCAACACTGTCACTGTCGCAACGCTCCCAGCTAGATATTCCTTTGCTATTTCAGCGATCCAGCTCATCTGCTTCCTTCGCTGTTTCAACGATGCAGCGCATGGTGCACTCTACCAGCTTCTCTTCCCCCAAGTACTGATACCACCTCTCTTGAACGTATTCCCCAAGACTTGCAAACTTTCGCAGCGCCACATAAATCGCATGTGTATGAGAGTGGTTGGTGATAGGACACTGATGTAGTTAGTGTGGATGGCTAGAGCAGCTGGCAGCGGGAGGGAGGGAGCGCACTTGAGAGCTGAGGCTGACCGAGAGGCCTGGTCCTCTTCCTCTCTCTTCCTAACTCTCTCCCCCTCTATCACATATCATCATTACAGAATAGACGTTTAACCTCTACCTCATCGAGTCTCTCTCTCTATCCCTGGTATCCACTGCAACGAAAGCATTATATCCACGGCGAGGACAGCAGATTATTCACGGCAAGGACAATGTGCTATCCGCTGCGAGAAGAGCATGGTATGCGCAGCGTAGTAGGGATTCTCGCCTCCACCGCCGGCAGCACAAAGACGTGTCACGCGATACTGCCGAGTGATATTTGGTGCTCCAATCCTCTTGCCAAAAACAAAAAACCGTCACCACCCCCGGCGGGTGGCTTGGAAACCCCAAGAGCTGAATAGAAAGGTCTTTGATCTGTGGTGAACCGGGACCTCTCCCTCAGCTCCCCCTCGCCCATTGCGTGGTCTTAACCACTAGACCACGCGGGGTTTTTTTTCCGTGCTGGAGACTTGAATTCGAAAATTATGAACTGATGGGTGCCCGGGCATGCTTCATAAGCTGGCGGTTATCTTCATCCCCATCCATGGCGGTCAGCTTCACATCACTACCGCAACGCTCCCCGACGAGGCGTTTCTGCGCGATTTCGACGATTCAGCTCATCTGGCTCCTACAATATTGTGCACTCTACCAGCTCCTCCTCCGCCATATATATGATACCGGCTCCCCCGGAAGTGTTCCCTGGGACTTTCTAGGAACTCCACCAGTGCATCCGGTATCTCATGCCGTGAGAATGCGAGATCGGTATGATGTTCGTGCCAGTGACCTAACGGCCATCAGGACGTTGCGCTACGCCGGTACTACGGAGTCCGTATGTGCTTGGCCAAGACAGTATCCGAGTCACTGGAATTATCGCAATCGCTAGCCACCGTTATGTACTGGCCGACAGATATTTACACACGCTGCACCAGCCAAGGATGCGCCGGAGAGAAACTAGGAGGCTCCACACACATACGGCCCCACGCTCGCAGAGAGTCAGAGACGTTGGGATTAAGTTATCTGAAGATCTGCTTGCGGGAAAGCTAAGGATCAACACTATATTAGTTTACAGTTTTAGCTGGTGATCCGGCACATGGACCTTGCAAGTCGCCATTGGCATTCGGCCCCACATATCCGCTCCGGGTCCACTCTTCCCACCGCCCCCCATACACAAAACTTTGGACGTTCCGGTGGAAACGATTAACGTAGGGAAGATGGTTATTCCGGCCTACCTATGTAGAGTACTCATGTATGTACGAGTTGCTATGTTTTCTCGGCGGACTGCGAAACAGGCGGAATCTTGGTACATGACAAACTAGGTAGCTACTTCTGTATAGTCAACGGGGAGTCAAAAATGCGTTGTTCTTCCCGCAGGACACATATTGATATCGTATCAGGGCATAAAAAACACGTATTTTGACCGTACTGATACGATATCACTAGCATTTTCTTAAAAATACATTAAAACTATGACGACAAGAGTCCTACGGAAGACATGTCGTGGTGAAACTAGGGAGTTTTCAGATGGGCAGGTACAAGACAAAGCAAAGCAAATGGCACGCACACTCGACGGAAATTGTCACTGTTATGTCAGTGGATCATGAGACTACACTCGGTGAGCGACAGAACTTGGGCTTGGGCCCGAGGTTTGGACTCGGATTCGGGCGACGGAATTCAGCTCGGACTCGGGCTCGGGGGGTCTAGAAAGGCTGTATACGAAAACAAAATGATCTTCTCTCTATCTCTCACAGACCGGAGGTCCGGAGGATCGAAAAGCAGCAACCTGTCCTCGAGTCTCGACGGTCGCAGGCCACACCCACAGGGGAAATCAAAAGAGCATGAGTGGACAAACAATGAATGCCTGAGCGGTGAAGCCGAACGTGTTTTGGAAACACCGTAAATGTCACTCCTTGCAGTCCTCCCGGGCCTTCAACTCGAGCCGATTCCCCTCAATTCCATTCCAGAGTAGATACTATGGTATCTGATCACCTCGTCGGGCACCCCGACCGCGGATCATAAAACCTCCATCCGCCTCCCCCACCGCTTCAGCTTCCCCATACTAACCAACAGAAGAAGAAGAAACCATGCTCTGCCCGACCTGCTCCGCGACCTACTGCGGCGAGTGCCACGTGTTGTACACAGGGCCACTGGGGATAATGTGGGTAGGCAACGGGGCGCACATGCCGTGGTGCTGCTCCTTCGAGCCGCCCGTGCCGCCGCGGGGACAGGGTCCCCTGCACCGCGAGGAGCAGTGTTTCGAGGCGGCGCGGGAGCGTGTTAGGGTTTTGAGGGCGGAGATGGAGGTGGGAGGGTGGGGGAAGGATGGGGAGGGGGAGATAAAGTACGTGGAGGAGCTGGTGCCGGTGCAGTGGGCGAGTAGGCAGACAAGGAGGGAGGTGGAGAAGACAAGGAGGAAGGACAGGAGGAAGTGGGAGAGGGAGAGGATGGAGAGGAGGGAGTGGGGGAGGCTGAGGAGGGAGTGGGAGAAGATCAGGAGGGAGAGGGAGAAATCGGATAGAGGGGATAGAGTGGGCCCGTGGAATCCACGAGGCCTGTTCACCACGTTATTGAGGAGTTCTAGCAGCGGGGATTGCTACTCGCGGAGGTATGGCTGCGTTCTGGGACCGTGGGAGATGCTAATGGAGAGGTTTCTGCGGTGGTTTGTGTGGAGCACCGGGGCGGGGATGTGGGTGGTCGAAGGGTGGAGGTGGAGGAAGGAGCTGTTGGTGTTGACGGGGTTGTCGCAGTTGTTGGTACTTGAGTGATGAGTACGACTATGGCAAGTGAGCCGAACTCATGGTAAAGCGAGAAGAAGATGGTCTCTTCAGGTGAATCCTGTGAGATCCCAATACATTATCCCACTAAATGATCAGACTTCATCCCACTAAATCAAAAGGTATATTCGCTTGCCACTACGGCCCCTCTTCAAAAATCTTCCAATGTTTCTTCAACCTCTTACAAAGCCCACTCCTGTCCTTCCACTCCTCCACCACATCCGCCAGCTCGCATCCGACCTCGACCATCTGCTGCCAGACAACCATCTCTATATCCTCCCCAAACCTCTCGACGGCCTTGTCCTTAGTGCCCCAAAGCCTCACATGCTTCCCCTTATCCTCCAGATCACCCTCATCGACTAGATGTCCCGCATTCATCTTGGGCGTATTGGCATGGATGAAAGCGGGCCTGACAGTCTTCCCGGGGGTAAGCTCGTCGCCGGGATGAAACTGCACCATCCCGCTGCCCTTGAAGCTCTTATTCGACTTGAAGTAACCCAGCAAGGCCACTGGCGTCTTGACGCGGGCCCACTTCGCGCCCAGCACCACCGCAGCGGACAGAAACGTTTCCTTGTCGCCCTGTCCCAGCGCTCCCTGGCTGAGCAGCTCGTAGTACCATCCCGGACCCCAAATGTTGTAGTACACCGCCAGCAGCAGCGTCTGCATATGTCTCCTCTTGTCGATCAGCACCTGTCCCGCCTCGCACCCCGTCGGCGGGAGGTCCTTCGGGAACGCCGGCATGCCAGTGATGTTCCAGAACACGGGGTCCTCCGTCGCCTTCCAGAAGTCGGGCCAGAGCACGAGTCCCGTGCTGGTGTACGGCTTCTCGGTAAACAGACTTGTCGGATCGAGCAGCGGGATGGAGTCGGAGTCGAGGTAGAGCACGTGTCGGAACGTGCTAAACAGCATCGCGAGGGATTTCAGCTGGTAGTGAGCGACCTCGGGCGACAGCGGCGGGGAGAGAAACGCGGGGATGAAGACGCAGCGGGCGTTCAGGGCAGGGAGAACACTCTGGCAGAGCTCGGGCTCGTACTCCTCGCGCTTGCCGAGGAACACCTCTACGCGGAGGGTGCACCCGGTGCGGCGCAGCATGCGCAGCGAGACAATGGCGGGGCCGAAGTACTCCCCCCCGGCAACGATCACCACGCCCGTGCCGTCGTAGATATCCGTCGCGGTGTTCGACAGCGAGCTGCGCATGGAGCGGAGGCTGCGGAGCATGCCGGCGTGCGACGAGCGGAGTGAGGACACATCGTGGTTGGTCAGGAAGAGGTAGGTGCGCGCGGGCTTGCGCGGGTACGGCAGGTCGTCGCCGCGGACGTTGGCGGCGGCGGTGCCGCGGAGCTTGAGAGGTGGGATGTGGGGGCGTGCGGCGTGGAGGTGCTCAGACCACACGGCGAAGAATGTCTTGATGTGTTTTTGCGCGGGGTCGAGGACGGGGTGCTGCGCGGTGGTGCTCGTGGCTGTGTTGGCGGTTTCCGGGAGCGTGAACAGGGATGTCCAGTTGATGTAGGTTATCGAGAAGAGCACGGTGATGCCGAGCAGCACGGTGATTATGCGGGAGGTACTGAAACGCGGCATCACGAAGGCGCGTAGATGGTGCGAGGTTCACGATGGGAGGATTGATGTTCTTTTTGACATAATTGCGGTTGTGCCTGTGCGAGTAATGCAAGATAAGAGGTTCGTGAGGTGGTCACAGCTCCCTCGCTTCGCTGGCGAGACGTACGCATGTTACGTAAAATGCTTGGCATGGGGTACGACGACCGCAACGGCAATGACGGATACGAGACTAGCTAGCCATTGCGGATTCACTGAACAGAGCACTTTGCGATGGGAGAAGAAATTTACAAAGTTTCAGAAATCATCATCATTGTCTCGTTTTCGTTTGATCCTGTTGTGAGAAACAAGGGCATGTAACACAGTAGCTCATCCACAGACCACAGACCACGCACTAACAACACCATCCGACCATCAAGAGGCCTTCTCTGTTGACAGCGACTATAGTACCGTAATCAAGCAGCAGTGAGCGATGCTCCACCTCCACTTGCAGCTCCAGAGCCCTCCTCTCCACCAGCTCCAGGGCCTCCCCTTCCGCCCCTCCTGAACCCGCCACCACCACCGCGCCGGTTTCCTCTTCCTCCGAATCCCCTCTCCCTCGCACGAACCACATGGGCACCACCCGCATGGACCTGAGCCGTCGCAATGACGGTTCCGTCCTCGTTCTTGATGGTCCACTTCTCGTCGTCCAGATCAACAGTATATCCCAGCTGCTGCGGGGACAAGACGTTGCACTTGAGGGTAGGCACGTGGTAGGCCGTGACCATGATGGGCTTGTGGTCGCCGCCCTCCTGGCCGTGGATGCGCAGCGTGGTCTCTCCGTATCCGACCGCCTCGTGCGTCTGTCCCTTATTCGTGGTGATCGTCTTCTTCTCGGGGTACGCGGCATAGGTCTTGAAGATCTGCTTGGAGGCAGCGAAGTTCGAGGAGCTCTCGGTGCTCAGGATCCAATCGAAGCGGCGCAGGGAGGTGATGACATCCTCGGGGAAGTCGACGCAGACCTCGGGGTTGGGGGGTCCCGGGGGCTCGGAAGTCGGCGCCCGTGCGGTACGACCGCCCTCGCGGCGTTCGTGCGCGGAGGCCTCGTGGCGCTCGTGCGACGCTTCCTTGAGGTCGGTCTCGAGCGTGGTCCACAGCTTGACGGGGTCCGTGTGCTCGATGTACTTGGCTTGGATGCGGCTGTTCATCTCGAGGAGGATGGTGGCGAGAGCTTGGTCGCGCTTATCCTCCCAGGCCACGGAGTTGTCGAACTGCGTAGCGCTGGTGCGGCCGTCCACGATAGACCAGAGGCATTGCTGCTGCAGGACGAGCTTCATCTGCACCGCCCACGGGACGTAGTTGGTTTCACCGAGGCTGATCTTCTGCTGCATTTTGGGGGTCGTGGGCGGGTGGGACCGTCGGGTTTGCCGGGAAACTGCGAATGTGGGTTCGCGGCTGGCTGGTTGAGGGATGGCGGGTGACAAGAAGAAGAGAGAGAGATTAATGTTGATAGGGGGAAACCAGTGGGGTATACTAGTTGTTGGGGGGGGGTGCGGGGTGAGCAGTTGTGTAACCGCCCGCTTCATAGGGCTTAGGTCTTGCGTTGGAGATCACGTCCACACACGGAGGGCAAGGCTGAGGCACCGCACAACTTGCATGTGTCCAATAGCACCTGCTGTGTGCCAGCCCTGCCATTTATCAGCACAATGCAGCCCCGTCCGGATGCAACAGAGTGCAGAGAAATTGCAGGGAGTTGAACACAGTCATCCAATCAGACGGCCTCTACCCTCGAGAGCTGCACAGTGGAGAGACGCATCCGGAGATGTTGAGTCGCGATACTCGGAGCATCGCTATCTTCCATCGATCACTCGCACATCGACCCCTGCAAATCGACCCCCACACCGAAATCGAATCCGTTTGAGTGGGCAGGAAAGGAGTGAGACGGTTCGCCATAGGTAGTCTACATAGGCTGCGTTCGAAATATATTGAAGATCTCTCTCTCTATATCGAATCTGTTTCCCATCTCTAATCAAGTTGCAAAGGCCTTCCTCAGCATGCGGAAAGAATCCCACCCAAAGCACTTCACACCGACCGACCGAGTGATCTTGAATGATGACCTCCCACGACATTACATCCATCCAACAAGCCATCCGACATGAAAATATCACCCGGACAACTTGAACGTCACATCCTACACACAGAATTTAATGCATACGCCCTTCCCACTCGTACTCATAAGCACATCTGCCGGCCCCCCTCCTCCTCCTCCTCCTCGCTCTCAGCACAAACCGCACAACATCCGCACAACATCTGCAAATACCCCCAAATAGTTACCCCGATCACTTCCGGAACGCTTACTCACTCTCTCACCCACTCCCTCACTCAAAGCACAATCACAATCACAATCCCAAGCCCAATCCCAAGCCACCTACCCACCTACCAAGCAAATACCAGTTCACTACCAACCCCTCTGGCGCTGCCACGTCTGCCTCAAAGTCCGCTACATGATGGAGACTAAAGTATGCAACGATGTACAGTGCCAACAACTCCGCTGCGAGCTGTGTTGCGCCTACGCCGGCCCTGGGCTGTGCGTGCCGTTGGGATCACGTAGGTAGGTAGGTAGGTAATTACGAGGATACCCAGGAATCATCGGGATGACGCTGATGCCGATGGGGGGAAGGAAGGTGGGGGAGGTGAGAGAGGTCTTGTGAAGACGGTGAATTGAGTGGGTTTTGACATTTGTTGGGTGTTTTGCTTTTTGCATGTGTGCGTGAAACTACTAGTAAACGGGCGGAACTGGACGGATGTCAGCCCTTGGGGTGGTGACATCCACCAGGTTGAAGCCCCGCGAATCAGATGCCTGCGGAGATCGGATATATATAGACACGCAGCCGTCTGGTTGGCTGTCAAGAGTCAAGGTCCACCAACTGCATCGTATCGATAGGGCACCGAATCCAGAGAGAGTGAGAGAGCCAGACTGTCGGAGGCTCTCCAGGCTCCAACATCAGGCTGCGCGTGTAGTGCAGTGCAGTTATGCATGTATCTTTGTAACTGTGTGTACGACGATCGTCGTCTGCGCACCTCAGTCCACAGACAAATAGATGACCATCCCCGCGGTCGCCCGTCTACCCACGGTACCGCATCTCTCTCCATCTCGAATCCCACGCAGCATGCCCCTCACCACCCTCCCCAACGAGCTCCTCATCCTAATTACCTGTACCTTCCGGGCACGGGACCTGCTGAACCTCACCAGCACCTGCCGCAACCTCTACCACCGACTGTCCGCGCTGCTCCCTCCCATCGCGCTTACCGACCACCTCCGCGCCACCCCGGCGCTCAAATCCGCCCTCCGGCGATGCTGCGAGGTAGACAACGCCGAACTCACCCTGCACCTTTTATACCTCTCCCGCGCCCCCCCCGTAAACGCTTGGTTCAGCGACACATTCGGACTCGAGACCGCGCTGCACGTATCCAGCGCGCACGGCAGCCTTTGTGTCACGCGGTTGCTACTCTTCCTGGGGGCAGACGTGAACGCGCGGGATATTGGACGTATAACGCCGCTGCACGCGGCTGCGGCGGGGGTCGGGTGTCGCGGTGGTCATCCCGAGGTCGTGAGATTGCTGCTGGATAGTGGTGCGGAGGTACACGCCTTCGCGGCCGGGGATGCGTCACCGCTCTTGTTTGCGTGTGTTGGTGGGAACACAGAGGTGGTGAGGGTGCTCGTGAAATATGGCGCGGAGGTGAGGGAGGGGTTGGGTGGGGTGTGGAGTTGTGGGAGGATTGGGGGCGTGGGCAGGGTAAGGAGGACGGGGAGGAGGGGCGGGATGGATGCGCTGGAGTATGTGCCCTTGAGTTTCTTGGGATGGAGGGAGAGGGTGTGGGCGTGGTATTGGGCGGCGTGTAGGAGGGTTGGGGTGTGTAGGAGATAACGGCGGGGGGTGGAAGGGGGGGGGGGGGGGGGATGGAATGCGTGTTGATAGTATCAAAGTAGTACGCTGCCCACAGGCGCAGCCAAAATAATGTCTAATTGATTTCAAACAACAATACAAGCAGCCAAGTAAATCCGCAGCATTAACAACCCCCACCATCCCTATTCCCGCTAGTTAACTACCCCGCCGTGTTCGACATACTGCAGTCCGGACTGTCTGGTCTGCCAAGCTCTGTTCCGGTCCGGCCCTTCGGACGTCCGACGGACTGCCGAAAAGCAGTCCGTCTCCGTCCCGCCCATGGATTCCGAGGACTGCAGTCCGTCCCGACCTCAAAACCTTTTGGACTACCTAGTCCGTCCAAACACCGCTCCCGGACGGACTGCCGAGAATCGAGATATAGTCCAGTCCAGTCCGATCCGAGCCCTAGGACGGACGGACTGGACTGGGCTATGTATGTAGAACACTGCTACCCCGTCCCCGATCCCGCCCTCGACCCCCCCTCTGCCCCTTCGCCCACCTCCGTAGGCCCCTGAGGCCCCGGCGGCCCCGGCGGCGCCCTCCTCCCCGCCAGCCAATGTGTCTTCCCAATGGAGCACCACAGGCCAAAGCCGTAGTAGACACTGCAGCGCGGGCAGCGGACGTGCGCACATTCCTCGTTCGCACACCGCTGGCGGTTGTTGGTGGTGTGCACTTTCCTGCACTGGTGGCAGCGCCAGAGCGGGCGGGCTGCCATTGTGAGTTGATACTTGGTTAGTTAGAACTGTTTTGTTTTGTTAGTGGTGGGTTGATGTTTAATGAGTTAATGAGTTGGTCAATGAGTCAATGGTTAATGAGGCAATGAGTCGGTGTGTCGCTGATGTGTTTAGTCGGCTTGATGTGCTTGATGAAGGCTTTTCTGTTCTGTTGATTTGGTGTGTGTTGCAGAAGGTGCTGGATGAGATTACCAGTGCTCGACGAGGCGGGGATTATATCGCTACTAATCGTAGAATCCCCAGCAGCGGTGCTCACTCTTCAAAGTTGGGTGTTGGTACGGCGGCTTCAAGTCGAGTGTCCATCATGGTCACTGAAATTGCCTGTAGCGGGACCTCCCAAGCGCAGACGAGAGGTTAGACGAGATTCATTCGCTCGGACGAACTCAACCCAACCCACCATAATTCTTCACGCGTCGCGAGAAGTCGAAATAAGCTTAACCAGGCCCTGCAGCGCTTAGAGTAGTTTTCTCCGCTTGCGGCTAAGCAGTAGTGTGCCCACTCAAGTGGAATTCGATTCAACAACGGCTACGCAAAAGACAGATCCTCCGTGTGCTACTACATATGTGCTATGTGCTATGGTATCATATCCTATCCTAATAAACCCTCTTCGAGACCCTAACCAAAATGACCCCCTTCGAGTGTCGTCCCTCGTTATCAAACAACCTCACGAGCCTGACGCCCTCTTGCAGGCGATCGAGTCTGATGCAGGCCCACGCGGCGAGATCGTCTCTTCCCAGCTCCTCGTCATGCACCTTAAAGCGCACAAACGTGAGTTTTTCGATGACGCCCTCGACAGCCTTGAACTCGAGGGTAGTGTCCCAGACGCACTCGATGCCGCGCTTCGCCTTAGTCTTTCGCTTGACGTCGGCGGACTTCGCGTTCTCGTTGGTCGTGTGGACCTCGACTTTGACGTACGGCTCAAAGCTCTTGGCCTTGTCGTCTTCCTCGGGCATGGGCAGGTTCGCGGCCGCGATCACATCGATCGTGAGGTCGAGCTTGTGGAAGACCGGTGGTGCATCACCCGGTCGGAAGCCGGGCGGCTTGAGCACGTACCCGCCCTCGCCCGCGAACATGCCTTCGTTCAGCATCATGCCCTCGTCGCACTTTTGCCAGTTGAGCGCGACCAGCTGCACGCCGCGCTTCCAGAACTCGGTGGGATCTGCGTTGCTCGACGAGAAGCGGAGGCCGAAGGGGTACACCCTCATGAGATACTTCTTGTTGTGCTCGAAGATGGCCTGGGCGTATGTTTCGTGGTGTTTGGCGAAGACCTTTTCCGAAAAGGAGTAGACGTGGTTGGCGAGGCGGCTGGTCGGATGTTCCGTGAAAGGTTGGGGATACGTGTTACCAGGGAAGTGGTGGGAGCTGCAGTACGCACCCAGCCGTGCGAGCGGCCGGATCACTTTGCTCTTTTTCGGCTTCTTCTGTTTGGCCTGGCCGGCCAGGGCTTCGAGTTCGCTGTCCGACGAGTCCGAGGAAGTGTCGTATCTAGGCTTGCTTGGGGCAGGGTTGGCCGCAGCAACAACTGCTTCTGCTGGTGCTTTCTCGGGAGCAACATATTTCGCCTACTTCCATCAGCCGGAGTTGCGTGAAGGATCAAAGACACACAAGCGCAAACATACCTTAACGAGGATCTTACCACGCAGAGCGTCAGGACTAGGCAGATTGTTGACATCCTCAGGCTCAATATCCTTCACCAGACTGTCACCCCAGACTTTGTTCATGATGTCGACCATCTTATTCTGCTGCTGGATACCGGCATGGCACTCCAACGAGATGATGATGGGTCCCTGCCCAGCCCCTCCGTATCGCTCCGCCTCAACGTCGGAGAACGCATACTCCTTGATAGCCTTGCAGACATCCTTGAACCTGATCTCCTTGGTGAGGGTGTAGCCATGGAACACCTCCGGCTCACCATCATCGCCATCCCACACATCGATCTCGATGCACCTACCACCACGAACAAGAACATTCTCATACCCCTCGGTAGTAGAAGCGCCATACAGCTGATGTCCCACTAAGTAGGTATTATGCGACGACGAGATGAAGTACTCATTGAAAGGATGGCTCCAGTCTTTCTTCGCTGGGTCTGGCAGCGCGAGAATTGAGTTTTCCGGGTGCGCGAGGTACTCGGAGAACTCGTAGAGCGAGCAGTCCGGCCGCAGCTGCAGGCGCGCCAGCTCGCTCGACGACAGCTTGTCGTGGATCTTCGAGATGCACTTTTGCAGCAGCGGCGAGCTCAGGTCGGCTTTTGTCGCGGGTGCGGAGCCGCCGCCGGCAGCGTCCGTGGTGGGTGCGACGTCGCGGCCCATCGTTGTGTATAACTAGTGGTAGCAGTGGTCGGTTGTGGGAAGTTCGATCGTTTGGCTCGCGAGGCGGGGCAGCGAGGGGGCGGGGTAAAATTCAGTGGGATGGAAGCTGTGAAGGAGAAAGAAGTGATCGATGGGAAACAGCAGACAGAAGCTATGATATGTACCTATGCGTCTGGGGCAGTCTAATATGGAAACCACGGCCCCGATCGATGGCGCGGCATCGTACCGGCGAACACGGCACGCAACGGGGTGGGGCTGGCCATTCCTCAAAGCGGGGCGGACGCCCACAAGTTTTGGCGTTATGCGTGTTTGGCGTTCAAAGCGCTGATGTTGGTGATGGCTGATCCCTGCGCGGCCAAGTGCTAGCTTGGGTACGTACTTGCAGGGTTGCGTGTTTCCCCGCTTAGGCCGGCCACGCCTATGGAGATACGCAATGTTTGTAAGGAAGCTGAACTGCATCATATGGCGGGTTCAAGGGAAGCGTCGAAGCGATTCCCAGCGCAAACAGGAATTAGTAGAAACATTCCAGGTCCACATATATTGGAAGGGGGGTGGCGGAGGGGAGGCAAGGAACATCGTCAGCAGGATATACGGCATCAATGCCTGCCTTCTCGTTCAGACTACGATACAAGAGGAAGCCATAATGAGCAAATAATTATTTCACGGCAGTGGGTCTTATCTACAGATCGAGGCTGCTGCTACTCAGATCCCATATCATGCCAAACAAAAAGCAGAAGGAAAAAAACGAGAAGTCTCTACAAGCCATTTCAACGCCGGCGAAAAAACACCCCAGTATTATGTTGCTCAAAGAGAAAACCGTCGTGTCCAACTGAAAACGAAAAATCCATAAACAAAAAACGTACGGGGATAACTCCCAAAGCCCCCATGCAACCATTTAATCTGCCAAAACCATTCTGAGCGCATTCAAAAAGTCGGGTCCAAGCTTGACAATCTCATGAACGACCGGCTTTTGCGGCTCGCCTGACCGTGCTTTGAGATGATCGGCATGACGCTTCCGTCTTTTGCGTTCAGTTGCGATCACATCACCCGTATTATCATCTTCCTCCGCTTCGGAATCGGTGTAATAGTCCTCATCCGCTAGAGAAGCCAAATCGTCCTGGGTCTGATTGTCAGTGAGACTGCTCGAAACGAATCCAGAGCACAGGGTAGCCAATAAACTCACATCGGCAATTCCAAAGTCCTTGGGACTCAGCCCGCCAGGCGCCGTAGCCGTCCAGCCGTCCCTGCTCTTCGAATTGGCCGCGTCACCGCTGGCCATCTTCTGCCGGGTCTTGTCTTGATGCCACTTTCTGCGTCTTGCTTGCCAGTCGATCAAGGAATCGATTTCGGCCTTCGCCTTCTCACCGTCGATGGTTCCAGCCTTGACTGCCTGCTCGAATAGGAGGTTCATGTCCAGCTTGCCGCCTCCTTGGGGACCACGTCGCAAGAAAACCAAAATTTCCTCCAACCATCCCATCAACTTATCGAATAGGCCATCATCATGAATGTGCACTTCGTGGACAAACTTGTAGAAGTTGTCTTCGTGCCTGGCACACAGGTCGATGAAGGACTGGACTGTTTGATTGGGGTCCGTAGTCATCTCCTGTGACTGCGCTTTTTCGATCACGACGATCATGTCGTCTATGAAGACGGCAAAATCCGTTACCGAGTTGTACACGTTTGCCGACTTGTACACCCGAATGAGCGGCTCGTAGAAGATAGTGAAGAGATCACGGAACAATTGCAAGGTGACCGGCTACAGCATAACATGTAAGCGAAAGGTGTACGGTGGGGGAGAGAGAATAGATGCACCAACCTCTTCGATCATCGCTTGCATCATTTCCTTATCCCTCTGCCTGGTGTAAAGCTTCAGGAGCTGCTTCAGGTAGGCAAAGTACTGAGCATTGCTCTTGATCTCATCGTGTATCTGTTCATGAGACGTAAGCGGACGATTCACGCGCAAGCAAGTTCTTTCCACTCACGTTATCCACGGCTTGCGTGTATCCAACGTAGGAATTGAAAACCTTCTCGATCTGCTTGGGTTGTAGTTCCGCTCCGATCTCCTCACTCTGGAGTATCACAACCACCAAGTCGTTTCTCTCTTCTGCGGCTTGTAATCTGATGGCATCCTTGACCTCTTCGTCGGCCCTAGTGAACGCCTTGAGCTTCTCGCAAAGGATAGGATCGTCGATCTTCTCGATCAACGAGTCCACACTCTTCTGGATATGCTTGATTCCGTCACCGATGGCCATGGATAACACGCGCTGCATCAGCGATCGGCTCTTGAAAGGTGTGGCAAGGAATAGGTCGAGAACACCACTCATGACGGCAGCTGGATTTGCAATCCTGATGACATTCTTGAGAATCGTGTACGGAATGAGGGAATGAATCCTCTTTCCTTGTGTGAAGAGTTCGGCGGAGTTGTCCTCAGCAAGGAATAGATGGTAGATGGTAGCCGCAACCTCTATCCGCAGCCACTCGGCGAATTTTCGGTATTGGATATCAAGATCCGCAAGTTTGTCCTTTTTGCGGATCTCACTAAACAGCTTGGTGAGGCCATCTGAGAGGTCCAGTCAGTCATGGAAAAGAAAAAGAAAATCGTGAGGGATCAGCGCGGTAGGACACATACTGCTCTCGACAATATCTTTCCTAAAGCTTTCCATGTAGACATCTAGTTCACGTGCCCTCTGTCGGGCAACCTCGTAGAACTTTCTCTGTTCTTCGAGCCGGATCTCATCCATGGCGCGCCTCCGGTCCACATCCAACTGTTCCTCCTCGTTGAGCTTGATGGGATTCTTGATGAGGAACGCCGTCATCGCTTCACTGTTGGCGACCTGCTTATCTTCCAAGAGCTGTCTGATGAAGGCCCGAAGGCTGACACGCTGATTCTCGCGCCAAAGCTTGATGGGTTGGTCCCTGGGCTCCGCAAGGGATGACCTGGAAGGATTGCGAGAAATAAAGCTACCGAATCCCAAGGCATTGCCCAGCGAGCTCGATTTCTTGTGGCCTGGCTGGGGCGTCGGGGCCCTCGTGGAGCCACCGGTGGATGTGGATGTGGACCCTTCGCTCTCGAACGACGAAATCGAGGAAGCATCATCGCTGGTGATGCCTGCAGCGGAAAGATATCCGGATGTAGTGGCTTGGGAAGCCTTCATCTTGCGGGGAACAGGCGGCAAAACCTTACCGGGAAGTTCGTTTCGCAGCTGCGGGAATTAATGTCAGTCTACCTTTTTGCAATCCGGGGGAAAAATAATGATGCAGCCTTCCTTACCTGTCGATGTAATGACTGAAAGGCGCCATATCTCCGCCCTATCGTGAGATCCGGGTGTCCCTGACGTCTGACGCGCAATATGAATTCTGCATGAGTGTGGTATCTGACGGTCCTCTTGATGCTGGTTTGGCGCACGCATGCCACATTCACATCCCATCCGTTGATCCAATGACCTTCAGGCGCGTTCGCCAGTAGAGCACTCTCCTGCGCATTCCTATCGGCGCCGCCTGCAGCCTCGATCTCATCGAAGGTAACTCTCTCCTCGTATCCGGAGGCCGTGGGGATCCCCGAATTCATCATCAGCTCGACGATTTTCTGACATTTCAGCGCCAGCTTGCGTCGCTTCGTCTCTTCGAGTCGGTCTTCGGAGGATGAGATACGTTTCAGCGCGAACGACTCCAGAAACTGAATATCGGGCAAACGGAGCGACAATCAGCTGGCGATCGACGGGACGAGCAACAATCTCACGGCGAAGAGTTTGCACGCACCACTTGCAGTCGGTCCTGCCAGAATTCCTTCTCCTTCGCTTTGTCGAGGAACGGAAAGTTCCGCAAATGGTTCACGAAGATATATCGGAGGATGGGAAGCTCGCTATCGACCGGCGCTACCTCGCCGAGGGGACTCTGGAACGGTGCGCCGAAACGCTGGAGGGCGGTAGGAGAGTTAAGCTCGCTGATCTCGAATTGCGACTGCCGCGAGATGAGTTCGCGCTTGAGGTCTGAGTTTGAGTTAGTTTCAGCTCGACGTTGAGATGACGATGGCGAGCAAAGAAAGCGGGGTACGTCGCTTGTGGGGGAAACCTACAGTGCTCCTGCTTCCCTGTGAGCACGCGACCGGTGTCGGTGACCGATAAGGTTGAGATCCCAAGAGCTGGGGCGAGTGAGTCCGACATCGTCTTTCTATACTGTGGATAGCTGCGAAGCTACCGTCGCAGTAGAAGTCGATGTTGCAGACTTCGGAGTCAACGTTTGGAGGGGAGCTTGGGTCGCCAAACGACAGGATCTGCGTGTACGAGGTTCGAGGATGGGATAGTTACTACTTCTGGCGGACGACGACGAGCGGGGGGAGAGGCGATGGAAAAGATGCTCTCGGTAGTGCACTCTATATAGGTCAAGTGAGAGAGGGAAGAAGAAAGGATGTTTGATTGGGCAAGAGGGCCGTCTCAAGTTGTCCTGTCGAGGCGCGCGTGAAACCGATGCTTGTTGGGTTGGACTCGTTAGGCTGGTTTGGGAGGTTGAACCTGCATGACGTACACCCACGCACATCCATGACCCCGCCGCCATCCACATATAACTGCAGCACTGCGCCTCCGACCAAGCCGTACAATCTGCTTTTTTGGCCATGCGCTCTGAGTGCTTTCCAGCATGGTCTCCCGATGCCGAAGTCACCCGCTGTGGCTGCACCGATTACCGTACTAGTGTCGCGGTAATAATGTCGCACTTTTGTTTTCCATTTCCAACGCCCGACTCGTTCCTCCATGATGACGACGTGTTGGAGAAGGAGAAAGCGCAGTATTGTTGGTAGTCTCCGTTGGTATTCCGTAGGACGTAGGTCGATAAGCAGTTGCCAGTCAGCCTCCCCGCTGACATCACTGGCCACTGCCTACCCAGGCAGGCAGTCGATCGAGCTCATCCCCGTGGACATCCAGGCCTTTTCGACATCAGCACAGCATGTAGGTATGTACCGAGATCCAGGTTGTCTGGAAGGCAGTTAATGCAGTGCGTCCAGAGAAAAGAATGGTGAGAAACATACCTTCAAGTCCTCCGAGCCTCACCGGTCCTTTCACCTTCACCGGCAGGAATTCGGCGGTGTGTTACGGTGATTCCGCCCGAGCCTGTCTCGTTAACTTTAGGTGTGTTGCTTTGTCGAACAGGGTTAACTACGCGGTTCTCCGGGATGCCGAGTCTTACTCTGGAGCAGAGTAGTTGCTGGCACCAGACCGTATTCGGAAAGTAGCCGGCCGAAGCTAAGCCAAAGCCAGTCCGCAGGAGAACGGCGCCGTACGTACGGGGATAAGTCGGTAAGTACGGGACTTAGATACCGAATTGAAGGTTCGACCGAATTAAAGGTTCAGCCGTTTACTGCCAACTATGGCTGGCTTCCGAGCATGTACGGTAAGCTTAAAATAGGGATGTATGGCTGTGCAGAGTGCACGCGGCACGCCTTACCACGAATCCAGGAGATCGGTGCTGCACATGGCCAATCCTTTGCAGGCAGAGATCGGATTACGCACGACATCGATATCACAGCCTCTATGCATAACTTCAGAATGGAGTATGTGGGTATACTAGTACACTAGCGAAATTCGGTCGGAGCTTGGATTCTAGTCTCAATCTGTCACCTTTGCCGAGCCCCTCCTGTGTTCTTCCGGTGTAGCTGTTGTTTCTGCTACTACCGTAGCGGATGTTTCGTTTGACTCGGCAGAGATACGGATACGGCGGCTGGCTGGTAGGCTGTGCTTCAACGGCGCCGAGATCAATCCAGACAGCATGGAGGACGTGAAGCGGGACCTTCCGTCCTTCCGCCGATTTCTGCCCTGTCTATCCGTGTGTTACATATTCGTGTTTATTCGTCGGTGAAGTAGACATATGCACATATACTGACAGTCGAAACGACACGATTACATACCACGCACGCCAAACGACCCACTGCATGATCTCCAGCCGTCCAAGGCGATCTGGCAGTGTTTTCGTGCAGGGCCGCGTAAGCCTAGCAAGTCTGGTCCGACTCCAAGCCCTTGGGACGTGGAATGAAGAGATGTAGCGTGTAGCGTGGTGCCGCAGGCGAATCATTGGCAGCACTAGTAGTATACTCGGCATCCCGTCATCGTGACCTTTCTCACGATCCGATGCTGCGGTTGGACCCGTTATCGCCGGGAAAACAACTTGGATATCGACGAGGATGTGCTGGCGTGCTGCAAATCGTCATGAAGTGTATATACACACGGTGACACAGTAAATATGGTACATAGACGCCCCGCCAACTCGGAACATGTCGACAGAGATTAATTGGGCGGCTTAGCCCCCCCTCTAGCTCGCCCGTAGGTATTGATGTCTTGCCCAGATCTTGGAGAACGACTATCTACTATTCTAGTTAGTGCGCAATCTCATCCATGTGACATGTAGCTCGCCCATAAGGCTGGGCCCCGCCAAACCAACCTTGTCCTGACCAATCGGCAATCTGACCGGAGCACTCGGTATCCCGGAATCGGCACCTCAGAGTACCTAGAGTACGTACGCACGCTTGCCGAAATGCCGAGATGGGACTGCGCGCAGTTGCACGCGGCTTGGCCTGGCTCCCCAATCATCAATGGAGGCGGCAGTGTTAGAGAGATGCCTATCTGACGGTTGTAACCGATATGCACCAGGGGAATCCATCAGCAGAAATTCGAAATTGCTTCCGACGGGGTTCGAACGACTCTGAGAGGTGATGCCAGCGTCTTTGAGGTTCCAATAATATATGGTCGGTTCAAAGTGTTTGGAGGCAGTGTTACAGAGTGCCGATAGTTCTGGGGTCGCATTGGGGCAGCAGTGTTCGATCGGGTAGCGTCCTGTTTGAATATCAGCGTTGGTGTCGAAGCGTGGAACAGTGGTGGTACATACCGGGAGTTGTTGAACTCTTACCTCCGTTACGACAGCAACCACTTCCGCACTTCCATTCCACTCTGCAGCCCACCTCCCCAGCCTCAGCCCTCGACCGCATACTCTCACTCAAGGAGATGCCTCCGCCAAGGACAGCGGATATCTAGAACCGGACGGAACTTCGGTATACCCCCTTGTGCACACCAAGTTCCTCCAACTCGATCAATTATCCATCCACATTGCACGCGTCCGGCCGGTGGATTATGCTACCACCGGGGGCGACCAACGACTGAAGTCTGGACAATGGAACCTCACGGCATAGCTCCGGTGAAAACGCGAATCTTCGATCTCGAGAGTCGTGGTTGCAGATTGCTCGTCATGCGGATCGAGATTGAGAATGCTGGCAGTGGACGTCGCCGTGTTCTCGGAAGTATCATAGTATGTAAGTACATAACGTATCCGATGCCATTCAGGGTTGGCTCGGGTCCTCGGGATCGAAAACAGCCGAGAGCGGGGAGCAGAGGGCCACCGATTCCGACTCCGCCAAACCAGACCGTACCCGACTCGAGAAGACCCATCAAGCAGCGGGGCCGGCCCCGGAAGAGTCAGTCCATCGCTGCCACTCTGAAGATGGGTGGGTCGTAACTCCAACAAAGGAGCATGGGGAATACAGAGGTGAGCCGAGAAGTGTGGTTTCTCTCGGACCCCAAGTTTGCTGATCGTTGTCTGCCGGTGTGTACTTCTGAAGTCTAGTTGGAATTCGGCTGACGGAGGAGATGGTTGGGCTTCCTGACGAACGATAATCATGTAGTGAGAACCCAAAAACGGGCGAGGGACCAAAACGTGATCAATTGGAAAAGAATTCTCTGATGATGATAATGGTGTGGATAATGTACCAGATGTGGGTACAGATGGAGACCGATGCATGTACAAGAGACCGACCCACGAACAGTGACAACAGAAACAATTCAACGTTCAACGACCGCATCGAGTCTGCATCGGGTCCCACCTCCATGACATATAGGTCCCACCTGGTCTCAACAAGGTCTTCTCTCTCCGGTACTCATCGATGACGCCAAGCTGCATCTTCCTTCACGCCCCTCAGTAGCAGACTCGCGACCAAGATGTACTTACCCAATTGATTCAGCAAGACGAAGCATTCCAATTTCCAAGTAGAATTCCTAGTATGATATGTACACGAATCAGTAATCCGTCCGCCACTAGAGTGGCGTTCGTCTGCACTCCAAGAGTCTACGAACCTGGCTTTACCCCTATACTAAACATGGAAGTGCCGGTGGAGTTCTCTAGGGGCGATCTCCCACCGCCAACGAAACCTCGAAGCGAGCTTTATATACCCGGTACCTGCTCGGATAACTTTAACACAACCACGACGGAGCGAATCCCGCTCCGCACTCTGCATCATATCTAGGGGTATGCTTCGTCGATGAGTCGATGACTGGTGCGTCTCATCGGAACCGTGATACCTAACTACGCCGTACATACTTACGCGTGAGTTTGGACCTTTGTCGATGTCGCTTAAGTACACGTACGACACGGTATATCGATCGAGTCGGCCACTGAGGTATCGGATAGGCACAGCATTTGCACAAAATATCACCCATTCCATTGTTCGATCAGGTACTATTTTGGGGTCGATCTATCTACCTACCTGTACACACGTCACTCGCGACCGCCGGGCAGTGGGCATTAGTGAATAGTTTGAGCGCCTACATAGCCGGAGTACTGGTGCAGGCACTTACTCACCTATGTGCTTTGCTGCCGAGCACCGGAACGTCTTGCCAGGCAACTAGACAGCTAGACAGCCAGAGGCGGTATCGCGATGATTTCTTGCTGGGGCTCGACATGGCACATGGCAGAGGTAAGTACGGCAAAAAGGGGTGGTGGTGATGATGACCCTAGGAGTGGCACCCACCACTTCATAATTTTCGAATTCAAGTATCCAGCACGGAAAAAACCCCGCGTGGTCTAGTGGTTAAGTCCACGCAATCGGCGAGGGGAGCTGAGAGAAAGGTTCCGGTTCAATGCAGGCCAAAGACCTTTCTATCCAGCTCCTGGGGTTTCCAAGCCACCCACCGAGGGTGGTGATGGCTTTTGTTTTTGTTTTTTTGGCAAGGCGGGTGGAGCACTGGATGTCACTCGGTAGGATCATGTGACACGCCTTACGCTGCTGGCTGCTGGCTGTGGAGGCGAGAATCCAATTACCTGCGATAAAACGCCTACTGACCCGGATTCGCCCAAGTAAACATTGCAACCTGTATACTATGAGGAAAAAAGTCCGATTTACATACAAGCAGAAGCCTGAATGTCTCAGCTCAGCCGCACCGACCGGGGGGTACCGGTATTTCCTACACTCCTCCTCATTCAAAGCCGTGATCGATGGCATCTCTCCACCGTCCCACCAAACAACCAGATCCTCTCAAGACTCACAGAGCATTCGTTTCGGGGAAGAAACACCGCCGGCAAACCCGCGGAAACAAAACGGAAACAAAACAGAAACAGAAACAGACACGGTAACAAAAACAGAAACGGTAACAAAAACAGAAACGATAGAACCAAGCCCCTGCATACACGCAATATTTACAAAAAAAAAGTAGGGTTCGAGTTGTCGGTTGTGCGCTGTCGATCGTGGATGCCTGGACCGGACGTGGACACTGCTCGAGCCTCGAGCGGAACCGAGTGGATTATCCCCCGACGAAGCCACGCAATCCGCAAGGCTCGCCAATAGTTAACATGACTGCGGAGTTGGCAGGACTCAAGGAGTGGGAACTTTTTCTCTGCTGGGAAAACGTCTCATCAATGTCATTGGAGCTCTGGTAGAGTATATGCCAGCCCCCCGCACTGCGTCGTGGGAGTTCCACCTGTCTTTCCCTACCGTATTGTCCTGTCCTCTCTCGACTCTCACTCGATGTTCTGTATGTACACAAGTACACATACTCAATCCATAGCTCTCTAGCAGCTGGGCGTCACTGTCTCTTTGCTGCGGTATTATCATCAGCGTAACCTGCTATCGTACGCATTGAGAGGCCCGAAACAGGGGGGTTCGAGAAAGAGAAATGAGTAAATTGTAGAAGAGCGTCATATCAGCCGGAAGCTCGAGAGAACGTAAGAGATCGCGACACAGAAAAAGTAGCGCACAGAAACAACAAGTGATCAGACTGAGATGCAGAAAGACAGACCGACAGAAGAGTGAGTAAGAGATAGATGCAGAGAGTAAGAGATAGATGCAGAGAGAAAAGAGAACAGCGACCTCCTTTTTACATAAGAGTGGCCGGAGAAAACACGTTTGGCCGACTGTATCGGGCCGGCTGGGGGCTCGACGACGATGGCAACGGACGGAAACAATCACGCAAAAAGACAACTGGTTGCTACAGGCCTCAAGTCTCTCAGTATCGAGTCTGGTGGTTGAGGCTCTACAACAATGCAGACTGAATTGTTACCGTACTCTAGAGCGTGTAATCGATCAAGTAAAACGGAGTGCTGTGCTTTCAGCCACCAAGATTGTCATTGGCGTTTCACGAATGCATCCCCTACCTACCGCCGACCGGTGGTGTAAGTACTGCTTCCCGGCCCCAGGCACAACTGAATATTCCCCAGGCACAACTGGTTGTGCCTTGGGCACACTGATCGAACAGTACCGTATATTCTACATATCCTCCCCCAGTTCCGTTCCATGTCAAGAATCAAAATCAAAAATATTCATATAGACGGTGGAGACTCCAGACGACAGGAACATCATCCGCCGTTAACCATTCCTGCCAACTGTGCACCGTCGTTCGCCGCGACCTCCTCACCTTCTTACGCACTTACCTCAGAGTCTCCGAATAGACACGATAGACACGATAGCTACGATAGCTACGATAGCTACGCTGGACTGGCAGTATGGCGCCGTTGAAGGTGAAAGCCCTATCGCACCCCAGTTCCAACTTCCCAACCCAACGGTGCCTGTGCAACCGGAAGCCTGGCGTATTGATTTGAGTCTGTACTCTACGCAGAGCATCACCGGTACGGGACGAGGCTCCAACAGAGCGGTAAGTACCAAGTGCTGGTGAGCATCGATAATCGCTCCGCTGATCTAGCTGCGCACTCAAGAACATCACGACGGATCCCGCCGGGAGCGCTCTCGCCGATCCCCACTCGCCCACAAAGGCCTACGCCGTATCTAGAAGACGGCCTGTCGTCGTGAGTGCACTTCTCCCGTGTCTTCGTTTCCGTCCGAGTTCGGAGTTGGCGACGTGCGCCAGACAGGCTGACAGTTCCGGTGGAACGGCCACAGCCTTACTACTACCGCCCGAAGTTTGGCAAAACCTACCTGCCCTGGGCACCGCTATCCCAGCGATGCAAGAACATCAACTCGATCCTGCGACGCTACGATACCGTGTTCTCGGGCGACGATGCCGCCTCCGTCGTCGTCGCCGCCGGTAGCGAGTCGCTAGCCAACAGAACCCAACCCTGGCTGTTGACGGACCCAACCGTACCAGTAACGGTGCGTACCCAACCGCGCTCCGAGTTTCCGTCCCCGCCCTCGGTCCTGGGAAAGCGGAAACGCGGGGTTCTGGGATGTGCATGGCACGGGAATTTCCGGACGGGGAAGCGGGATCACCCGTGCGCGCTCGTCGACTTCGATACGTTGAGCGAGCAGATGTTAGTTTCCGGAGGTCCTATTTGTCGCCGGGAGCTAACGCGCCCACCACAGCGCGCATGTCAAGGACGTGCACGACGACTACGTGTGTCCGTTCTGCGAGAAGCATGTCGCTTGCGATGATGAGGGCCAGTACCGATTACTGGACGATGGCTACACGATCAAACGGATCGAGGACATGGTGACTACCTCCCCGAAAGGCATGAGGTCAGTTGATCGCCCGCTGGGTCCGAGCGCAACCGCGGCGTCTAGCTAAGCTAATCGCCATGCAGAGACCACGTCCTCCGCAAGCACTGCCCCTCGTACCGGTGTCCGATGGACGACTGCACGAGTGTGCTAGGCACGTGGACGGACTTCAAGAAACATCTGAAGAAGCAGCACAACGTCAGCGATGTGAACGCCGGAGCATATAGGACGTGCCGCGGCAATAGCTCGCAAGAGCTGCTAACGTTCGTTTCCAACATCCAGACAGCCAAGGATAAGGCGGCGATCAGGGAAATTGCGTTCCCAAATGGCGCGGACGTCCCACTCTTCGACGATGCGGTCCGCCCGAGAATCGGCTGTGCGGGGTTTCCCCCTTCATCCTCCCCATGACTTTTGCTTACCCGTGTGTACACACACAGTCGCCCCGAGAGCTCCACCGTCGGGCACTCACGCCAACGCACCCGCCATCCCACGGCGCCAGCAGCCCCCACCCGAGCCTTTGGAGACTCCACACTCCAGCCCGCCACTGGCGGCTACTGCAGCACATGCACAAACGCCAGCTGACTCGGGGTTCCTCTGTGCGGGCGAATGTCCGGACGTCACAGTCGCAGCCCGGCCCGAAGACGGCGCAGAGAATTCCCGGTTCGCTAGCTTCTGCAGAACCTCCAGCGATGCTAGTTCGCAGGGTTCGATGGGTTCGCTGTTGGAATGGATACAAAATTTGCCGTCGTGTGAGCTCTCACAAACGTAGACGACGTAGAGCGGCGAGGAGGAGGAGGATGAGGAGGAGGAGGAGATGTATGAAGGGAGGAGGAGGGAGGAGGAGGAGGAGGATTATGGGGATAGGGAGGAGGAGGATGATGGGGGTGAGGAGGAGGATGAAGATGAGGGGGTTGAGGATGAGGATGAGGAGGCGGATGAGCAGGGTGAGGAGGATGATGGGGGCGAGGAGGAGGAGGAGGAGGATGAGGAGGATGAGGAGGAGGATGAGCAGGGTGAGGAGGATGGGCAGGATGAGGAGGATGAGGAGGATGAGGAGGATGATGGGGGCGAGGAGGAGGATGAGGAGGAGGATGAGTAGGGTGAGGAGGATGAGCAGGATGAGGAGGAGGAGGAGGATGAGGATGATGGGATGAGGATGAGGTGGATGAGGAGGATAAGGAGAATAAGGATGAGGATGAGGTGGATGAGAAGGAAGAAGAGGATGAGGATGAGGATGAGAAGGGGGACTAGTTCCCTCGCCACTGTTCTCCATTGTTTCTTTTTGCGGACGGAGGATGCTACCATATCATAGGGATATCTTATGGCATCATATGTTTGATTTTTTAGCTTTCTTTTGTATAGCATGAGCCTGGGATTTTGTTGGTAGCGTTTTCTGTCATGAGCGTCACATTTACGATAAAATCCGAAAAAATTAACATATTGGTCGATCTCAGCATTCTCGAGATGTCATGCTCGGTGCTTTGTTACTGCCTGTAACGAGATGCCTCCAGTACTCTCATCTCCGCCAGGCCCCGCTGGAGCGACGTGATACAACGACAAGTTCGATTGCATTATGCACATGGGCCCGCTACAGGCAACATCGGATTACAATACGCTGGCTCTCTGAGTCAACCCATCCCAACCACGAAACTCCACGATCGGGACATTTTTTTTTACCATGCCATGCCAATGCTCGTCTCGTCATCCCAATGTGACAATGTCCTCTGGTATCGTGGCTGAGTGGTAGCCTATAGGCACATACCTCCTACGTGTATATGTGTACATGGCAGCAGTGCATCTGCGTTTGCGAGCAGTGATTCGATTTGAGATGGATGTTTCAGGCTTTCAGCAACGCGGAGCACACTGAGCGATGACTTGAACGATGGAACCCCCCCCCCCCCCCCCCCCCCGGACAGCAAAGCCATATTCGAAATGATGTTGAATCTTCTAAATTTCTAATAGTATACCAATCTCACCCCCCAATCTCACCCCCCAACCGAGAGCGCCAAATCCCAAGCCCAGGCCCAAGCCCAAGCCCAATCCAAAAACAAAAACAAAAGCCCAACGATGCGTGGAGTACAATACAATGTAACACGACGCAAAAAAATCAAACCCAGAACCATGACCGACGAAGAAAGAAAACGAAGAAAAAAACAGTACAGATGACAAGTAACCCCCCCGCAATGTTAAAAGCGGTGGGGGAGGTATACGAGCGATGAAGCAAAACCGGACAGAAAGGAAAGAGAAGAGATGAACGAGGGAAATGGAAATGGAAATCGATAGTAGGTAAGAGGCTAGACCCCCTTCTCCCGCTTCGCCTTGACGAGGTACCCCAAGAGGTCGACCTTGGTGACGATGTGGAGCACCTTCAATCCCTTTCCATCCGCCGCACGCTCCGTGACCACCGCGGCGGAGTTGTGTTCAAAGAAGCGAGTGAGCGCACTGAGAGGAGTGTCCAGAGTGACCTCCTCGAACTTCCGCTTGCGTTGGGCATGGTCGTTGTCCGTCTTGACGGAGCCAATCTCGGTGCTGTCGGTGACGATTTCCTTCAGCTTGGTGAAGTTGAACATGATGTCGCGAACGGGGGTGTCCGGGGTAGCCCAACCGCGCGAGATGTGAGAGAGAAGGTTCCCGAGCGTCACCAGGCCGACGAGACGCTTCGAGTTGCTATCCGAGAGGACGGGGAGCTGGTCGAACGACTTTTCGCGCATGATTTCCATGGCTTGCTCTGCGGTGCTGGTGGTCTCGACGCCGACTACGGGCTTGAGGTTCAGATCGCGGATCTTGGCTTCCTCGCTGGGGGCTGTCGACGCCACAAAGTCGTTGTTCTCCATCCAGGTGTCGTCAACGAACTTTGTGAGGTAGTTACGAACCGAGTCGGGGAAGACAATGACGATAGTCTTGTCGGGGTGGTTCAGTTCGGGGTTGGATTTCAACAACGCTTCGACCATTGCAGCGAAGGCGGATCCAGACGATCCACCGCAGAGCAGACCCTCCTCCTTAATCAGCCGACGTGCATAGGTGAAAGAGCTGCGGTCGTCGGTTTTGATCCAGGTGTCGACAATCTCCTGGTCCAGCACATCTGGGATGAAATCATAGCCGATACCCTCGACCTTGTAGCCCTCATGGGAATCATTCAACGCCTGCGGGAGCGCGAGGATGGATCCAATCGGATCGGCGGCGATGATCTTGACGTTGGGATTGTGTTTCCTGAGACCACGCGCAATACCAGTGATGGTTCCACCGGTTCCAGCGCCGGCAACGATCGCGTCGATTTTCCCCTCCACCTGCGTCCAGATCTCCTCAGCAGTTCCCAGCTCGTGTGCGAGCGGGTTGTTCTCATTGCCGTACTGGTCGAGGATGTGGGAGTCGGGGATCTCCTGCTGCAGGCGCTTCGCGACCCCTATATGTGATTCCGGAGCGTCGAAGGCGGCCTCGGTGGGTGTTCGGACGATTTCTGCGCCGAGAGCACGAAGCACCGAGACCTTCTCCGCCGACATCTTTTCAGGCAGCGTGATGATGCACCGGTAGCCCTTCACGGCGGCCACGAGCGCGAGGCCGATTCCACTGTGAGATCTGTGAGCATTGGAACGCGGGGTGGCGGTGATGGTGATGGCGCATACGTGTTGCCACTAGTGGGTTCGATCAGCGTGTCTCCCGGCTTGATTCTCCCCTCGCGCTCCGCTTCCTCAATCATGCGCCGCGCGATGCGGTCCTTGACTGAGCCGCCGGCATTGAAGAACTCGAGCTTGCCGTAGACTTTGGCTTTGATCCCGAGGGATTGCGGGACGCGGTTCAGGCGCACGAGGGGTGTTCCGCCGATGTGCTCGATGATGTTGTCGTACGCTGCGGGGGTGTTCGGAGGTGCCATGGCGAGTCGATTGGGTCAATATTCAATGGAAAGGGGAAGTGGGGAGGGATGGCAGCTTAAATGTTACTCGGAGAAAGAACGCAGAAAAAATAATTCGTGAAAGATTTGCGAAAGATTCGAGGTGGAGAGGCAAACCCGTGATATGGTGCAATGAGATGGTGGTGGGGGTGCGAGGTATGTAAGGTGTCACACCCATGGGGGTTCTTGATTTAGCTGGGTTGGGCTTTGGGCTTTGGGCTTCCCCGGTGGTAGCCGCCACTAGTTAGCTCTCGACCCTGCGCCTGTGGCTCGCCACCGCGTGATGCTTCGCCGCATCTACTCTGCGGTTTCGGACTGGCGATTATGCACTTTTCATCCAAGTCACATCTAATAGTGTGCAATTCACATGAAAGATTATGCAGTAGCGGTGGGATAATACCTCCTGGTTGGATGGTGACAGAATCCGGAGTATCGTCGCTACTTAGCTACAGCCACGGAGCCGAAGCGCCAAGAGTCAACCGGGCCGATACCTAGATAGCATCTCCCGCAGTAGGGTTGTGCAGACACGAAAGTGGGTGCAAGTGTGTGCTTTCTTAGAGCAGTTGTTGCGCATTCAATCCACGCTGAATAGGTGCCCCAGAGCCGGATACTGGTAGCAGGGGCCGGTATTCTGCTCCAAGTGGAGACAAAGTGCTGTTTTTCCAGCTTTATCCGTACTTTTGCACTTATCTGTGGTATTACCAGCACTGGATAGCGCCCATATCTACGTTACTCGTTCACTATGATCCAATGGATTTACGTCCATTAGCAATGTAACCAGAGCACTTGTCTGTCACCGATCCATTCTTCGTTCACGGACCGGTCACTCACTCACCGATCTTTGTGCGAATGGATGTTCCTATTGTGCAATGTACAGTCCTTTGACAGCCTCTCTACATGGTAGTTATCCTCGACGCCTCCTCTTGCTTCATCCCTAGGACATGAGGGCCTAGCAAATCACCGGATCGTGACAGTGAACTGTGACAGGGAATCACCAAAACCTATAAGCACCCGTCCATCCGTCCGTCACTCGCCGACAGCCAGCGGACGAAGTCGCGATCATCCAGGGTTCAGTGAACAAGTCATAAAGCCCAAAGTAAAGTGGCCTACAATGAACGGATTGGCGGGGTCCCGACCAAGGGGAAAAAGCATATATGTAGCGGGGTAGTCAGCACCTAGTGCATTAATGAACGTTTCTTTCGTCCGCTTGGGAAGCTCACTGGGTACATTCCTATCTTCTGGCTAGAGATTCCGGATTCCGCCCACCTAATGGGTAGCATGTCGCCGGGTTCGGATGAGCATCATTCGTCGACTGCGCATGCGCATGCGCGGGATATCACTCGTGGGGCCCTGCATATCTACGAATATGAAAAGCTCGAGACATCGCGGCTTAGCTACTCGTGCGGCCGAGTATCGGCTTGGTATGTAGACCCATCGATCCATCGGGCGAGAGTACCTAGACGCTGCCGCCGCCGCCGCACAGACGGACGATCCGCAGGACGTGCAGGGCTTGTTCGGTGAGCCATACGGTTGGTTCGCTACCGAGAGCACCTAGCTAGCGTATGTAAAAGCGAGGATAGTTCAGGGCAGGCTTCTCGACAGACTACAGTTCATCCCGGATATGAGTGCGGCCAAGCCGGGTGCTCACAGTTCACTCACTCACTCACTCGCTCGTCCGTCCGTCCGTCCGTCCGTCCACACCGTCGTGTCTTGTCAGTTCAGCTCTGATCATTGAGGCGTGTGTGTGGACTGCGGAAGGCGATGGGTCGTTGGACATCATCCGGAGTTTTCGACTTCGCTGCAGCTCGAGTCTCAGACTCTCAGTCACTTCGGATGGTCGAGTCGAGTCCTGCTTCTGGTGGCTGGAGTTGATATTTCTGATGGTGATGATGGGGATCGGCATTCCCATGCCTTCGCACGATCCACCGCCGTTGGCGTCACTGGCAATGGTTCGATCCATTGGATGTCTCTATCCATGATTCCATGTGCCCAAGGGTATATTTCCACCCAGCTCACTGATCAAGCTTTGGTATCTACGGGCCCGTTTGGATACGCTCAGTTTTTCAAAAAACCGAAAAGAAAAAAAACCGAAACCATGCGGCCCCAGTGCGGCGACGAAACGGGAACTCACCTCTAGAGGTCAGTAGGATGTAGGTCAGTTTCTTCACCGCCACTCAGTACCGCATTAACTTCAACCCTGGACCCCCCCTTCCGACAGCGAGGCTACAATGTGTCTACTACCTATTAAAGTTCCAGTGAAGCCTAGGTATTAGGTATTCAGACTTATGGCCAAGTATGTACCGGTATACTGAGAACTGCCAAAGTTCACACACTCTGTCCACCTCAAGGTTTTCCAGAAACTGAAACTGAAACTGGCCAGTATTCGGTGTCCCTGACTCCCGGTGGGGAACTGAATTTGGCTCTAAAACTGGAAGTCTGGAGCTGAAAAGTGAGCATATCCAAACGGGCCCTAAGATCACGCAACAGCACCCGTCATCCACGTAAAGACACATACGGCACTTCACGATCCACAGAATCGGCACATAATCGGTATTCGCACCTACTATAAGTAGTCCTCTATGTTATGCTACGGCACCTATGGCATATGCTCGCCACATCCACATCCGCGGAACCAAGCGCCCCCCCCCCATGCACCCAAGCACCTAAGCAGCACCCACCGGTAATAAAGTAACGCCTGCCCGGAAGACGAAAAGCAAGAAAGCAAGAAAGAGAAAAAAAAGCAGACCTAGACGCCGCCGCCGCCCCCAAGTTGAAGAAAAAGCGTATATAGCAAAGGTACCATACGCCGGAAAACAAACCAAACAATGATGCCCCCGCAAGAGCCCAACCCCCCATAACACAGTAAAAAACCACCTGATTCCAGAATATACCCCCATCCTTAAACGCCCCCTAAAAAACCGACTTTCCCTAACCAGGCTGTTCAATCATAGGATACGAGTACATATTGTGACCCAGAAATGAACAGAAGAGGGAAGAAAGAAGAAAGAAAGGAAAGGAAACGCCACAAGTAATATCGCACCGAAGTTTTCTCCACCATCCGTCAAGCCATCCTCGAGATCAGTCACGCATGCTGTAGCGAATGTTACCATCACAAACGCTGCATCACCTTCTCTACCTCTTTCTGAATGGTCTCTTGCCACTGCTGCTTGTCCAGGATCCCATTCTCGGAAACAAGTTTGTACACGTGCCTCGAGATTGCTCTGTTGTTCTCGGTGTAACTCTCCTTGTTGATCTTAGCCGGATACAGCGGCTTTAGAACTGCTGACACCATCTTGACGATATCGGCTTTGTTCTCCTTAGTGATGTTGAATCTTGGCTTCTTCTGATCTGAATCCGACGTCGATGATTCTCTAGTCCGAGAAGGTCCAGGTGAAAGCGAGTCTTGACGACCGCCGTTAGTCGACCTGATTTCAGGTGAATGCATGCGGCTCACTGGTGGCGATTTTGGCGCCGGCGCAATTTCCCATGGTCTCTTCCTTTCAGCCCTCAGGGGGGAATGTGCTGGTGTCCTGGGTGTCCTGGGTGTCCTGGCAGCCTGCGGTGATAATGGCGAAAAGGTGTTTCGTCCCCGCGAAACCCCATCGGGAGAGGTCGGACGACTCACCGGCGGAGAAGTGGGCGGGTACGCTGCAGGTGGCGAGCGAGAACGCGACATGGCGCTGGTGACACTGGAACGATCCGGAGAGATGGGGCGCATCCTTGTGAGATCCCTTCCAGTAACGTCGGCGGCAGATACTATCGGCACATCCTGAAACCTTCCAATTCCTTCCAAGATGGAGGTGAAGATCCCTCCCGATGACGGAGAACCGGCATCACTCGCGGCCGCTGAACCTGGCTCGGCATTCCTAGAGGATTCTCCATTGTTGGTCTGAGTGTTTATGGCCGGAAGCTGAGAGTCCCTCTTGGTCCTAGGCCTCTTGAACTTTCTTCCATCATTCGCACGTCTCGACGTGTCCACGCCGATCCGAGTGAGCAGTGCTTCCTCGGAAGCGGGACTCCTGCTTCGCTTATTGGGGTTGCTCTCCATGTTCTCGGCAAGTTCCATCATCTTCCACGAGTCGCTCTCTTCCTTGCTCATCTGGTGCTCCAGATGCGGGAAGGTAGTCCTCGGTCTGGACGTTCGTGTTCTCCACGCGGCGTGCGACTCATCGAATGACTCGTTGAATGCATTGCGTCCCGCCCGTCTTGTTTGAACTTCAGCAGCAGCACGGCGCCTGAGCATACGTTGCTCACGCAAGCGCTGGCGATTATTGAGGGCAGCCTCCCTCTCATAGTAGTCGTCATAATACTCCTCCTGTTCGGCGGAGTCGGCGAACTGCGGGCGAAATAGATCGGCGTCGAGGTGAGACCATGCGTCCGCCCAGATTCTCTGCTCCCGGGCAACATCCAACGCCATGAAATGATCGTAAGCGAGTCCTACTTCGTTACGACCTTCCTCTTCCTCTACTTCGGTGAAAATCTGGTCACCCTGTTCGGCAACCCTCTGGATTTTGTCTGCGACTTTGTAGGAGGTAAGGATCGGACCTACAGAATCGTTCATCGGATTAGCGCCCGCACAACTCGAGGCCCCCGGAGAACCACGCAAGCGATAAAGAGACACGTACCTGTCATAAAAGCGAGAACATTGACATCGTTGAAGTTGAGGCGGCATATCGGGCAGGAATTCGCGATTTCGGTCCAAGGCTTAAGACACTCGTTGTGCATCAAGTGCGAACACGGAACTAGCTGTGCAACTGGCTCGGATTCGCCCGTCAGCGGCACACTGTCGAACGGAAGACTGCTCAAGCAGAATATGCAATCCACAGCCGTCTCCTCGGCAACAACCGCCGGAGGTGTTATGGGGTCGTCGGCAGGTGGCGAGGGTGTTATGGGATCGTCTGCAGGTGGCATGGGAGCTGTCGATGACGTCGGGGGTACGGGCATAGCGCGGTCCGAAGCGTCGGGGGCGTCGGAGGAGTCGGAGGAGGCGGTAGGCGAGGTACACATGTCGAGAATTCGCGAGGACCACAAAAACGAGTAGATTGAAAGAGATAGAGTTCGTGAGGTGTCGTGCGAGTCATGGAATGGTCGAGGTTGTTGAGGACGAGAAATAGAAGGGAGAAGAAGGGAGCAAGAGAGGTGGGCGTCGCGACCTTTTAAGCGCTCCACCGCCAAGACATCGATAAGCTGAGTTCCTTACGGAGTGCTAGTTGCTAGTAGCTGAGGGGTCTGAGAAGCGATCGACACTGGTAGAGTGCACACCTTTTTCTTTTCTTTTTCTTTTTTTAAATACGACAACTCCGATGGGTGACGAGAGAAAGAAATGGTTCGGGGAATTACTCGGTATTCCCCTATGTGGATGCAGAGAAGGAGGATGATGCGCACGAATCTTCTTCTTCCTCGTCTCGTGCTTCGGCTTCAAACGCGCTCATCGAATCCGCCCAAGCAGAGGGGAAATCGTGAGTGATCGTTTCCGACCCGCACCCGTGGTAAAGTGCTATGGTAATTAGAGCACCCGACGGGCGAGGCGGTCATGGCCACAGCTCAACAAGGGACAGCACGGCCACAACCCACGAGAGAGTTGACTACGGTGACTATGGCAGCTGAGCAGCTCACTAGCTAGGTGGAGTAGCTATGCGTCAACCTCCACGTATACCGCTGTGGAGTATGTAATCTAGAGTTCCTATGGACATGTTTGATCCTCCCCCTCACAGATAACCACCATCACACGCACTCCATAAATCCATCATGCACCTCGCAATTCATCCGGAATGCGGGGAAAGCCACATGTGCAGCATTAGTTAGCACCGCTTGGGGGTGCTGAGCGAGCGAGCGAGGCTGCAACGCCGACGCCGCGACGGAGGTTCTGCGAATCCGGCCCCTGCATCCTACGTCTCTTTGTAGGACAATTTCATGTCGCTGTGGTTGGTGGCTGGATTTCGGGGCGCATCGCGACATTCGCTCGTCCTTTTGGATACATAATTTGTCCATGCCCCGTGGCCTGTGGCTGTACAACAAGATGAGGTACCGCTATCTACTGCAGGGGAGCGTGGTTAGACGCAACCTACCTATTCGAAGATGCTAGCGTTGGACTAGGACATGTGGCTTAGTCTCTGTGCCACACACCCAAAAGCCTCACGCCAAGCGCCCCGGTGCCACAGTTCTTCACCAGCTCTCACTCGCTCAGGTAATCCTGCCCCGCTGAGTAGGATTTCGACTTTTGCATCGGTTTCCTTCATAACCCTGAACCTTAGAGCCTAGCTACCAGTATCGTTGCAAGAAGCACAAATGTGCCATCTCGGAATGTTGGCAGAGGCTGCAAAACTCTCGGAATTAGAGACATCGGGCGAGGTTAAAGGGGAAAGAGGGGGGCCGAGGAAATAGCCTCACGACATCGTAGTGGCCGAGACACCAGTCATGTACAATGGCACCGTCTTAGAATGATCTAGGTACGTACCACCTCGGAGCCTGACTCTGACTGCTGCGAGTCTCGGCGGATCAGATGCCACGCCACGAGAGTGTGTGTGGATAAGTCTACTAGGTAGCCATTGAGGTTGGATCTTGGAACTTTGGACGTGGTGAAAAGTTCGTCTTTGTCTTTTCCTTCTGTGCGGTAGGTAGAGGCCACCGTAAGAGTGGGAAATGTTGTACGAATCCTCATACATCTAGAGCCTGCAGCTAGTGGCTTAGACATTGATGCCGAAACTGAACTGGACGGTCGACCGAACCGTCGAGTGGATCTCTGAGTGCTCCTAAGAGAGCGCCAGATAAGAGGCGTAATCTTGCGCAGACTAGGAAGTCTAAAGAAGCGCACGCCTGTTGGGAGTTTAAGCTAGAGTACCTGGGCTCTTGTGGGCGCTGTCCAACTGGTCCATAACTGTTGGAAATATGATGAAGTTTAATGATCAATTGCCGTACCAGAGGAAGAGAGGAGAGACAGAGATGTGGGAGGTGATGCTCTGGAGTCTGGGCCGGAAGACATGGAAGATCAGTCCAAGGGGAGGATAGTTAATCATGAACTGTACACGGTATGTATCAGCTGCTCTGGACTAGAGCGTGCAGTATGAAGCGGGTTAACTGGTTCGAATCCTCAGCATCCCCCGGTATCCGAATTTCGCCGTCAGTAAATATTCCCGATGGCTTGAGCTGGAAGGCTTCCAGCCTACGGGCAGTCAAACGGTCCTGCAGTCGTCGCAGTCTCCGCAGCCTCTACAGCCCGGCTCGGATCCCGAATCGGCTCCCAGTATCTAGACGAGCCCAGCCTGGGCTCTGAGTGTGCCTCCTGTGATCACTGCTCCGGCCCTCTAAGGTATTGCCCGTCTGCTATCTCTAGCTATCTAGCTTCGACATTGATCTTCCAGTGAACGAGTTCGACACGCCTGCGTGTGCCAAGCCGGTGTAAGTAGGCGAGAATATTCGCTCAGTGGACACTAGACACTGGAACCCCAGTCGATGCGACGGAATCACGGGACCTGCGAGCCCCCTTGACTTACGGACATCGGAAGGAAAGAGTTCTGCCGCAGCGAAACACTGGATGGACGAAGACGCAGATTGAGTTTTGTTGAAGAGAAGGAATGGAAACGGACGCGATTTCCCTGCATGTGGGCACAGGATTTTCTCCAGGTGCACGTGCGCCGGCTTCGTCTTGTATGTATGACTTGACGGCTTGGGCGGCAGCAGCTGAGCTGCAGTTGATATGGGGAATGCATGGCCGTTCTCCTCTGCGCGTTGACGGCACGTCTGTATTTATCCACGTCTCCACACGAGCTAGTGATGGTTAGTTGCTTGTTACGTGTACGGTCGATCAGTGGGGATTCAAACATTCCCCTTTTTCGGAAGGGAAGGTGCTCTACACAGCCACCGTACTGGCCTGCTTCGGGAGGTGCTCGTTCGCTCGAGACCTCGGAATTCCACAAGCTTGAGCTTGTGCGGTCGCGGGTAGTGGCAAGTGCCGCTACATCGGCATGTGGGAAACACGGAGATCTCGACTCGCTGTAAATGTGAGGTACCGGGTGTTTCGGATAGACGGGGTGTTTTCGCCGTTCAAGACATCGCTTCGTGTTTTTGTTTACTCCAGTTGCGGTGGGTGCTCAGCACGCTCTCCAGACTCCGATCATCCGCTACATACAATGGGCAGCTAGAGCACGATGCTAGAGCAGAGTAGAGCATAGTCACGTCCCCAAGCAGTTACCCCCGGGAGTCCAGCTGCTAGTTAACCGTGCCAAGAACTCGTCTGGATGAAGTGAAGTCCACCGGCCAATCGGGAGCCGTGGATAAGTTGACTGAGTCCTCGCTACCCGCAGCCCGTCAATAGAGCGATCCGGGGTTGGTTACACGGCGAGAACCCGCACCAGTTCGGCAGCACTTCAGACATCCGGGGAGCAAATCAGTTCTAGAAGCCTGACTGCAGGTCTGTAACAATCCGCGACAGCTCCTCAGCCCCCGTGGAGCTACGCCTAATGCATCGCGATGACCTCCTCCCACCCTCCCCTCATAAGGGGGAGACAGCCCCCCTCTCGCAGGTTCTCGTCTGGATCTTCTAGGTGACCATCAGCAATGTCTACAACTGCCACGACCGCGGCCACGGTCATGGCCGCAGAAGCGTCTGCACCAACCGCGGAAACCCCCCTTCTCACACCCTCTTCCCCGGCACGAGCACTTACCGACACACAGTGGGAAACGCTCCTGGCCTTCGCGGACACGCTTGTGCCCGCCCTGACGACCTCCGAAGTCCTCGCCGTGCGGTCCTCAGTCACGCGCACGGTATCGTCTCCGGACTGGCCGGCGATCGACCGCTTCCTGCATTCCTCATGCCGCGATTCCCCCGAATTCCGCTTCTATCTCGATGCCGCACTGCACCGATCCCCGGCCAGCGCAAAGCTGGCGCGCGTCCTCGACATCCTGCAGCGCGGCGGCTGGATGACGTATCTCGCCACGGGCAGCTGGAAGCCGTTCCTGTCGCTCGAGCGGAGTGAGCGCGAGACGGTGCTCGCCGGGTGGGAGGGCGCACGGCTGCAGGTCTTTCGCCGGCTGTTTGCTGTCCTCAAGGTCATGACTGTCGCCTCGCTGCTGCGAATGTCGCCGACGGCCCTGGAGGCGCTGGGTTACCCGCGCGTCGATCCTGACAAGCCGGAGAAACCGCAGTTCCACAAATTCGAGTTCGAGGAGCTTCCCGCTGGGAATGTGGCCATCGATGCGGACGTGGTGATCGTGGGCAGCGGAGCCGGCGGTGGTGTCGTTGCGCAACGCATGATGCAGGAGTTTGAGGGGCAGGGGTTGAGGCTTTGTATCCTCGAGCGCGGCGACTGGATTCCCACCGACCAGCTGCCGCTCAGCGAGGCGACGCACGGCCGGATGTATGCCGGAGGCGGAGTGGTCAGGACGGTGAGCGGGAACGTCGCGATGGTTGCGGGCTCAACTTGGGGTGGCGGTACGGCAATCAATTACTCTGCGTCTCTCCAAACGCCAGCAAAAGTGCGTGAGGAGTGGAGCCGTGAGTATGGACTGGATTTTGCCGAGACGGCAGAGTTTCAGGAGTGTTTGGACATGTATGTTCTTCTCTTCTTTTTACTTTTTTTCCCTCTCGCCCGGGCCTCAAGACGGCGGCTGCTGACGAGTCATCGTGAAGGGTCTGCGACTACATGGGCGTTTCGACCGACAACATCCAGCACAATTCTGCAAACTCGCTCCTCATCGATGGCTGCAAGAAAACAGGAATGGACTACAAGATCGTGCCGCAGAACTCAGGTGGCAACGCCCACAACTGCGGCTACTGCTGCTACGGCTGTCCTTCGAACCAGAAGCAAGGCGGCACAGCAACATGGCTCGTCGACGCTGTCACCCGCGGTGCGAAAGCAATCCAGCGCTGCCACGTGCGGAAGATCAACTTCTCGTCCACGAACGCAGTGACCGGCATCGATGCCGTGATCAACGGGGGCACCACTCACCTCACGATAAACTGTCCGCGCGTAGTAGTCGCCGCCGGCGCGCTCTACACGCCATGCCTCCTGCTCTCCTCAGGCCTCAAAAACCCGCACATCGGCAGCAACCTCAAGCTGCATCCCGCTGCCGGAATGTGGGCGTTCATGCCGAGCACAGTCCCGACGACGCCCTGGCGCGGTCCCATCCTAACCGCGCTCATCACCGAAGCCTCAAATCTGGACGGCAAATACTACGGCGCGCGCGGGATCTGCGTTCCTCACCACCCAGGCTTCCAAGGCCTACAACTGCCCTGGGGCAACGCCGTACAATGGTGCCAACGCATCCTGCGCTACAAAAACAGCCTGAGCACGGTCTCGATCGCGCGCGACCGCGACTCCGTTGGCACCGTGACCCCGCACCCCGAGTCCGGCGAGCCGCTGATCAACTACACGTACGCGGCGTTCGACCGCGCCGCCGTGGTCGAGGGCCTCGTCGCCCTGGCGAAAGCCTACGTGGCCGCCGGCGCAGAAGAGGTCTGGGTCGATGTTTGTGGCCTCCAACCGCACGTCGTCAACAAGGATGGTGTCGCTTCGCCGGAGTTTAAAGCGTGGTGCGATGATATGCGCGCTCGTGGAATTGAGGATAGGGCTACGAGCGCTCATCAGATGGGAACGGCGAGGATGGGACAAGATGAGGAATCCTCTGTCTGTGATACACAGGGAAGAGTCTGGGGCACAGAGGGGCTGTGGGTCGCTGATAGCAGTCTATGTCCCACTGCTACGGGGGTCAATCCCATGGTCTCGACTATGGCGCTGGCGGCTTGGGTCGCGAAGAGTGTGTGTAGGGAGGTTGCGAGGGGGAAGACATGATTGTCTTGAGCAGGACCGTATACCCAGTATACGAGAGATGTTGGAATAAACAGTATGTAGCAATTGCGGGTCACGAGGGATGCGGATTTCCGTTGAATGCGATAGTGGTGTTGCCACAGCGCTGGCGAAATGTACGTCAAAGGATTGCTTTGATATCAAACGCCTATGTTCAAGTACCCAGAGAACTTATATGTACTCCATTTTTGTGACACGCGCATTTCCTGCAGACTATTGATACCACGTATTCTACCCCCGGCTCAAAGCAAGTAGCGGGAGGCTTTGTAGTTACGCATCATTGCGAAGCAGCAATTTGCGTTCCGCAAAGCGTGACGTGTCGTGTGGGGTGCAAACTGTCTAGATGTGTTTGTTTTGATCATTAATTTCATGGGACCTATCCAGATTCCAGATCGTGGCAATATTTATCCACGCCAACAATCGGGCTAGAGAGAGATCTTCCTGTTTCATTTCGCATGCAGCCTATCTAGACTATGGCGAAGAAATCGGGGCTAGATGCGAGCAATTGACCGCCAGGAACCCGAATCGCGAGTGATAGGTTGTGATAGCACAATTTCGCATGTTTGTTTTGGGAAGGCTAGCCGTCAGTTCGACCCCAAAAACGGTGTCCTAACTATGCCCTACCTCCCGCCTTACAACACCTTCTGCAAGCTTGCACAAACGGAAAATCCGCTAGCGCACAGCGGGTCCTTTATAACCCACGGTCTCCGCCCGTCCTCTCTCCCTCTCTTCTCTTCCATTCATCTTCCATCATCCTCAAGTATCAATATTTCAGTCAATTTTACTCACCATTATCGCGCCACACCCGGTCGCGACCCGCACAGCCTTCGGTGGCCTCCTGCCCCCTACCCCGTCGACTATTCCTCACAGAACCGCAAGCAAATGCAGCGTACGGGAACGATATTAACGTATCGTTCCCGTCCCGTTTCGCTTTCGACAGCATACATGCCGAGCATGCGCTCGGCATTTACCTGCCTGCCTTTCTCGGCGGCTGCTTCGCGCGAACGACCAGTCTATTGACAACGACGAACCGTCTTGGCATTCGCGACTATGCCACCCCCCGCGGTGGCTACTGCTGCAGCCATGCAGCGCCGCTGACAGCGCGGGGTGCACCAAGGCAATGGACCCGGGCGGGGAGAGCAGCAGTTCTCTCACCACCCCTCCGGGGGGTGTCCTCCTCTTCACGACCAAGCACCAGGCAGAAGAATAGCCCGGTATCTACCATGCTTCCGGGGGCGGGGTTTGATACCCGAGCAGGTTAAGAAGATTATGATGGGAGGACAAACTGAGTGATGCGAAGCAGATGCTCAAGGTGAGATGGCTGCCTGCCAAAAGGGAGATACTGAACGGGCGTAACTAACATATCGTGGCTTTCGTCAGAGTTACATCTCCGCGATGTCTACTACCGCCGTCACACTATCTAACTTGCTCGTACGGCATGCCTGCAACACTGGTGGCCACGATCCTATTCCCTTTCCACCTCTATGTGGTTTTGGTGCTGTGAGGATCGCCCTGGAGTCGGACCTGGGGAAGGAAGGGCAGGAAAACGAATGAGAAGGAGGACGAGATGAGTTTGCAGAGATGGAAGGGGAGGTGGTAAAGGTGGATGAAGAGGTGGTAGAGGTGGATGAGGAGGTGGTAGAGGTGGATGAGGATGGTGGAGTGGGCCAGCAGGGCAATAGGGAGTGCCGCATAGTTGCACTCGCGGACGGATTGGGGCTGGTGGTATTGTCGTTCGCTGCTGAACAGGCTAATAGATGCGAAATAAAATTGATGACCCCCCCGGGGGTTGTTAGTCATAAACAATCACTCTGGTTGTGAGTAGGAGTGTGTGTGGAGTTTAGTGCGAATGGTGAGCCGTTATGGCTAGGTTGGAGAGCGTGTGTGTTAGTTGGGGTCGCTGAGGAATAATATGAAGGGAGCTTTTCTTCCTTACTTTCGATTCCTCACGCAACGTCTGTGTTCCTAAATTCAGAGTTTGTTCCTCGTCCTCAGTCTTGACCCTCCCGCCTCGTTCCGTCACACATGTACAACTTGCATTGGCGCTACTCTCCATTGAAGAGCAATAGTGACAGTATTATCAATACAGTGCAGTTGGCCGGCAGTTTCCCCTCTCTGTACGAATCAACAAACATTTGGGTCGCAGTCACCACATATCTCACTCTCCCTGCAATGACTGCGGAGCCGGAACGTGTGTTCAGCGCCACAAAGATCATTATCTCTGATCGTCGTTGCCGTATGAAAGCTAGCAGAGGGATAGGCTGCATGATCGCAGCTACCAAGTCGGAGGATGGCGAAAAGGCACACAGTTGCTGAGGCTCTGCCAGTCATCGACTAAGTACCTACCTTCTCGAGGCCTTCAGATTACAGTCTGAGTGACAGAACAACCGCGTATGTTGCTGCTGTTCTACTTCATCCTCGGACTTCGAGCATAAGCTAGAGCTGATAGTTCGGAATAGTGGCGATAATAAATTCTGTGGTTGAGCCACACGCAGCCATGGATCTAATCACAGATAATAACTTGCAGAGAGGGGGTGGGGGGACTAGATGTGAGCAATCGACCGCCAGAAACCCGAATATCGAGTGATGCGAAGTGATTGCTTGCGGATGCTAGCCGTGAGTTCGACCCCACCAACTGTGTCGTGACTTCCGCCACCACCCACAAGCTTCCACAGATATTCCGCTAGCGCACAGCACTTCCGTATAAAACCCGCGGGCTCGCTCTGTTCTCTCTCTCTCTCTCTCTCTCTTCTTCCTTCCATCCTTCTTCCACAATATCAACATCGACATTTTCGCACCCACCTCCCGGCTTCATCCATTCACAGCATCCACCCCCTCCCCCCCACCACCGCCGTTGAGCCGCCTTGCTCGATTCCTTTGCGTAGACATGGACGCCAGCAACCACCCTCCTCGTCCGTCACCAGAAAGTACACAGCGCAGTGGCTACTACTACAACCATGACGCGCCGCCGCCAGCGGCGTGGAAAATGGAAATCGAAAACGGACTGTCACCGTCGGCTTGCGGAGTCCAGAGTCCATGGGGGTGTTCCTGTGCAACGATCGATATCGGTGCAATCAATTCCCGCTTACTTTGGGCCATTTTTGTCACGGCCCAGGTCAGGGGTTGACAGTGGACACCGAGGAAGAAGAAGATGATGGAGGATGATCAACTGCATAAGGAGAAGCGAACATTCGAGGTGAGATTGCAGCCTGCCAAAAGGGCGATACTGAATGGGCTTGCGAGCTGCGAACAATGACCAACGTATCGTGACCTCGTCAGCGTTATATTCCCGCGATATGCACAGCAGCTACCATACTCGTACGACACTCCTCCACATCATAGCCCTCGAGGGCATGTTGTTTCCAACACTCACCATGTGTTTTTGGATCCAGACTTTTGCAGTCATCTGGCACCTAGTGTGCCAGAATAAATGGAGAACAGTGTTCTCCATAGTCCGGACTGCGGTCCGGACGGGTCAGCCCCCTTCCGACGGCCGTCTGGGCGGCCGTCCGCGTCACGTGCCGATTCAGGCCATGAGCGAAGAGCTCGAACGTGTGTTCAGTGCTGCAAAGATCACCTTGTCAGGCCTGTGACGTAGGTATCGCTTCGACGGCAGCGCCATCGAGGCGCTGGAGTGTCCCAAGAGCTGGCAACTAGATGGATTGATTGCGACTAGCAGGGAGGATATCAATGTGATTGAGGACATGCACAACGTGCATTGTCGTTGCTCCCCATTGGGGAGCAACAGCCACGGAATGTTGCTATGACGGGGATGCTGAAGATTGGGTGGGAGTCGTTGGATAAATACTACAGTTCTGAGCCTCAGCGACAGAACACCTGCGTACCTCGACTGCTGTTCTAGTTCATCGTCGTCACAAGTGGGCGTACTTCACCAGCAAATGGAAGGCACAGTGGATCATACTGCCAAAGCCGCAGCTATGTACTAAGAAGCAGGAGGATGTTCAAACAATTGAGTAGATGTTGGCTGCCCTTTGTGAGGAGGATCTGGTCTAGAATAGTCGAAAGTAAAGAGTTCAACGCTTCTAGTACGCATTCTAGGCGGCCCACTGAACTTATGAAAAATTAAAAGTATGATAGAAACACTTAATTATTGTTCTTCTTGTTCCCGCAGTAGGTCCTCTGTGTACATGTATCCAGATGATAGCTGACGGCTCGCCATTCGGCGCCCGATCCCTATCACAGCGCTCCGGACACCAAATCTGACTCGGGCGCCTAAGGTCTTCCGGCACCCAAGGTGTCCTCCGTAGCTACCGGACGTCTGGATCTAACAGAACACTGAAGTCCGAGACTGAAACTGGATGGTCGACTGGGCCGTTGGTCGGAGGAGTCGAGTGACAGGTATTAGGTTGTGGATGTTCTGAGCTTTGAAGCCTAATCTCCAAGTCTAACCTTCTTTCTTCAATTTTTCTCTTGGATAGACAGTATATTCTACATACTACCTACCTCCTACTGTACTGCATAGTGATTCGGGGGGTAAATAGGCGATAGTGATAGAGTCTTGTAAGGGCGCGCATATTATCACCAAAAAACAGCAGTGACGCCGCGTCTATATACACTTCAGCGTGTGCGCTAACATTGAATTGGGTCCAATATTGCACTAACGTCCTTGTAGATCACTACTAGACAAGGAAAGCGAGCGTGAGCGACGACGAGCACGCCCCGATGGGAAAGCACATTACCGACGCAGCGGACGAGCGAGTGTGGCCCCATCCCGCTGCAGATCACCAGTAACCGTGACACCCCTCCCCCATACATTCGCAAGCGAGTGATGCGCAATGACGATCCAGCTCGCTTCAATGTCAGCGGCACCGTATCATCCTGTCAATCCCATCGCTTGACTCGTCAGTGCGCGTCGGCCCTGCCATTCTATGATATTTCTTCCCGCTGCCCATCTGTTCTCCATCTGTTCTCCGTCGTTACTGTTACAAGAGACGGGAAAAAAGCAAAAAAACCCACAAAAGAAAGAAAAGAAAAGAAAAAAAGAAAAACTGCGTGACTTATGTACTTAGCACAAGCTTACCCGGCGGACGTCCCGTTCCCCGCTTTCTCCGAACGCCATTACGGGGCTGGTCGAAAAAACCGAGGTTCGCGGGCGATGTCCAAAAGGGGTCAGCTTCGCAAGATGGAGGAGATCGGGCCAAGGGACAACATCGAGAGCGTGTGGCGACAGCTGAAGATCTCCGATACCGGCCACTATGGTGACGTGCTCCGCCCAGCAGCTTTGCCCGTTTGTTTCCCGCCGACTGATTTGAACGCATCACCGCCCGCAGTCGCCTTCATCCGCGAGTCACGGCAGTACAGGAACGTTTCCGCCGACCCGCCGCCGTTCCACTGGGCGCTCGACCGCGCCGCCGACTTCGAGCGCAGCATAGTCGACCAGATCAAGAAGGACACCGGCGCCGACGTCGCGTTCGTGCCCGCCGGCTGGTTCTACACCAGGCTCGCCGCTGCCCTCCCGCCCGCCGCGTACAACAAGGATCTGAAGCGGAATGACGATATATGGAAGCACGCTGGCATCTCGATCGACGACCGCAGGGCTATCAACAAATGTCGGTTTGGGATCGCCGAGACACTTCCCTGTCCGAAAAGTTAAAAAAATCGTCGGTGCTGATCCGAGGTACTTACCCCTAGGTGTCAGAGAGAAAATCGTTGAGCCCAACGAACCGCTCCACCTTCACGCCTTCAATGAGATCGCCGAAGAACTGCTGAAGGCATGCCAAGAACTGGAATACCACCTGAACCTGCAGGAGATTGGGTTCGAGGGATGGTGGTTTCACGAATGGCTGATAAAGACGGGCCGCAGGGTCTTTCGGGCGGTCCTGCGGGGGAAGAAGAAGGATGATGGGTTAGATAGAAAGGACGAGGGGTCGGGTAGAAAGGATAGTGGCTTAGATAGACTGAGAATAGACAATTTAATTGGGTAGGAAAGGAAAGCAATGGTGCGCCCCGCCATGAAACCCGGACCTTAGCGGATCTGGATTCCGAGTATGTATCTAGAGCCGGTTCGCGGATGACGACGAAGTTGTCACAGAAGATCACTCGGGTACGCACCTCTCCGTCAAGGTTGAGATGTTAGTGGAGCGGGCGACATGCAATCCCATGCACTTTACGTTGCGCCGTGAACTAACTACGCGGCGGCGGGGGAGGGGGGGGGGGCATGAAATTTGCCGGTCGAGTCCCACCTACCAAGATCTCACTCACTATGCCACCTGCAAGCTCTGCGAACGTCAAACGCACGATACCCAAGCTCAGCGTAGTTCAGTGGGACTGCATGCGGAATAGGAATCCATGACCCCCCCCCCCCCCCTCTACGACACAAGAGCAGGGGACGATTCTACACCATGGAGGACGGCGAATCCAGTTATTGGCGAGTTTACTATGATGATTCTCCGGATCAAAGTTCTACGTACGTTGCTCCGTTGAAAGAGAGAGATATATTTAGTTTACGTTGCTCCGTTGAGCGTATAATAGCAGCAGCAATGTCAATGTCTATGAGTGATACTACGTGCAGTTTATCCTTGGAAGTTGCAAGTCTTGCTGTTCCTAACCCGATAGCGGGGGTGTAGACCACTCGGGGGCATTGTTACTCCCGAAATTACATCAAGTTGCTCCTGGAGGCTTTTCAAGTCATCTAAAGGACTCGACTTCATACGTTTCCCCCAGTTTTTCGTGTCGATTCAGATCATCGTGTTGTTTCTCATGGTTGATCCGGGATTGGCTCGTATGGAACAAAATTCTGCGTGACCGCGGTAGGGATGTGGTTATGTCTGTCCGAAATCTCGATATCCGGTGAGGAGCGGGAGTTGTTGTGGGACCTCATTGGGCTCGACAGTTAATTGGGGCCTTCTCGGAAACGGTCTTGAAGGTGTATCCTCGCATTGTCTCCGGCATGCGGTGCCACAAGTCTCTGGTCGGCAGCAAGACAAGAGTCCACCATGTTGCCGAAGGAGTGAAAATGCGCTTCGCAGTCGAGAAGAGGTTTCACAAGGCTCGCCGTGCGCAACCCAAGCCTTGTGGGAAAGTATGGGAAAAGAAGCACATCAGCTCGAGGTCCTCTGAATACAAAGTTCTGCGGCTTTATTAGGAAGGTGGAGGAGACACACCCTCCGGTCCCGTATGAGTTCACGGCCGTGCCTCGCGGAAAGCTTTTCTCGCCAATCGCCAGAGTGGAGGTGTTCGGCCAGTCAGAGTGAAGGTGTTCGGCCAGCTCGAGCGATTCTTTAAGCGAGTGAGGAATAGTCATGTGACAGCCATATCCAGAGTAGTAATGTATCCAGTCAGAATTGCACTCACCTTGTCGTCGATCCTTCTCGCCAGTGGCTCGGGCCGAGCCGGAGGCAGGGCCGCAGGGGCGGATTGCTAATCCTATCCACTACACACATACATGAGTACACATGATCAGCCGTTCGAACTGGAGCGCACGTAGCCGGTCCGCGAGCCACGGCCACAGCCCCAGCCACGGCGCGGTGTGTATTGAGGGGCGTGGAGGACGAGGTGGCTTGGCAGCATCGGTGTGCACCGGAGAGAGGACTCCGAAGGAGACCTTGTTGAACCTTATTGAGACCTTGTATTCAGGAGGAGAGACGTCCTTGCTGGGACCCGGTGGGATCTATGTGCTACGGAGGTGGGACCCGACGCAGACCGAATGCAGTCGTTGAACGTTGAATTGTTTCTATTATCACTATTCTGTTCTTCCTGTTCGTCTCGCTTTCTTGTTATCATCATCAGCATCATCATCGTCAGCGTCATTGAGGAGCTTCTCAATCGATCCTGTTTTGGTCTCACACCCGTTTTGGGGTCTCTCAGTATGTACTCCCCAGCTCAACGGCGAAAATCTCCACAGCTGAAGTCCACATATGTAAATATAACCTGTCGCGAATTACCGCATCGTTCCCGACGATTTGTGTGCCTGCAGCGATCGACCCACCCTTGCCGTATCCGGGATAGCCCTGGCCACTCCGCGTATGTGGCTATATATGGGACGGTACTCGCCGTCGGCATTCCAGACTTCGAGCTCAACCCCCTCTTCCCGCTGATTCGAGCGTCGATTCCGTTCGGCGAGCTGGCGGCGACGCCTCAATTGCCCATGCCCGTTACTATTATAGTGCGGGTGGTGTGGTGGAACTAGGAAGTGGAGCATCGCAGTTCATCTGCTGTCCGTGGGACTAACTCTCGGCAGGACGAATCCCCAATCCCCAATCCCCAGTTGCTGGGTGCTTCACTGCCACCTATGGAGTAGGTCTTACATCCTCAAGCCTTCTCGAAGTTCTCGTCGTTACTAATTATACATAATCGTCACTAACTATACATAATCGTGTTACTGTTGTCTCAGCTCTCTCCCCACAAGATTGTCTCTATTGTTGTTCTGTCAGGTAGGTAGCACTCGAGTTCGTTCGTTTGTTATCTCTCCAGTACCGGTACGACCTCGCGAGCTCCCTCCATGAAAACACAACGTCGATCTCCGCTTCCGTTTCATGTTCCACGGGTCCGCGGACCCGGCAATACAATCCCAACCGAACACTGTGCTCCATCGCCTCCTCGTTACATACGCTACATATAGCAACTTGACAAGATTGCCTACTGTGGTACGTACCTAAGCGTAGGAGATCACGATGGCCCCCGCTTTACCGACACGCCCAAGGAACCGGTAGCCGGGGATTATTGAGGTGCAGGCTCAGCTCCTGTCAAAATACTTCCTACGGTGGTAATCATCCGCGAACCGGAAACACCATTTCACATCACACCAGCACACCATCACGGATAACTAACTCCTGAGTCGAGTTTTGACATCACCGCTCCGAGAATCATAAACTGACGGACGTCAGATCGATGGAACAGTGGAAGCTCTAGCCGAGATAAACTACGTTCTTTGGTAGATATGGATGCAGACGATTTTTCCCTCTCTCCGTTCTAGATCCTTCCGTACTGAGCGCAGCGGTTGAACCTGGTGTGCTCATGTTTTCTTTTTCTTCTCGTGATACCCACATACCCACATATGTAGAGTAAGTACCTACCAATCGAAACACACACATACCTACCTTGTAACCCTCACATACCCACACGCACCCACATACGGTACCACAACCATTAACGATACCCCCACAAGTCCGCCGGCGCGATTGATCCCCGCCTCAAAACTGGAGCGTACATATAAGCGACTTGGCCGCAAGCCCGCAGTACCTACATACCACAACCCACTGGGAGCAGGCTCGCCGATCCTCCAATAACACTGTACATACACACAAGTGGTTTCGAATCCCCCGGCGGAGATGCGTCCGACCGGTGACTCTACCCTCCCCACTTTCATTGCGGCCGTCGTGGGGTTGGAGGGTTGGAGAGTTGGAGGGTTGGAGAGTTGGAGGGTTGGAGAGTTGGAGGGTTGGAGAGTTGGAGGGTTGGAGAGTTGGAGGGTTGGAGAGTTGGAGGGTTGGAGAGTTGGAGGGTTGGAGAGTTGGAGGGTTGGAGAGTTGGAGGGTTGGAGAGTTGGAGGGTTGGGAGTTGGAGGGTTGGAGGTTGATCGCCGGGGAGTCGGGGCTTCATCTGCTACCGAGCACCTACCCGTGCATAGTTACAGAGGCAGCACACGACTACTCCACGCAGGCCTCGATTCGCGATGACACTTGTGGAACACATTAGCCGTAGGCTCGCAGAGCGCGACTAGTTGTCTAATATATATCTGCTAGTCAGCAGCGTGCAGGAGGAGCGGCAATGGCAAACCGGGGGGCGCGCACCCAGCAGAAGGTTAGCTACGCTAGTCAACTCCATCCAACGCCACCGAATCTCACCTGGTGCAATTATGTAGGACGCACTGATGTACTGACGTACTGACGTAGCGAGGCATAGCTGTAGGCTGCCTCGTGGACGATGGGCCTGTGGATGACTCGCCGGAGCGAAAGCGGCTTCGAAGGCCTGGCTTCGCGACCTACCTATGCATCATACATACCGTGGGAGCCTGTCTGTCTACACATCTACATGCCTAGATGCTCTACTTCAGTATCTCGGCCACTGTACGGCAGTACATCAACTGAAATGGTAGTATCGCACTCACGCCAACGACCAACCGCCAGGTGGATCTATCCAATCCAAGCCCGCCATTCCAGAACCTCTATATAGTAGAGTAGATACTAGTATTAGAGCACCAGTACCAGCACCAGCATCCCTATCCCCATCTCCACTCCCATCACCAGCAACCCCATTGCGCGCGCACTGATGAAGCACATACATATAAGGTACGCGTCAAACGAACGCGGACTGCGGGCATATCCCGATTCGGTCAAGCGAGAATCGCGCCTACGCACCGCACCGCGGGGGACAATGTGCCGCACGTTGTGTGTCGTACGTATGGGGCCGTCGGCCTTGGGGGGAAGGGAGGGATAGGGGGGGGAATGGTTTTGGGGGAAAGTAGGAGATGGGGGGAATGGTTTTGGGAGGAAGTAGGGGATGGGGAATGGGGGATGGGGGGAATTGGGGGGATTCATGGGTGCTGACAGCTACTCAGGTGGAGTCAGCACGCTGCCGCTGCGCCAGGATCATGTAGTTAGGCCAGCTGGATGTTTATCTACTCTATTACTTTCATGTGTGTGTGCGGCCAACGTGATTCGTGGGAGGAGGAGTGGGGGGAGAGGGTTCTTGCGCTCTCAAGCACCTCGGGCCTGACCGCACAGACGAAACTCACCGTCTTTGTTTGCCGTGCAATACTCACCGGCCGCCCGCCGCCGCCACAGCGCAGTCGCACCCGGGTTGGCACCAATAGTAGCAGCGAGATTCTCTGGGCAGCTTTGTGTTACGCGGACTGTGAGCTCAATCCCGGCCTGTCCTATGACATGCACCCAGGCTGGGGAAAGGTGACTCGATCAACTGCGCTTATACTACCGGGGGTGGTTGAATCGGAAAACTACGAGTGATCGCTTGTGACGGTGGACATGACAACGTTGGCACTGGTGGATTTCCCAGGTTCGTATGTAGCAAGTGGATGTGGAGTAGTCACGTCTTTCAGGGACTGCTTCCATGATACCCAGTGTATTCCCGGACTTTGCTCTATCCGAATGCATCCAAGCACCTGCGGCCTTCGCCATTCCCAGTATCCTGTCGAGTCTCCTGCAAATTAAAAGACAATCGGGGTACATTCGCACATGGAAGAGACACACGCCTCGCTGAAGGAATCCAAAGAGAAAGAAAAAGAAGAAAAAACTAGCTCCGTCGTCGGTAAAGGAATAAATGAAACGAACTAGCCTTAATACATATTCTGCGGGACCGTGGGAAACAGGTCCAAAGGGTATTCGGGTTGTGTTTGAAGCGAATCGCGACTGAGTGTTGAGCCTATTGTAAGCTGGGGCGTGGGCATGGACTGGGGTAGCCACTGCAGATCATAGATCAAGTCAGCAGTATGCCGTGTAAATTCACTGATCTGTGATATTTCATGACTGCTATGAATGTTATCTAGATGGCTGTTAGCGTAAGGTATTATCGAGGGGGTGCGGTGGGAGGTGAAGCATACTCGAGAGGTACATGCTCGGTGATTGCTTGGGTGACCCGAGTTGCGGGGGGTAAACCCAGTGAAAGCCATCGGGGTGAATGTTTTCCGTTGATGACAGCGGTAATATTTCGTTCGCTACGACGATACGAAGATTAGCGACGGAAGCCAAGATTAAGGCGTAAAGATCATCACCATCTTCAATGATATTATCCTGTTCCGCAGTTAATATTCCGTACTCGAGGGATGTGGAGTTGTTGTGGCGCTTGGACCATGGGATTCCCGTGGATGGAAGTCCTGGGGCTAAGTTAGTTCTTTTCCTTCCGGGATATGTCACCATGGCATGTGTGCGTACCTCCATAAATGTTGGCGTTGTATCGGTCGGATCGTTCGGATAGGGTTGATCCACCGGAGGGCAGGCTCCTCTTCAGCCCATCCAGAGTGAAAATGCAATCTCTCATGACTCCACGCTGGTCCCTTCCAAGTGCGCGGAGAAAATCCATCGTGAACCCATCTGCATCCTCAGACTTTTCCAACTCCGCGTTATACCTCTCTCCAAATGTGGACCCGGAGATGCCTCTTCCGCCAACACTCATACTCTCCGGAGCGATCCCGTCGAGTTCTACCGTATCGAGTCCGGAAATCTCTGTACGGTGTGATCAGCAACAGCCCATTCGGATCGAGATACCGGAAGACCACTCACCATCATGCAATTCCATGGCGTCGTACTTCTTTCCGCGCTTCAGCCGTTGATCCAAGAGAATATCGCCCAGTGCTCTAGCCAGCTGAGGTTTAGTCATCCGACTGCTTCTCCTGATACACTCCTTCACCTGCTTGTGAAGGTCCTCCACCGCTGGCGGGAGTGCTCGTCCGGGTTGTTTCCCTGTCTCGCCCAGTGATCTGTGTCTGCAGTTCCCAGCCTCGTGCTCGTCCCGGCAACGATCGTGGAAAAACTTATCGCCGCATCCAAACTGGCAGGGGAGACACTTGAGATGGGTGTCGCAGATGTGGGATCTTGAGGTGATACCGGGGGTTAGATCCACACGATGATGATATTGCTTGGGACTGTGGGCTCACTTTAGGCCCATCGTGTCTGCGAAATAGTAGTGCCTCCATATTATCGGTCTGGTCTTGAGCGTGGAATGTTTGCGGTCGCGCTGTACCGGTGGAGCATGTTTGCAGATGGGGCACAAGTAATGCAGTTGCTCGCAGTGGTCACTGTGATATTAGCGATGGCCCAAGCGAGGTAAGGGGGACGTTGCTTACATGGCGTCCTGTTCGGTGTCGAAGGTCTCCCTGCACTCTTTCGGCACATTGTCGCTTTCTCTAGCCTTGCAAGCGACGGGGCATTTGAACGTCGGGGCGGATAGGCCTGGCTTGGCCCTATTGTTGCCACTGCTGCCATCGTTGCTCTTATCCCTGGAGCTTTCTTCCTTCCCTCTGTTATTTCCGGACCTCGAGGATTTGTCGCCGGTATCCGAAGGCTGTTGACCACCGCCGCCGAGCGAAGCTCTTTCTTTGCCTGCTGTACCACCGGACCCCGACGAATCCCCACCACCTCCACCACCACCACCACTGCAGGCCGTGAGACAGCCGCTAGGGGTAGGGCTCACCTGACCTTCACCGTTGCGAGCGATTCCGTTCAGGCGCCTCTCTCCAGGTTTCCTACGCAAAATGGGGCGCGAATGCGAGGCACCCGATGTCGGCGTCGAGGTGTAGGTCCGCTCGGGATTGGGGACGAGGTCGTACGGTGTGAAGGGGCGGTCTCCATGATAGATCCCTTGCAAGGGGTCCATGTTCTCTTGGTGGCGTGGCTCTTGATGATGAAGGGAGTAGTATTCTTTGAAGGTGTGGGACGCCGTCGTATAGTATTCGCCGGCGGAGTTCTCCTTCTGGTCCTCGGGCCGTGGTAACGGTGACTGTAGCAGGGACGATGAAGGTGACGGCCCATCTAGGCTTGAATGAGCGGGCATTTAGAGTATGCTCGTGCGGTAACCAAGTAGTACGGAGGTGACGTCTGGCTTGCGTTCGGTGGTCCCAACCTCGAGCAACAGCACGCCGCGCCGCTTTCGGTCCACTCGGTTCTGGCTCCGTGTATCGATGCTGAAAGCCGAAGAAAAAAATGTGAGCTGGGTAACGACTCCGGGAGAAGAGCCGGTAGAGGGGTAGAAGGTTGGTCGTGTGAAGGGGAGGAAGGGCTCCGTCGACCTCTCGAGCTGGATATCAATATCATGGGTGCGTGGACGCGAACGAGTTCTTATATTGACTGCTTATCGGCGTTATCGTTTCTTCGTCTCTAAGTGTCTTCCCCAGGTGCTTCGCCTCGTCTACAGCCTTGAAGAGTCTTCGTAGTACAAAGAATCTTGAGAGGAGAGGGAGGGATGCTGGAGAATTAGGTTGTGAGGACGATGGTGTTGGGAGGGCATACCGCTTTACCAGGAACCGCACTGCCACAGAGCCAGGCGGGTTCAGGGGGTTTCGCCCACGGTTGAAATCGTTCCAGTAGCTGACGGTGCCGAAAGCAAAAAATAATAATGAAGGTTGGCTATGGGAGCGCACCATGGCATGCGAGAGTCGAGACTCCCACACAGGTGCTCTGTGAGATCATCGGTGGTGTATTGGGATGATGATGGACAGCAAGTGGGAAATGTTCCAGGATGACCATGTTGGGACCATATCGTACTCCGCCCTCCGCCCTCCCGTTCAACTCATCCGTGAGTTGAGTGGGCCGAGACACATCCCCACGCAGACTTGCGTAAAGACGGTTTCCCGCGGCGGTCAGAGTCATTGTCGGTGGATGTCGCGATATATTTTCTTTTCATCTTCTCCGCGAAGGGGTGGGGGAGTGGTGAACACTGAACAGCGAGCACAAAAACGAACGAACCGATCCAACCAAAGAGCAGGCACAAGTACCTACTTGCCTAGGTATTCGCATCGACCAATCAAAGGGCGTGGGTGTCATATACGGATCGAATAGGTGACCTTCCAGCCAAGCAGATTGTTGTGGGCAGTAGGTGTGGTGCGCAAGACGACGAATGGAATATGGTGGTGTGGACTGCTGTACTCTACTCTACTGGATCTAGGCACGATGCTTCTGGACTGGTAGCACCCACCCCAAGCCTTCCGCTCCATTCTATGTACGGTAAACATCCTAGTTGTGGATCGATCTGCCATCATATTCAATCTCGAGCGCTCACTTCCGAGAGACAGAAAAATACCAAATCTGTATTAAATAATGTATGGTACCTAATCGAATGCGTGTGGTATAATATCTACTCGAACATTCACCCAGCGGTAAGAGGTTATGTAGAATAAACCGGGGGTAGGTATATAGGTGTGGCTATGCTGCGGCAGGGACCCTGTTAGGAATAACAGCCACATCAATACTTTACAAAACATTATCATGGTAACTGTTAAAAAGTTCAATTTCAGCTTACCCATAACTGACTGTTGATAGTACTGTCCACAACGAGCTCCGTCACGAATTACCATCATAGAAGTATTGATAGACCACATCGGTTGTTTCTAATAGTGTTGGAAAGAAAGAAAATACAGACCAGCAAATAAAACACGAGCACCGACATGAACCTTTGCCATTGTTCTGTCCCGAAGCTCATCTGTTGATGTATGTATTTACAGTAACATTAAGCTCTTCACTCGCGAGAATGACCAACCGTGTAATATTCAAAAGCACAGATAAGCAGAAGCAGAATCAGATGGAATTATGATAAATCTTGTATCAATTTGACTGAAGTTTTGAGACGGCAGCGCGCATGTGTGTCTCGGCATTGTCCTCTCTACATATCAATTCAGTATTTTGTCGCATAACTGCAGCCTTAACGGACCAATTAGCGCTCGCTTAGCTAGTACTCTAGTAGTTACTCTGTACATGCGAGCATGACGGTGAGCTCAGGGCGTGTGGGGTGTGGGGCTTTCTACGCGGAAAAAAACGATTGGATTGAGAAGAGAAAGGCATCGGTATGCATACGTACGACTCAATCGAGAGGAGTATCGTGGTAGCCCCCTCCCGAGTAACTAGGCAGCTGTGCACTTCGATACGGAACCAAGGAAGTGGTTATTCGGGTGTTGGTGTCAGTGTGATAGGTGCATAGCCCAGACCGTCTGGCCGGGGTCAGTCCAGTCCAGTCCAGTCCAGAGGTTTTAGCAGACTGTCTGAAAGTACTCGTGGTCCTTTCGGTCTGAAACTTCTGAAGACTAGATACCAGACTGCCAGGCTTCCAGTCGACTGGATGATAAGAATACATAAAGTTCATAAAGAGCCTCAAAATTTCTAGGTGTTTCTGTAAGTATTACAACTTTTAAATCAACTTCTAAACTTCAACTTCATCTCTGCCGCTAACCATCCTTACAAAAAACCAACCACATTCTCCCGGGCCTCTGCTGAGCCTAAACACGTGTTCGGTATCAATGCAGTGCAAAACTCACACTATCTCTCTGTCTCACCACCGATGCCGGTAAGGAGACGACGGATGCTGTTGAAGCATTGAAATGCCTTAAGAGCCGGCAGAGAGAGGGATTGTTTCCTTCGTTGTAACGGGGATCCCTCGTTAGGAAGAAACCGAGCCACAGCCACATCAATACTTTACAATAAAGTCTGCCTTGACAGACAAGACTCGTCCTTTCCTTGTACTCGGAATCAATCTGTTCCCACCACAATCACCACCACCACCATCAACGACCACCACCGCCACCACCATTACGAACCACCTTGCGACCAAATCACAAAAGAAAGGGAGAATAATCAAGTTGCAAATAGGAAACATTGATTTCCGTTACATAACCGAAGTAAATGTGTTTTCTATACTTCAGTGTAAAGATGAAAGTTCGCGATTTTTTCATACGCACGCGTCGCTGGTCACGTCGCATTGACTTTCCTCAACTTTTGTTCTCACCGAAGCTGAACAGATGCGCGTTGCCCTCTCAAAACTTTAGTCAAATATCTACAAGCTTTATCACAATCTCATCTGCTTCTGCTTCTGCTTCTATGCGCTTTTGGATATTACAGAGCTGGTCATTCTTGCGAGTGAAAGTTTAATACCCGGTGGCCCTTCTATTCCCATAAAAACATAAATCGATGGGCTTCTGTGCAGAACAATGGCAAAGTTTCATTTTGGTGCTGGTGTTTCATTCGCTGGTATGTGTTTTTTCTCTTTCCAGCACTATTAGAAACAACCGATGCGGTCTACCAACACTTCTGCGGTGGTGGTGGTCACTGGTCAGTGTTGGTGTTGGTGGTGGTGTTGGTGGTGTTGGTGGTGGTGGTGGTGGTGGTGGTGGTGGTGGTGGTGGTGGTGGTGGTTCGCGACGCGGCGCGTTGCCGGCAGTCAGCAGTCAGCCAGTCACGAAGCAAGCTGAAATTGACTTTTTAATTGTTGCCAAGATAAGTTTATTGCAAAGTATTGATGTGGCTGTGGCTCGGTTTTCTGCCGGAAGAGTGATCCCTGTTACAACGGAGGAAACGATCCCCAGAGAGATGGATTGGAGAAAATGTTGCATGCTTTCTGCGAGGAGGATCTACAGCAGTAGTTGAATCTGTGGCACATAGCCCCACACACTCACTCACTCACGGTACCGTAGACTACTCTACAGGCCGCAGTTACCTAGTGTTGACCACGTTTGCCGGCACTCCTAGAGCTTCTAGTTGCATACGTAAGTACATAGATATGTGCTGGTTTTATTACCCCCACAATCGCGGTAACTTGGGCATTCACTTGGCGGTTGACTGCCGTCCAGTCCTTTGTATGCAACACTTCTCCAAGCTGCCCCCCGTCCAGTCAAAGGGACAGATTGGACTATGTATTTAGAACACTGGTCGGTGTTGGTGCACTACCTCCTCACAGATGACCTAGACTTTTCTAGAAGAAAGCCACCGGCCCGCTACACACCGGTAGCTACTCTACTCATAATATTCGCTCTTGTCCTCCAGCGCTAAACGATAAATCAAGCTTCCATTTACCTACTGGAAGATGCCGAAATCCAGGTCGTTTTTGCCGATCAATCATCAGAGTGCTGACCTATCGCTAATAAAGTTTCACCCTGCCAGCGATCAGACGAAACGAACCCGCTGGCTTCGGAAGTGGATCTGATCTCTTCGAGGCCGATAAGGCGGCAAAGCAAGGAAGTTGGGTGCGGACGGAGGTGGTGGTAGCCATTGCAGTTCGACATCTTGGGGATCACATCATCATCATTCGCAGCAATAAAGACACCACTAACCCACGCACCGTAGGGCCACATAGCAATCCCTGCAGCAGAAGTCATCAGAAACTCCAAGATGAAAGTTGCCACCCGCCCACAAAACGCGCCCAGAATAGATACCCCGCCGTCGTAGACTGTCCGACTAACCGTGGACCGTGGTGGCCGGCCACGTGTGCAGTGACTGCACACCCGCAAGACCGGTGGTGCCCGACCGACCAAGGGGTCGTCGTACAGGCATGACCTGGGTTTACAGTAGACGGAGGAGGAATCGCTGTTCCCCCGCTTGTTCAGCCGCAACCGAAGACCGCCTTGCGTGCTATATGGCGCCAACGCCTCACCCACCCTCCAAGTGCGTCCTATCGCCAACAAAAGTATCCATCTATTCCAGTCGCTCTTCTCATATCAACATACCTACAGCTCCCCCGAAAACCACGGTATCGCCACCGCCGATTGACATTGCCGCTCCAATCCCCGGCCAGAACGCAACACCTGCCACCGTGCGTAATCCTTCATGTGGCCTATGAGACTATGACTCCCCCCTCCCCCCCCCCCCCCCCCCCCCCCCCACTCCCCCCGAGCCTCGCACTCGTGGACAAGGCTCAATTCTCCCCTCCCACGGATTTGAAAACCCCGTGTCTCGCCCCTCAACCGAGTGCTGACAAGTTTACTGGTAGTATCGCCAGTAGTTGCTGCTATTCTGGCAGCCAAAGGTACTCTATACACACCTACCTGCAGAGTCTACGCTGCTCGAGCCTCGCAAAGAAAACACAGCTTACCTACCTATTACCCCTAAAGCCCCAATTGCATATCCCCAATCCCAATACCCAATGGAGTAAAAGAGTCAATACCCAATACCCAATACCCAATCGAGCCGTTCTCGCCAGCCTCCGCTCTCCAACTCAGAAGTGCGGAGCCAATCACCGCACCAAACCACACCACACCGCACCAAACCACACCACACCGAACCGTACCACACCGAACCGTACCACACCGAACCGTACCACTACCCACACGGTTCCCCCTCCCCCAAGTCCTGACCCGTGCCCACCGTTCAGTCTATTGCATATTCGTGCTCTCGCGCTCCTGAGTCGTCCAGTTCGATCCCATGGGCCCCCACCGGGCCACCGCTTCTTCGCGTCTTCAACCGCCTGGCCGTGAACCGTGGAGATGGAGATGGAGATGGGGGTGGAGATGGAGACGGCCGCGACAGCTGTGCGCATTGCGCATTGCGCACTGTGCAGTTACGGTCATCTCTAGTCATCTCTGGTCGCCAACGTGCGCCTGAAGCGGCAGCTGAATACGCGCGGAGGGGGGGATGACTCACTTGCTGTCCGCGCTGCCGGAGGGGTCGATCTGAACTCGTCGCCCTCCCTCACATCCACATCCCTCCGTCACCCACACCCAGATCTAACTCCCGTCAAGCCACGCTCATCCACACACACTTACACTCACACATAATACCCCAACCAACCAATGTTTAATGTTGAAAGGAACCGACGTAAGCATTCCTACCACGACTACCAGTTACAGTAACACTACACAGATCGTGGCGCGCGTGTTTATGTCCTACTAGATACCTGGTAGCTACCACCCACTACGCCTGTCGGAATACCCAGTGCCTACGCAATTCCAGCGCCCACGCAGTCGTCTACTTTGTATGATATGCATCGAGGAGAAGTCTTGATTCTCCATGCCCTGTCTTGGGCAGTGGTATGGGCTATATTTATCGCCGTGATGTCCTTTTTTGTTTTTTTTTGGGGGGGGGGGGCGTCCGCCGTGGGAGTTAATGATGCGATTGCAATTGTGATAGGTGCAGCAGGTACTCGGTTGGCTTACCCGCAAGCAGCTACATAACTACCATTTATACATACCTACCTGGTTACTCACAATTGCAATCCTTTCAATTCGCACCTGCTATGATACTCCGCCCTATAATCCTCCTCCCACTGCATGCCGCCTTGATCCTCCTCCACTCCTACCTCCGAGTGACATGTCCCGAGTCCCGACTATGCATACATACCTGAGGATTATTATTACGTCTAAAATGTCATACCTAGTCTTCGGCACTGTAGTCCAAACATTTATGGTTTTGTTTTTCGACGTTCCAAACCCGCCACCACTCGTCCAGACGCAACTACCACTCGTCCAGAGTCCACTACCACTCGTTCACTACCACTCACCCACAGTGCACGCAACAGCCCAGCCCAATCAAAGCCAGCCTGTAGCCAGCGCGTGTAGCCCAGCCCGGGCCCGGACTGGTCTTGGCAGGCCAGCTGTAGCGAGTGAGTTCCAGTGATGCGTCTCACTGCTAGTATTGTGAAGGGTGATCCGGCACGACCATGGACCTCTTGTATCCCAATAACAACCGCAACAGAATCATCGTCCGCAACTGCATCGCCTCCCGAAACAAAATTACCTCCCACATAACATTTAATCAGATGTCAGACGCAACTGAGAGCGCCAATCTCATATCAAGTACATAGCAGCCCCGGTAGAGTAGTAAGCGGAAGTTGATTTCTTTCATTTACAAGCATGTACATTCAATACTCATTCTTCAGTCCTTCTAGAAAGAGAGAGGACATCAATTGATTGTCGTAGAGTTACCCTACCAACTCTAGGATCCAGCCCGCCCAGCCCAACTGATAGCCCGGGCTGGGCCGCCAGCACATCGGCTCCTGCCCGGGCTATCAGATCAGCCTACCAGCCCCAGCCCAGCCCATGGGCTTTTCGGGCTGTTACATACCTGCACTGCTCGCCCACTCGTCCACTCACCCACCGCCACTCGAGAGTCGCGCAACTTGGTTTGGGGGGGGGGCTGTTTCTTCCTGTCCTTCCTTTTTATGCCCGGATGTCATTCTCATTGTTCTTCCTTCTTTCTGTGTTTCCTTTTTTATACACGGATGGGCCGGCCGGGTGGAGAGCAATCCATGAGGAACCCACATCGAGCTCGAGGCCAGCGGTCGGAGACAGTACGGTGGAACTGGATGTGGTACGTATACAGCCATGATCTGCTAAGGTGGAATGCTACATACGATAATGAAAAAAATAATGAAAAAAGAAAACAGTCACGGAACTTACCGGCAACCAACCTGCGCAGTCTCGACACAAAACCAAACTTGCGAGGCAGTGCAGCTCCATATTCGAAATGGAGAATAGGAGCTGAGATCAGAAGCATGAAATGGCATGGTATGTAGAGGAGGTGGGGTACGGTATTGAATATGTGGGGCTATTAGGTTAGAACTAGGTGCTTAAGTATTTACCCAGTCATCCTTCGCGGAATGATGACAGCCTACGACTTATAGGTGGGAGTCATTTAGCTATGTAGGTTTGAAGTAGGTACGAAATAGCTGGACGTGGCGAAACTTGAGCATCAACCCCTGAGATCGTAGATGGCGTATGGAGTATGGAGTATGGAGGTCTGCGCACAGCAGTACCACGATACCGGCGGCCGGCTGTGACCTACACAAACACATGCATGCAGTCGAACAAACTATAGCATTGTACCTAGATCTTTTCCCGAATCTATGGCATTTTAGACGTTTACGGTTATTCGTATTACCACCCCCCATCCCCACCCCCCTCCCCCATACACACCCGATTTTTTTAGAGGTGAGGTTCCCCGCGGCAGAATCACGGGATGCGCGCCTGTCTGTCTCTCGGTTCGGGGATTCCCTGACGATTAAAAAGTGGATGCCTTAATCGGCAAGCAAGGGGTTTAGGCTTGCTAACTACCAGTGTGTATAGTAATCACTTAACCAGACAAGCCGGGTTGTTCTATCCATGACTATCGTGACTATCGTTAACTACTAGTAGGTACTCTACTCGACCTAACTATCCGATATCTACTCTACATGTATGTAACCAGCTGTAGCAGCTCTATCAAAAATTCAAAACCTCATGATAGGAAACCCAAATACACACATTTATATCCGCTCCCCCTCCTGCTCCTGCACCTTCTCAGCCCCGCCCCCCTCCCGTGCCTCCCGTGCCTCCCCCGCCTTCCCCGCCCTCTCCGTCCTTACACTAACATCCCTCAACTGCGTCCCAAAGACCCAATCCAGCAACTCGAACGTCCCATAGCCCCCTTGCACACCCTTCATATGATGCCTATCATGTCTCTCGACGAGCCCTCCCAGCCCTCCCATTGCCCGCATCACCCCCGTCCCCCCTCCCATCTTTCCCAGACTAAACCCCGAATGCAACCCTGCGCTCTCACCCGCCACAATAGCGACCCACACGCCCACCTCCCGCACACTAGCTTGCACCAGCATGGGCGGCAGCATGACGGGCACATACCACGTGAGCACGAACTCTATCCAGTGGCAGTAGTGCGCTGCTAGCGCCACCGGCGCGGTGAATGCGTGGTGCACGCGGTGGACCCGCCGGAATAGCCAGGGCTGGTGCAACAGTAGGTGGAAAGCGTAAAAGAGCAGCTCGCACAGGGGGATGCAGAGGGCGAGGGTGAGGGCTGTGTGGATGGGGGAGCGGGGGGAGGGGGAGGGCGGGTATGGGCCGACGCCCAGGGTGGAGAACAGCAGGATGTGAACTGCCGCTTGTACGGCCAGCCCCAGCAGCTGGTTGCGCGCGACGACAAGTGCGCAGTGCGCCAGCTCCTGCGGCGTGGGCGGCGGCGCGGAAGGCTGGGTCTTGTATTGTGCGGTGAGGGCGGGGAAGAGCGCGGGGGCGAGGAGGTAGGCGGCGGAGGGCAGCCAGAAGGCAAGGAGCAGGGCTGTAGCTGTGGTGGCCAGCTCGTCGAGGAGGAGCGCGGCTGGGGCGGCGGCGGCGGGGGCGGTGGGTTTCATGGTGGGTGCGGACGGCGGTGAGCGCAGGAGGGAAACGGGGGGAGGAACATGATGACGGCGGACGGGCAGGATGCGTACGGTTTTGTTTCGTCGGGTGAATCGACTGACGTCCTCGATTTCTTTGGAGGGTTGCGTGATGACATCACTCGGTCGAGGTCGGCGGGATTAGGCCGCCTGGCGCTTGGGTACGTACTTCGTATGTGCTCGATATACTAGGGATCGGCAGGACAAGACTCGTTTCGGATGGTGCCCGGTACTCCCACCCGCACCCAATCTAATCTACATAGATGACAGACTTGCACAAGATTTCGATCGTGGCAGACACATGTCAGGCACCAACGTCGCAACTTCCGTAGTGCAGTAGGGTACATGGTACAATCATAAATACAAAACTCGATTCCAGCGTATGCGACTTCCATGTGTATGATATCTTACGCCGTAAAGAAAGCTGGAAAGAAAGAGAAGAAAAAAACATCATATCGTGACGCCCCTGCGAAAGAAAGAAAGACAAGAAAGACAAGAAAAGAGACTTCCATTAGTGACAGAGCTAAACGCCATGCCCTGAACGTTCCGCCCACGCGACGACGGTATGTACGAAGGTTCCCGCTCATTCCTACACCGCCAAACCTCATTCATTCACCGACCCGGCTCAGCTCAATCCCTCCACCGCATCATGAACTTCCGCATATCCTCATCATCGTCCTGGGGATCCGGTGCGGGGGCCGCCTATTCCGCACATGTCAGCATTCCCTCGTCCCGTCCATTCCCGTCCCGTCGCAGTCCCGAGCAGAGCAGCGCACTTACCGTATTGATAGCAGTAGTAACGACATAATCCCACGGCAGGGTAATCGTCGTCCTCACATTCGGGTCCGGTCCTCTCGTCTTATACACCGTATACGCAGAGGTCGGATACTGTCTACTAGCCTTCTTCGCGGTGATGCTCTTTGCGGGCTGTGTCTGCATGGGTGCGTACCTCGTCGCGCCCGTCTGCAGCGTATACGGGATTTTTGCCGACTCCGCCGCGTCGCCGGAGACGCTGCCGCCCGTGGCGACGGTGTCAGTGCCCGCGGGAGGGGAAGTGTCGCCCTTGTCCTGTTCTAGCTGCGCTGCGGAAGAAAACGTCCCCGTCATCTTGCTGAGTGTGAAGCGGGGGCTGTAGTTCCACGTGAACCCGCCCGTCGTCGCGACAGTCTCCATCTTGATGAAGCTGTGGGGGTGGAAGAAGGTTAGCGAGAGTCGCAGAGCCTGGGAGCAAACATACTAGACATCGCCGTTCCCGCCCGCCGCAGCAGGAATCTGGAATTTCGTCGATACCATGGACGACGAGAACTTCGCGCCGACGGAGCCGAGGGGCGTTTCGCACATCTGTCCATCCATTGCATCAGCCACCACCACCCCCGTATCCCCAGCCTCATGTTGCTCGTTCACTCACCGGAACATTATTACTCCCCCAACACAGGTACACACTGAACGCGCCGAACTGGTCGAGCTTGGGCTCCTTCTTATCGTCGCGCCACTTCATTTCAACCGTGCTGCCACCGACCCACTTAGTCTTCGCATCTGGCGTTGTGATCTCAACGTCTGCGAGAGACGCCGGTATTTGCAGGAGGAAGGCGCCGGCGATGGCCGATAATAGTGTTGCGGTGCGCATTGCTGGAGACGATTGTGGTTATGCGAAGGTGGAAGAAAGAGGGGGAAAAGAATACAGCTTCTGTTGGTCTGTCGGTCGGTCACGGTTGTACAGTAGAGAAAGAGCTGGAGCTCGCCGCGCCTGGCCACCCACCCACCCACCCACCCGTAACGAGATGTCAATGCCAAGTCAAGTCGGCGATGATCTGCAGGGGAAGGTTACCTAATTGGGTTCTTCGGCAGCAAAAAGCAAGTTTCGGTGCCTACCCAAAAATAACGTCCGTGCGTGAAACTTGAAAGTTCAGTTCGTCTGTGAGTAGGCACTTCACTGAGGATCACTCCGCTGAGATTCACTTCACTTCACTTTACCAACCACGTAAACACGCGTCGCAACTCAATTTCGAGTAGATATCTCTCATTACACCACCCACTCCGCCCCCCACTTCTACGAACAATGCAGCAGGTATACAACGCTTCTTTTATCTTTACCGAGATAAGTCCCTAGTGCGAAAGAGAAGTGAAAGAGAAGAAGCGAACAAGCAATAATAATAAAGCAAAGAAGAAAAAAAAAAGCCAGAAGATTAGGTAGAAAGACAAAGGACAAAGGAGAAAGCTGTAGTACCAAAATGAAGGAGATAAAAAAAAAGACCAAAGCAAGAAAAACATGCGTATAAGGTCGGCCTAAAAGCAATACAGCGAAATGAAGAAAAAGGCCGAGTCGACGAAGCGGCACGGTCCGACAAAATGTCAAACAAATGGTAGGATTGCAACAAGATGGGCAGAAAGGGGGATAAAAAAGAACGAACGAAAACGAGCATAAACAGGGAGAAAAAGATAAAAGATAAAAGAAGGGGCCCGCATTAAAATGTGATTAAGGGGGGTGATGACGATGATGATGATGCTGATGCCGTCGCTATCTCGGTAGCCCTGTCTCTTAACTCCTTCCCGTTCCCAAAGCAAAAACGCAATCCGATCCGATAAAGCCCTACAGTTGCAACGCAAAAACAAATGCCAAATGGTATATGTCCCCAATATTCACTTCCACAAATTGATTTACCCGTGCCACCCGCAGCCCTCATCAAAACATTACTGTGCCTAGTGCATCTCCTCCTCAGCCCATCCAGTCATTCCTCCGTATCCATTGACGCCGAGGCCGTGCTGTCCCTGGTGGCTGATGGCCGGCATGCTCAAGGCGCGGCTGTGCTGGCCTCCAACCCGGAGGTTCTGGTTCATTCCCATTCCGTTGCCGTTGTTGTGTCCTAAACCATCCGAAGCCGAATTAGCGGCCTGGCCAATGGAGTCGAATTGTGAGCTCTGCTGACCGTATACAGCAGCTGCTTGGGCGGCAAGCTGTTGCTGGAGGTTCGACGCGTAGGCAGCCGCCTCTTGCTGCTGTTGCTGCTGGGCCAAGTAGACCTGGAGCGGGTTGGCAGCGGGGTTGAGGCCATTCATTCCTGGGGTGGTCGGCGTTCCGTATCCAGGGCTGTTGGAGTGCATGCCAGCAGGACTGAGCTGGGCGGGACTACCACCAGAGCCGGAGTGAGAGAGACTGGGCTGCAGCGACTGTCCGTTTACCGGACTGCTACTGGGAAGCGGAGGGTGACCGGACGAAGTGGGAGTTCCGGACTGGTGGTTTCCATTGGTGGCCTGTCTGGGAGGGTTGCCACATCTATCCTTTCCGAAGTTAATCTTGAATCGCTTGTACTCGTCTCTACTCCGGACAGCCTCGATCGCCTTGATAGCGTTGGCTATGTTGGTGAAGTTGACAAAGGCGCAACTCTTCTCGCGGAGGGTGTTGACGAGTTCGATTTCGCCGTACTCCGAGAAGTCTTGACGGAGGCGGTCCTCGGTCCACGTCTCGTCCAAGTTTCCAATGTACACATTCCGACTCGCACCGCCAGACACGGCCAAGGCAATCGCAGGAGGCAGAGCTCCTGAGTGCTTGCCCCATCCGACCTTGAGGCGTCGGTTGTGGATCATCAGACCCTGAATGTTGGACAGAGCGTAGAAGCTCGCGGCAGCGGTAGGATCGATAAAGGTGACAAAGCAGATGTGCTTGTCGGGGATGTACCGAATATGGTGCAACAGTCCTCCGCGGACAACATTGCAGATCTCCTCGATGGTCGTCTCGGGGTGAATGTTGCCAAGGTACACCGTGCGGTTGCCGAGGTTGTTGATACCTCCCGCAGATGTGGCGACGGCGGCGGCTGCAGCGGACTGCTGAGCGAGAGCCGTCGAGATCATCTCCTTGTCGGCGCTGTTGAGGAGATGGGCGTAGCCAGGGGCGATTCCGAGGTACTGGGCGGCATTCTGCTGCTGAGTCTTGGAGACGTACGCGCATCGATCCTTGCCGTAGTAGACGCGACGAGGAGTCTGCCATTTCGGCTCTTGTGGGAGCTGGTTGACAGCTTTGATCGCATTGCCGATGGAGAGGAAGTGGACGAAACCGATAGCTTTCTCGCGAACGATCTTAACGGTGTCGATGGGCCCGAATTTGCCCAGATCCTCACGGAGCTCTTCCTCAGACACGTCTTCCGGAAGGTTACCCAAGTAGACATTCCGCGAAGCGCCCGACTGCTGGACGGCAATCGCAACCGAGGTTGGCACCTGCGATGGCTTGCCCCAGCCGACCTTGATATCCTGACCGCGGATAGCCAACTTCTTCAAGATGGCATCCGAGTGGAAGTGGGTAGCCGAGGAGCTGTCGAGGAAAGAGATGAACGCGCAGTTCTTATCGGGGAGCAGACGGACGGACTCGATTTGTCCGGACCGCACATGGCTCAGAATCTCCTCGGCGGAGGTCTCGGGTGGAATGTTGCCCAAGTAGACGGTCCGCGACGTCCCGGGTACTATGCCGGGGGTCATGGGAGAGCCTGCAGTGGGAGACTGCTGTTGGTAGTACGTGGCATACTGCGGGCCAAATCCGGTAGGCGAACCCAGTCCGGACGCACCGATTCCTCCGAAAGTGGGCGACATGGGATTCGCCGACGTGGGTGTCTGCTGAGAGAATCCTCCATGCATGCCGAACTGGGGGGACGCGAACGCATTTGGCGTCCCAGGTTGGAAGGGCGAGCCGAGCAGGAGCTGAGAGGGCAACAGCGGCGTGAACTGCATGTCATAGCCGGTCCCCGGCGACGCGATCCCGTTCTCCTGGTGCTGCGACGCTCCGGTGTTGATCGAAGGCATGTTTATGCGCCTCCTGTTGGGGTGACCCATTGTATCCGAACTGAATCCGGCCGGCATCGTGGCTTGCTCACGATTCCAGTCCGCCGATGGCTTGTGGGGGTGAGGAAGACGCGCCGAGTGCGGAAGGACGGCCGTGATGATTGCAGACGGTGGTCCGGTGAGGTATTCCGGACACTAGAGAGACAGTTAGAAAAACGCCGTGACCCCCGCGTGCCCCTCAAAGGTGAAGGAGTATGAGGCGAACGAACCGGTTATGCTTTAGAGATTTGCGGAGGCTCGGAAGGCGTGACAGTGGTAATTGATTCTCTGGACTTCGGAGGAGCGCTCGTCAGCAATGGTCGACCTCGTCTACCCCTGATTGTGTGTTCGATGATGATGATGATGACATCGAAGCAACAGAAACCAGACGCGAGCACAACGCAACGAAGGCACAAAGGGGGGAAGGGAGGGGGCGGGGGGCGGAGACACTCACTGACAGTTGCTGATACCACAAGCGACTCCTGATTAATCAACTTCTGCGGATTGACCCTTCTTTAAGAAGCACAGATGCTGTAGGTCGTCTCGGCGGGCAAAAGGGGGGAGGTTGGGCTACCGAGTCGATCCTTCAACTGCTGTCAGGAAGCGGGATGGATATCTCCAACAACAATGACAACAATGGCAACAATGACAACAATGACAATGCCAACGACAACACCACGCAACGCTCGGAGCACCAAGAATAGAGGTGCGCTATTACAACGGTAGGTTCAATGGATGTCGGATCCGCCGAGTACGTTTGAGCAGAATTCGAGGCAGTTAAAAGAAGGTACCTGGCGAAGGGGAGCGGCGTCGAATGGGAACGAAAGGGGTGGAGGAAGGCGAGCAGCAAGTAGAGTGGTGGCAGTATCAAGAAAGGAAGAAGAAGAAGAAGAAGAAGTTGATGAAGGGGATGCGAGAAAGAAGGAAGGGGGGAAGGGAAGGGAAGGGAAGGGAAAGCGAGCGAGATGGAGCGAAAGCGAGGGTCAGTGAGCAGTAGTAGGTAATTGTTAGTTGGACTACTAGTGAGCTGAGTAGGGACAACTTGGACTTTTGGCGGACTATTCTGCTAGAGGAGGTACGGGGGTTGGATTTTTTGGATTTGTATTGTGGTAGGGGGGGTGGCAGGAGAGGAATGAAAAGGGAAAAGACTGGATTTGGAACGAAGGCTGATTGGCAGAGTGAGGACTGCAACAGGTAAGAAAGAAAAGTGGTGGAACAGGAACGGGCGTGAGCGACGAGGACAGAGCACCGGAACGACAGGGGAGGGGGGGGGATGGCGAGAGACAATGGGAATGGATGGGAGACGATGGAGCGACAAGGGTGCGTGCACGGCGAGATGGCTGGCTGGCTGCTGGCTGGCTGGCTGGCGAGTTCGGTCGGTCTCGAGAGATGGATGGATGGATGGATGGAGGGAAGGGAAGATGCGGGTGCGGAGAGTACGGTGATGTGGAGTAGAGTAGAGTACGGCAGAGTAGAGTACTGTGATAGAGTACTTGGGTACATGACGAGAATGAGGCCGTGGAGATGACTCGTGAGGATTCGACGGGGAGACACCTTCGAGTCTCGAGTACCAGTACCAGCAGCACGGCCATGGAGCCCATTGCAGAGCAGGACATCCGTCCGGCGATTATTCGCCTTCCTGAGCCTGCAGCCAGCCGTCCGTCCATCACCAGTGGCCATCCATCCCACCGACGACGACGACTTGCAGGCCTCAAATTGGACGGGAGCTGGAGAGGGGCATTCGATCAAAGGAGGTACTCGACATATGAGGAAGAGGAGAATGAGGCTGAGATGATGAGTTCCCAAGTTCCAACCCACGTCGAGATGAGGAGACTTCCGGGAAAATAATAGGGGCAAACGTACCGAACCAGGGTTGGCGCTCCAAACCAAGCCCGATCGGGCTCGCCTGAGTTAGTTAGCATCCTTCTGGGGTGGGCGGGGAGCCCGAGCGCGCGATGGCCAAGTGTATGGAATTCGTTTTTCTTGTGTGGTCGATACATAACCAAGTATCTACTCTATAGCAGAGTAATTACTATACTTCGTTCGGACTTTGTAGGGAAATCGTTGCTGCCTTGATCTCGGTACGGTAGTTATGAAGGAATCTTGGGGATCCAAGGGGAGAGATAGAGCCTGGTCCGTGTGTATGTAATCCGAGGAACGAGGAGGTGGGTTCGGGCTCCCCGAAGATACTCTGTGTACTCCGTAGTACCTGCAGTTGCTCAGGTACCAGTGCCATGCTTATGTACACTGCCAGCAGGTCAACCCTCGAAGAGTCCCGGAAACCACAGCGAGTTCAAGGGGCTGCGATGGTTGGCCGTCGACGATCCAGCCATGCATACCTATGCACCGTACCTATGCGTTGTTGTTGCGGCCGGGCGGCCGGGAAATTGAGGTCTGAGCAGTGACCAGTGACCAGTTCTGGATGCGGACGGGCAACTCGCAAGCAACATGATGATGCAGATGCAAGAGAGGAAGTGCCAGTGCCTACATGGATACATATTTATGCCAGTTACCGACTCTCACGAACAACGTTGCTGCCCACTTCAGGGGACCTTGGCCCCGGATAGCTACCGTATTGGCCCTTTCGTTCCATTTTCGGGAACTGGTCTTAGAAAAATATGTATAAACCCAGGACATCACCGCCTCCAGAGAGCCAGAAATCCATATACAGCCACCCATTACTCACGATCCCCAACGTATCAGCCGGCATCACGGCCACGACCACGTCCGAATCGCAGATATGTGTACCTATCGTCGGAGACAACCCACCGAGCCACCGACGTGAGAATAGATGACTGCCGCGTCAATTCGGACGACTACGGTACGTACTACTCTACTCTGGCACCAGTAGTCGTTGCGGTTTCCGCAGCCGCGAAGAAAGGAGCCGGGAACGGCGTTTCCGCCAGCTGGCCTGGCCTGACACTGATTGGCTGGATGCCGAAACACTCATCCGCGTTTTGCCTTCGGACGGAGTGCGGAGTGTGGTCCGTGGCCGGCAGGATCGCAGTCCGGACGCGGTCCGTCTCCGGCTCTGGGGGACTGGACTGGGTTTACGGAGGACGCGGTCCACCGCCCACAGGTTCATCCCGGGTATGTACGTTGGGTAGGTAGGCAAACCGTACATAAGCAAGTACAAATGTGCCTATGCCCGTGGACGGACGGGATGGACGGGACGGACGGACTGGGCGAGACGTACTCTACTCTACGACCGGATTATTATCATTCCCAGTAGGTGTCCGAACTGCATACGGTCGGTCCGAACGGAGCTCTGGCAAGTACCGTATCATACCCGTATGTAAGACGATCCATCCTGAGCGACTACGACCACTCCTCCTCCTCCTCCTCCCTCCTTCTCCTCCTCTCCCTCCCCCGCAACCACGACACGCAATATTCTCACCGTCCAGACCCTCCAATTCCATATGTAGAGTCGGCAACTCGGCGGACACCATTCCTCCAAGCTCCAGGAGTCGCTGCACAGTGTGGCTTATCCGGACCACCTAGAGTACCTACCTTGCATGTAGAGCACCTGCACGGTTGGATGCACGGTTGGATGCACTCATCGACGGCCACCAGGAACAGCCGGGCGGCGGGCTCCCCTCCTCCGATCTCCGCAGATAGGTACTCTACATATCGGCTTCCCACGGAGGATTGGCTCCTCCAATCGACAACCACGGGAACGGTGGCAATTCGCTGCTAGTCAGAGCAGTGACACGCTACTGCACTACTGTAGTCACGGCCACAGGTCCACCACCACTCCCTCCGCCCGGCCACGTGCACTCCGCCTATCCTGTCCCTTTGCGTACGAGGTGGAAGTTGGAACTTGGGGACACCTAGATAAGCTGGAGTGGCTCTGAGACTCTGACACGCCCAAGTTTGAGCCGCTTAGATATTCATTGCCAAAAAATAATATAAAATAGAGTATGTAGAACTCGATTAAGAGCCCCCAGAGTAGTTCAGTCGCTACGATGTTCCCTTTTGTAGTGGAAAAAAGACACGGAGGGCTGGAAGTAATGTCGCGTGTAACTTGGGTACGGGCCGAAATCGAAGAGTTCAGGGTGTGTGTTACTAAGCACAAACAAAAGCCACTCCCGAGTCCCTCCCTCCCTCCCTCCCTCTCTCCCTCCCTCCCTCCGCTACCAGAGCGCAGTACACAACGGAACCCCATCATTCCGGAATCCGTCCCAAGCCGCCCCGGCGACTCCGAAGCGAGGACATCCGACCTCCCAGTCTCCCACGGTCCTACTAAGCCCGCCGAGCCCGCGTCACGTCGCGAAGCTCAAGCGAGCGAGCGAGCGAGGGGTCTGGGCGGTGCAACGTAATGCAAACAACAAGTCGGGAATCAGTCGCGGTGGGGACACAGGCACACAGACACTCTGGGCCTCCGGCCGGGAGCTGGGTGTTGGCCGAGTGAGATCGGGCCGGTTGCGGCCTGTACCTAGTATATAAAATAGTAGATCGGTGGGGTCCGGCCATCGGCCGTCGGCCGTCTTATGCTATAAAATTTGTATGTACCGTAGACCGGGACAACGGCTATCATAGTACCGGTAGAGCGCATAGAAACCCCCCGAAGAGGGAATACCTAAAAAGCGGGAAGGAAGTTCGAACAGCCATCCCTCTCTCTCCCTCTCTCTCTCCATTCATTGTCGACACCCAACCCAAAAATCCCGTTGCCCGATCAATCGATCGGCCTCGGAATTGAACGTCGTGCAATGCATCGTCAGAGCGAGCCCTGCTGGCTCCTGCTGCTGCTGGTGCGAAACGAGAAACCGGCCTCGATCGATATCGATATCGCGTCAGTGGTCACCACAGGGTTGTCGGGTTCGTGGCTACTTACTTATATACATACCTCATACGTGGAGAACCGTGCCTCCTATGAATAATGATCTATCCATGCCGAATAGAGGACCGCCGACCGGTAGTGATCACGTTGTATGTGATAGCGGTGAAGAAACCTACTTGGGTACTGGTGGAAGGATATCCGCGAATCGCATGCTACTATATTGTACGATAGGTACTGCAGCACCAGAGCAGAGTGCCGTGGAGCAACTGTCGAGTCTTCAGCCGTCTCGTGGACGTACCTACATGTCCCTCGGGGCGGGGCGCGGTTTGTCGGGCAGCCTTCCTTCGTCATCGACTATCATTCGCCGCCCATACCTCGGTAGTCGAGTAGATCCATCCTCCCGGTAGTCGTTTACTTGTAGCCCTGGTTTCGGGAACGGTAGGTATATCGCGATCACGTCTCCGAGTTTAGATCGCCGTCGAGCCGCATGTCGAGCATCGATGCCGGCAGCCATTACTACATGCTAGGAGGGAGGGAAGTAGAGGTTTTATCCCCTGGACCGTAGCTCGTTTTCGGTCAATGTGTCCTTCAAATACGGATTTTCCAGCTCTGACAGTCACTCTATTTAGCCAGCTACCCCGCAACTAATCAGATGGACCTCTTCTCTGTGATCTCCTATTGATGATTATCTTTTCAAGATTTGGTTATATCCCTTGGTGAGTGAGTGGCAACAAGCTTTCCAGACGATACGATTTTAACCGATTTTTGGCCATTGAGAGCTCAACCATGAGCTCAAATATTTCTCTAAAGTCTGGGGAACTTCGGATTATCTCCCCCTTGCTGTACTACGGGTTCTGTGTAATGATCATTAGTTGGCCTGTCCTGTGGGTGGTTCCAGCTCCCTCAATATCGTAGTTTTGGTCAAAAACCCGAATTTTTGAACAGCCACAACTCAGGTAATACCAAATCTTTTACATTTTCAACTCCGATAACTGAACGTCATCTGATGAGCCCCAAATGATAAGAGGTTATGAGAAATATTCCTAAAGATTCGAGATATTTCAGCATATTATTTTTCGCATCTTGACGGCATTTCTCTCCTTCACTAGCATGGGAATACCTAAATTGACGCCAGAATCATCACTGGCAACCAGGATATGTGATCTTTAAGCAGATCATCTTTGGTTATAGCCATATGGTTGCTGCGTTATGTACTCACTTACGTTCAAAACGGTCCAAAAAGCCCGCAAACGGCATATCTATTTACGATCTAGGGGATAGCAGCTTAAGCTTGGAATATTTAACCTCAACGACCGGTGAGCAGTAAGTTCTAACCAACCGGTGGATGGAAGAGAGTTTTAAAGTCAAGTTGTTCTTTCATCATAACTTGGACTGCCGAAACCTTGAGCATAAGATGCCCATTACTGTTGTTCTGTGCCTCTAATGTCACGAGCGAAAATTAACCAGACCTCGTATCATACATACGAGAGCGAGACAAATCACCGACCCAGTCTTTATCGCTCTCGAGCACCACCGCCCGAACTTATTTCACAGCCGTCATATTAATCGACTAATCGAACGGAATCCTCCTCAACTCGGTGCCCTCCTCGGCCCTCTTAGCCGCCACGCTAGCGGGAACCTTTATGCCGCAGCACTCACCCCACGTAGAGTGTACATGCCTCATGCCCTCCCTATCCTCATCGCCGAGGCCCTCACCCATACCCTCCACCGCCTTCAGGATCCCGCCAAACATAAAATGCTGCATAACGGGGAGCTTTCCGAGGACCTCCTTCTCATACATCTTCGCCATGCCGGCATTAATCTTTCCCCAATTCTTCGCCGCGGATATATCATCGAGCATGGGGGAGTGCCAGCGGAGGCCGGCGGTAGTCTTGATGCTATTGATGAACGCGATGCAGGAGAGGTATATATACTCTCCCGCCAGCTCCTCGAGGATATCAGACGAGTGGATCGATTTCGGGCGGAGGTACGAGTGCGAGTACAGCTGCGCAGACCCGAACAGGAACGGCAGGAACTGGTAGTCGTCGAGCCCCCACACCCCGTGCGAGCCCGCCGGCTCCAGGTAGTATGTCGTCTGCAAACGCCGCATGATGCTAAGGTACTTGTTGAACAGCCGCAGGATCACCGCGGGGTAGTCCGCCGGCTGCAGTAGGCCCAGCTGCTGGAAACAGAGCCTGAGCGGCACACATGTTACATCAGCACCCAATGTATCCCGCCCGCCACCCGCCTAGCACGGGGCAAACTCACGTCCACGCCAAAAAATTCAGCTCGTGGCCAGAGCCATAGTCGATTCTCGTGCGATTCCCCCACGCCTCACAGAAGTACCTCGCGGCCTCATCCCTGGCCTCCTGGGGGACGTCCAGCACCTTATGCCACTCCTTCGCGCGCTCCCATAGCGCGTCGTAGAAGCGCTGGAACGACCTATTCCCGAACCTGCTGAGCCCGACGTCTTCGGGCGGGAACTCGTCGATTGCCGCATCGACGCGGTCGAATATGTCGAGCAGTGTCTGCACGAGCGGCGAGATCGGCACGGAAGTTGAGTTGGGCACGTTGAGCACCGAGTTGTTCAGGTCCGTCGTGAATGACAGCAAAAGCTGGTGCGTCGGTGAGTTCTGGAATAGCTTCAGGTCGTGAGAGGTGATGAGCTTGCGGGTCGGCGACGTGAACGTGAAGGTTTCGAGCGAGGTCGCCGGAGGCGTCAGCAGCGGGAGCTCCGGAGGCGCCTGCGGTGGCTTGTTGCGCGATATTGGCATTGCGGATGGTGAGAGATGGTCGGTGGTGGGGGTGCGCGCGGGGATCGGGGGTACTGTGCTGTGTGCACTGTGGGGTTGGAGTTAACTTAGCATGGTTCTAGGTTCGTGCAACATCCCGGCCGGAAAAACATTGATCCGGTTCACGCTCTTCGATACATTGCCACTTACACACTCGATCATTCATCAGCAGACGTAAATTTGTGTCGTGTACGGAACTCAGTGTCGATCAGTGGTATATATAGAAGCCGCCGCATCCCGCGCAGTTCTATTCGCAAGACTTCGTCAACGCAATTCCATCGCAGAATGCTTCAGCAGAGCAAAACAGCTCCTGAAAGCACACATGGCACTCAGAAGCTCTGCGCATCCCGTCGGCGGCTGAGCACAACTGCACAAATCAAGTCTTCGCGTTGCGTACAATGTACATAAGCTGTGCCTGACACCTGTGCCCTGGGTTTCAAACCATGTCCATTGTCAACGGCGGCTCCATCCTTCGCTTCCCTACATACATAAGGTGCAAATCTTAGTTTTAGTGCGGACCGAAAGAGGCGACGAAACCGTTGTTCATAGCTTGGAGTATGTACGGACGGCCGCATAACCGGCACTACGCCTCTACTACTAAGTACGAACGACACGGACACGATACACTCGGTGCCATCTCATGACGGACTGTACATACAAAGCACTACGGGACCACTGCAAGGCATTGGAATTTGGGGTATCCATCTTCCGCCGCAGACATGATGCAGAAAGGACCGTGTTTAGTAGGATTCGTGAGACTACTAGAGGTATAACCAGACAACCCCAACGAGAGGTGAGACTAGAGTACTAGTACTGGGTGATAGGAAGGTTGCTCACAGAACCTCTTCAACTAGTCGCAAAGTCCTTGAACGCCTGGAGGCTGGAACGACCCATTGAGTCACCCAACGCAACGCTTGGGAGGTGGACAACTCCCATGTTTGTAGATTCGTGCTCCTGCAGCCTACAGGTCTACACTGCGGTGCCAGAAACCGCATTCTGGCCGCTTGTCGAGTGACATACTCAGATGCAGAGCTCTGCCTCACCATACTACGCTCATACACTCCCGGGGTTTTAAACCCCCGCGGTATGTACGCACACAATATACCCATCGCCCCTTGGGCCTTGCCGGAATTCGACGCCCATAGCCCGTAGCTACGAGCCCGAGTGATACCGAATGAATCCGTGTGACTCCGAGTTGAAGTACCTATTGAAGGCAGACGCATATCCGAGCTCACCTTCAATAGTGCCACATAACGGTGCTTCACACTGCAAAAACCACAAAAAAAACCAGATTAAGCAAGGTAATAGCCATCATCAGAAGCCGGGGGAAGGTCAGGGTACTCTTGATTTTCCACCACCACTTTCTCCCCACCTGCCCTCCAACGTAATCCTACTCCCAGAGCACGCATATCACGCAAATCACATGCGAACCCAAATCCCAGAATCCAGACATCCAAACGCGTCCCGCAAGATCCGCAGTTCGCTATCTCCTCAACAAGTAAACGAGTAAACAAAACAAAAAACGTTCGAAGATCTCCGGAAACGGTTATGGCACCATCGCACTGCGCGCGGCGACGCGGCCTCGAGCGGCGTGCAGCTAGGGGTGCATACTGCATACTCACCTTTCATCACTCGCCCCCCGTTCCCGTTCCCGTAAATATCAAACTCATTAAAAATGCTCGTAGTATATCCCATCCCGCTCACATCCTGCTCATACATGATCTACTACCCAACTATCTTATCCCCTTATTCTTCTACTCCTACATACTCATACTCCTCCCCCCTTCCCCCTTCCGCCTGTTTATCGTCCTCCCCCACCCGTTCTACCCCCGTTCTACCCAGTTAAAGCCCTCTCACACCTCTATCAGAAGAAAGAAGAAGAATTAGAAGAAAGAAGAACTAGAAGAAAGAAGAAGAAGTAGAAGTAGAAGGAGAAAAAAGAAGAAGAAGAAAAAACGCCGTCCAGCGCCAACAATATCATCCATCAAAGCAGGAAGCCAGAAAGCAGAACTAACCGAAAGAATTGGAACAAAACACTTTCTCTAATCTCCCATCAATCCACACGTAGGGGCAACAAGTAAAAGCGAAAATAGATAAGAAGTAGGTAAATGTTGAAAAGTAGAAAAGCGTCGAAACAACTTTATCAGAGGCCATGCAAATTTACCCCAATCCTTAATCCAATCTTCAATCCAGTCCAAGCCACCCAATTCAAGCCACCCAATTCAAGCCCAATCCCAATCACCAATCTCGATCACCAATCCATTCTCCAACAATTCCATTCTCCAATCCCCAATCCAATCCATCCTCCAATCAATCTGGGAGCAAGAAAACACCACCACAACCGGAAACAGAATCGAGAACTGAAACGGAAAAAGAAACTAAACCGGAAAACTCAAAAAAACCAGTAACCCCCCACGCCGCCGCCGTAGAACAAAGGGAAAATACGACAAAGAGAAGAAGAGGAAGAAGGGTAAAGTGGAAGTAAAAGTAGTAGTAGCGGAAAACTCAAAAAAAAAAAAAAAGTACAGCAAGCTCCCACCCAACAGAAAACAGCAACAGAATCAGCAACAGAATCAGAAAACAAAAAAAAGGAATAAAAACCCGGTTAGTAAAATACAAATGACGAAAAGAAAAAGGTTGTGTGTGAAGTTGCAATATGAAGTTAAAAAACTTGTCCGCCCCCACCGGCTCACCCTCCTCCACTCCAATCCAAAGCCCCAAAGCCCCCCAAATAAAAATAATAGAAGTAAAACAAAGGGCCTTCACCAATCTGAACCACAGGCCATGGGCTAACTCATACCATCCATCCATCCATCCATAAAATTCAAAGAGACCCTCTCTCTCGCACAGAAACGAAAAGAAAAGCAAGACAAGGCCACTAACGATCTAGTAATACGTTCCGTGGGTAACGGTAAAAACAAAAACAAAAAAAAGATGATAATGGTGTGGTGTGGTGTAGTTGTTGGTCTCGGCGGGTGGGTGAGGACATAATTCAATTTTCTCCGCCCCTCTGAGCACCAAGCCTTCTCACCAGTCCATGCCCCGTGGGGTTGGTGGCTGTGGTTGGCAAGGGCTCTTCCTCGAATTCCCGAGTTCCGACTGTACTGATCCGTCCACCGTAGCTCTTTCTCGGGAGGGGAATTGCACTGCCGCCGCTGTTGACCGTGTTCCTTCTGTTCGACATCCCGAATCCCCCGTCTTGGCCGCCCATACTCCTCCTGCCGCTGCCTGATATATCGTATTCTCCGAAGCTGTGGCCGGTCATCGGGGTCATCCTTCCGCCGAAACTTGCCCGGCTCTGCGGCCTGATGGGAAGTGTTGTGGTCCGATCCAGTCCGTTCCCTGACATGGAAGAACGCGATGTTCTGCCAGATACGCGAGATTCTGGCCGGGGGATCCCGCCTCCCGCTCGACTTTCAGGCCTCGCCATTCGGGACGCCGGTCTGTTATCGACGGCCGGGTAGCTCAGACGGCCGCTGTAATTGCTCTCTCCACCTGACGTCACCGAGGAGGCGGTCGATACGGATGGAGCCCGAGATTTCTTGTGTGACCGCAGTGTGATCGCGTTCATAGTGAGTGGCGGTGCCATCTGCGGGTGGTGTGGTGAACCTCGCGGAGGAGTGGTGACGGCAGGACCAGGAAGCTTGCTCCGGGCACTCTGTACTCGCTGCTCCAACCGTTGCATCTGTCCGATCAAGCCACGGATCTGGGTGAGAGACCGCGAGGCCGGCATCGGCAACGCCGAATTTCCACCGATGGACGAACCTCGCGAACGCTTCCTGAACTTCGGCTGGAAGTTTCGGGGACGCGGGGTGGTTGCGTCGTGGCAAGGAATGCTGAGCCGAGCGCACTGCGAGGGCGTAGTCGACACCTCGGACATGGGTGGTGACGGCGGGCCCGAGTGATCCGACTGGGGCGTGGCGGTCGAGGCAACGGACGGCGTCGTCATGGACGTGCCCAGTTCATCCGACAGAATTGTCGAGCTATCGGACAATGGCGACGGGAATTTGGGTGGAGGCACGTGGTGCAAACTGCCGTTACCGTATTTGGCCGCCATGGCCAGGGTGTTGTTGAGCTTCTCGGCGGTGATTTCCTGTTCCACCTTGAGGTCCGACAGTTCGTCGCGCAACCGCTGCACTTCGATGCGCAGAGCCTCTCTCTCCTGTTCTCCCGCTCGGACCTCCTCCTCCATCATGACTCCTCGTTCCAGGGAATGGTTGTATTTCGACTCGATATCCTCCAGCGAAGACATCACGATTCGTTCCTGTCGCTCAAAGTCGTCATTGGAGACCTCCATGTCGCGTAGTCGCAGCTGCATGGCCCGGTTCTGTTCCCGCAACGAGGTGATTTCCTTCTGCAGGAGATTCTGGGCCGAGTTCGCTTCGGTTTTGGACTTGTTGTACTTGTTCTGTTTCGCGAAAATCGTTTCATCAGCATTTCCTCGAGCGCCCTCGCACCGTACCCCTTATCGGGTGGGTTGTCCGTGCATCGTGGAGGGGGGAGATAACTACCTTCCACTCATCGACCTCGTACCGTAGCGCTTCATTCTTGTTCCTGAGATCCCGGTGCTGTTTCTCGCTTGCCTCCAACTCCTTTTCGAGCTCCTGCTCTAGTTCTCGCGACGAAGCCTGGAAGTCGGCGAGCTCTGCCTCCAACTCTCGGACATGCGACTTGTAGAAATCCAGAGTCTCGTCGGAGGACTCGGGGTCGTCTAGCGACATATCGGCGGAGGAAGAGGCGGAGGTGGCGACGAAGCTACAGCAGTGGCTAGTCTATCAGTGTGTGTATCCTTATTTTATTTTTTCCTTTCGCGTATAGTAGTGTTTAGGTTCTGGTTGTGAAGGTAAAGGGTAGCCGTCGCGAGCCGGGGGGTTTGCAGTTGAGGGGCGTCGTTAAGTTGAGTCGTGTCGGTGGGGTTCTTATTAGGGAGAGGGAGGAGGGAGGAGCGATCGAGATGTAGGATGGACGTGGACGGGTTGTCGGAAGTGTCGGTAGTTTCGTTCGAATTGGCGATGAGCGACGACCTACCTCCTACCTACCTTTACTCCCGGTCGCTTTGTCCCGTTGAAACAGAGGTAGTCGCTCCTCCGGGAGTCCGGACGGGGCGATGGGTGTTGGTGGCGATGACGGAGGGGTATTAGGTGAACGTCGTGGGTCGTAGGGGTCGTGATGTAGTTGTTGTTGTTATTGTTGATGTTTATGTTATACTGTAGTCGCGATGGTTGTTGGAGTCGAGAAGTGTGGTGGGTGTGGTGGTGGTGGTGGTGGTGGTGGTGGTGGTGGTGGTGGATGCAGGTTGGCAGTTGCTATCGCAGTTGAAGGAGGAGTGTGAGTGTTGAACTGCGGAGGAGGGGGGCACGGCCCAGATCCTGGAGAAGCATGTACGGTATGTAGTGTACATAACTGCAAATACATGCCAACTTCAAATGCTCTCCATACCTTCCCCCGTTCGATCTACTCTCCCCTACAACTTCGTTCTCTGCCGCGGCCAGCCCAGGTGCACCAGGGCCATCATACGGCGTTCGTTTAACTTTCCATAGTAGAGTAGAGCACAAATGCACGAACAACTACCGCATCCGATCCGCCCCAGTCCATCCTGCCCGCCCGCGTAGTCGAGAGAAACGAATAAATCTCCGGGCCCACGGCCACAAACAAAGCACCGACATCGTCCATCTGTCCGGGCGCATAACCCGGCGTAGCACGGCTTCCCGCTCTTTGTTTGCTGGCGGGCGCAATGGTCGTGAAGATATCTTCATCGGTGGGGCATATGGCGCCGTGACGCAGCGCATGCCACGGCTTGGCACACTCGAGTTTGCCAGCTCAACCCAATTTGCACCGAAAACATCCCCCAGGACACAAGGAGATGAAGCGGCGCAGCCTGTCTGTCGGGTCTGGCTTTGAGACAGTCCGGCTCCCCTTCCACAAGGTGAAGCACAAGCACTGCGGCACTTTCCTACGGGACATACTTCGTACTTCTTCATAAATACCCACTCCTTCCCGATCACCATCGCCGGAGTAGTCATGAGGTATGATACCTCCGTCGCTGTGCATGCTACTATGAAGCTAGTGCCCTGGATAAACAAAAGACGACATGACATCTACATGCATCTCCTCAGCATCTGCCAGCGAACCATCGCTGCTGCTGCTGCTGTGCGCCGTTGGCGCGACCACCACCAGCACCGGTGGGCTGCTCTACTACATATACTTGACCACATGGCCAGGCCGACGACAAGAACCCCTCATCGATCGCGGAAAATCGTATGTACTCTACACAGAACACCCGCTTTTCCCCGCGCGCGCAGCAGCAGAGCGAGCACCGCGATAACTATCTCGAGCGGGGGAGCGGGGGGGAGGCGAGGGATCGCAACTTCGCAAGTGCAACAACTTGTTTGTCGACTCCGCACGATGTGAAACGACACGTCTTGTTCATGTACATATTGTCCGTACCCCAAACCCAAACCCAAACCCAAACCCAAACCCAAACAGCTACTCTAGTTACCTTGCAGAGTAAAGTGCTGGCAGGCTGGCAGGTCTGGCACCTGTCCAACTCGACTGTCCGGTGTCCCTGCATGAAGCCAGTCCAGTCAAGTCGGTCGGCCAGGCCGCCACATGCCAGAACACCACTGGCCTGGCCCCCCGGTTAGCTTTCTGTTCATTATCTATTGGATCTGATTAGATCTCGCGTGCGTGCTGCAGGCTGCAGCCGGCCGGAGCCTGACGAAGCCGTCGAAGCCGTCGAAGCCAACTTTCTCTCTCACCAACCCCTCCAGACGTGTCTGTCGAGTTTGTCGAGTTGAACTCGTCGGGAAGCCCGAGTAATTCCCGCACATTATTCCCTCGAAGACTCCCCGAAGCTTTTCCTGCCGACGACGGCCATGCCGCCGATGGATCGAACGCACCGGACACCGAAATCGAGCTCAGCTCGAAAATCACCTCCACTGATTCTTCGGTGACGGGCTTTTGAAAAGTCCCTCTGCACTCGACCTCAAACTCAAACTCGAACTCGAACTTGAACGCCGACCAAGGTCGCGAAAAATGCAGCGATCCTTCCAGGGCAACAGGCTAGACATGGCCGTACACCGTACCTGCATAGACGAGCGCCACGCGAATGTCCGGTGCTCAGTGCATATGCGGATCCATATCCCACTGACCGGCAGGTCTGCTACGGAGAAGACTGGACTGGTGCCGGCCGGACCTATGTACGATCCTGATGTGACTCCCTCCACTGATGGGGCGAGGGGGGAGCTTGCCATCTTCGGGCTGGTCTGCTGTGTGCCTGCGGATGAAAATGCCGCAAGAGCGAATCTTCTTTGTCGGCGGCGGCGGAAATCCTGTGCGAGGTGGCATACTTGTTGGAGTACCCGTGGTTGAAATGGTGGGGGATTGGGATTGGGGGCCGCGGTGGAGGTGGCTGGGAACTTGGGAACTTGGAAGTGGCCGGCGTTCAAGACTTCTTTTGCACGGGTGTGAGTGACGATCCGTGATAAGCTTCGTGCAAGTCTACGGTTCACATATCCTTCACCAGCACATTGCTTTCTTTATCTCTCGGACTCCACCACCAGCACATTGCTTTCTTTATCTCTCGGACTCCACCACCAGCACATTGCTTTCTTTATCTCTCGGACTCCACCACCAGCACATTGCTTTCTTTATCTCTCGGACTCCATCGTCACCACGATTGTCGGTAGAGTACAGACCTCTGTGCTCCCAAGTCCGTCAGCCAATCTGTCCCCAGTTCCAAGTTCCAACCCTGAACCGCATCCCTGCCAGGCTGCCGCCCTAACCAAGGACACCATGTTCGACTCCCTCTCACCGCGTCCGCAAGACACCGTACGATGGTGATTCATTCGGTCGGTAAAAGCTGGCAGATGTCGGTACTATGATATGTACTCGCATCCCAGGCCTGACCTGCGGCTGGAAGGTTGACAGTCCGCCTGCAGCGGGATAGGTGGGTGGCGAAAACCTCGGTAATCTGATCGATAGGTAAGAGGTAAGAGGCGTAAGAGGTCGGCGCCGCAGGGGATGGGGACGTGTGGCTGACTGTTGTGTGGCTAGGCATATACCCAGCATGTAGTGCAGTAGGCGATCTCGAAAAGAGCTTCCCCACCCGTCCGCAGTGGAGCAAACCCGGAATGCTCCCGGGTGACCTTGCGGAGTGCCATGGGATACCGTGTTCGTTCCTCCATACGGGCGAGACAGTGGACTGCCGCGGCCCGATTGGCTCCGAGAGCGCCACGAATCTCCTCTAGTCCCACGTCGTCGGGAGCATGGCCATTGGCGAGAAGTTTGCTGCGTCTCCTCTCCTCTCCGTCCCGGAGGACACCTACTCACAGAGCGGTTGGTTGCGCCGGGCTACATAGAAGGCTATGTAGGTCTCGCGCCGCGGCTTCGCTTGTCTGACTAGCTACCTCGTGCATTCTCGTCAGGACAGCGTCCTCGATCGCAGCAGACAGAGCGTAACTCTGCGTCTGTAGAGTTGATGCTGCGCGAAGACGTCACTCACTGTGCGTACATGCTGTGACTGGCCGCCGCCGTGGGGAAGTCACACGGGTTCAGGGGCGCAGCATGTATGATGTGATAGTATCGCGGACTATGATGAATCGAACATTCTGCCCTTTTCCGTCTCAGCCACCGCATCCGTGTGCTGGACTGGACTAAATTGTGAGGTGGGGAGAGGGCGTCCACAGTTGCGAACACCCAACACCGACCACCGATCACCGAATAAAGCCCAAGTATTCGGTGCTCGTCAGGTGCATAACAGGGATGGATGGGTACACGCACATGTGGGTATGCAGATGGATGGACCCCGCTTTGCGCCTTCAACCCCTCCTCGTCCTGATCATCATCATCCTCCTCCGCCTCGACGAACCCTCCCGTTTGTCGTACTGTGAATCGCAGAGCCACTGCTCAGCCTTCCAGAAGAGAGCATAAACCCCCGGTGTCCATCTTCCAGATCCCGAGGTCTGATAGCACCCACCCACCCACCCATCCGAATCCATTCCTTTGGGTACTTATCACTGCTGAGAAGAGACGGTTGCAGGTTCTCAAGTTGTCAAGTCGCAATGTCGGATCCAAAGCAACCCACTGCCACTGCCACTGGCCCGAGCGAACCGGCGCCTGCACCGACGGGCGAGGCCCCGCCCCAGTGTCCACCTGACCACCACCAGCAGCAGCAGCAGCAGCAAAGCCAGTCGCCACTCCCACCCCCACCCCAGCAGTCGCAGTCAAACGTTCCGGGGGGATATACCCCCGGCCTACAGCAGCAGCTGCAGCAGCTGCAGCCACAGCAGCCGCCGAACGTGGGCTATCCCCAGCAGCCACTACAGCTGCCCGTGGCGGGATATCACCAGGGCCCTCCTTCGCCTGGAGGTTATCAGGCCCCGCCTTCGCCCGGTGGTTATCAGGCGCCTCCATCCCCCAGTTTCACTCCACAAGGCCAGTATAGCGCCCCACAATATCAACAGCAGCCACCGCCGCAAGGCTACTATGCTCAACCCCAACAGCCCGGGTACTACGCCCAGCAACCGCCGCAGGCCTATGGACAGCCACCACAGCAGCCTTATGGACAGCCGCCTCCACCACAGCAGCCATACGACCAGCAAGCACCACCTCAACAGGCTCCGTACAATCCGCAGTTTGGCTATCAACCACCGCTTCAGCAACCATACTATGCGCCACCACCACCACAGGGCTACCCCCCACCGCAAGGCTACCCGCAGTACAGCCAGTCTCCCATGGATCCCAACAATCCCAATCCCGCTATGGGACAATACTACCCTCCACCCAACCCGCCAAAAGTCTATGAGTACAGTCCGGGCTACGCACCCGGCGAGATGGCCATTGGCTACGACCCGACGACCGACGCCGGAGTGATCAAAAAAGCCATCGGTACCCCCCACCACCCACCCAGCCCGCCCCTCCATCCAGCGCACTAACCCACCCACCAGGCGACACCCGCATGGACCTCGACGCCCTCCTCAAGATCGTGCCCAAACTCACGCCTCTGCAGCTCGAATCATTCAAGCCGCACCTCACGGCGAACCCGCAAGACCTCGCGCGCAACACCGACGAGATCGTCAAGACGGGGGTGTTAGGCCTGCTCATGGGGCCCAAGGACTTCGACGCATACATGCTGCACCACGCGCTGAGCGACAACGGCAAGGCGAAGCTGTCGTCGACGTTCAAGAACACGTGGATCCTCTCACTAGTCCTACTAAACCGCAAAAGCGGCGACATTGAGGCGATCAAGGACTCGTACCGGCGACGGTACGGCGACACGCTTTTGCACCTGCTGAAGGACTGCCTACGCAAGGAGCCGCTGCTCGCCAACCTATACATGAACGTGCTCGAGAACCACTCCTACCCAGGACTATGTGAAGTTTCCGACCCGGCGGCGAAAACGGCGCTGCAGGCCGCCATAGACAAGGAAGCCGACGAGCTGTTCACCGCCACCGTCGGCACCGTAGAGGGGAATAAGTTCGCGTGGACGTTCACCAGCAGCTCCCATGAGCGCCTGAAGGATATTGCAGCCGCATACCAGAAGAGGCAGGATTGTGCGCTCATCGATACCGTCAATAAGAAGCTCAAGAAGCTCGAGGCCCTCAGGGATGAGCTGGCGTATATGCTCGCCGGCCTCACGGATGATGCGCGCGCCAATAGGGACGCGCTGCTGCTGGAGAATACTATGAAGGGCTTCGGTAGCCACCCCCCACTCCTGTGAGCTCGAAGAAACCACCGCTGACAGAAAGCAGGAACGAAAGATACGGAACTAATCTTCCGGCTCATATCGATCGCGTGGGATAAGGACCGGCTAGGAGCGGTCAAGGACGCGTACAGGAAGAAGTTTGCGGCGAAGGTCAGTCTGCAGGCACGCATCGAGGGCGATACTAGTGGCGACCAGGAGAAGTTCCTCGAGGCCGTGCTGTTGAGTGATGGGAGGAGGGGCTGAGGGGCTGGGAGGGGCTGGGAGGGGCTCTGGGACGCTGAGGGGCTCCGGGAGGGGCTGACGTGACGTGACGTGGGAATGCGCGCTGGGCGGTTGGTACAATGCTACCTGCCTAGGTCGTGCATATGCACTTTTATTTTTTTTGAGGTTTTATTCTTTACAGGTTGACTCCATGATCATACATGAATATAGGCATGTAGGCATGTAGGCAGCGAATATACACGGTTAGTTAATGATGGTTTCTAAACCTCCTCTACGCACTTTTATGTCTCCAGTTGAATATGATTCACCTAATGCTCTGCAACGTCCCATTCAGTCTCGCTTTCACTCACCAATAGTTCTGCAACGTCCGATTCAGTCTTACTTTCACTCACCAATAGGTCTGCAACGCCCCATAGAGTCTCACGTTCAACGTAGGTAGGCGGAGTCGCAATCCCGGGTGATAGCGAGTGATAGCGAATGATGATGGCTGCGAGTGGTGGCGTGTGATCGGGAATGCTCCTGAATCTCCGATCCCGAAGGGAGGTGTCGTTCCTCTCGAGAATCCGGACTTGATCCTGGCGGGTTGTCGGGGTGCCGACGGGGGCACGTCAGAATTGGATGGGATCGCAGATCCGCAGTGGAAATCTGAAGCCCGTATTTACCTTTTTATTTTTATTTTTCAAACAGAAGCCGGCTTTCCACCGCCCCGCGCTCTCCAAAGTCCAGGGTCCAAAGTCCACAAAGTTCCAACTTCAAACAAGTTAGTTACTTCAACCGGGCGATCTGCAGCTAGACTTCCATGCAGGTTGCATACACAGGTGTCAGGTAGCTTGTAGGCTGTAGAGTAGGTAGGTACACACCCGTCACTCGTGTAACCGCGCATCTTCCAAGTTCCAAGCATGTAGGTATTCGCGGTGACGTCGTCGGCGCTCACCAGGACGACGAGTCTATCAACGGACGTCGGAAGTGACTGTATATAAGAACGTCCGTGGATTCCCATTTCCATCCATCGTAAAGCACGCACATCACACATCGCCGCGATACTATAACTACTCTACCTACCACACGACCACACCCTTTAAAGAACCCCCACACCCCCAAGAAACCTCATAATGGACGTCATCAAGAACCTCGGCGGCAAGGACGCCAACACCCAGCAGACCAGCGACCAGTCCGGCGGCGGCCTCCTAGACACGCTCCACGGCGCCGTCGGCGGCGGGCGGCAAAGCGAGAAGAACGAGGACGGCGTTGATAAAGGTATCCCTTCCTTCTTTCAATACACGAGTTCGTGGGTTGTGGGTTGTGGGTTGTGGGCACCAGGTAGCTAACGACCAGCGAAAAGGCGTCGACTTCGTCCAAGAAAAGTTCATGGGCGCCGGGCCGCAGGATAACGAGAGCGCGCTAGAGCAGGCGAAGGATGAGAAGATAAGTGATTGTAAGTGCTCCGTTTCCCCAGAAAGACAAGGGGAAAAAAGAGAGGAAAGAGGGTGAATGCTGATTTGTTGCGCGGCAAATAGTCGTCAGGGGACAGTATAAGTCGGCTACGGGGAGTGAGGTGCCGATTAAGGATAAATAGGTAGATGGGGGGTTAGATCTGGAGTGGCGTGTATGGAGACGAGGCGGTGAGTCAATTGGAAATAAATCATTCGAGGAATCTGTGCAGTTCCTATGATGATAGTGATCTCCTATGATTCTGTGAAGGGTCTCTACCGAAAGCGTGGAATCCAGGAACGAAAGTGACCGACACAACGAACAAAGTGACGTTAAAGCGTGATCTGACACTTCAACAAGACAAAAGGCGATCAGATCCATGCGAATGTACCTACTTGTAGAGTAAGACTGGAAGAGTGTAATCATACGACATCACTCGCTTCGAAGAATGCCAGCAGATTCCAGACATCTCGGCTGTGAAGAATGTATGTAGTTACGCATCATTTCGGGGCAGCCGTGTGTATTCCGCAAAGTGTGACGTGTCGTGTGAGGGGGCAAGCTGTCTAGATCTGTTTGTTTGATCATTAATTGCTTGCGACCTATCTAGATTCCAAATCATGGCAATATCCACCCAGCAAGCGGGCTAGAGAGAACGCATGCGGCCTTACTGGACTACGGCAACCAGCAAGGGGGCTACATTCAAGCAATCAACTGCCAAAAACCCCGAAAAGCGAGTGATGGGCTGTGATAGCACCATACAATGTCGCACGTTTGTTTGTGAATACTAGCCGTGAGTTCGACTCCACCAACTGTGCCCTAACTGTGCCCTAACTGTGCCCTAACTCCCGACTTTCAACACCTTCCACAAGCTCCCATAGAAAATCCGCTAGCGCACAGCACCTCAGTATAAAACCCGCGCCCGGTCTGCTCTCTCCCTCTCTTTTCTTCCATCCATCTTCAATCTTCCTCAACATCAACATCAACATCATCAACATGTATCAACATCATCAGCAAATATATATTGTTGCACCACACTAGCGAGCAACACGCATAGCCCTCGGTGGCTTCCTATATCTTCGAAGATTCCTAACCGGAATTGCAAGCGAATGCAGTGTATGGGAATGATATTGACTTATCGTTTCCTTTTCGCTGTGGGAATCACCGAACCCGCTCGTGTCTTCAGCTTCATCCATCCAAAACCGGCGAACCGCGTTTAGCTGCCTTTCTCGGCTGCTGAGCGAGATCGAACATGTACCCACCGCAGTGGCTACTGCTGCAGCCATGCACAGCGTACTGCCCTCGAAACGAACCTTGGCAGGGTGTCCTCCCTTTCACCACTAAGCACCGGGCAGAAGGATAGCCCGATCTCCACCATGCACGGGGGGGCGGGGTTTGACACCCGAGGAGTTGGAGACGAATTATGATGGGAGGACAAACTGAGTAATGCGAAGCAGACACTCGAGGTGAGATTGCAGCCTACCAGAAAGGGAGGTACTGAACGGGGTAACTAATGTATATAGTGACCTCCGTCAGAGTTATATTTCCACGATGACTACCGCCGCCACAGCATCTAAAGTGCTGCTGCGAGGATCGCCCTGGAGTCGGACCGTGTCACGGCGTGGACCCCCTTGCGAGACATGAGGGGTCACTCGGGCTGGGAGTGAGTGTGTGTGAGTTGGGATTGGAGTTTAGTAGGAATAAGTTGGGCTGGACAGTGGCGTGGAAACGGAGGGTGTACGGGTAGACATTGCCATGATCTAGACAGGTCACATGCAATCAATGATTAAACAAAACAAAAAAAATCGGCTGTAAAGAATGAAGGGAGAGTCAAGACCCAACGCCTACAGTCATCCGCCAGCCACAAGCCACAATCCCTTGTGATGGTGCTTTCGCGTGCAGCTCCCGGCCCCGAGCAGCCCGTTACCACAGCCCGTTACCACAACACGTCCAGAGAGATATATCACGTCTGTAAAAGCCGTCAACACTCCCCTCCCCTCCATCCACCCCTCCATCCCCTCCATCCATCGCATCTCCGCCTCCGCTTTCAGTTCAGTTCCAGTTCCCGGCCGTATGCAAGTAATTCTTACATAGCATACTGGGTATCCGCTTCGCTTTCGAATTTCTCTCCATCGGTTTTTAACGATACCTAGGAAAACGCACTCCTAGAAGTACATAGTAAAAAAACAAAAAAAAAACAAAAACAAAACCCAAACGCACATACACAGGTAAAGAAAGCACAAGCACAAGAACATGAACATTAAAAGAAAAAGAAAGAAAAAACAACAGGAAAACAGGAAGCACAGTCCCAAAACCCCCCTCTTCTCCCCCAGATCGTTAAGTTAAGGTGAACGTGAACGCAATCCATAATCAAGGAAACGAGACATAAGAAAATAAAGAAACGGAAGATAAAGAAGACAGAAAAAGCACTGAATCGATTAACCCCACTGCCTATTCAAAACTCAACCCAATCCAAGAGGATACCTACTTCCAAGCTACTCGTACCAGACAGAAAAAAAGAAAACCAAAGGTAGATAAGAAGAGTAAAACAGGACGACATCATTCATCGGCGTCGGGCACGTCACTAAGATCGCTACTCTCGCTGCCGTCGTCGGCAATTTCCGGCTGCTTTCCCTTCGCGCCCCGGGTGCTCCGTCTACCGAAGGCCACCTCCGTTTGTGATTTCTTGGGCTCAGCAGGCTTGGAGTTGGTCTTACCACTTCCGCGGGTTGACCTCTTGCCGACGGCAACAGTAGTTGTAGTAGGCGCGCCCGGAGTGGTTTCCTCCTTCTTGGCTGACTCGGGCTCGGGCTCATCAACCTCCATCTCCTCTTCGGGCGCCGGGGTCTTGTCCATTTCTTGATCGCTTTCGGCCTCGACCTCTTTGTACTTCTCCGCGCCTTTGGACTCGGTAGACTTCTTTGCCGAACCACCGCCAGAGTTGCTGCGTCCACCATACTTCCTAGGTTTAGGCTCGGGCTCAGCCTCGCTCTCCCCGCTGTTGGAAGCATCATCCATCTCCTCGTCGCTACTGTCGTCCTCCTCGTAGTCCTCCTCGTCTGTCTCGGCATCCTCCTCCTTGTAGCTGGTGATCCTGCCGGACTGGCGACCACTGCGGCGCCGCTCGCTCGACTTGGTGGGCGGAGGTGTACCGTCCTCTTTTGTGGCTCGCTGCTTCTTGGTCGATGTCTTCTTGGAAGGTTTAGATGGTGTCTTTTCCACCTTTGGTTTCTTGACTCGTTTGGTGGTGGTGGGGGTGGGGGTGATCGCAGCACTTTCGCTCTTCCGCTTCTTGCTGGAACCGGTGATCGCGCCTGACGACAAGGAGGTAGGGTTCTTGCTACTGGCCCGCACGAGAGCCCCGAGCTTCTTATCCATGCCTTCGGGAAGGTACGTCGTTTGCGCGACTTCGTGTGACTCATCCTGGTTCATCATCGGCGCATACAACGCCACTGGAAGGCGCATTTTGCCTGGCCATGTTTGGATCGTCCATTTGTGAATTTCTCCGTAATGGCGGATGATGGATTGTGCGAGTTCTGAAATGTAGTACAAATTCTAGAACCATTAGAACACGAGCCGACGATTGGGGGGATCGGTGAGACGGACCTCCGAGTTATCGGGGCTCAGTTTATCACGGAATTGTTTGGCTCTCTGAGCAACGTAGTGAATAAGAGAAATGTTCTCCCCGTTGGCAACCGTCCGGAGGTAGAACAGGATGTATCTACCGAACCACACACACACACCAATTAGCTCCCATTAAGGCCCCTCAAAAGACTCGTAGGAGCTAGGGAAGACGGTTAAGGGGAGAGATTTTTAGTACTTACTTCGCGAAGTCCATGATATCCTCGTATTGGGTTCCAAAGTCCGGGTGGTGCACAAGCAGACTCATCAGGCGCGCAAAGACACCTTCCACGACGTTATGACTTGTCTTATTCTTGGAGATGGCGCTAGAGCGAGCTCGGATCCACGTAGCAACCTCTTCCCTCCACCGATCTTCGGGCTCGTAAGCCATCAAAAATACGATGGTGTAGAAGCGTGCCGGTAGCTGTCCGGCGGCCAGGTATTTCTGGAGCTTCTCCATGAACCCTCGACGGACCTGGAGACATCCATCCTGAGCAACCGTCGCAAGTCTGATGAAGTCCGTCGCCGAAATCACTTCGTCAAAGACCGAGATGGTTGCCAATTTTAGCAGATGCTGGGCTGCGGCCAGTCGCATTCGTGATCGATGAGCGGCCGGCGTGGTCTTCGTCTTCAATGCTTCACCGTCGTTGGCGACGATATGGTTCAGTGATCTGATAACACCGAGGCTGTCCCTGTGCTGTGCATCCGGACGTGCTCGTATGCGGTTCACAAGAACTCGCAGTGCAAGAATTTTTGCTCTGATCTCATCATCCAGCTCGGTTTCTTCTGCCCAGACTTTCTTGCTGTCTTTGTCTTCCTCACTTGCAGGCCTCTCCGTCCGGGTCCCGACGATGATGCCTGTGCATATGTCCTTAATGGCTTTGGCGTGGTCCTCACATTGGTCAGGCGCCAATAAGACCAGTTGTGAAAGACACGCGAGCTTTGCCAAAAAGTGATGTTCTCCGAACTCAAAGTCCTTGAGACAGCGCTGGACCAAGTCCGACGCGTACAGTTCCTTCCGGTTGGCAGAGTACATCAAGATGGTGACAGCATGTTTCGCAGCCGTGGGAGGGCGGCCGGTGAGGGCGAATGAAACAAGCGCCTCAAGCAACTTTCGCTCCTGGGGCATATCTTTTGGATAGCTCTTGGCGAAGCCTGCGCAGGCTTTGAGTGTATCCACCGCGCTACTCGTTCTCGCAGAGCCAGACCCAGGGGACTGTTCTTTGAGGAGATCGGAGAGAGCCTTGACGTTGGCTTTGAAGACCGCCGGATTGGAGCTTGACATCTCTTTCAGAACCTCATGTGCGGCATTGCCAAGTGAGCACTCATCCGTGCGAGAGAACTCGACAATCGGGGCGACATGCGATTTGTTGTAGATGATCTGTGAGACGCGATAGAGCAATGGTGTGAGCGAGTCCAGGATCATTGGTTGCGCAGACTCGTTGATGCGCTTCTTGATCTCCTTTAGCGCCCTAACCACAGTACGGTAATCACTGTCCGGGTTAAAGCAGAATCGGATGAGCTGATAACATCTTCTGTCATGTAGTTTTGCCAGCCTCAGGAGGTTCTCCTTGGCCTTGTGTGACTCGGGAAGTTTATGCGCCAACCACGCCGAGAACTTTTCCAAGTTCAGTTGCACGGTGGCCTCGTCGACACCTGCTTCGATGACACCACCCTACGCATGCAATGTCAGAAGATCGGCAGCGTGGTCCAGCCTGGTATAGGAGGGCATGGGGAAACGTATAACTCACATTGTTTTCCTCGCACGACTTCAGGAACACTTCCATGACCTTAGCATAAGAAATCTGCCGAAGAGGTACAGCAAAGAGTGCCTTCTTTGCTTTGGTGTCCAGTCCCTTCACCAACACAAGTAATCGCTTGACGCGGATCTTGTCGTCTTCCAAGATTTCCTTTTCACGCTCTTGATTGGTAAGTTCCTTACCCTTGCCCTTGCCTTTGGTTCCATTGGTCTTGTCCGGTTCTGATGCTTTTTCAATGGGTATAGGTGGGTAGTTGACGGGAAGCAATATCTCGTGCAGTACGTGGTCGAGTAGCATGTTGACTTCGGGATCATTGATGTAGAATGTATCCAGAATCTTACTAGGAATCCAGCCCAGTTGTTTAAAAACGACCTCATTCCCGTTGGAAATATCTTTATATGCCATGTCCCACATCCGAGCAAGACACCTCATGCCCTCCAGGCGCACGTTAATCTTCTTGTCTCTCACGCGCTCAGCCAACGTCTGGAGTATCTTCTTTCCCCAACCTGTGGTATCTGCCCCAGTCCCACCCCTGGGTTTCAAAGGGATAGCGCTCGTGGCCACAATGGAATTGGTGGAATCAAACAGATTAAATGGCGATTCATCTGCCGCGAGTTTGGAAGTGATGGAGTCATAATCGAGAGATCTCAAGGCACAACACGCCGCGTGCCGGACGATTTCGTCCAGATCGTTCAGTTTGATTGCGATGAGGTCAACCATGTGCACAGCCATGGGGTCGTTCCGTGTCTTGAGGATGTTTACAGCAGCCCTCACCCACGATGCGCGCACTGTGGGGGATTTGTCATTTGCCCGACTTGCCCACGCTTTCCACGTCGCTGGTGCAGATTGCGCAAAGTTTCCTTCCAGCGCCATCTCACCGATGGTTTCACACGCTAACTTCCGGAGTTCGCCGTTGTCGGCCAGAAGCTCGTGCTCGAGCAGAGGAATGACATTCTGGAGGACCGTAGGGCACGATTTCCAGAGTTCCCTGGCGAGTGTGTGGGCCTTCTTGACTTCTCCCAAGTCTTCGGCTGACGTGGGTTCGTGAGCTCGGGCTTCGTCGTCACCACCGGGGGTCCCGGCCCTTCGCCCAGCGGCATCAACAATCACTTCCGAAAAATATCGGCAGATGTAGCGAGCCATCTTGTCGACGCAGGCAAGACAGATCTGTTTCGCCATTGCGTACGCTGGTGGGAGAACCTTATTTGTGAGTTTTTTCTGTCTGTCGTCGAGCCGGGGATCCGCACGCGCCGACAGAGCACCCTTCTTCGCAGGCTTTTCCGGTTCCACTTGGGTTCGCAGAAACTGGATGCAGATGACATCAACCACTTCGGGAGGTAGAGAGGGACATTCCTCGATAAGCTGACATAGAATATCGGTCATCTGGAATTCCACATTTTTCGGACCCTCCGGCTTCGCAATGTCGAAGAATGTGGTGAAAAGCTCCTTGGTGATTTCATCGCCGTCGGGAATGTCGGAGATCAAAACTACGGACTTGACGGTCGACAGAGAATCCAGCAGATACATGTATTGTTGGTAGAAGGGCGCATCGGGGTTTTCAAGGCCTTTGAGGCACTTGACGAAGCATGCGAAGATGTCCTTTACGCAATTCCCTCCATCAGCAATGTGTAGACCGGGGCAATACGACGCTGACGTGCCCACCACGAGAGACATACCTTCAGTTGTTTCGCGGTGTAGGGCGCATCCGGCGCGTGCAGCCGCAGCATGTCCGCCAGGCAACATGCGGTGTACGCCACAACACCTTCGTCTGGATGTTGCAGTAATTTCACCGACGCCAATTCCTTCGCAGGCGTAGCCAGGCTCGGGCGGTCGACACCCTCCTGCTCCAGGTCCTGTACTTCTTTCTGCAGCGTTTTCAAGTGCGAAACGAGCTTGTCCACTTCAATCGGTTTGCCGGACTTCGATAGCAGTGGCTGGTCGAAATCTAGAACCTTGGGGTTGACATGCTCGCCGCCCTCCGCAGCCGACACTTCGCCGTGAGACGCACGAGCTGAGCGACCCATTGTCGCGGTAGGGTGTGTGGGTTGTCGAGGGTGTTGTCGTCGTCGCAGATGTTTTACTCGTCAGGTTGAGTCGCGTCTAGGAGAGTGCGATGGATTTAGCGACGCGTTCGCGCCGAGGGAAGGTTTGGCTAACAATAAACTCGGAGGGTGGGGGAGTTGGGGGTGGTTGTTGGGTCGAGAGCGGGAGGGAGACGCGGGAAGGGTTCAGGCGGTGATCAATAACCACGGGGACGTGCGAGCGTGCGAGCGGCTCTTCACCATACATAGTAGCCCTAACCCACACCAACTCGTGGCCCAAGCCAAGCCAATGGTAGTTGCTCACGCCCATACTCACTCGCAAGTTACCTTTGGTTTCAAGCAGAATAACTAGGCTATTGAGGCTGTTTTTGCGCTGGCTCGAGTGACTGTTTCCTCACTTCCCGCTTGAGAGGGCGGGCAACTTTTTTGCCCAGGTCAAAGCGGCGATTGCCTACCTACCCACGGAAGCATGCCCGAGTTTGAGCAAGTTGAGATATAGGTTCCTAGGGCTTTGGCCTTATCACACCTGTAGAAGGATCACAAGCTTGTGAGACACGTATACATATTGGCGTTGTTGCCTTTTCAGTAATGGACCGAATCCTAAACTTTCATTAGCGACTTCATTTGCCGAGTGATCTCACATGATGAAATCAGAATCTACGGTACCTCGAGTTCTCTGTTTTAGGTTTTGCTGATACGATTTTATCCAAGTGATGAATGCGTTCCAACCGCGATTTTGAATTATGCTACTACTACTCATCTAACGAAATGACACCCAGCAACCCCACGCCACCATCGCTCCCACCATCCTCACCACTCAGATAAACGTAACCTCAGGGAACTTCCTATTGTTCTCCGCCACAAGCCCCTCCTTCTCGCCCTTAAGCGCCCAGTTAAAGAACGCCTCGGTATAAGCACCAGTGATCTCCCTGCCCCGCTCACCACTAAGCGTCCCAAAGACCTCCTGCAGTCCGGCCCTCATCTCATCCGTCCAGCCATCCGCCAATCCCGTGATCTCAATAACCGTCGGCGAGTCCCCAAAGCTCATATGCTGAAAGCCATCCACAATTGCCTCCCTGACCCACCCCTTCTGCGCGCCCTTAAACGCGGCCCACGAGGTATCACTCGAGGAGTTATGCTCGCCGGCACCGAGGATCAGCACCGGCGCCGGCGCCACCGACGTGGTGTTGTAGATGAAGATGAAGCCGTCAATGTTGATGCCGGCCTTGAACGGGGTGGGGGGGACGAGCGAGCCGACGCTCGCGGCGCCGCCAAGGCTGTGCCCGAATACGCCGGCCTTCTCGGTGCGCAGCTGCCGGCCGCACGGCAGCGTCTTCAGCTGCGAAGCGAGGAACCGCAGGTCCGATACGCGCGTGGAAAGGTAGGACTCGACTACCTCCATCACGTCTGTCGAGGTGAGGTTCAGCGCCGTGTAGGTCGGCGCCTTGGTCGCCTCGGGGTACTCGACGACGATGGCGTCGTAGGGGTGGTCCACCGCCAAAATGAAGTACCCGGCAGAGGCGAGCTGCTCGTAGATCGTCGTGTAGACGGCGCGGGGGGCGCCCATGCCCGTCGAGAATACGAGAGGGATGAGGTTCTTGGTCGGGCAGGCGGGGGAGGAGGCGGGCTGCACAAAGGAGTTGGTCGTGATTCCGGAGAGCGTCCCGTTCGGAAGGCTCTCGGATATCTCGATCGTCCGGACTGTGAGAGGCGGTGCCCAGTCCGAGTACTTCCCTGATCTGGGAGCACGTGGCAATGGGTAGAAGGCTTGGACTACGATTTCACGGGCGACACCGTCTGGGCCGCCGAAGCCGCTGGTGCGAGAGGAGTCGGTGAGCGTCACGGTGTAGGTGCCGATATTCTTGTTGGGTCCTGTAGGAGGCGGAAGCTGGACGCCCAGAGCCAGCGCCGGAAAGAGGAGTAGTGAGAGGGTGAGGAAGTTCATGCTGATAGAAGTGGATGCTGATGGTGAGTGAGGATCTGTGCAGTGCTGTTGTTGATGATCAGAAGCATGGAATCATTTGCCTTCTTATATATTGCCTGTCTTTCTGCAAAGCCCGGAGACCCTCCGGATCGACATGGCCGCTCGCACTGCGCACGTAGACAATAATAGAGCAACAATGAAACCATAGGCCGTAGTAACGTTACTTGGTTGGAATTCGCGATTCGCGTCGTACAACATCGGGGGTTACATGTCCATACGTGCACCGGGCGGGCATCATCCCGTAGGTGCTGCGCCTGCAGAATGTTCGGTCGGCATCGAGTTAAGCCGTTAGGCTGCGTTAATTGCAAGGTTGACTGCGGGTTACTTTCGGGATAGCCAATCGAGAAGAGAGGATCTGCGGGATTTGCCGAATGAAAAAGGAAAGAGAATGGGATTTTGAATGGAAATATGGCACTTGCCGTAGGCTGAATGGGGTTTGGAGAATCACGGTATGTCGAAGGGACTTGAAGCTATGACGATATCTATTAGGTACTCGATACTTGGCGGGTTGGGTTCAAGGAAGGAGTGGGTGCGGACAAGGCGTATTCAAAGACGCCGAACTATATCACTGCCCATTTGAGCATGAGCGTCGTCATCAAAGAGACGAGCGAGGCGTCTTTATGAGCGAGGTCGACTGTTTACCGTCCCAATAGAGCCAGAGATTCGAGAAAGCTATGCTCGTGTTCGATATCAGAGCTTTGGTTTGTTGAATTGAAGCGGATCGTGAACGTAGGTCAGCCTTAGATTAGTGTTAACTAGCTTTCAAAGGTCCACAACTATCTCCCGAGTCCCCACAGCCCGCACTAGGTACGGAAAGCATAGTTACCGGAAACGTCCCCCTCAGCCCGTACATCTCTCATTCGGCAGCCTCCAACAAACGCCGACAGTCTCCATCACTCGCCTTTCCACATCCTCCCACGTCTCATTCTCACTCCACCCCTCCGTCCCGGGCACCCGCTGATTCCCCCTCCACACGCCATCGCTCGAAAACTTCCAACCTTTTTCTTTCTCACAGAACAGGCGAAGGTCCCGCTGGAACGTTGTTCCCCCGGACCAGCCCAGCAGCGCAGTGCCAGCACAGATCGCCGGAGCTATGATGATGTCAACTCGGCGGTGCAGGCCACCCTTGTGGTTACGCCAGACGACGAGGGCCTTGTCGAGATTGTCGAAGTGGCCCTTTGATGGGCGGTGTGGGTCTTCGTGCCGCAGTTTGGCACTCGAAACGGAGAGGGTAAGTGTCACCAGCTCGGCCTCTTCGAGTGATTGGAGGAGCGTCACTAGGAAGTCCGGAGGAATAGCACGCCGGTGGGAGAGGAGTACGTCTACATCGTGACACTCCTTCGCACCGCGACGATACCCTCCTACGATCTTGCTCTGTACACCGGGCAGGACCTTGGCTGCGTGCAACTTGATGTGTTCAGCAATCTTCTCGACTTCACGACGGTTGATAGGCGCGAGGAACTCGTCGTAGTGTTTCACGCCAATCTGCTGGACGCGAGAGAGGTTCGACCAGTGGTACGTTATGATGTCGCCGAGTTTCCTATACCCGTGCTCATAGAAAAACTTCGATGCCGTCTCCGCTCCCACGCCCCATATACCTGCGAATTGGCTGAGTACCTGGTAGGATTGGGACTTCTCGAGCTCGGTGACTGCTCGGAGGGTGCGTTTCTCGGGTTTATCGTGAGAGTCCCTCCACTCCTGGAATAGAGCTGCTATCTTGCCATCACAGCCGGGGATCTCCTGGACTTCTGTGCCAGAGGACAGAGGGTACGGATACGCCTTGATCGCAGCGATGGCGGTGGAATATGCTCGCACGCCGGTGGAGTCAAGAGTTATGACTCGAGATTTCTTGATGACCTTTAGCTGCTCGATGAACAGATCGTTGGGAGATTCCTGTGGAGTGGAACGGCAGCACGAGTAAGTGTTCTGGAAGGCAGCGAGATTAGCTTGGGCTTGCACTCAACTTGGGGGGTCAAGACAGTGTACCTTTTTGATTATCCACTCTGGGAGATCACGCGAAGGGTACTTCCCTTCAAACGACGATGTAGACCGCCGGAGCAGAGGCGTTCCCTTAGTCACGCTCAAGATCGCATCGATGCCCGCCTGCTTCTGCCGACCAAACCGGGCCCTCTTACGAGCCGGCACATCCGCCGCATCTGCCAGCGCGCGCTCCATGACGCCCTTCCGTTTCTTCTCCAGCTCTGCGTCCTCCGGCGGCCCACTGGTCGTCTCCGCCTGATCCCTCTCCCACCTCGACATAGCGACGACCTCGCCCTCCAGCAGCGTGAACGCCTCCAACTTCTGTGGCGTCCCCATCTTGAGCGACGCCTCAAACCACGCCCGTTTCACGACCCTAAACGGTCTAACCCTGTTGACGTCGACCTTCCCGCCCACCTCCATCTCCGGCGTCACCACGAACAAGCCTTGCTTCCGCAGCTCCAGCTCGCACCGCCGCTTAGTGCCCACGTCGGCAATGAACACCGCCGCGTCCCGCACGAACTCCCGGAGCGGACACCGACATTGCCGCAGCTTCTCTTTGAGCTTTTGGTATTCGGGCGGCTTTAGGTGGCCCGTGAGAAGGTACGTCGGCGGCAGTGAGGAGAGGTCCACGGGCGGGCGTATGACTTTCGTGATACCTACCACATCGTATTCCGGCTCGGGCTCGGGCTCGGGCTCGGGATGCGAGGCGGATGACATGTCGATTAGTCTTTGGATGTGTGGGAGCGATGCTTTCGGCTGTAGTTAGAGTTTGTCAGATGTTAAGCGGTTCATGCATAGAGTTCGAGATATGTATAGACAGAGTACAAACCTTAATAGGCGCACAAAGGGGCCGGAGTGTCGTGGAACGAAAGAGAAGGGCTCGAACTTTGAGTTAGATACCTACCCCCAAAGCCCGCTTTGACTCTGCCGCAGACGTCGAGCCGTGTTCGCAAGTTCAGTTCGCAAGTTCAAGTTCGTAGTGTGCGTGCGTGCGCTGAGGCTGTCCAACTTCCACGGCCAACACCAGCAGCGAGTGCTCTAAGAGCTTTAACTATCCCGTTGCCGTGCAAACATGAACATGAGCCTCGATCGTGAACTACATATCGAATTACGCGACGTCATGACCATGCTCGCTAAACATTTAAAGAACCTGGCCGTCCGGGCGCAGGGGCGCTATGTACTCTAGTAGAGATCAAGATCTAACGTCACTCCCGACATGGAATCGATGTCTACACTCCGGGTGGTGAGGACAGAGAGCAAACAACAAATCTATTTCGCATAGCATCCGGACGGTGATACTAAGGGCAATGATTGTTCCGGGACTATGGATCATATTCGGTGAAATTGGAGTTGCATTTGGTTACGAGTTGCAGCAGTTTGACGGTACACGCCACAAGCGTGACTGGTACTATGTAAAACAAGGCTGGAGCTCACAGTACGACGCTCGGTATGTAGCAGTGATTCGTAAACCATACATTTTGATTAATCTCACAATCGGCCTCGCATGTCGCCTTGGCCATACGGTGCAAGAGTACATAGCATAATGAAAAAGAACAAACAGAACAATGGTATCCGCACTTATCCCACCTCCCACCTACTACCAACCCACCTATATGTACCTAACCATGGTGATATGATGTACGCCCTGAATACCCAAAAAGGAAACCACATCCAGCATCACCTATTTCCACACCTTGATATCCTTGGTTTCGATTGTCCTTCTGACCTCGCCATTGACGCCGATATCACCACCGCCCATCAGCGGCCGTCCACCCGTGAGTCTGCCGTGAGACGACGTGTTGGCGAACCTAGCATCCTCCGTCCACTCGCCGGTGACCCTCTCCCGATACGACGATGGTGGGTGGACGAGTAGCGAGGTGCGGCCGCCCGCACTACGGTATGTCTGCCCGGAAGCCATGGAGGGATCACGGCTGTTGATTATCTCGCGATGGTGGTTGCGGTGACGATGGTGCCCATGACCTGGCGCGGAGACATCGTTTGAGAACGTGATATCCTGCGTCGTGATGGTACGGTCGATGTGTTCGCCGTGCGCACCCTCGAGAGTCTCGTGACGGGTCGTGACCATTTCGGGCTTGACGATCGCGGCCGCGGCGGCTGCCATAGCCGTTTCTTCGGCGACGCGGTCCCGCCATTGCGATACCCTCTCAGTTTGCTTGGCTAGGGGCACGGGCGGAGCTCCGACGAGGTTGCCGGCGCTGACATTCGCGCCGGTAACGGCAATGACACGCTGCGCAGGTTGAGGCCGTGCAGCGGTAGTGGTAGTCCGAATGTGTTCCTCCCGGGTAGTCTGACGGCCACGGGAAACCTCCCGCTCGAGCCGCTCAGCCCGCTCAACGGCAAGTCGCTCCTCCCTGTGGGCCGCTTCACGGCGTCCCCGAGGGAGCTCCTCGGTGATGTGCTCCTCACGGATGATGGTCCGCTCGGATCTTCCTCTCGGCGTAGCAGCAAAGCGCTCTTCGAACATCTCCTCCTGCTCGTCCTCGCGACCACGGAAAGACCTACCCTCTTCGCGAACGGGGCGGGACTCGATCAAACGGTCGCGGGACGTAGACTCGCGGTGGTTGCTGCTATGGCTCTGGGTGTGGCTATGATGGCCGAGATGTGCCTTCTCCTTTACTCTCTCCCCGATATGACTGACCTTCTCCTTTGCCGATTCGATCTTGCGCGTTGCGGATCCGACGACATGACCGGTCTTACGAACGCCCTCTAGCGTCTTGCCTAGTGCCGCCTCCCGGAAGGAGCCATACTCGCTGCGTTGGTACGCATCAAGGACGAAGAAATACAGTTTGATGATGAAGCGGTGAACATTCTCCTTGATCATCATCGTCACACCTACGGCCTAGTTAGCGAGCATTACCGGATACTAGATTAACAACGGAACATACCGTGGGAAATGAAGCCTTTCGCGATCGTCCCTCCGAGACCAATATACAGTGCAGTGATGCCTTCCCTCTTGACGATTTCCGAGAGGAGCTCGACGATACCGCTGGCACGCCTCACAGCTCTCCTGTAGTGGGTGTCGATCTTGTTTTTAGCAGCCCTTCCCCTCGACACATGGATGCCCTTGACACCGCTCGCAGAACTGTCAAGAATACCATCGTACTCATCGCCACCATCGTCCATCTGCGATCTGATCTTGATCACATTCAACGGGTACGTCAAGGTGGTAGCAGCTGCCTTGCACAGCGCCGCCAGCAGGAAGATATCCATCTTATCTAGCGACCCGCCCTTGTGCGCGGTCATGTGCGGCTTCGCGTACTCGTACAGCAGGAAGGTGATGCTCGGATTGAAAGTGAGCAGCAGCGACGCGGTGTATCCGGACCAGAATCCGGTGATGCCCTTTTCCCGCATGATGTCGTGGTAAATGTCGTCAAAGCTAGGGGTTTTCGCTCCCGGGTATAACATTGCCGCGGTCTGCTTGCGCGTCACAATGTTGCTGAACGGCGTCGAGACGAGCTTCGACAGGGCTGAAGCCGCAATGCCGATTCCAAGCTCCTCCATTACGGGAAGACTCTGCGTGTGTTTTCCATGCTGCGCAAGGATATGCAACCGTTGCTTCCGCAGTAAGGTGTCTGCGCTCCATCATCAGCCAAACACTCCACGATAATCGATAAGGGGTCAGTTACAAGCCATAAAATACCAAAACCCACTCGCCGCCGTGCCGACCGTATCCCACCCAACACCATGATAGAACCCCTGGATCCCTTCCTTCTCATAGATCTTCTGCACGGCATCAAAATGCCCTCTATACAGCTCCTCGTCCTCATATTCATACTCCCAGGACTCAACCACAGTAGTTCCCTCCCTAGTCTCGCGTACATGATACTCCTTCGCCTGTTCCTGTGTAACATTAAAGATGCCCACCGCCTCCTCCTCACCGGTGGCTGAGGAAGAACTCGACGTCGACGATCTGCGCCCCCGCGTCTTCGTCTTCGTCTTTGTCTTCCCCTTATGATGTCGCTGCAACTCTTCGCGCTCTAGCCGCTGCGCCATCGCGTGCCGTTGCACCTTGAGACGCGTGGACACGACATCGAGCGGGTAGGTAGCGAGATTCGCCAGCGCGGACCCAACCGCGCCCGCCAATGCGTGGCCAGCCGCCGGCATTACATGTTCGCGGTGGAAGAGGTGACTGCTGCTGTCGTTGTCGTCGGCATGGCGGGAGGCTCTAGTCGGAGGCGGCGGTCGAGGACTGGGCAATGCAATGGTGTGTTAGCTTGTGCGGTGCGTATCCTCCCTCCCTCCCTCCCGGGGGATGCATAGTAACCTGCGCTCGGAGTAGGGGTCCTCGGGGCTGTCGTAGGTTTCGTGCTCTTCGTGGTGGTAGTAGCTCTCGTAGTTGTCGAGATCGTTATTGTAGCGGACCATATTTCTCGGATATCACGCCGCGTGCGTGCGAGCGACAGCGGCGGCGGTAGCGGGCGGCGGCGACAGACAATCGCAATGCAATGCAGGCCACGGAACGTGCCGATCAGATTCGAGCACAGCGGTATGTAAGAAATTAATTTGAAAGATAAAAACGAGAAGGTGGAGTAATAAGTATTGGAGAAGGGCGCGGTGGGGCTTCTGGTATGGTTTGCTTGAGGGGTGAAGAAGGAAGAAGGAGGTTGGTCGGGTCAGAATCCCCACGTCACCAAGCGCCCGTATGTATATGCTGGAGATCAAAGCCGAAGCCGAGGTGGTGAGGTGCTCAGCTCAGCTGCCTGCTTTAATTGCCTGCCTGCGTTCCCCGATTCAAACCATACGCACTTTAAATAACAACAAACAAAACAAGTCAAAGTCCGCAAATGCCATAGAAGTCCCCCACACACATACCTGCCTTGGTGCTCTACACGAGAGGGGCTGCGGCACGAACGGGACGGGATCGAGAACCTGTTGCGCTTGTCGAGATATCCAATCCAATCGTACATGCTGCTGGATCACAATCCCGGTCAAAGGGTGCGTGGGGCAGGCCAGGGATCGTCAAGCACTGGAGACAAGTGTCCAATCCAGCTGAAGCTTTTGACCAGTAATACGGTGATGTATATACGGCCTTGACAGAAGGGTATCTGCCCGGAATGGCGTGCAGAAGAGGGTTAAGCGAGTCCATAAGGGGTGGAAGAACTCTTCTGTGTAAGTTCTCGCATGGCTTTAAGGAGAGGGAATCCAGATTCGAATGCTGAGTAGGATGTAATTAGGGTTTACTTTACTCACACGACCCGAAATTTTGGCTCGGTGTGAATAGATTAGAAGTATATAAGTTCTAGGCACAGAGCTATCGAACGTCAAGCTCTTTTCCTCTCCACCTCCTCCTCCTCCTCGAGATCGACACATTAATTCCAATCGACTCGACACCATCCTCCAAGATCCAAGATGACGCGGCTGCAACTGAGCGCCTCCAGCTCGAGCTCGGAACCGGCCAAAGCCAATGACGGCTACCAGTCGAACGACAAGGACGTCCGTCAGCTCGCGCTGTCCGACTCCGAATACAAGCTCCAGACCTGGGAGGATCTGACTGCGATAATCGGTTCGTTGCCAATGCATCACCGTTACCTCTCGGGGGACAACCAAGCTTACCAATCGTAGCGGAGAACCGTCTCGACGATCTCAAGCGTATCCCGTCGGATCTCAAGCGTTACATCGCCTGGTCGAATAAGACCCGCGAGGAGTATGGGTCTATCCAGAAGTTTGTGTTGAAGCAGCGCCTCGGATGGGAGGATCTTCAGTGCAAGAATCCCAAGCCGTATGCGGACGCAGGTATGTAGCACATACCATCTTCAATCACTCGCAACTGGGCCTACGATAGCTAACAGGAACCCAGAGGATACCAAGGTCCTGATCAACGATTGGCCCTACGGCAACGCCCCTGGCATCCTGCACCTCGTTTGCTGGACGAAGTCTCCGATCTCGACGCTGCCGGGTTTGGGCGACCTCACTCCCGAGGCGAGAGCCATCATCGATAAGTGGGTGCATGATACCTTCGTGGTTGCGCTCGGCAAGGAGAACGTCCTGTGGTTCAAGAACTGGGCCAGTATCCAGAGCGTCAGGAGCGTTGAGCACATCCACGTCCTCATCCGCGGATATACCGACGAGTTCCTGGCCTCCGTGGTGGGAAAGGATGCGGCCGACGGTACGATCAGGCTTGTTGGAGAGCTCGAGAAGGAGGAGAAGCCGAGTGGAATGGAGTGTGACGAGAAGGAGGAGAAGCCGAGTGAAATGGCGTGTGAGGAGAATTAGACGCGTCGGCTGCCGGGACTGGAGAGGTTGCATAGACTGCGGGCGTCGTTGATCGGGGTTGAGGATTGTTTTGGGCGTCTACTAGAGCTCGAGAGCTCCAGGGCTCTCTGGATGGGGTTGTTTTCTTATTTCATTTTTTCATATTACCTCATAATAGATGCCTGTTTGAAGGCGCCGGTATTTGGGACAGGGTAGGAATAGACCACGATGATGAAACAGTTGTTAGCCTGAGAAAACAATCGTCTGTGAGGTTCCTCGTGTGTACGTAGAAAACCGTTGAGTCGTGGACATCGTTCTCACGAAAGACGCGCCAAGCCATCGGCCCGGCCTCTCGCACGGGGGCAGGGGTGCCGGTTGCAGCACACCTCCAACGCACCTTTTCCACCACCAAAACGGCCGGGCCCAAACACGCTCGCTTCGGCGCTCACATCGACACGCATCAATTGTCGGGCCGAAGTGCTCGAACTTGCTGTTGTCACTCACACAACCCAACCACTCTGCGTGATCCCGCCATCTCTCGCAACTCGTATAAATACCGACTCTCCCCTTCCCCTTTCTCTTCTTTCCTTTCTCTTCAACACCAACACGCTTCACGACTTCAACAACAACTTTCCTCACCACACAACCACCACCAACCAACTTACTAACCAACTTTAGCAGTCATGACTGGACGTGAGTAATTCCCATCCCAACTCTATTTATTTTTGTTTCTTTTCTTTCTTTTCCCCCGAGGCGAGCTGGTGTGGTGTGCATATCGTCGCGTCGCTTCGGTTGTTTTGCGCGCGTGCGCCCGACCGCGTTTCTTCCAACATCGCGTCGCACATCACACAAACACAACCAATCAACCCCCATTCGATGTTTTCGTTCTCGATGTTGCATATATACAGATAGCTAACCCACCGCAGGCGGCAAGGGAGGAAAGGGTCTCGGAAAGGGAGGAGCCAAGCGTCATCGCAAGATTCTCCGTGACAACATTCAGGGTATCACCAAGCCCGCCATCCGCCGTCTCGCCCGTCGTGGTGGTGTCAAGCGTATCTCTGCTAGTAAGCCACCCCCTCCTACTACAAGCAATGATCGGCACTGACGAATCACACAGTGATCTACGAGGAGACCCGTGGTGTCCTCAAGACCTTCCTCGAGGGTGTCATCCGCGACGCCGTCACCTACACCGAGCACGCCAAGCGCAAGACGGTCACCTCGCTCGACGTCGTCTACGCTCTCAAGCGCCAGGGACGCACCCTGTACGGTTTCGGTGGTTAAATCTGTCGTCTGTTCGAGGGCTGTTTTTTTTACCAGATCTTGGGAGAGCCGCATCTGTTTTTTTTCCTGACGATTTTCGCTTTTGGAGGGAATTGGTCCGCGCTTGAGATTTTGTAGAAAACCACTCCAAAGAAGAAGGGAATTGTGGGGATGATGGTTGTCTGATTGTCTGTGTGTGTTCTCTTGTTTACGGTGTTTGCGTTGGTTTTGTTTGTGATGATGGTGATGGTGAATGGCGATCAACTGTGTTCTGTCGGCGTGTGTACTATACTCTATGTGCTACTCATAACAACGGGCATGAGTTGACTTACTGATGTGATTGACTGGACCCATCTTGATCGTGAGGACCACTCTTCGACTCTTCTCAAAAGCCATCATTACGATCAATCAATGTAACAAGACTTAGTGATAACTAAACTCCATTCCCATTTTATTCCCATCCATCTAAGCACAATATCTAATCTACAAAGCTATCTACTCGACACTCTCAGCGAACCACTGCCTCAGTGCACCCGCCAGCACCCCCGGCAGCTCCCTGACATCCCTGACGACCAAATAGTAACCAAACGGAAACTTGTCCAGATACCTCTCGGTGGTAACCTCACCGTCGACGAATGTCACGCGGTTCAGCTCCAGAATCGAGTTATCCCTGAGGCTGTCCACAACCACAAACACGATCATAACCCGTCTCTCGTGTGCCTTCCTAACGATCCTCCTCAGCGCCTCGTGCTCTTCGCACACTCCGTCAGAGATGACGATTTGCAGCTGCCAAAGCTCCTCGTTGGAGCTCGGGGGGGCGGAGGAGAAGAGCGAGAGCGAGGATTCGAGGAGTCGGCGGACATCTGTTTTCTGCTGTGAGAAGGTGAAGCGCTCGAAGGCATTGACGCCCGAGTCGGCGGTGAAGGGCGTGTCGAAGGGGTGGACGACGGAGGCGGTCTCGCCGAACGACATGACTGCAATCTGACCGACCTCGAGAGCGCTGAGGGCGCGAGCGACGAGGGCGACGGTTTGCAGTGCCAGGTTGGCGGTGGAGCCGTCGCCTTCTGCCATACTGCGGGAGTCATCGACGGCAAGAATCACCTGGTATTGTCGCTTGCTGGGCTTTGCTCGGCGCATCCAGATCTTGTCTTTCTTGTAGGCGCTGGCGATGTACGGGATTATACGACGCATGTTGAGGCGCTTGCCGGTGCGGAAGTCGCCGCGCATCTTGGTGGCCTGGGTGGGCTCAAGGATGAGGCGGAGTTGCTCGCAGAGGCCGGCGGAGAGCGTGCGGGTCGCGGACTCGTGGCGTTGCCAGAGTTCCCGAGCTTCTTCACGTGAGCGCATCTTGATGGGAACGGTGACAGCCGTGGCGTCATCGGTGAAGTCGTCGTTTGACATAATGTCCGAGAGCGTATCATCGATGTCCATCTCGTCTTCGCCTTCGATCTGGCGTTCGCGAGTGGGTCCGTCTTTGCGGTCTCCAATCATAGCTCCGAAGCGACCGGCGTCTTCCTCCTCAGGGGCATCCTGTTCTTTACTGGCGTGTTCGATAGGCTCGGCTGGCTCTTGCGGGTCTTCCTCTGGGTCAGCGTCGTCCTCGAATGCCTCTTGTGGCTCTTTGACGCCGGAGTCTATAGCCATCGAGTCATCGAGGCCATGGGCTTGCTCCTCCGTGGCAGTGCCGAGGGCTTGAGTGTCCGCTTCGGTCTCTTCGTTAGGGAGATGTTCAAACTCCGGATCATCGAGTTCCTAGTACACATTAGCATATCATATAATCAAGCTTTATTGATAGAATTCTTACCATATTGTCAATCTGTGGCCGTTCCTTGTCCTCATCGCTAGCATCCAGAATCTGCTTCCTCTGCCTATGCCACTTCTCAAGAATATCTCCGACCTTTCGGAACGTCTTCTCCTCCTCCGACGGTTTCTCCTGCGGCGCCTGTGGTTCCTGGTTCGGATCCTTATCCTGGGCCGATGCCGCACCAACCTCTTGGTTCTGTTGCTGAGACTCATTCTGTTCAGTGCCCTGTCCCTGCTGAGGTTCGTCGGACTTGGTCTCTTCGCCGCTTTCCTGTTGGGCAGAGGCTTGATCGGCCTTGTCTTCATTGTCGGTGCCGCCCTGGACGCCTTGGAGATCGCTGGGCGCGGTGTCGTCGGCTTCTTTGGAATTCTCCTCCGGTGGTGCAGTAAGAAGGTTTTCTTCCTCGTTCTCTGGCTGTAGTTCCTCCGGGTTCTCGGGGTCCTCTTCGACACCGTCGCCTTGCTCCTCTCCCATCCCTTCGTCCTCCCCTTCTTTCTCCTCCAATTCTCCGGTTTTAGGCTCCTCTTCGGGGGCGTCAAGTTCTGGGAACTTTTCCTCCTGATCCTCGCCCTTTCCGTCGTCTTTTCCGTCGTCTTTTTCGGGCTGCTTGTCGTCGCTGGCATCGGAGAGATCGTCCATGTTGAAGTCGTCGCCCTCATCGCCGGGCTGGTCCTCCTTCTCATCCTCGCTCTCGTCTCCATCCAGTTGCATGTCCTCCGGCAGGTCAAGCGTGTCGACTTCAGGAACGTGCTCATCCATACCCTCCTTATTCTGCTGTTTCACGTCATCCTCTTGTTCCGCCCCACCCTCTTCTTCTTCCTCGTCATTCTCATCCCCTTGCTCCCCAGTGTCATCTCCCTTCTGCTGCTTCCCATCCTCCTTCTTCGCCTCCAACTCATCACCCTTCTGCTGCTTCCCCTTACTTGTATCGCCCTCCTTCTCCTTATCATCCTCATCTGCCTTCTCATCCCACATCTTCTCATCAACGGCGGTCGGATCCAGATCATCCACATCTCCAGTCTCCTCCTCCATCTCCTCATCCCCATCCTCCTCCTTCTCATCGCCCTCATCATTCTCCGGTTTCTGCTCCTTATCGCCCATCTCACCCTCCATATCCTGCTCGCCCATATCGACCGCATCCTCCTCATCCTCGATCTCCTCCTCGCGCTCCTCCTTATTCTTCTCCTGCGCGAGCTCGGACAGGTCCTCGTCGTCTTTAATATCCTTACTGATATCCTCGGCACCCTCGCCGTCGCCCAATCCCGTGCCCGCCTCCAGCGCACCCTTGCTCTCGCCGCCCTGGTCGCCTTGCTCGGCGGGCTCGCAGAAGCCCCGAATCAGAATTGTCAGCGCCGTCGAAACGAGGATGTAAGTAGTCTTCGCAACCGCCCGTTGTCCCCGCGCAACTTCGCGGAGCGTACGCTCGCACGTCCGTTGGTACTCGGCAATCACGGGCCAGTAGGCGGCAAATACGGTGCGTACGGCCAGGGAGTCCTTGAGACAGCGCGAAGCCAGCTCTATAACAGCATCGACCTTGTGCGTGATGGTGCGCATGTACAGCGCCTTGAGGCACGCGGACGTCGCGGTCTGGTGGGTTAATAGCCATCCAGCCTCGGTAGCTTCAGCCGGGTATGTGGCTTGCGCTTCGTTGAGTTTCTGAAGGGAGACAAAGATGGAGTCGCAGAGTGTTTGGAGGGATGTATCGAGGTCCTGAACGGAGCTGGCAACGGATGTCTCTCCATCCATGATGGTAGAAAGCGGCGAGACCCAGCGCATCAGTGGGTTGAATGCGTACTCCACCTCCGGATTGCGCTCGACGAGTTCTTGGATTCCCGTACGGATCTCCGAGAGGAAATTGTCGCAATCATCCATGGTGGCCTTCGCAGCGGCAGTCCAGATACCGTCGTGCACCACCTTCTGCTTCTCCAACTGTGCACCAACCTCCTGCGCCCGTATCGTCCAGGTGACAATACCGCCCTCGATCACAGCTGTACCCGCAAACTCTGCTCGGATACGGACCAAATCGGCCGTAAATGCGAGGATCTTGGGGAGCCACTGGAGCTTCCTCTTCGCCTCGGCGAACCTTCCGGGAGTAATTGTTACCGCTCCGTAGAGCGTGGTGTCAGCAGGATCGATGTCTGCCAGTACCGAGAACTTGCCCATGGCAGTACGAGTATTCTCCAGATCGCCCAGGGCGGAGGAAAGTGTTGCCCTCAGCTCCAGATTGATAGAAAGCAAATGCTCCATGAATCCCGTAACCCTTGCGGCATCGTTGGCATGCAAGTCTGGCGAAGTTTCCTTCCGGGCACGGACCTTCATCATGGTCTCCAGAATCCTGGCAAAATAATGCTGGATACCCTCGACATCACCTCTGCCCTGCAGCGGCTCCGCGGCAGCAAGTATCTTCTCCAGACTCGCCTGCTTGGATATGTGCGCACGAGACAAGTTCGACTTGAGACCCATTTGCCGTAGCTCCTTGAGGGCATCGGTAAACGCCTTCCGCTTGCGCGTCTTGAGATGTGCGACGGCTTTCTTGACCTCCTCGGTCATGATGGCGGGAGTCTCTTCCTGTAGCTCTTTGGACGTCGTGATGGTGGACGTCGCGAAGCGTTCTAGGAAGTCGGCTGCGTCGAGCTTGGTGGACGGGAGCGTGGATACTCGCTGCATCATTCCTACCGCGCTGTTGAGGTCGCGGAGACGCGGAGGACGCGAGGTCCACAGCTTGATGGAGGATGTGTAAAGCTCCCTGATGCGAGTATTGTCGATGACAATGGAGGTGTCCATGAACTGCTCCGAGCTGGTTGCTTTATCCTCGGAGGACATCCCGCTAGAGAGTATATTGAAGACGGGATTATCAAGTGCCCGTCGGTACTTCCTCACGACTTTGTAGAGCTTGTGATGAGATCGCTTCGCACTGTCCCGGAGGGCAATGATATTGGTATCCTTCCAACTGGCGAGCAACACGACATCGGCAACAGCCTTCTCCATCTTCTTGCGATCCTTCTTCAGCGTCTCTGCAACCGAAGCTTCATACTGCTGGTAATAGATCAGGAAACTCTGCAGAGCACGATGGACCATCTTCATCTCCTCAAAGTCCCTACTCATGCGGCCAACATGCTCCTCAAACACCCTCAGAAGCTGCAAGCGGTGCGAAAACTGTCCGACCGAAGACGTGCCGGCGAAGTTGACAAGGTTGGCTACGAGGTCATGGATGTGATTCTTGAGGTCGGCAGCGAGCAGCTGCAGCGGGTTTGCGATAACACTCTCGTACAGGAAGAACCACCACGAGTACGCGTTCTGCTTCGCTTTGTCATCCTCGAGATCGAAGAGTCTCGGCCAGGTAGTGAGCTCGAGTCTTCTCCAGGCGATGATCAGCTGTGTCAACGTATCGTAGTGCTCCTGTGCGGTAAACTCGCGACTAGCAACTCCCTGCCACTCGTTCAGGATTCCATGAAGTTTTTCGACTTTAGTCAAGAACTTCGCGACTGGAGTGGCAGCGGGGAATGCAAATAGCTGCTGGCAAGTTTCTACAGCATCCTGCAGCGTGACGTTTTCTGGCCAGAGGTCGAGGAGGAACGACATCCGCTTGTGCACTTTCTTGACGATGCCGACGAGCTTGTGTGCCTCCTCGAGGTTCTCGTGGTTGTAGAAGTCGTAGCGTCGGGTGTCTTTGCGACTGCCGGAGATCCACTCGGTCGTGTCTTTAAGCGACAGGAAGATAGCAGGAAGGAACTCTTTGATCTTTGAGGGAGGGAAAGCCGACTTATTATCGCCCAGGGCCTTCATCCAAACCGCGGCACCGTCGCGAACGAGTTCCGACAGGCTCTCGGTAGTCGCCGAGAACAGCGATGCATGAAGCTGAGCAATGCGAATAGCCACATTCTTATGGTCCTTGATCTTCAGATCCTTCTCATCTTCCACCGGCGCAGCAGCAACAACCACATTCCCCTCGTCATCCTCTTCGTAGACAGGGAACATCTGCATAAACTCCTGCTCATCGTGGTCCTCCGCCTCGCCACGGTACGTGTACAGACTGTTGTTGGCGATCGCCTTCTCCTTCTCCTCGATCGTCTCATCCTTCCACGACTTGAACAGCTTCTGGAAGATATCGTGGATGTCCTCGCGCGCGGTCTGGTCCAGGCTATCGTATTTCTCAGTGGCACTGCGTGCCGCATGCTGTCGCAACCAGAGCATCTGCACCTCCCGTTCATTTGTCTTGGGCCTCTCGGAGGAGGTCTCATATGGCGCCAAGAAAGCCCTAGCAGAGTTTGCAGCTTCGTCGGAGGCATCAGGCACCATGGCGGCAAGTGACAATCCAAGCTTGAGATAGTGGATGAATCCGATCACGGGATCAACCATGTCTTTATAAACCGGATACCCGATCTCCAGCCTCTCCGCCAGCTGCGACAGGTTAGTCTGGAAAGTCTGCTCCTGAGCCTCGAAGTTCTCTCCGCGTTTCAGGATCGAGTCCAGGAGTCTCCTGTGCGGCTGGCCATCGACGACGACGCGCAGCAAATTCGAGAAGTCACCCTGGAGGCTCGACATCTTTGACTCGGTGGGCCGAGCGATCAAGGAGTTTGGCGGTTCCGCGCCGAGATCGGTGAAGCGCTGCTGCAGCATGCGGATGCTGTGGCTGTCCTCCTGTCCGGTGAACTTCAGTTCGAACAGTTTCTCGGCGGTGATCCTAGCAGTGACCTCGGATTTCCGCGAGAAATGGCGTTGCCGCTCAACCATGGGCTTCATTGCCGGGTCGAAGGCGACGTTCGGGACGTAAAGCTTTATGCAGGCGAGCGCGTAGTGGACCCATGCTGTTCCCAATGCTGTGATACGAGCAGAGTGCGATGACGATGGCATCTCGAGGAGAACATCGATCATCGGGATGAGATGTTCAATGACGGCTTCACGAAGGTATGTAACTTCTGTAGTGGGCAGAACCTCCTTGAGGACACGAAGCCCATCAGCAGTGGCCTTTCCAAACGACCGGATGGCCGCTGTGTAGGTAGCCACGTCATACGAAGCCTTGTGAATCACAAACAACTACACAGACCATTAGCATCCGCAAGAATAGCAACAACCAGAACAATCCTTACCTGCTTCAACTTTTTTAACACGAGAGTATTCAACTGCAGCACGCGATCGCCAGTGATCTCATCCGTATGCAGCGTAAACTGCTTCGACAGCTCTCTGATCTCCACCTCCAGATCCTGCAGTCTCAAAATATCCGATTCCTTAACCGTATGGCTGGTCTTCAACATGCCAGCGGCGATTTTCCCCGTCAGCAGTCCCGCGGGCCCTCTAGCGACCATTTCCGTAGCAGGATAACTCCACAGGTCGCCAACGACCTGCTCAAACGACGTCGTAACGGGCATTCCCGGAAGTCCGTAGCCGATCAAGCTCTCGGTCGACCTATTCGCGAAGTGTGCCATGCGGAAGTTGTCCTGGTTGAGCTCAACGCAGCCTATAGGATTCCGGAGCATTTTGAATTTCAGCAGGAGGTCGAAAAGCGCGTTAAAGACTCCCGGCTTCTGCTCCTGGTCTGCAGTGCGTGAGGACTCCAGCTGCGAGATGGATGCATCGAGTTCTGTGACAAGCTCGGAGACATCCATGTCCTCGGTGAGAACTGCCGCTGCGGCACCAACAAGTGACTCTCTCAACTTCAACACCGTATCCAAATTTCCTATGCCTCATATTAGTACCAGTACCCAGTATCCAGTCGTCGAATCGTCAGGAACTCACCTTCCACGCCAACCCTATCGAACCTAGCCATGATCGCCTTCAGCGCCAGATACTGTTCCCAAGCGACCAAGCTCTTCGGCACGGACGGCCTGACCTTGAGCCACATGACCTCCATAGACTGACCGGTCACCAGCTGCAGCGGCTCTCTAAACGCGTTTAGCGCCGTCTCGGAGGACTTGACATACTGCGCGGGCAGATCCTTCTCGGCGTTCCTAATCCACTCCTCAAACAGTGCGAGGTAGACGTGAAACACGCTCTCGTTAAGACTGCTCGTGCTGCTCAGCTGCACCAGGTCGCACCACAGATGCAGCACTTCCCGGATGCGCAGGAACTTCTTGAGGTCCAGCTCGCGCGCATCGTGCGCAAGCCACTGCTCGAGGACTTTGCGGATGCTGGTGAGGAATTCGAAGAGTTGGATGCCCATGCTGCCGCCGAAGGCGGGCATTTTCTTACCCCGGCGAGAGGCGGACCGCTCCAAGAAATTCATCTCTGCCAGCTTGATGGTGGTTGATTTCTGAAGAATCCCTTCCTCAGTGCGTTCCGTGACGAAGATTTCACGTGCAACTTCGTAGAAGAGCGATGAAACGGTGGCTTCTGCTTCCGAGGAGAAGAGACTGCTGTTGCGGATGGGCACGAGAGACTGCGCGGCCATAAACTCATCTCCAAGCTGCCATTTCCCAGACGCTGACAAGATCAGGTCCGCGGTAACTGTCTGCACCGCCGGATGAGCGGCGAAATGCATGAAGTTTTCCACAGACTCAAGTGTAGCCTGCCCCTCCACCGACCACTCGCCGATCCTGCCCTTCCACCTGGTAAGAAGTGGCGACATTCCCCGCGGTACATGCTCCAGTGCGGTCTGTACCAGTATGGGATCGACCTCCGCTCCCATCGACGTCCCGACAACCTGCTCCATCAGCTGGAAAATCGACACATCAGCATTGACACTTGTTGATCCTTGGAATTTAGCCAGCGCGCTCCTCTGAGCATCATCCTGCGCCACAACTTCGTTCACTTCCGGCGTCTGGTCGATAAAAACCTCGACACAGCGATTCCTCATGGCCCTCGAGAGCTCGCCATGCTTCGGGTCCATAGTGATGAACAGTCTAAACTCCGGATGGGGCTTGACCAGCTTTGGATCACCATTGGCAGTGCTGTGCTCATTCACCATCAGGAAGCCATTAGTTTCCAGCAGCGAGTTGAGACGATCCAGGACGGACGGGCTGCACAGGTTAGCATTGTCAAGGATCAACCACCTACCCTCCTCCACCGCCTTGACGAGCATTCCGTCGACCCATTCAAAGCGCGCAATTGTATCCTTGTGGGCATCAACGACGAGTGCCTGAGCGCTCGCAACAAAGCCCGTGAAACCGGCGGTGACCTGTGCGAAATCCTGCAGCTTCGCGAGAACTCGGTGCAAGTTCTCGACACTGGGCGCGGGCAGAGTAGTACACAGGAACTCGACAAGCTCCAGGATGGACGCACCGAGCGCATCGCCGCGCTTGAAAGCATCCACAACCCCCATCCGGAGGAACCGCTGCACCTCGTCAAACAACGCCGAGATCTTCCTAGACATGTCAACTTGCTCGAACCCACCAACGATGTCAGTAGTATCAACGTCGGCATTGAGCGCCAGCTGATCCAGCTCCGCACCCGAAATGGCCGCTAGCAGTTTGATCATGCTGCTCTTCCCCGTTCCGGATGCGCCGACGAGAATAACCGGAGTATTTTGCTGAACACAAGTCATGACCGTCTCCAGCACCGGCAACTGCGTCTTCAATACCGCCAGGCCCTCCACAGCCGTAGGTTGCAGAACTTTCCTCCGCGGGAGCAGCGCATTACCGACCTGGAAGGTACCTTCTGAAAGCTGATGGTAAAGATGCCTCCTCGCGGGCGCATGTCCAAAGACCTCCGCAAAGATCTGATCGACGCGCTTCCTATCCTCCGCCGTCCTGAAGCGCTGCTTAACCACCACGTCGATGAAGTCCTGCGGGTTCCTGGATGCAAGCAACCCACTCGGCGAGGCCAGCAGCTCGAGCCATCGCAGGGTATCTCGCAGGTTGAATTCCCACGGTCCACCGACGGCGCCAAAGCTCCGCTTACCCTCCAGCGCCTTATCGAGCCTGACAACGAAGTCGATCAGCTTATCGACGACGTCGAGCGGGATAGTCGGGAACAGCTTCCGTGCGATCAACTGCAGATCGTAGAACGTGAGCTGGTCGACATAGACGACGGTGAAGCGATTGACGAACGACGCGGGCAGGCCCTTTCTCCCGCCTCCCTGGTGGTGCGGGTTCTGTGCCGCGAACACGGCAAAGTCCGGATGACAGCTGAAGGTGCGGTCCAGCTCGGAGATGTACACCTCGCCGCGGTGGTCGAGACAGGCGTTCAGCCCCTCCAGCACGGACTGCGACGCAAGGTTCATCTCGTCGAGGAGCACCCAGTTGCCGTTCTGCATTGCGCGCAAGAAGGGCGCGTCTCGCCACGCGAACTCGCCGCTCTTCCCCCCCTCCACCGGCACATCCGAGCCGAACAGATCCATCAAGTCGGTCTGGTCAGAAAGGTTGATTCGCGTCAGCGGGTTGCCCGAGGCTGCCGCCAGCGCGGTGATCAAACTGGTCTTGCCAACTCCGGGACTTCCCTCGAGCAGGATTGGCTTGCGCAGCTGCATGGCCCGAACTACTCGCATGGCGTTCATGGCGGTCGTGGGCGCTTCCAGACTGAACGAGATATCCACCGCACCTCCCTCTTTCCTCTCAAGCCCGAACGAGCCCAGCCGGAGGGATAAGTGATCCACCGTCGCCAGGACCGCCGCAGCATACACCGGCAGCAAATCCTGGCCCAGCAGCTCGGATAGCTTCTTGATGCAGCTCTGCTTCTCGGCGGCCAGACTTCCCGCATCCGTCACCAGCAGACTGGACGGATTCGCGCCGAGGCCATCGAAGAAGACCAGTGCGGCGCCATGGAGGAGCGCAAATGCGGAACCCTGCTGCGCATGCAAGTTGACAAACCTGGTCCAGGCGAGGACATCACGGATGCTGATGGGCGCGTTGCTGGAGAAGTTATAAGTCTGCGAGAACCACTGTGCGTAGCTGACAATGGGCTCCGCGAACTCGAGCAATCCCGGCTCCAGCTTCGAGCGCACAATCTGCAGCACATCGTCGCTGTCGGTCATGGACGGCACCCAGATCTCGGTGAAACGATTGCGCAGCGCCGGCGAGAGCTCCTTCTTGCCGTAGTCGCCTCCTGGGTTCATCGTCGCGAGGAACTGGAAGCCGTCGGATGCAGCGATCTGCGACTCTTCCGGCCCCTTCTCCGCGAGGAGGATTCCCCGCGCAGGCTCGAGAACACTGTTCAGCCGCTCCAGGACGGAATCGTCCGCGAGGGAGATTTCGTCGAGGAGGAAGAACTGGCCCTCTTTCATACCCTGGATGAGCGGACCCTCTGCCCACTCGAACAAGGCCTTGACGCGGGTCCTGTTGAGCTCAATGCGATCTTTGGTCTCAGTGGGAATAGTGACTTTGACATCCGGTGGAAGCGCCAAGTACAGTTTCAAAAGTGTTGCGTAATCCGACGGCTCGATATCCCGCAGGTGCTCTTCCTCTACGTGCAGTTGGAGCACGGCCAGCAGGTCCTCGGCAAGCTGCGATTGATACGCCGACCGGTTCCGGATGGGTCGCTGAGCACCAATGATATCTCCGGTCTCGGTGTTCTGGTGCGCATTGACAATAATCAACCGCTTTCCAAACGCTTCCGCGAGCATCTGACACACAGTCGTCTTTCCACATCCCGTCTCTCCGACCAACAGAACCGGCTCGTTGTTTCGTAGGGCATGGGCGATGAGAGAGAATAGTCTCCTCATAGCCTTCGTCCAAACGATCTCCTGGTCGGTCACCTTCTCGGTGTACAGAGCATACTCCGGTGTCCGTTCGGCGGTGTAGAGAGCCTCAACGTCGATCTTAACCCTCATCTCCTTCTCCAGGACCTGTTGGACCACCAATTTCTCCTCATCCTTCCGCACGCGCTCAGCCAGGAGCATATACCCGTCCTCCGCCAGCTGCTGATACCCATTCGCATCCCTCTTCGCCCACCGGAACAGGTCTCTCAGGGTAGCAAAAGAGTTCTTCTGCTCGAAGATCCTCGACGACTGTCTTATGAGCGACAGCTCCTTATAAACTTTTACGATTTTGTCACCGTAGCTAGGGGCGATCTGGCAGCGTTCCTTTAGGATAGTTCCCAGCTCGGACTCTGGTATATCGTCGAAATGGAGTTCGAGGAAGCGGTTTCGGAAGGCGCGAGAGAGGTTCTTGCGGCCGCCGTAGAGTCCCGGCGGGTTCTGCGTCGCGAACAGCATGAAGTCCTTGTGCGGCCGCACGATCTCTTGCGTTTCGGGGATCAGCAGCTCGCGGTTGTCGTCCAGCAGCCGGTTCAAAGCTTCGAGCACGTCGGTTGGCGCAAGGTTCAGCTCGTCGAGAACGATCCAGTGGCCCTTCCGCAGCGCGTCCACGAGGATCCCCTCAAGGAAGAACAGCTTCCCGTCATTGTCGGACACATAGCTTCCCAGGTACTCTTGCAGATCGGTATGCTCGTGGTTGTTGATGCGCACAAACTTGTGGCCTGTGCGCTTCGCCAGGTACTCGATCATACTCGTCTTTCCACTACTGGTAGGACCCTGGATGAGCACGGGAAACTTCCTTGTCGCCGTAGCGCGCACGAGGTTGAGCATGTTCCGCTCCACGAAGGGCGTGATGATGTAGTGCGGCTGTTCCTCGGGCTCGTACGGGCCCTTGTGCATCCAGTAGTGCTTGAACTGCACATACTGTTGGCCATCACTGGGCTGTCGGGGGATCTGGTTGATCAGACTCCTAACATTCCTCTGGCTGCCTAGGATGAACCTGTCGATGACTGGCAACAGAAGCATCTCGGATGTGCGGTCGAGGAGCGTCAGGAAGCTCATGCAGAAGCCCTCGTACAGACTCCTGCGCAGGCCATAGACACTTGCGATTTCGGTGACGTAGCTCAGCGTCCTCGTGAGCGTGCGCATGCTGAAATGCGGCTTCTGGTTCGCGCCGTCGACCAGCTGGTGGCCCTCGGCGAGCTTCTTCGCCTCGAGGTACAGCAGCGCAACGTCGGACACCACCTTCTCGTCGCCGATGGCTAGGTGCCCGATATACTCCTTCACGATCGCCAGGAGGTTGCCCAGGTCCGTGTCCGGCGACGCTACATACAGCTCCGTGAACCTGCTTCTTAGTCCCGAGGGGAGATCGCGCTTTCCGACGTCGGTGGCCGGGTTCATACACGCGAAGATCCGGAAATTGGGGTGAGCCCGGATCCGCTCGACGTCTCCCTTCTCGCTCAGGAGGATGGAGCCGCCGCCGCCGTCCTTAAGGAGGTCGGCAATGCTCTCGAGCGTATCCGACGCGGCCAGGTTGATCTCGTCGAGGAGAACCCAGTCGCCGTTCCTGGCCGCCTTGACTAGACTCCCCTCCACGAATGAGAACGCAAAGCTCTTTGACAACTGCGAGCTCTGCCTCTCGAGGTTCGCCAGATCTCTCGCAAACACTGTCCACGAAGCCTGCAGCGCTGGTTTATCCATTCCGTCGAGCTTCCTCTTCTTTTTCTGCATCTCAGGCTCCGCCGCACTCTCGACCGTTGTCGGTGCCGGGGTCGCAAAAAAATTCTCCGCCATCTTGACCGCCTCGCCCCACAGGATTATGACGCGCTTCCACTGCTGCTTGGCCCAGCACTTATTCAGCACGTCAAGGAAGCGCTTATTCTTCTTGAGCGAGAACGTTTTTTCGAACAGCTCATCGAAGCACTCCTTCAGCGGCACAGCCAGAGTCCTTACATCAACGGGCTTATACCCACCGAGCAGGTCGCCCGCCTCCGTCTGCTGCGATAGATTAATCGCCGTCAGGCCAAACCCAAGCATGTCCGCGAGCTGCTGCACTACCGTCGTCTTTCCCGTTCCGGTCTCACCGACGAGCAGCACGGGTTCCGCCAGCCTGACTGCCACACCCACCTGCTCCAGCAGCCTAAGCGCATGATTCGTGGTAGCAAACGGGCGCTTCTCATTGCTAAGCGCCGTCTTCCTCCGCTTCTGACTTGCGGGCTCCTTCTTTTTCGCCAGCTTCGCGCGGCCCACGACCAGCGAGCGCTCGGCGTTCTTGAAGCTCGGGATATGCCCCAGCAGCAGGTGCTCGACGCGCTGCGCGGGCACCATCAGCTCCTCGGCGAGGCGGCTGGCAACGAGGCGCCGCGCCTCGAGCGTGTGCAGGCTGCCCGCGAAGCAGTCGACCGCCTCGGCGAATACCTCGTCGAACAGGCCGTCGGGGAGGACTGTGGCGCCGGCCTTCACGCCCGCGGTTGCACACAGCGCGCTGATCCGGCTGCACCACTTGAAGAGATCTCTGGGGGAGATTTGTCGCCCCAAACTGGTGCGGCTGATGGCGAAGAAGGTGGGCTCGCGGTAGAGCGTTTGGATAGCCGTGTAGGTGCTCAGGATCGTCGGCGAGATCGCCGCCAGCAACGGGAAGCGCGAGGTCACGATCGTTTGCAGCTCCTCTGGGGCGGGGGTGGCCACGTTGACGCGCAGCCACAGGCGGCTGCCGAGGAGGTTTACGGTGACCGTGTCGGCGCTGTGCGCGGACGGGGAGGTGCGCGTCGTGGTGATCAGGCGGAAGCCGCGCGCAGCCTTGATGCGCTCGCCGCGGGAGGGGATGTCGAGCTCGCCGCGCTCGATCAGCGGCAGCAGGACGCTCAGCACGTCGGTCGGCGCCTTGTCGATGTCTTCAACCAGAACCCAGCGGCCTTCTCGCACCGCGGTGGCGAGCACTCCCGGCCGCCACTCGAAGCTGCCGGGGGTGTCGGCCGTGGTGTAGGCGCCTATGAGCAGCTTTGCGTCCGTCTGCCCGCTCAGGTGGATCGACACCATCGAGTCCAGCGCGTTGAGAGTTTGCGCGATCTGGTGGATCAGGAAGGTCTTCCCCGAGCCGGCGTGGCCGGTGACGAGGATAGGTTGCGACGAACGGAGGGCCAGGGCGAGGGAGTGCACGTTTGCCCGAGTTGTAGGGGTGTCTACGATATCTGCAGGACTTTTGGGGACACCTGAATAAACACGATATCAGATCATGGGTCCCTTTTCCTGTAGCTACCAGCCGCGAGCGAGTTATACCTCTTAGACGCGGTGTCAAAATTCCGCACAGGTCGACAGTCATGGGGGATAATTCCGACAAGTCTATTATTCTAGAGATGTTTGTATTTGGTACTATTGGACCAGCTCTCGCCTTCTCCAAAGCATCGGACATATCCTTGAACCGTCCACCTTCCAGCGACCTGTGGGAAGAAAAAGCGTATATCAGCCATCGTGAATCGTAGCATTGGATGTTTCTCGGCAGAGAAAGGCTCACATTAAGAATCCGTAATCAACGTCCCGGTCCTCCCATGGTCCGAGGACGGCCTCCGAGAGTCTCCCAACACCATACTTCTCCATCATCTCCTCTTGTGCAGCATCTGCCACCTTCAGGTAGATGCATAGTATTCGAATGGCAACGTAACGCACAGCTCGGTGGCCATGGTGCAGCAGATGGTAGAGAGTCGTAGTATCGACCAGAGGCAAAAAGGTATCCCGTTTAAAGCACAACAACCTATTCAGCGCGAGCAGGGCCTCCAAAGCCACCATATGTGATACCGCGCAAACCTCATCTTGACTGCATTCAGCGTCCAACCCCAGAGCCTCTAGCAGAAACCTCTTGCCGTCCCTCTCCAGAAGGAGGCATTCGGCGACTTCGACCAAGTACGGCACGACAGGCAGGACCCTTGCGAAGCCGGCGGCGATCTGCGGCGTGTGCGCGAACGTCGGCCATCGGGCCACGAGCTCGGGAAATAGTGGCTCGTAGCAGGCCAGTATGGTGGAACAGAACACGGGATGCAGCGAGAGTCGTGACAGCGTCTCCAAGTACACGTTGCTGCTCGTTAAGTCGCATAGCTGCGAGACAATCGCCTGCGCTTCGACAGGTAGTGCCGCAGTCAGCACGGTGGATTGAGACACTGCGCTCAGGAATCGCTGGTCGAAGGATGCGCACTCCATGGGCGACTTTATCTGTGGGGGGAGTGGACCGATTGGATGTGTGGTAGTAGTGGTATCCCTATGGTTGTGGTAAGAAGGAGGGCGGAATTTTGGGTTTTGGGTATTGGTTTTTCTGCGCAGTGGCGGGCAACAGGTGGTTGTTCCGTATCGACGGCGGTGGTGGGGGAAACTTTTCTGGAGGAGACCGTCCGGGATAACTTAATTTTTTGGGGAGAAATTTGGTTGACGCTACGGTCGAAAGAGGACTAGCGGAGGGAGGGGGTGCTGCGGCTTCAATGCGCGCTGTGTGACGCTCTAGCGTGGCATTTTCGGGGAAGGAAGTCAGTGAGGAGGGCTTCTCTGCGCTTTCCTCCAACTCTTCTTCTTCGCCACCGGCGGTTCCAGGCTTCGGATGATCGCAACTTTCGGGCCGGGGAGACAACGATAATAAAAAAAGGTAAAGAGGAGTTTAAAACACCGAGAAGGAGAAGAAGAAGAAAAACTAATTGTTTCCGATGTGCCCGACACAGTGTGCGAACGAGTGCTGGTATGTAGATAACCTACGCATCAGACCGACTTGGCCGGTCATTCGTCTGCTGGTCATCGCGGATTCATTAGCCAATCATCATACCGACACAGACCGGGACTCTCGCTGCATATACTTGCCGCATACATAATCAAGTGACTTCGTCGGGAGCCCACCGCTCCCGCGACAATTCACGGCAGATACTCCTGCCTGTCACTGAGTTTCCCGTCCGTGCCCACCGGCGGTCTGTCCTACATGCCGTGGAGTACAGGATCGATGGAGCTGATGGACAGTGGGTACTACTTACACTAGTAGTATCGTCGATGCGCATGCGCGGGATGTTCGGCATCGCTGTGGCCGGATGGATATATATGATGGACAACCCGGGGTAAATGCTGCGGTGGTGTTTACTGGCCAGTGAAGCTGTTCGTTGTCAATGGCACCGGCGATGGATGGATGGTCTGGGTGTTGCCCACTCTGACCTCCCCTCCCCTCTCCTCGCTCGGTGCCGGACCTTGTCCAGATCCTCCCTCCTTCCTTCTTTCCGTCTCTATCTTTCCAAGACTCCAATGGCCGGCCACCCAAACCGCCGCTGTACATACCCACCACCCTCCACTACAACCACCACCACCACTACCACCACCACAACCACAACCACCACCACCGCCACTTCCTACTGTGCGTGCCCTCCACCCCCTCCCCTGTCCCGCCCCAACCCTTCTTCCTTCCTGCATCACCCCCCCATCCACCACCCCCCATCCACACATCATCCATCCACGCATCACCCATCCATGTTCGAATTACTCACCTGCAGCAACTTACTTCCTACCTACTGTCAAATAGGTATACTCACTTGTCAGACTAGAGCGAGAACGAGGAACACCCCACTGCAGCGGACCCTCCATCGTCATCACCATCACCATCACCATCACCATCACCATCACCATCGTAGCCGGCGTCTGCTCAGCGACGCAAAAATGCCGACAAGTGAGAAATCGTGAAGGAAAACATCGAAACAGCACCGTTTTTTGATATTGCAATTTTCAACACCCTTTGCGTTAATTGCTCGATGCGGTGGGCGGGTGGTGCATTGTCGTCGCCCGACACGAAGCCGCTGCATTTTGCTGTGCGTTGTTGCGATGTTTGGTTGCTGAGTTAGACGTGTGTTTGGGGAGGGTGAGGGTGAGCGGTGCCTGCCTGGGGGGTTTGGAGAGAGGGGGACGAAACCCGTCCGCCGTGTAGGTCACGCTAAGCTTGTCTCGGCAAGCTAAGTTAAGCGTCGTCTCTCTTGCGGCGGCGCCCTCCTCGCAACAGACACCACCCACACAAGCACCAAAGCAACCAGCAACCAGCACCCAGCAAAATAACTACCACCCACTATGAAAAAGCCGACCGACCATGCCCCCCCCCCCACCCCCCAAGACTCTCCCACCCACTACCCTCCCTCGCTCCCTCCCTCGCTCCCTCCCTCCCTCCCTCGCTCGCTCCCTCAAACCCTCAACTCCTCCTCAACCCACCTCCACTGCCTCACCCACCTCCTCCTCCACCACGCAACGCCCTCCCTGAACACCGCCTTCTCCGAACTCCGCGACTATCCCGCTGAAAAGCTTCACCTTGAACCGGCCCCATCACCCGTAACGACCCTGCCTGCGCCTCACCCGCTCATAGCCTGTCCGCTCCGCTTCCACACTCAGTCCGCACCACTTCCCTTCACCCCGTCATTCTCCGCCCGCAACTCAAAATTTTCTCGAATACCCACCCCTCCCTCCTAGTCCACACCACCGCCCCGGACTACCACCACCTTTGACAGCCACCCCCTCCCACTACCACCACCATCTCTCAACCAGTCATCCTCCAACCACAACCACCACCCACAGTTGGTCCGCCTACCACCGACAACCACTCCCTCAACGCCATCACCGACTACCACCCCCACCCCCACACACCTTTCATTGCCCGTATCGCCGCCAATCGCACCCGACGCCTTGTAGGCCTTAGCTTCTGTCAGGCACCGACAACATCCAGCGGCGCGCGTGACATTGCTAACCTAGCCGGGTCAACTTCGATAACACCCTTCTCGGACCCTTCCTGGACTCTCGGTGAAGATGGTAACGGGATTCTCAAACATCCATTATGGCGCATCTCGGCGGCCATGCGTAAAGACTATCCGACAGACTAATTCTCGTCGTAGGTGTTGTACAAAAGAAAGCCGGTGCAGATGGTGTCGCCGCCAGTCGTGAAGGACGACTCTGTAGAGGTATGTTGGCTTCGAGATGTCCGCGGAAACATTACCGGCGTGCGTTCTCGTTGGAGCGCCTCTTGGCTGACACTGTATCATCTCTAGCTCTACGTCATATCGCAGACCAGCGAAGCTTTCACGGATTACCAGAGCTATATCGATAGGTAAGTCCATCGAGCTTGGCGGGATAATGCCGATTGTAATACTCACGAAGAGATTTAGGCTCGAATTTTACAAGGCGGTGCGTACGATAAAGCCTCTCGACGGCCCTCTATTTCCCCAGCCGAACTGCGTCTAGTGTGCTTATTCTCGTGACAGAAACATTTCAGCTGCGAGATCACCGGTCATATGAACCTCAACTACTTCGAAGCCCTTAAGAGCGAGGTAGCTAGCGCTGTGGCGACCTTCCCCCGAAAATGGCCCGTGTGCTGACCAGGGTCGATAGACGGAGCATTCCCAAGACGTTGAGCAGCAATTCCCGGAGCCATTAAAAGAACCGGTATTGCGCAAAGTGCAGTTTTCGACTGTTTCTAGGATCGATACCTTGGGTAAGCTGCAGCGACGGCCCCACGATTGATGTTTGCACCGCTAACCAGCGACATGTCGCTTCAGTGGACCAGCTTCACGACGTTAGTGACATTCCCGCCGGCTCTCTATTTTGCGATAGTCCTCCTCTGACAGTCCCTTAGTCCTTCAAGAGCGACTTCTACCCTGGCGAGCATGTGACAGCAATACTTCCCGGCGGAGACCGGGTCGAAGCCATCATCCGCGAGAAAACCATGTTTCCAGAGCTCAGGTTCGCCAGCGGAGAGATCCAACGAAAGGGTTACTCTCGGTACACCGTCAAGATGGTCAACCGGAACGAGGAGGAGGCCCAGATCGACAACGAGCACCTGATTCGCGACAAGAAGACGTTCACGAAGCACATGCTGCGCTCCTTTATTAAGAATACGGTAGCGCGCGAACCGTGGACCGGTGCACCATGGTTGGTGAAGGATGAGTATGCCGGCCGGTACAAGATCCCCTCGATGGTGCCGGTTCATCTCCAGCGCGCTACCACGACAGCAGAACGTAAGGCTCAGCAGGTCAGACGCAAACAAGGCTCGACAGGAGTCAGTGTGGACGTTGTGACAAGTGGGAGTGCATCGCCTCCTAGCCCTGTCGAGATACGACCTGCACCGAAATCGCATAAGAGTAAGACCCAGCAAGCCATGAAAATGTCCAAATTATTCCAAGAATCAAGGATCGAGTCCCCGAGTATGGCTGGATCGCCTTGGGCCGGCAGTCCTATGGGGACGCCCGACGGAAGTATCCATAAGCTGAATATCAAAGCGCTAGTCAAACCGGATCCTACGCCGCCTCCTCCGCCGCCGCCGCCGCCGAAGCCCATCAAGTACCCCATCGAGGACCTCGATCTCCAACCGCAAGAAAACGCTTGTCGGCCGGCATTGCATCATCTCTCGTCTATCGATATTGCGCCCTCGTCAAGCGCTGTAGCCATTAAGGAAAATGGTATCGACGAGGAGAAAGTGGCGTTCTATCTCAGCACTTGGGTTTTTCTCAACATTTACTGCGAGCCTTTCCTCTTGGATTCGTTCACCTTCGATGATTACGTTCAGGCCCTGCAATACCACAACGAAGATATGGATTGCGAACTCTTCGTGGAGATTCACTGCACTCTACTAAAGGCAATCGTGAATGACCAGGGTGTCGTTCAGGTACAACTTCCGGAACCGGAGGAAGAGGATGAGGAAGAAGAGGAGGACGAGGATGAGGAGATGGAAGATGAGAAGCCGGAAAAGGACGATGGGAGCTCCACCCAGGACATAAATGCGGTGAATGGGGGCGACTCGGACGAGAATAACGACGGCACCACCAAGTCTTCGGACAAGGAAAAGAAGCATCGCGCAGATGAGCTATTTGACGATAGCGAAGGTTGGGTGCAGTTGCTCAAAGCCCGCCAGTTTAAAAATGGAGGCTGGCAGGCGATTGTGGTCGGCGTTCTGTATCAACTGTCCTGGGATTCGCGCTTTTCCAAGGACACCGAGGATATCTTGGCTTACCTAGCATCACCGGATGAAAAACCAACGATGGAAACAGTAAAAGCTCGATACACAACTATGAACAGCAACCTACGTGTCATGGTCATCCAGTTGCTGTCCCGATTAACTCATGAAACCCGGACGGTCAGGGACTATATGGAGGAATGTTCAGAGCAGATGACTAAGCATCGCAAGGAGAAGATTGAGCACCAACGCAACCGTAAGATCTAGTAAGTGTTCCCCGTTTACACAAACTCTTGGGGGCTCATTGTACTTATCAATCTCATCTGTAGCTTGGAGGAACTTAAGTCGTTGGAAGACGACAGGAAAATTCTTCTGCCGGAAAATACCCCCAAGTCGCCGTCACAGACTCCCGAAACAACACGAGCATCGACCGATGAAGATGGCGACGTTAAGATGAACGCTGTCGAGGTAGATTACGAGGATGAGGACGAGGACGAGAGTGCTAGGGCGCGTCGTCGTGGCGGAGATCGTGCGAACGAACGCAAACGGAAGCGGGTGGAAGAGAAGGCCAAAGCCGAGGCTGCAGCCAAGATACCGAAGACGTCGAAACACTTCCAAAAGGTCGTCAAATCCATCGAATCAGTCAAGGCCAAGATCTTGAAGGAGGAAGAAGCGATTGTTACACTCGACGAGGATCTTCGACAGGCAGACTGCGCGAGATTCAAAATGATGGGTCAGGACCGGTACTGGAACAAATATTGGTGGTTCGAACGAAACGGCATGCCGTTTGGTGGTTTACCCGACTCTTCGACGGCCCACTCCGGCTATGCCAATGCGATGATCTGGATCCAAGGTCCCGATGAGACCGAGCGCCAGGGGTTCCTCGTGGGAGAAGCCGGAACAAAGGCGGCTACACCACCCGACGCAAATGATGACGTCCAAATGAACGATCACGGGGAGGATAGGATTACGGTTCTGGATCGGCAAGCTCGCGAGGAGAATGGAACAACCCTCGCGTCTCCTACTCAGTTTGGTTTCATCGAGACACCCGAAGAGTTTGACCAGCTGATGTCTTGGTTCGACGTCCGGGGTGTGAGAGAGAAGAAGCTGAAGGCTACGTTCGAGCTATTCAAGGACCACATACTGGGAGGAATGCGCAACAGAGAACAATACCTTTCAGAGTCTGTCGCTGCTGCGCTGGAAAACGAAAATGGCACCGGAACAGGAAGAATGAGTACCCGCGGAAAGACTCATTTCGACCCCAACGTCTGGCGCTGTCTCAAATGGCGCAACGACGTGGCGAGGGATGAAATCCAACATACTCATTACGACCAGCCTCAACCGCGGAAGAATGCTTCCAAAAAGAAAGAAGGCAAAGGCCTTCCACTGAATAGGCAAGGCAAGCCTGTTAGTCGGCAAGGAGACCGCTACAACTTTTAACGGCCCAGGACTGATCGTCCTGGAGCGGAGGCACGCCTTTCTCAACTTCTGTGTCTCTTTCTCGAATTCTCGTTTTCAGCACCTAGGGACATTTCTTATTTGACGTAGGTACTCGGTATTTGGAATCGTTGGCGCAAGGTTTATTTTTTTATCCTATTTGGGATTTGGGATTTGTTTACGCATCGCGGCTGGCGGGGGGTTGGTTGATACGATGGTTTTGTTGTGACTTTTTCTTTTCTTTTCTTTTCTTTTCTTTTTGGTTTCTGGAATTGATACGCTTTTCATGGAAATATTCTTTACACATCATCATCAATCTTTTTACTGTCTGTCTTGTATCATAGACTTTAGCGTATAAACGGATGGGGGGAAACGTGGAAACGTGGAACAAGAGTACCTTAGTTGTGTATATTACCTACAACGTGAACATTGAACGAAACGATGTTCGATGTTCGATGGGCTGGCTGAACGCGAGCGATATTTAGCTGCTGCTGGGGAGGGGGTGGGGGTGGGGGTGGGGGTGGGGGTGGGCGGTGGGCGGTGGGGGGGAGGTCTTCTGGTGGGAGCGGGAGCTGGACGCGCCGTTCGATTCGATGTGGGTTCTGTCAGACACAGTTGAGGCGGCGGTGGAAGTGTGTACGAGGCATGGCATACAGGCACGGAAGGGACTGTGGCAAGAGATGTTCCGGGCAGCGAGCGAGATGCGAAAATATCACGGGGGGGGAGTGGAAGTGAATGATATATGATGAACGAGCATCTAGCAGTACCTAGCATACCTAGCATACCTAGCATAGATATTACGTCGTTCCGGGGGGGTCAGTCGGTCGAATCGAATCGAGTCAGGAAATTCATTCGTATGTAGCGAAGCACTTCCGATCAACTCTTGGATTTCGCCGACGGCGACTGCAGCTGGCTGGTTTCCACAGTGCTGGTGTTTCCGGGGGGAGGCGGGTGGATGGTGGATGGTGGATGGTCTACAATACAATACCTACAATACGGCTGTTTCTACCTTATGTACCTCACGGCTACGACCTCACGGCTACGACCTCTCGGCTGAAAAAAGAAAGCATAGGCATTCGAACGCAATATTCCAGGCCATCCTGGCATACCTACCTCCACGCCTCCACCCCTTGGCAAGTTATGGCCTCGAGGAGCGCTGTGCAAGATGGAACATGGCGGGGAATAGAGATGTCGCCGCGGTTGGGTTACTGTTGATCTGATGGGATTCGAAGGGAATGCCTAGCTGACGACAAGTCCTGCAAGTCCTGCAAGACTAGTGAGTACCGTACAAACGCTCGCGAGCAGCGGCCATTGTCGGAGCAGCTCCAGCTGCTGCTTCTGGCAGGAATCGTGAATCGAAGGGCTCACGCTCCATGCCAGGCCACAGCATGTCCTCGCCCTCGCCCTCGTTAGCAGGACCGCAGCAAAGATCTAACCGTTCATCGACTTCCACCTACCACATCACCATGTCCTCCTTCACGCCCTCCCTGCCCTCCGCAAGCGAACGGTCCGAACCCTCCAAGACTTCTTCACACGCCGCTGCCGTGATCCAGCGGACTGCCGGGTGGTCGTGTGGTCGTGGTGCGCGCAAGAGCCCCGGTTCTGTGAGGCTGCTAGCTGATGGTTGGGTTGGTGATTCCCACCTACCTACATAGGTTCAATGAGAAGTTCAATCCTCCTGGGACGACCGTGGTGAAGGTGGTGAAGGGGGGGGAGCTGGACATGTTTTCGTTTGGCGGGTCGAGCATCGTTGCCTGCTTCGAGCTTGCTTCGAGCTTGCTTCCAGCGCGGAAGGATCGAGAAGATCATGATCTGGTTGGGGCTAGTGAAACTATGAAAGGAGGGTGGAGGTGCATGGGGAGGTGGATGTTGATGTGGAGATAGGGATGAGCTGGGACGGGCTGGAGCGGGCTGGAGCGGGCTGGAGCGGGCTGGAGCGGGCTGGAGCGGGGAGCAGGTGGAAGGGAATGAGGCTGGTCAAGGTAAGTAGTTTCGTGGACTGCGAGGGTGGGTGCTGAGGGATCAATGACTGGAGTGATGTTCTATTCAGAGACCGAGCAGAACTGCACAGGCTTGGAATCAGTGGCTTAGAATCAGTGGCTTAGAATCAATGGCTCGAAGTTAATAGCTCGAGTGATGTATTCAGAAATCGAGCCGAACTGCGCAGGCTCAGAATCAATCGAGTGATGTTCTATTCAGAAACCGAACTACACAGGCTTGGAATCAATGGCTCGGGTGATGTTCGATTCAGAAACCGAGTGGAACTGCGCAGGCTCAGAATCAATGGCTTGAAGTGATGCTCTATTCAGAAACCGCACTTCACAGGCTCAGAATCAACAGCTCGAGCGATGTTCGATTTCAGAAACCAAACCGAGCTGCACAGGCTCGTATTCCAACCCGAATAGGTGCTATGGAGTCTTTCCATTTTTCGCAAGCAATTGAGAGAGAGACAGAACATCAATTAATTGCCGCATTCAGCCTATCTTAACTATGGCGACCCACCTAACCGACCTTTCCTGCTACTCTAGCTCGATAAACTTTACCGGACAGCGAGATATCAGCCATCACCGCATCAGTGAGTGATTCTTAGTGAATTGCCATCTAAATATAGGCTAGGCGGGCAAAGGCGGTAGACTAGGTAGCCACACTATATATCTGCAGTCCTTTTCCGTAGATGTGATTATGCAGTCCGATCACTCCGAACTTTGGCCATATTGTGTTATCTCAAGGCAAAGTGCTACCTATATCAAGTGGCTGGTGTGCGTCGGCTATCACTCGCTTGCACACAAATTCCTGGCGCAGTCCTTTGAAACAAAGCACTGGCCACAGTCGTTCGGCACCGGCGGCTTCGAATTCGACGCAGCCTAACTGTCTCCGGGACACCGGCTCCACACGGCACCGCCGACGGAGGCTTCCGCCCACAACCCGGCCCGGTCTTTGATAGATGGCAGCGATCCTCCTTGAAATTCGCTGGCACCGCGTCTCCGCCGGCTGCTCGGAGGTACTCTAAGCCCTGCTGCTGTTCGCCAAGGGACATGCCTACACAAAAAAAAAAGAAGCCCGTTCGTGAAGGTTCGCCGCGATCCGATGCGACGCAGAATGGCCCTGCCCTGGCGCCCTCCGCGGCAATCTGCCTCGCTGGCGTGTCGTCTCGTCCCCCTTCTCCGAGCGCCCGGTGTGGTTATTCGATCCTTTTTGGTGGCGGGTGAGGACTTGCCTCCTCGGCTTCACTCCCTTCTCCGCCCACTCTCGACTCGACCCCCCCCCCTCCCCTTTCCTTTGCCACGGCGCGGCGGTGACATAAATACCGTGCTCCCATCATGGCGAAAAACACACGCACTCCCCGTGGTCCCGTGGAGGACATGCGCAAACAAAGAACGCAACGGCATCCGAATTGACCGAGTTTCCTCGTGCCTTGGGTGCTCGCGAATATTTATTTTTAATCGCCTGCCGCTGCCATTAATTGTGCCAACACAGTGCAGAAAAGTTGCCTTTCTGAGACATGGCCATCCCGCATCCGTCGTAGTCATCTTCGCACCTACCCAGAACAGTTATTTGTAGCACAAAGAAGCGATAGTGTGGGACTTGGGCGTGTCACACACGTTTTCTTGGGGCAACTAGCTGAGGAATGGCTTCTATGTAGTTTCTGTTTTAGTTAGTTCTCCGACGGACTCTCTGCCACCACCCCGACATGAACTGCACGCACAATGCAGCTTAAAGCATGACCGATGCCCCCCCTCCCCCCTCGAAACTTCTCACCCCTCCACTACAACACACCCTCCTCACTCCACCTCGCCCTCTTCTCTCTCCACCTCTCCCTCTCCGCCGACTCCAAAGCCCTCCCATTTTGAAAACATGATCTTCGACATCTCCGCCTTCTGTATCTGAACCGATTCTGTCTCTACCTCACGCACACGACCGTAACGACCGACCGATCGCGAGCGACTTGCTGTCTACCTTACTACCTGCCATCCTCTCCGCGGCGCCCTCACTGTCCGCAGCGCCGACGCTGCCGCTCCTCCTCCTCTGCAACTGCTTCTCCGCCCAAAGTCCACAATGCCGACGCCCGAACGACACCAGTTGACCCTTAGTCAACTGGCTGAATTCGACGATCTCTTGACTGATTCGCTGGTTGACCGAGTAGGTTGCTCATTTATCTCCATCTACGTCGACGAGCATTGGGGCACTGTGAAGGACGCTCGAGACTGACCGGTTCCCCTGTGGTTATGTCCGTTTAGGTGTATTACTGGACTACGATTCGGAAGATGAAGCACACTTACCATCCCAATCGCGGAGTAAAGACGGATGCAGTGACGAAGATTATCGTCGGGGATCTGGTCAAGAACAAGAACATCACGGAATCGTTGAAGCAATTTCTAGAGTACGCTGCGATCTACCAGCCACCCCCTTACCGACGACAAGCCCGCTGATGCGATGTGTATACAGTTTGTCGGGCATTCGGAATTACATCAACAAGCTCAAGAACGAAAGGTTAAAGGATGACTTCCAGAAGTATGTTGTGCGCACTTCCACTGCTCGTTTCTGCACATCCTAACAAAACTGATTGCGGAATTTTAGACATGCCCGTCGTTACCTCTCGCTTTATCTCCCAGATTCCCCCTTCGAGGTCTCCGCTACCAATCGCTACAACCTGACCAGACCAGAGGCTTGCGTTCTCGCTCGAAAGCCATTGCGCAAGGGTGATACTGTAAAGTACTTGACCGGTGCGATGGTGAAGATGTCGGAGAAGGAGGAGGAAGCGTACACCCAGGGCAAGACCGACTTTAGCATCATCTACTCTTCCCGCGTGGGAGGCATGAGTTTGTTGCTGGGCCCCGCCAGATTCGTCAACCACGATTGCGAGCCGAACTCGAGGTTTATCACCACCAACAAGGAGAACATCCAGTTGATCGTCTTGAGGGATATCGAAATCGGCGAGGAAATCACCGTGTGCTACGCGGACGACTATTTTGGAGATGGCAACAAGGAGTGCTTGTGCCGTTCATGCGAAGCCGTGGCGAAGAATGGATGGACGTCGGAAGTGAGCGGGGAGCTACAGGAAGGGGATTCGAGTAGCGTGGACATGGAGTATGCGCCTGCTATGCGTCGAACCAGGTCGAAGCGGAAGAACGACAATTTCGTGGAGTTACCCCCACCACCTCCCGAGAAGAGGCTCAAGCGAAAATCCGACAAGGAGGACGTCCTGACCCCTCCATACAGCGATAGGGCATCATCCGAGGATCCGAAGATCCCGAAAGCTGCCGTCATGTCTGTGGAAGTGGAACTCAAACCGCTGACGCCCGTCGATAATATTCCACCTACACCGATTACGAGCTCAGGAACGCCGGTGCCATCGGCTATCAAGACATTCACCCTGGATGAGACGGCAGATATCGCACAATCGCTACTTGCTCTGGCGCAATCTCCCAGCTACCACAAGCCGCGGTTTAGCCCGCAAATGGGCACGTCCAGCACCTTTACGGACAGAGCACCAGAATTCGGAAGAGCGCTGTCGTATGGATCTTTGGGGCAAACCAGCGCCATCAAACCTCAGAATGTTCCTTCTCGGAATACTGTACCCCCGATGTTTCAACCGGGTCCTTTCGTCGCGAGTCCTGTCGTCGAAAATGCGTTTGGCATTGGGGCATCCAACTGGAGTAATGGCATCTCTGCGGTCACCGAAACGGCCCCTGAGGCGACACCGCGGTCTTCCATCAGTAGCGAGGATGCAGTCGTGAAATCGGAACCATCTGAGGCATCCGATTCGGGTCTCGATAAGGGGCTTGCCAAAGATATGACACCACCGGCGTCGCAGAAGCCTAATCCCGCGAGCTCGAAGAAGCGCAAGTCCATCTCCATGCCACCGTCCGAGCCAGCCCACAAGCGCATCCCTGGAGATTATATCAATTTTTATGATTCCGACTGTATTAAGTGTACCTGCATGGACTGCCACGAAGACTTTATCCATAACGATCGGTGGTATGTTCCCAGGAGTTGCCGCAGATGCGAGCGGCACAGCAAGATTTACGGTCTTATGTGGCCCAAGACTGTGAAGAGAAAGGGTGACTCGGAGGTAAGCAGCTATTCCCCTCTCCACGCAGCCTGGTTACCTGTGCTAATTCATCACTCAGGATCAGATCGAAGATTATCGCTCAGTACAGCGATATGTCACTGCGAGCGAGCACAGAAAGGAGCAGAAGCGCCTCGCAGCTTCCCAGCAGCAGCAAGTAGCACCGCGCCAGCAACACGTCAAGAGGGGAAGACGTTAGATTACGCATTTCATTCCGGGTCATCACCTTTTTTTTTCACGGCAGGTATTGGCGGGGCATAGTGATCGATTCTCGGCACGGTAAGGAGTTTTTGGTGTCTTGTTTTCTTCTCCTTTTACTACTTCCCTTCTGTACCATTAACTTCGCTGTACATGATCTTTTTTCTTCTTCCTCTTCTCTGCTGTAAAGCATTTGGAGCGTCTTTAGCATACACATGGGAAGGAGGGGGGGGGGGTTGTCTTCTTCCGACGCATGCGCCATCTTTATATACACCGCTGCTACGGGTTTCTGCAACTACCCTTACATACCCTCCGACCCCGACCCCTTTATATTTGTACATTTTGTTTCCTATGTCTGTTTGTTTTGGTTTGGGAACTGCTGTCCTGCTCTGCTGTAGATACCATGGGTGTAGTGTACAGAGTCATCAATGTATGTCACGAGTCCAATAGTTATATAACTGATCACGAGTAAAGTGCATATTGATTGCCGCAGGCTGGGCATCGGTTTAAGTCTACATAGACCCACGTGGTCCGCGAACGAGTGAGGAATCGTGAGACGGTTGGTTATACTTAAACCCTGTGACTTGGTGGCGACTCTGGCGAGAGGTTTCGATTTTTTTGCGATTTTTTGCGCTGGCTGGAAGGAGACCGTGCCGATCACTTCTTCTGTTGGTACAATATCAATTGCGCGCCGACTAAATACTGCAGAGACGCCAGTACGATGGGCATTGGTGGCTGCTCGGCCCTTTCACGGTGGCGATCCATTCACTTACCTTTGGCCCCTTCTAGATCAACAATGGGGAATTGCTGATGCCGCCTCGGCCTCAAGTTCTTTCCCTCCAGCTCTATGAGCAATATTTCAACATAAAAGAACAGCCAGCCTAGAGGACCACGGCAGCGGGGACGGGTACCCACACCCCTCCAGGCCGAAAGTCCAGCCCACTGCTATGTTAACAGTCGATTCGCTTTCTATGTAGTTGACGCTTTTCGAGTGGTTGCTACTTCGATGCGTAGTTCTGGCGGACCTGCCGTAGTGCGTGCAGCATGGAGTAATATTTGTTCGGACATAACTAACTGGCAAAGAGAGCGAGTGATAGTAGAAGCATTCAGTCGAAATCGGTGTTCCGGCCATGCAACAGGGCCAACTAGAGTAGAGAGTTGTGCTCCATCCCAATTTCCAAGCACGGCTACTAAACGGCAATTCTGGGCCCGTTGGTACGCACTTTGAAGTTTGTTTGAGCGTTTCTGGCAAAAAAACAAAGCACATTTAGGTTTAAAGCAGGTCCACTGACTTGCATATTTCTTGGCCCGTCCTTTTCTTCATCAGCTTTCTCCAGTAGTTGACGAATAATTGTGCCTACCACCCACTCGCCGAGAGACTGGCGACCGGCGATTCTCTCATCACTACCAAACGTCTCAAGGACCCATGCAGTTAGATCGCCATATCCTTTTGCAACTTTGTCCCAGAAGTCCGCACCCACAAGGGCCCGCCTCTGGGAAGCGATGTTGGTTAGCCAGGCATCTTCATTCCCATCCTCATCGAAAGAATTCACGCAAACTTGAATGCGGTGTACTTTCGTAGCCGGCATTGCATCTTATAATGGGAGGACATCTTGGAACAAACCCTTAAGGGCTTGGAAGTGGTGATCTACTACCTAGTAGGCGTAGTTAGAGATGGGGGAATACCGCAGAGGAGGCCCCTCTTGGCTTATTTTCCTGGCTCTCCCTATTCACCCTCATGCTTCTTGTCTCCCAGCTCTAAAAGTTTTGCTTTAGCGTGCGGCTTGCGTTCTGCGACCTCTATGTATCTGTTAGATTACTTTTTTCCTACTGAAGCTTCTTCGCCGCAGCGCATGACCGTAGGTTGTATGTAAGTGCGACGCTCCAATTTTCGTGTGCCGCTTAGTGTTTGGCAGATTTTGCCTCTGTGCCCTTACATACCTTTAATGAGTTTGTTTGGCAGCTGTGAGGGGGTGTTTCAACTTTCTACTCAGGTAGTTTTCTCAAGATGGTCTGCCTTCAGCAAGGCTGGCAATGCTGGGTTCACCTTCGGTGATATTGACGGCAACGATTGATGTCGGAGGAAAGCTCTATCAGTATCCGACGATGCTCTGCGTAGCTGGCAGATTCGACGGATTTGCTTTGTCGGTGGCGCCTTTGGCCTCCGTTCGGTTGGCTTTGGGGGGGCTGAAAGTGAGACGTAGAGCTTTTTCCGGCTGCCTTTCCCCACGAATTCCATTCACCTCCTCCGTTCAGCCTTGAGCCGGCCCTTCGGTGCCATTATTTTCGGTTATTGATGAGTAATATTTACCTAGTAGTATGCCGATGACAATGACTATGATCGCGGCGCCACCGGGAATGAATTCCAAGGCGGTCAAGCATATTCATCTGCAATGTTCCAATTGGGCATTTGCGATACCTACAACATGTCTACTAGACCCGGGCGTTGAGGGGTAGCCGGGATGGTTCGGATCGTGAGAATATTGGCTTCTTCTTCGGTTCCAAGTGTCAGCTCTTGTCTTTCTTCACGGCTAAGGGCGAATGCGAGTTTAAGAAATTAAAACTCGAGCTGTGGGAAGCTGAGGTGATGTATGTCTACCTACCTACCTGGTAGTAGACTTGCCGTTCATCTTGTCGAAAGGCGATAATCAGTAGACCGCACTCCTCAAAGAGTGACTATAAAATTATGCCGCTGAGGGCTGAGATAGTGGTGTGTTGTGGGAACAATGAGTGGTTGTCGGTTTTGTTGTTCCGAGCCTGAGGATAGAGGTTTATGAATGGAGCTCTCCGAGGTTGTATTGCAAACGAACCCTAGCCCAACGAGACAGAGCATCCAAACCAACTAGGCCAAAAATGGTACCCCGCAGTATCGCGATGGTTACGGGAGATCTGCATCGCTCAACCCACCAATCAACCCACCAACACCAAACACCACCACCTCGATCAAACCAAACGCGATACGAACCTCCGCGCCGTGTCGTCATTGCATCCGTCGCCTTCCTCAGTTCCGCGCACAGAACCAGTCCCCACAATAATGACGACCTTCCAGCCGCCACCTACGGGTCCCATCCCGACCTCCTCGCGGGACCTGGGCAAGTCTCACACACAGCTGGGCTGGCGCATCAGCACGCACAAGTTTCCGATCTGCAACGCAACCGAAATCAACACGATGACGTCCGAGCTCGGGATCGCGCCGCCCGAAATGATCTTCGGCAACAACTCTGTGCGGATTGTGCACGTGGCCAGCGGGTTCACGGTATCGTTCACGGCGCAGGATGCGCTCGACGCTGTTGACAAAACCGGCGCGACGATGCTGAAGGTCGCGTACTCCGAGGAGTGGCAGCGCATGCGTGAGAAGCTCTCGGAGGAGATTAAGGATGTCATTAGGCCGTTTGATTGGAGCTATTCGTCGAGCTGGAAGGGGAGGGTGGAGGGCGGTACAGCGGTGCTGAAGGAGGTGGGGCCGGATCAGGGAATCCCCTATGAGAAGCTCAGACGGCCAGATCCCATCTTGCTGTTCGATGAGGTCGTGCTGTATGAAGACGAGCTGGCGGACAATGGCATTGCGGTGATGAGCGTCAAGGTGCGGGTCATGCCCGAGAGATTGCTGGTTCTTCAGAGGTTCTTTTTGCGACTGGATGGAGTCGTCGTGAGGATTCGCGATACGAGGGTGTATGTGGAGTTTGCGACGGGCGAGGTGGTGAGGGAGTATGTGAGCAAAGAGGCGAAGTATGAGGATGTTAAAAAGGTGTGTCCAGTCCTCCACTTCCCCGACTGCGCAGAGGAGGGCTAATCAGAGACAGAAATTCGCGATGCACCCGCAGGATGACATCCCGAGTCTCTTGAGAGATCCGAACCAGCTCGTTGATGTGCTACCGATCATTGAGACGACGAGGGAGAGAACCATGGCAAAATAGATGGCTTTTGATTCTACCATGTTTGATTTGGAGACCCTGGTGTTATTGTTTTGTAAAACGAGTACTTGATAGATAATTCTTGTAGTGAGGTGAATTCGTCACCCTTCCGCTAGATTCAAACATTGCATCTCACTCACCAGCAGCCCATCATAACTCATGGGGCTCGGTTCGGCGGGCACTGTATCCCCGGCTACAATCTGATAACCCAGATCTCCCGTAGACCGCGATGGTGCGACGGTGCGTTGGTGTTTTTTTTTGGTCATAATCTCATGCCAAGGATGGATAAGAAGCCACAGCGATCAGCACGTATCGCGCTGCATATCGGTACTGACGGGAGTCTCCGAAGCGCGCGATGCATCTCTCCCCCTCGCTCCGCAACGAGTGCGGGGCATCCGTGAAGAAAAAGAAAGGAAAGAGAGAAAAAAAGCCATGATATCATGTCCTCCGCTTCATTCGTGCGGGTGTAATTGGAGCTTGCATAAATACTTCAACCCTCTTCATTGATCGGTCGAGCCAACATAACATGACGATGGTCAATACCGCGAGCTCTCCCCTCCTTAACGCCAAAAGCACGGTGGTGCGGTATCACGGGAAGATTCCGTACGTGCGGCGTCTCCCTGCGGCGGTGGTGGGAATCATTCTCGCTGTTATCGTGGTGAATGCGATTGTCTGGGCTGCTGTTGGGGTTGTTTTGGTATGTTCCCTTCCGAATTGCTTGATTGATCTTGACTCTGACATGGCTTGCAGCATTTCAACGGGTATGTTGACACCCACGGGCGGATGAAGCAGCAATGCAGCGGCAATGGATGGCTGAACGGTCCCCTAGATCCCTCCTTGCAACCACAGTCCTAGCCTACACCCTCGGCCTCCGCCACGCTCTCGATGCGGACCACATCGCGGCGATCGACCTGATGACCCGCCGGCTGATCGCCAGCGGCCGCAAGCCCGTAACCGTGGGGATGTACTTCTCACTCGGCCACAGCACAATCGTGATCATAACTTCGATCGCCGTCGCTGCAACCAGCGCCTCGCTCTCGGAGCGCTTCGACTCCTTCTCGCGCGTGGGCGGAATCGTCGGCACAGGGGTGTCCGCTGGGTTCTTGATAGTCCTTGCGGGGTTGAATGCGTTCGTGCTCTGGAAGCTGGTCGTGAAGCTGCGGGGCGTACTGAGAGGTGAGGGGGGCGGCGAGGAGAATGCCCTGGCAGAGGCCCTCCAGGGCGCTGGGTGTCTCACGAGGGTGTTTAAGGGCGCGTTCAGAATGGTCGATAGGGAGTGGAAGATGTATCCACTCGGTGTGCTGTGTATTTCTCCCCCTCTATTGGTTGTTGTTCGGTATGGAGGACTGACTTGATGGGGACATGCAGTCGGGCTGGGGTTTGACACCTCCAGCGAAGTCGCACTCCTGGGCATAGCCAGCATTCAAGCCGCCTCCGGTACCAGCATCTGGCTAATCCTCATCTTTCCACTACTCTTCACGGCGGGAATGTGTCTCCTTGACACCACCGACGGGGCATTGATGTCAGCACTTTACCAGACCTCCACGTTCTCACAGGATATCGTCGCAGTCCTCTACTATAGCATTTCACTCACCGTGATCACGGTGCTGGTTGCAGTGGTCATCGGAACGATTCAGTTGTTGTCGTTGATCTATAATGTTGCTGAGCCCACTGGACGCTTCTGGGATGGCGTGGAAAAGGTGGGAGAGTATTATGATATTGTGGGTGGCAGTATTGTGGCGCTGTTTTTGGTCGGCGCGATAGTGAGTGTGTTGGTGTATAAACCGTGGAGGAGGTGGGAAGAACGGAGGAGGATCAGAAGGGAGCTTGCAGCGGGGGCGGAACGGTAGACGGTTTCTAAGGGAGAGGGCGGAGTGATGTGCCTGTAAATTCTCTATTGGTATTAGAGCTTTCTCTCCAGTGTCTGTATTGAGAGAATGAGTATTTGACCGATGATCCAACTTTCATCAGAAAATAATATGCAATGGATTGAAGATACTTGAGACCCGTCTAAGCTGCTAGCGTCCGCGTCAGGCGCGCTTATCCAGAGCGCCCCTAAACAGAACAGCGTCTAGGTTCCAGCCGAAAATCACTGCCAAGGGCCCAGAATCCACCAGTCGGCACCTTCGATTCACTCCACCAGCCCACCACGAACACCACCTCACGTCGAACCCCACGTTCAATCGCCCGCCATGATCCAACTAAAGGTATGCTGTCCACCCTCTCCTTACCTAACATCGCTAACTATATCTAGTCCATGTTAAACTGTATCGACAACTCCGGCGCGGCGCTCGTCGAATGCGTCAAAGTGCTGAAGATGAAGCGCGCCGCGAAAGTCGGTCCGTCGATCCCATTCCATCCCTCGGCCACTCGCACGCACGCGCTTACACGAACACACAATAACAGGCGACAGGATCGTAGTGGTAGTGCAGAAGCAGCGCAGTCTCGGTAACGAGCTCAGCGGACAGGCGGCGGCGGCACAAAAGGTCAGGCGTGGTGATATCTCCCACGCCGTCGTTGTCCGCACGAAAAAGAAGTACGGACGGAGTGACGGATCGTTTGTCCGCTTCGATGATAATGCGTGCGTCTTGATCAATAAGGCTGGAGATCCTATGGGGACGAGATTGAATGGTGGGTTTTTTGGGATCAGGGTGGGAGGATGGATGATCGCGAAGGGTTGGCTGATTGGTGTGCTCTAGGTGCTGTTGCGCAGGAGCTGAGGGGGAAGCAGTGGTCCAAGATTTTGTCGTTGGCGCCGGCTTACGTCTAGATTGCGGGTGGCTGTGGTGGCAATGGCGTGTACAACAGAATTCGTTCCACGAGGTCGTGTCCTTTCCTAACTGGTGGGTAGTGCATTTGTTTGTCGATGTGACGTGAGTTTAACTTCGGAGGTTGGTTGGGTATCGTGAGTCATGCGCAGGAAAGGCAATCATCCATCCAGACTGTGGTCTTTCCGGGTCTGGCAACGTGGTTCAGTCTGGAACGGAGTCAGGTGGGTCTAGACGGACTATTGTCTTTCTTGGCCGGGCAAGGTGACATGATATAGCATTTCAACCGGTGGTCACACTTGGAAGGACGTCGAAGGACTTGATACCCACGCAGACCGTCAAGATTATACGCATGCCATTATCACCTTTCAAAGACATATCAAAGACATCAAAGCAAATCTAACGCCGAATCCAACCCGTATGCTTGCCCAGAAACTGCTCTAATGATGTACGGATCCGCAACTTATGCAGACGTAGAAAAGAGACTGTGCCTGGTGTCAGCCTCCTCCAAAACATCGCAGTTCTACGGCTACTGCTTACCATCTTGGTATCCTCCGTTCTCTGCTGACTCTGGAAGAACACACTCTCCGACTCGCCACACTGCGGGCAAACACGGACAGCCTTGGGCAACTACATTTCACACCATTCGTAAGCAGGCATTCTCTTGCCTTGAAGATACCGAGACTCACGGTAGGATCGCTTCCGATGTCGGTGGTGACTCCGGCGGTTTCACCCGCGTTACTAGAGAGGGTGTTGCGGAACACACAGTAGTTCTGGGCCGGTTCGGTGTTGTGGCAGGTACGGCAACGGTACATCAAGCTGGTGGTGAGGCGGTCCTGTGTAGAGAGTATAGTTTAGATTGGGAATCGGAACGGCAGGGACGAGGAGGCGCACCTCGTGGGGGTAGAGCATGTTGCTGCTGTATGGGGGTCAGCATGCTGAAGCCCAACTTGTAGAGAACGTGGCTGGATTACCATTCGCGGCAGAAGCGGAAGGCCACCTTCTCACGCGAGGAGCGCTGCTGCTGCTGCGAATCGGGAGCTGGAGTACCGGCGTCGGAAGACATCTTGGATGGTTGGTTGGTGGTATTAATATCGTATTGTCCGTATTCGTTCGAGTTGCAGACGGAGAAGTTGAACGCGAGAGAGAGGAAAAGAGTCGACAGCTGTAACAAGGAGCTAGTAGCGCGAGGGCTGCTACTTATTATGAGCACGCGTTAGGTTGGTTTAGAGCGCAATCTCTTACTCAGCAAAAAAATAATCTTGGCACCTGCGGGCAGCGACAATTCGGAAGGCTCCATCACAGTTTACGATTTCCCACTACCCCCACCACCACCGGCCCATTCAATTGCCAGCCTCCTCACCCGCTACCACCACCTCGACCTTCACTCCACTCGATCTCTTCGCAATGGTTCTGGCTTCCCGATGCTGTGCCCGTCTGGCGGTCCGCTCGTCCTTCTCGCTCGCGCCGAAGGCGGCGGCACTCCCGGTGATGAACCGGCGGTACAACTCGACTGCCGCGACCGATCCCAAGATCGCCTCCATTGTCGACCAGATATCCGGGTTGACACTGCTGCAGACCGCCGAGCTGGTGTCTTCGCTCAAGGTAAACTTCCAGCCCCCGCCTGCCCGACTCGGCACAACTTCTGAGGATGGCACGGAGTAAAACGGGCAACTGATGCGATCCCCACCTACCCCGCGATTTCCAGACCCGCTTGAACATTCCCGACATGGCGCTCCAATCGTTTGCCGCTTCTCCGGCCGCTGCCCCCGCCGCTGCCGCTGAGGAACCCGAGGAGGAGGTCGTCCTAGAGAAGACCATGTTCAATGTCAAGCTTGAGAGCTTCGAGGCTGGTTCGAAGCCCAAGATCATCAAGGAGGTCAAGTCGCTGCTCGGTCTGTCGTTAGTGGACTCGAAGAAGTTCGTTGAGTCGGCACCCAAGATTCTGAAGGAGGGTTTGTCGAAGGAGGATGCCGAGAAGATCCAGAAGACGCTACAGGACCTCGGTGCGAAGGTTGTGCTGGAGTAGAGAAGGACTAGAAGGTTGGGTAGAAAAGAATGGGCAATTTGTACTTTGATAGGGAACGACTGTGTATATCTAGCAGATGACCTTGCACTGAGTTGCATTTCGTACCAGACCAGTATCATTATTCTCAATCCCGACGCCGACACAACAAACATACAAACACACAAACAAAAAAACGGTATTACGAGTACATTAGACATAATATCAAGCAATAGAGGAAGCCAGAATCTCTTTTTCTTCCCTCATGATCTCGTAGTCATCAGAGTTTAAATCACTCGCCTCATCCCACGCCTTATCAAACTCGGGGTCTTCCAAGCCCAGCTCAGGTGCCAGAACCTGCCAAATGTTTTCGCGAAGACGTTTATGCTGTTGGACAATCCCGTATTAGCGCCCATTACCATCCCGTTGTTCTCCAGGGGGGTGCAAAGCATACCCTCTCACGATCCTCCTCCATCCGCTGTTGGATAAGAGTATCCGAGAACCGCCGCCTCTTCTGCCGCCCAGGCGGGTCATCGTCGTCGTCATCGTCGTCACCAGACACAGTGTCGTCCGAAGACTCGTCGGTGGCTTTGTGCGCTGCCTCTCGCTGCGACAGCATCTCGGTCATATCCTTCAGTGTCTTGCGATCAACGATGCCTTTCCTATTGAGACTCTGCAGGACCTGCACCACTATCAGCACACACCCCACGTAAGATACATGCCTTGGGTGGACTACATACTTTCCGGACCGTCTCGGCGTTCGCGGCGCCCTGCGGATCATTCGGCGTAACCGCGTCGACAATCAGCGGCAGGTCTCGCTGGATCATCTTGACATACGTCAAGTGATCCATCTTGAGACTCTGCTCGCACAGGCTTTCGATGAAGTAGAGAACATTGACGCGGACGTTCATGGAGCAATCTTTCTACGCTCGCTGTTAGCTCAACTCAGCTCAGCCTAGCATACGAACCCACCACCACCACCACTAGAGAGAGAGAGAGAGAGAGAGAGAGAGAGACATACCGACTGCAGTTGCTCGAGGATGACGCTAAACAGGTCCTCGTCTACATCGCGATTCTTAAGCGCAAACTGGGCGCATTGCTTTGCAGCTACGGCAGAGGCAGTGAGGTTCGAGATCAGCCGCGTGAAGTGAAGGCGGCACTGGAATGCGTCCATTATTGTGGTTGTCGGAGGAGGAAGCGGCGGAGCAGCATTGGGAGCTGCGGCGAGTGCTGGCGGGTGGTGGCCCGTCGCGACAACCTTGGGCGTCCGTCGAAGAGGGTAACTTCTCGGTGGCTGACGGATGCTGCACAGCCACAGATGCCACGCTTATTTTTTAGTAGGGCTCGTGTTTAACCCATGCTCACCACCAGGCAAAGCAGCTCTACTCGTACTGTGCTATACACCACATCCGCAGCCGCACCATGTCCCGACCAGAGTTCACCAACGACCGTCTCGGAATACTGCACGGCATAACGCAAGATGAAGCACCCCCGCACTCGGCACCGTCTCCCAAGCGAGCGAAAAAGTCCCACCGCAGCTCGCGCTCTCACTCCGGCGACGACAAAGACCGAGACCGAGACAACGACGGAAACGGGGGTCGGGACCGAGACCGCAAATCCAAAAAATTCCGCTTCAAGAAGCCGCACCGTTCGAAGGAGAAAGAGCGCACCAGCTCCAGCCGTCACACCAGCAGTAGCACGTCCAAGACTCCGCGTGACAAATACCACGCCCCACTAGACGACGACCCGACAGCCTACGACGACAGCTACATCCCGAACCTTGCGGCGTGGAACTCCTCGTCCGGTGGTCCCGACGCGGCCTTCCGCGAGTCCCTCTTTGACGCCATGGCGGACGACGAGGGCGCCGCATTCTGGGAGGGGGTCTACGGCCAGCCTATACATGTTTATCAGCGCCCGCCAGCGAAGGATGAGAGGGGGGAGCTGGAGATGATGGACGACGAGGACTATGCGAAATATGTTAGAGAGAAGATGTGGGAAAAGAGTCATGAGCACATCATGGAGGAGCGCGTTCGCCGGGAGAGCAAGAGGGAACGGAGGAAGAAGGAGGAAGAAGAGGAGCGGGTTGAGTGGGAACGTGAGGAAAAGGAGCGGCGGGTGAGGGATAAGTTGAGGAGGGAGAAGAGGTCGATCGAGAAAATGCGCGCGCGCTGGGAAGAGTACGCCCAGTACTGGGAAGCTCATGCCAAAGGGCCAGGCGGCGGTGATGGTGGGGGTGGTGGTATACCTTGGCCCGTCGCCTCCGGTAAGTCACGAGATGTGACAAGGGAAGCCGTCGAGGAGTTTATTCTTGCCGCTTCCGGTGGTCGGTCATCTTTGGCGGATGTTGTCAAGGTGGAGAGGATACGATGGCATCCAGACAAAGCCCAACAGCGGTGGGGCCGGGATGCTCTCGGCGAGATGGAAATGAGGGCCGTCACAACTGTGTTCCAAACCCTGGACGCATTATGGGCGGAGCACAAGAAGCAGAACGAGAAACCCTCATGAACGATGGTAGCTACAGACGTAGCTTGCGCGGCATGTTGATTTTGCATTACATGCAAGTACTTGCAAGTACTCGTAATGCTTTTGACTTCCACTTTATAGGTGGGTACTTCATACTTGATTCGAATAATAGCAACGGCGGTAATGATAATTGCAATCGTCAAGTCCGGGCGAAAGAGTCCTGCCCACTGGCCGCAACCGCCTGCTACCCGTCTTTCCCCTTGTCCCGTCTATGGCCTTGCAGGCGAGGAAATCCTGGTTCTATGTACGAGCTCATTGTGGTAATAATGTGTATAGACGGGGTTCATCCACTTTCTCCGGGTTGTGTGTGGTGGGTATTCCACGGCAACGCAATCACGACCCGAGTCCAATCTCGGGCTTCAGGATCAGTGGCAGGGCCTTGCTGCCTCATGCTTGCCGTCCCGGCGATGGATTCAGCCATGCGATTAGATGATCTGATAATTATCTGGTGACAGTTGCGAGTACTCGGGCATTGTGCAGTGTGATGTGTAATTGATTACTCGGGAATAGAGTGGGGCCTGGACTAGCTAAAGGACCAGCGTGTATCATGCAAGAACGTGGCACCGGTCCAATCAACGGACTTGGGCCGTGAGATCTGAATCAATTCCTACATGCAAAGTATCTACAGTAATTATGCTTCGGCGTCTTCGATTCGAGTGAAGCTGAACTGACGGGACAGCTAGCTACAGCACCTACTATTAGCTATAGTACCGGTAGAGTGGCCAGCAAGCAGATCGTGAGTGAATGGCGCTCCAAGAGCATCGTGAGGGGGCTTACTATGATAGTATGATACAGCCCACTAGAACCCTCATACGACGAATCGCCGGCTCCGACAAATAACCCCCTATAGTAGCAACGACGAACTACTATTATACACTAACCAAGTAACTATGCTGTTGTGATGTGCATATCCGCTCCGACTTCTGGCCCGAAACTACGGTAGGTACGATCCAGCGACGCATTGCCAATGCCCTTAATGCCAGTCAGCGACAATTCGGCCTCTCCGTCTTTCTTCTCAGAGCGTCCATAGTGTCGCCATAGAGCTGCTGCTTACTTGCATCGTTAGACGTTGGCTTTCTCACTTGATATTTTCTTCTCTCTCTCCCTCTGAATCCTCCCGTGCTCTCGCCACCACCGCCAAAACCACTACCAAAACACCACCATCATCATCACCATCACGTTAGACTCAAGCACACTGTCCTCGTTTCCGGCCCGAACCACAAGCAAGACTTCCGCTCCACGCACACTTACACTGCAGTGTTCAGTACTACCTACATCACTGTGCGGCTCTCCTCTCCGCTGCAGCTTCCCCGGCCCCGAATTGCGACCGTCATTGCCGACCGCCGTTCTTGGGCACTCATTCTCATCCGAATAACGCCGAATTCGAAACACAAAAGATAAAAATAAATCAGCAACAACAACAAGCTCTATCACCGTTCTCCTCTCTTTCTCTCCCTCTTTCTCTCCCTCTTCTCTCTCTCTCTTTCTCCTCAGAGCTTGACACCGAAACCAAAGCGACTTCTCACTTGAGCCCCAAAACAATTCCAATACGTACAAAGGAGCTCATAGACATAGCAAGTACCGAGGATATCCTGCTTACGGAGAATAAAGAGCAGCTTCTCCATTGCCACCTTCATACACCCCTCCGCAGTATCATCATCATCACCATCATCATCCTCATCATCATCCGTGACGTGGAATTGAGCGGTCGGCTATAGCCACTGCTACAGCAATAGTCACAAGCCAGTCAACGGGCCCTCCTCATTCTTACCCCCTCCCCCCCGGTTTCTGACGAGTATCACTGCCCCTCTCATTCCCCCTCCCCACTGCCCGCCTCGCCCCTCTCCACCCCCTCTCCACCTCCACCAGTTCACCGTCCACCACTTCGTCGCTATTGTTGCCGTTCACAGGTTGTCACCAGCTTGTAACTGCTGCTACTGTAACTTCTGCCAACTGCTACTGCTCCTCTACTGCAGCCACCACCACCACTACCACCGCACACCCCCCGCCTTCCACATTCCCGGCTGAACTCACCCATTTGTTTCTTCATTGTTCGAAAGCACTCGCACACACAACTTAACCCAACTTAACCCAACTTAACCCAACCCATCCCATCCCAACCCCCCCACCCCCCCACCGCTCCCGTCGCCGTTACTATCACCTCCTCCGTACCCGCCCAACCTCCCAATCCTCCTCCTACCCTTCCTTTCCCCCTCCTTCTCCTCTCTCCACTCGAAACTCAAGGGGATCGGAACGAAGCTCTCTTCCGGCAGTCCTCCCTCTCTCATCCCTCCCGCCCCGGCTACCTCGTATATGCCGACCCTAGGCTTCCTAAAGAAGAAGAAGAAAGAGAAAGATTCGGTGCATGCGAGAAAGGATAGCTTCCAATCCGCTGACATACGCAATCATCCCTCGGAGCCGCCAACTCCCACCACCTCCACCTCCGCCACCACAACCTCGCATTCGTTCCAGCCGTCAACAAACTCACACTCTTCGCTGCCCACAGCTCCTCCGTCATCGTCGTCGACCCATTCTATCCCCGTTTCCGCCCCCGCCATTCCCGAGCAGCCAATGGCATTGGTCTCCGACCGACCAATGATACCTGAACAGCAACAACCCCAGCAACCCTACCCGGCGTCGTCGTCTTCCCCGCAACCGCACCATCAACCCCACCAGAGCAACATCAACAGCATCATAAACCCGCCCGGGGCAAACGAATATGATCGACCTTATCAGAACAGCCCCGCGCACCAGAGTAATACCTCGCAGAACGATGACCAGAGGCAGCAGCAACAGCAGCAACAGCAGCAGCAAACACAGCAATCGCGATCTACAAAGGGCAAATACTCGCTAGGTGACTTTATGCTGCAGCGGACCTTGGGTACTGGAAGCTTCGGCCGTGTCCATTTGGTTCAATCGAGACACAATTTGCGCTTCTATGCTATCAAGGTTTTGAAGAAAGCCCAGGTGGTCAAGATGAAACAGGTTGAACACACCAACGATGAGAGGAAGATGTTGCAGAAAGTGAAACATCCCTTCCTGATCACCCTCTGGGGGACATTTCAGGACAACAGGAATTTGTACATGGTGATGGATTTTATCGAGGGAGGCGAGCTATTCAGTCTACTGCGGAAATCCCAGGTACGTAATTATCCTGCCATGACGTCCGCACGCACGCATCGCGCAAGAACCCCTAGTTGTCTACCTTCTCGTTCCCGAGCTTAAGCTCACAGCCATATTTTTTTACAGCGCTTCCCGAATCCCGTTGCGAAGTTCTACGCTGCCGAGGTGGCGCTAGCCCTCGAGTACCTCCACTCCCATAGCATCATCTACCGGGATCTGAAGCCCGAGAACCTGCTTCTAGATCGTCACGGTCATCTCAAGATTACAGACTTCGGCTTCGCGAAGGAGGTTCCCGACATCACCTGGACGCTTTGCGGTACTCCGGATTACCTTGCACCCGAGGTCGTCGCTTCCAAAGGGTACAATAAATCGGTAGATTGGTACGTGACATAACCCCCCCCCACCTCCAACTCACGATCTACCCGCTCCGAATGGGTGACTGATGGGGCCCCAGGTGGTCGCTTGGTATATTAATCTTCGAGATGCTGTGCGGCTACACACCTTTCTGGGACGGAGGCAGTCCGATGAAGATATACGAGAATATCCTCAAGGGACGAGTAAAATATCCGGCGTTTATCCATCCGGATGCTCAAGATCTGCTACAGCAGCTTATCACGCCCGACTTGACAAAGCGATTAGGGAATCTGTTGCGCGGCAGTGACGACATCAAGAACCACCAATGGTTCGCTGAGGTGAACTGGGACCGATTGGCCCGAAAGGATATCGAGGCACCCTACGTACCGCCCGTACGAGGAGGTGTCGGTGATGCCAGCCAGTTTGATCGCTACCCGGAGGATTCGGACGACTACACCAAAAACGACGGCATCGATCAATACGGACACCTATTCGCCGAATTCTGATCATTTGTCCGTCGTGACTTTCGTCTCTTATATTCCCTCATTCGGCATTTATTTTCTTCTCTCCTTTTTTTCTTTCCTTTTTATAATATTGCTCATGGGGGTTTTCTTTATCTGCTTTCCTCCGAACACTGGTTGAACGTTTTCTCTTTTCGCTTGCCGTCATTTTACGATGTGGATGGTCGTATCCGGGAGAAGGGGGGGTATTTGATCTGTACGGTGTTTTTATGGGCGGGTTCGGTTCGGTGGGAAAAAGTGCTTCCTCTTGTATAGTGGTTTTGCTCCGGTGGCTGCATATACTACTGATTTGAGATCGGGGGTCATCTGAGGTTATAGCCGGGACTGCCACTCTGGGGAGGGGACGCGCGTGGCAGGAGCAAGTGGAGGGGGGGGGGGGCGGGGGGGGGGGGGGGGCATGATTACTACAGAAGTACTTCTACCATAGATGCCATCCGCCCGCGCACGCACTCACTCACTCACGCTGTATGTATGTATGTATTCGCGAGTTTCCGATGAAATGGTATTTACATACTGGGATCGGGGGAGGTGGGTGGGATGGTATGGTGATGAAGGGAAAGGTTATGAGTTCTCTCTGTAACTGTTTATGTCTGGCGTTTATTTACAGGAATGAAATGATATGATAACGGTGTGGATTTCGATTTCGCTTGTGACGAGCAGGAGTGTGCGGGGGGAGGGGGGGATTGCGAGCACGTCGTCGGAGAGTCGGTACGCCTTAAACTGCGCGTGGGTTGGACACACCCTGTCTGTCTGCCTGTGTGTACCGGTATGTAGATCCATCTAGATCAAGAGATCCAGATATGGGACACGCTACAGCACTCGAAATGATCCCATTCTCCTCAGCCGACACATATCCGCCAGTCAGTCAGTTAGCCTCCCCCGCGCCCAAGTATTAGGCCGGGAAAGTTCCGGCGCGGCCCACGCCTACTCGCGTTAGCGTTGTACGACGCCTTTTTGCAGGCGCAACCCAACGAACCCAAACCAAAAAAAAAAATCTCGTCGTCCCAGCAGCAGCAGCAGCAGCAGCGAATCTCGAATCTGCGAATTTTACGTCCTCGAACTCCACACACCCGACCGCAATAATGGACCGCTTCGCCTCCGCGGCGAACTGGAAGCTCGAGCAGCAGTACGAGACGCGCGGGCCGCGCGTGTTGTCGAAGAAACAGGCGGCCAAGGAGCGCAAAGCTGGCAAAGCTGGCGGCGCCGGCGGGCGCCTGCCGATCAAGAGGCAGGACGGTACGGTGGTCGCTGTGGTGTTGAGTCCGGTTGGGTCTGATGAGGAGTCTGAGGAGGAGGGAGAGGACGAGGAGGGGGAGGGGGACGGGGACGGAGAGGAGGGGGACAAGGTGAAGCAGGTGATGTTGGATCTGAGGGAACAGAGAGAGAGGGAGGAGGAGGAGGCGAGGAGGCCGAAGGTGCCGGAGAAGAAGAGGGTGGTCGATGCGAAGGAGGAGCTTGCGAGGATCGCCTCGCAGGTTCAGGAGGATCCTGAGGAGAATGTGAGTGCTCGATCACATGACGGCGGCGTTGGGGGAATTGATTGGGCGCGGGGTTGTTGACGACTGTGTGTGCGCGGCGATAGATCATGATGCTCAAGCGCATGCGCGAAATGACCAGCGATCATAATCCTACGATACAGCGGCTGGCGCTGGCTGCGCTCATGGCCGTCTACAAAGATATCATCCCCGGCTACAGGATACGGCCGCTCACCGACGAGGAGCAGAGGATTAAGGTTTCGAAGGAGGTCAAGAAACTGCGCGGGTTCGAGCAGGGCCTCGTCAGTGGGTACCAGCTGTATGTGGAGAAGTTGGGGCGGTTAGTTAAAGGTTGGTCTCCGCTTGATGTGATGAGAGGGCGAGGCGGTGCTGACGATGGATGGGTAGCTTCGAGAACGAATGTGACGCCGACCTCCGTGGCTGTCGGAAAAGTCGCCGTGAACTGCGCATGCCAATTGCTCTCCCACGTCCCGCATTTCAACTTCCGCGGCGAACTGTTGAAGATCGTGGTCCAGGTGCTCAGCGTCAAAACCGTCGACGAGAACTTTATCAAGTGTCGCTCTGCGCTGGAGGAGATCTTCCGGACGGACGAGGACGGCGTGGTCTCTTTCGATGCGGTGCAGCTGCTCACAAAGATGTTGAAGGCGAAACATTACAGGGTCGATGAGTCCGTGCTGAATACGTTCTTGAGTCTAAGGCTGCTATCGGAGCTAGATGTCAAGGCATCTATGGAGACGGTGGATAATCCGAATAGGAAGCGGAAGAAGAAGGATCGCGAGTTCAGAACGAAGAAGGCGAGAAAGCTGGAGAAGGATAAGAAGGAGGTTGAGAAGGAGATGAAGGAGGCCGATGCGACAGTCACATACGAGGAAAGAGAGGCAAAACAGAGCGAGACGCTGAAGCTGGTGTTTGTAACATACTTCAAGATCTTGAATGAGAGGCCGCCCGGACTTATGGCTGCTACGTTGGAGGGATTGGCGAAGTACGATGCCCGTGTCCTAATATTGTGGTCATGGATTCTAACGAAGGAACAGGTTCTCGCACTTGATCAATTTGGACTTTTTCGGTGATCTCCTGGTGGCGTTGAAAGAGCTCATTGCCGAAGCCGAAACCGAAGCAGACGCAGAAGACGAAGACGAAGCCACGGCCACCGAGACGCGGAACGCCACGCGAGAAGCCCTGCTCTGCGTCATCACCGCCTTCGCCCTGCTCCAGGGCCAAGGCGAGAAGATGCTCAACGTTGACCTCAACTACTTCACCTCACACCTCTACAAGACTCTCATGCCGCTCGCTCTCGACGCGGATATCGAGTTCTCGCATAAATCCCTCCGCCTGGCCGACCCAGACTCCCCCGCCCTATCGGCGCCTCGTGTCAACGTGGCTACCCAGATCGAGATGGTGATCCGAGCGCTCGACGCCCTCTTCTTCAAGCAGAACGGCGCAACGAATGTCTCGCGCATGGCAGCGTTCACCAAGCGACTACTCCTGACGGCGCTGCATATGCCCGAGAAATCAACAATGGCGTCGATAGGTGTGATCAACAAAATGGGGAAGAGGTATCATCGGCAATTATCCGGACTCTTCTCGACCGAGGAGAGCGTCGGAGATGGTGTCTACATGATGGATGCTGATGAGCCGGAGAGGAGTAATCCATTTGCTGCGACCATCTGGGAGACGCTGTTGCTCGAGAAGCATTATTCCCCCGCAGTACAAGAGGCGGCGAAGGGGATGCAAAAGATATTTGTACAGAAGAAGCAGCGGTAAAATAATACAGAAGGAAGAAGTGTAATTATGCGTTTGGGTATCAGAAGGTCACTCGAACCGGAAAAAGGATTATCCGTTTCGCTTTCTCTGTGCTTGGCGATGGAGGGGGAGGGGAATGAAATGATTTTTAGAAGTCGGGAAATGGAGAGTTTAACGCCCTTGCGAGTCACGAGAACACACAATCGCTAAAAATGTAACTGTCAAGGTGACGCAATCATGAGTGAGACAATGGATGTTGGAGGGGTAATTCAAAGAGAGCTGTAGCGGCACAAATTCGTAATGACTTTCGGAATCTGCAACACAACCACCATCACCACCGGACCTCAAGCTAAGACGCCAAACGTCTCGTCTCCGTCAATTCTCAACCCCACCAACCATGGCTTCACGAACACTCCTCGCTCCTGCCGTACGGGTCGCATCTAAACATGTATCTCGCCTCACTCCCCCGCCGCCCGCTTCCCCACCTAGAATCCACCCGCTAACCCCATAGGCCCGCCCCGCCGCCCGCTTCCTCCCACACCTCCGCAACCTGACCACCGCCCCGATCACGGCGCAAGCCACCGTGCCCGCCGACCCGGGGCACCCCCGCAACCCTTCCGTCCCGCTCACGCCGTCGACGCCGACGCTATCGCAGCACCTAACGCTCGCCGACCGGCTCGCGCTCCGCTTCCGCGAGTACATCCCGAACACGACGGAGACGTACGTGGCGTACGACGTAACGCGCACTTTGTATCACGAATGCGCTTTGCAATCCGCGTACGCGGACGGCGAGGACTTCTCGGCCTCCGCGGCGTTCTGGTACGGCACGTGTGCGCGGCCGCCGACGTTCCAGAGCTGGTCGCAGGTCACGGTGCTGCACATGTGGATGCTGGCGGCGCGCATGCGCGCGCTCGACCGCGACCGCGTCAAGATCTGGCAGCAGCACTTTATCGACCACTTCTTCTACGACGCGGAGGAGAAGATGGTGAAGCGCTACGGCATCAAGAGCGCGGGCCAACGCGGCGGGTACATGAAGGATCTCTACCATCAGTATCGCGGCATGACCGCCGCGTTCGATGAGGGCCTTGTCAGGGGCGATGCCGTGCTTGCTACCGCCCTCTGGAGGAATATCTTTAATGCTAGCTCCGATGTGGATGTCGAGGTCCTGGCGATGGTCACCAGCCATGTTAGGCGCGTCGTGTCGAAGCTGGGGAGCGTCGATGACGAGGTGGTGCTCACTGGCCGTGTCAAGTTTGGACTGCCGGAGGAGGAGAGGGCCGTTGTCAGGCAGAAGAGTGTGCTGGTCGACAAGCTGGGGGATGAGGTTCAGCAGAAGCCTTCTGCATCTATGGCTTCATAAACAGACAGACAGGCAGGATGGCATGGTATGGGTGACATAGCTACTTGGTTAAAATGGTGTACAACAGATAGTAGATAGGACGAAAATGTACTTGTATGGAATGGATTGTTGCATAGAGTAGCGGCCTGCAATCACGTACCCTCACTCGTGTCATTTTCGCTTCCTAGATAGGTAGGCCGTATGCAACAATAAATTGATGTTCTCTCTTCTATCGACATTTTATACTTATCCATCTTTCTTGCTCTCCCAGGTGAATTAGATAGTAACAAGCAGAGAACTGTAGCTTTACCTTCACCCTCATAGACACAAAGATCATGACGAAAAAAGAAACCAAATGTCATAACCATAACCATCAATAACATCAAGGACCCAAACACTACAAAACCCCAAATTTTACAGTTGTACCCACCCTTTATTTTGAAAACACATCGCAGGAGAAAAAAAGGAAAGAAGAAAATGAAATCAAATCAAATGAAAAACAACCTGTAACAGACGACAGACAGAGCGGAAATTGATTAGTAGAGTAACAACGGCAATACGTGTAATCCCATCCCATCCCCATTCCCGCAAAACACAAAAAGCAAAAAGCAAACAGAAATCATCATCATCGCTGCCGTCTAGCAGTCAAGTCACGATCTATATTCATCCGCGTGAACCATGTCTCGTGTATCGCTTCCAAAGTCCGATCCATTCCAATCATCTGGACGCGGCGTGTGAGCTGCCGGTTCATGCCAAGTAAGCGTGACGATTCCTACCAGATGCCAAGTCGATGTCTTCTTCTTCTTCAATGACTAGTCGGTCAATGAAGTTTCTAAGTTCTGTGATTTCCGCCGTCAGCCCGTCCTTTCCGGTAAACAAGGTACGGCGAAGAGATGAGTGCCCACCACCAAGTTTCGAGTTGAATAGATCTGCATCCGGCTGCGCATCTCTACACCTCGCGAGAAGATTCATCGTGCTATCGAAGGTGTTATCATCGATTGGTTGGCGATTCTGCGGGAATTTGTTGGTAATGAACTGAAACAATGCTTCGGCTAGGTCGAGTATCGCTTGGTGAATCTTTTCAGGAGAGCAGTCCGGCTCATCAAAAAGGATATTGACGAGAAAGTCTTCCGCAGATTCCCTAACATTCGCATCGAGATAGCAAACCAAGGCAGGTGCCCATTCGGATATGTTCTCAAGTATGGCGGGCCTAACCGCCGCTCTTACTGGCACCAGGCTCCAAATATACTGGAAGAACTGTAGGTGTTCGGAACCTCCGGTCATGGCAATCGTGGGAATTTCTTCGGAAACTTTGCTGACAATCTCCCTAATGTAGATTTCCGACCGTGTATGCGTGACAAACGACTGAAGACACTGAAGATAAGGAGCGGCGTGAATGGCCGGGTCCACGGAAATTCCGTTCAGTAGGGTATTCTTCAGATTATTAGTGAACTCGTGTTCTGGGGGGGTTGGCTCGGCACTCAGGATGTCAATCATGATCCTCTCCACTTGATTTAATGCTGTGGCATGTTCCATAAGCTTCGCAAAAACAGCTAGCACGCCTGTTCCCCGGCCCTGGCACAGCTTGAAGTACGTCTCTTCAGGTCTTGTCAGTGGCAGTCGAACCTCGAACCTCCTCCTGTCTCGCATCTCTTCGTTGTTGCAAACCGGTACGAATGGTGAGCACCGCTTCATTAGGAGTAACAATAGCTCCGCTGGTTTGGCCGCTGGCACCCTCGGCTTGTTCATGATCTTGATGAAAGCTTCGATCCTTTGTTCCGCCCTCTTAGTCGGCCCAATGTGATTGATCACAAACATCTCCAGGATTCTTCTAAGCACGCCAGCCTTGAGGAGGTACTCCTTCTCGCAATCGCCCCAATTGGCAAGTTCAATCAAGAACGAAAAGTAATCGTTCCATGGCTTCAACGATGCCTGGAGTCCGTTCCATGCCTCACAGAACCCTTTGCAGACAAAGTAGAGCATTGTCTCGTTCCTTGGAATTGGTGTCTCCTCTCCATCGTCGGAAACACCATACAGAGTCGGGTTGGTAACTCGCAGATTACCCAGAACGTGCACCAGCATTCGGATAAAACTCCGGCGAATTTCCTGGAATGGGTTGTCCATGAGTAGGCCAGCGACAACATGCGAGTCCGAGGCCCAAAGAACAAAAGCTTTCGCGCAATCATCGAAACGGAAAGCGAGCGCCTCAATAGACAAGACAAGCGCCTCACAAACGGGAAAGTCCTTAACTCTCGCGACTATGTGTTCGAACGCTCGCAATGCCAGCTGGAGTACTTCATCTTCACTGGAGTATTCGTCGCTTGCGATGGACAGTCTACACTGGGCAACCACCAGTGTCCTCACAAACTGGACGTAGTCGGGACTGAACATGTTGTGCCGTCGTATGAGCTCCTCATTTTCTCTAAGGATCTCTATGCGGTGCCTTCGAGGAACACAGGACTGGTATGTTTCCGGTAGTGGCCTGTGCAACGATGAAGACCGCTGGTAGAAGAGCATGTAGGCGCTGAACGACTTCGGAATGACATATCCGGTTGCCGAGATGTTGTCGCTCCCTCCGTAACAGTTCTCCGGTATTGTCGACGGATCGAAGAGACTGACCTCAGAATCATTGAATTCAAACCACCTCGGAATCTCATCAGGTGAAAATCGATCCCGGATGTACGAGTAGTAATGTCCCGATTCGGCAGTTCCCGTGTGCACAAGTACACCGACTAATTCAAATTCGTCCGATTCACAGGTACTGTCAGTACCCGACTCCATTGAGCTGAGATGATCAATCGTGTACGGCTTCATGTCCAGCCGCATAGGAAACTCGAAGCGCTCATTAATCTTGCTCCGTTGCATGGTCTGCAGATCGAAGTCAAACCGTTTGAGATGGCAAATGAGGTGATCGGGTATATCCTTAAGGCAGGTTCTATGAAATTCAGTACGATGGTTCGGAGGGAACCTGATAGAGACCAGAACTTACCTCTTGACGGCATCTACTAGCCTGTCACAATCCGTACAACGGTATTTGTTGTCTAAATTGTATGGTCAGTTTGTTCTCTGGAAATTTAAAAGGTGAAATTAAATTGTTACACACCACCCTCCATGATTTCGCCCTCGACGTAAGCCTTCAAGCTCTCCTGAAGAGTGTGCTTCCCTTTGATGTCGCACTGAATCGCGGAAAAAGGCTCTGTACGCTCCGAGATGTGAGGGCACTCATTCGACTTCACCTGCTGAACCAATTGCCCCCCGTAATATGACCTAAAAGCCGACTTTAGGTCAGTAGTAGGCATCTCACTTTCCAGCCTATCAAAAAGAAGATTGAAGAACTCGTCGACATCCATCTGAACCTGAGGGTCAATTGGATCGCCAGCAAAGTCGCGAAGTGACTCAACAAGATCTCGAGGCTCGATGGCTTTAGCGAAGCTAGCTTGCATGCGGGCAAATAACACCCTCAGGTGAAATGAATTCGCACGCATCTGGTCAGTAGAGTCTACCGGAATGCCCAAGACGAAATCCTGGAAGGATCGGTTCATGAACAGCTGAGTCAACAGGGAATTCAAATAGCATGTATTCGATAGGTTGTGCAGCCCAACAAGGCCTGCTGGGGCTCGTAGCCATCTGTCGCGGTCGGCCCAGTACTCGTCAAGTAGCATGCTATCTACGACATTTATTTAGCGTGCATACCAAGGGAACAGCCTAGAGCAGCTACCTTCGGGGAAGAGCTCATAGTTGAGCCTAACGATTTGCTCCATGCTCTCGTGATTATTCGCAACAAGCTCGCATGTGAATTTGTAAAGCTCAGCTCGCGTAGGATCGTGAAGGATTGGCATCCGTTCGCTGTCTGTACCATAGGATGAGTCTGGAAACAGCAAATTGCGCCACATGTCCGTGAGATGACTGGTAGTTGGAGTGTTAGAAGCCAAGGACTCGACTGTGTCGATGCACGAGCGATTAACTTACTTGGTTGGTGGGGTCATCCCGCTGTGACGCATGAACATCATGCAGAGCGTCAGAAGACGGGTGAAACCAGTTACTACGTGGTCTTCCTTTGGTTGCCCGACAGTCTGCAACACATTAGTACGATATTTCGCAGTTGTTAGGAAACTCACTTCGGTGACTTTGTGAGTACACAATTGACGGAACCAATCATCGAAATACGGGCTCAGATCCGCAGCATCGGGAACGGAATTTCCCACCAGCCTGCTCTCAGTCAGTATTATCGTTCATATTTCAGAAGCAGACTGCTCACCTGAAGGTCGAACAAGCAACACGAAACAGCTGTGCTGCGTTCTCCGGCTTCAAGTGGCTGCTGCTCAAGAGGATATCGCTCAAAATAGGCCAGAAATGCTTCACGAACTCCATGTGCCTGTTTGGTTGATTAATCAGTATGTTTGAGTATCTTCATATAATGGGTTATGTTAAACTTACCGCTCTGAGTCATTGTAGATCTTGCATATAGCTTGTAGCATGCACTCTCTCACAATTGGCCGTGAATCATTAACCAAAAAGCAATGAATTAGCTTGTCAAGATTCTGGTTGCTGGAGGTTTGTGTCCAGACTTGCGGGTTGATATGGCAACACTCGAAGAGAACGTAAATAGCATGAGTGATGCAGGGTTCCACATCCTCCAAGGTAGCGAACGGCGGTTCGAGACACCTCTGAAGTAGTGACAGCAGGTATTGAACAAAATCTTCTGGGTGCGGAGGGATGTCGTCACTGGTCTCGGCTATGGTGGCTACTTCTGTATACGTGTGAGCTCGCACACAAACGTCGGCATGAGGAAACAACTATACCCTGCAGAAGACTCTTCAGACGCTCGAGGATTTCCTTCGTGACAATGACTTGGGTTTCCGCAGCCTGCTCCTCTCTCTCCTTCGTGCCCCTCGTAAGAGCCTCGCAGAGTCGCTTCACGCATGTACTCAGAAAGGTTGTTGATCCGTTCTTGGTATCGTTAGTAACGGAATGGACACAAGATTTCCTACGCACCTGTGCGACTTTCTGTTCCTCGAAGCAGTACCGCAGAGCATGAAGCGAGTAAAGAGTCTTATAAGGCTTGTCTGGTGGGAAGATATCTAACGCAGTCGTTTCCGAGAGCAGAAGCTGTTGTTTTACTAGATCGTGTGGGGGGAAACTGTTCAGGAACATCCATGCCTATCAATTATCAGTAAGAATACTTCCGATTAACAATAAGAATGATACAAACCTTGACGGAAAGGGCTTCGGGAAGGTCGAGTAATGTGTACAACGCCTCAAAATGTCGCATGACATCCGGCTGCTCCGGCCCAGTCGCGTTCTCGGCCTCTTGAGCGGGCAGGGGCCGCTGAATGTAGACCATAACAACACATCCGCTGTATATTCCGAAGTCCTTGAGCGATTTCGAAGGATCGTCAGCAAGCTTCAACTCTTTGCCATTCAACACTATCCTATGTTTGGCCGTCACGATCAGACGATATATGTGGGAATGCAAGTCATATGCGGTGTTTTGAGAGCCAAGTTGAATGACGTGTGTCTATGTTACATTAGCAAAGGGAATTTAGCGGGTGGAGAGGTGGGCGTACCGCTGGCGGATTTCCTACACCACAGAGACGAAGAGTGATATTGAGTGATTCCCCCCTCGGGCCAGGTGGTTCCCCATTGATGGCTGATGCGTAAAATGGCCGAGTTCTGAATCCTTTGACAAACTGATCCAACACGCTCAATGCCCGGCGATATTTCCGGGTGGTTTCCTCACGTTCGTCTTCCGTTAGGTAGTCAACGGTCATATCGCCATCACCGTCATCGGCCCCTCGCCTGGAAAGTTTTGTAGCTGACGATGTCAACAAGTCGATACAGCGGTCAACGATGCCGAGATGAGTTGCCTCAATCACCGCCAGGGATGCCTGCATGATCATTGGGGACTTGGTTTATCAGCATCTATAGATCCATCTCAATCATCAAGTGAAAGAACGCACATCGAGATACTCTTGGACAAGCAGATCAATAGTAGCGGCCGCCAGCTTCTCGTCATTGGCATTCAGAATGATTCGCCAAAGCAGGTCCGCTCCAGCGATGTGCAGAATCCTAGCAGTGTCCTCATCCGGATCCTGTGATGGTGTCAGTGATGTAGACCGCCATGATAATTCGGCAAATACCTCTGGCTGTGCGGTTCGACTAAGGAATTCCATGGACTTTTTGCAAAGCTCCACCACGGATGGAGTACATGAGAAATATATGCAGTCGAGTGATGGGAGAAATTCGCGGTATAAGCTGTCGAGTAGCGGGAATGTTTCCTGGCATGAATTAGTGGCCAAGTACAGTCCTAGTTTCATAGAGAGGGTAGTACACTATCCAGTGAACCAATAAGGTTGTAGAAATCGAATCCCAGCACCCTTTCCGAGGGGCCTAACGCCTTCTCTCCAACGAGATAGGTCCACAGTTGGGCATGCAAGTCCTTGGAAACGCAGTTCGGTGACATACGCAGCATCAAGTTAAGCAGTTCCAGCCGCGTCCTAAGTTTCTGCAGTCTCGATGTTGTCTTGACCGATCCGTGCCTGCCGATGAACACCAAAGTCTCACGCACCACAAGAGCCGCGAGGTCAAACGTCTCGACAAGGTATCCGACATCCTCGGACGCTGTCGGACTGTCTGCTCTATAGTTGCGGGGTCTACGCCCTATTGGCATATGAGCATTAGCAAGATTGACAACAGAGGTAAACTTACGCAAAAATGCGAGGATGACCGAAGTGCTGCCTGTGACGCTTCCATTCATTTCCTTGATGTCATCGACACACTTTTCCAGGATTTCCCTTCGCACGCTCCCCTCAGGCCCAAACTCTGCTAATGTGCTCAGCTCTTCGTTAGCTCTATGGAAGATGACCATTGTTTGTGCAGTCTCCACGGTTTCATCGTGTTCGGAGGCCAGCCTCATCAGCCTGATCAGCATCTCATAAGGTTCCCGACATAATCTTGGGATTCCCTGCATTAATTCAGTCAGTCAAGGATTAACACTAAACCGGTCCTCATGATTGTATCTTACCAAATGTTGGCGTTGTCGCATCTCATTGGAGTAGCTCTTAGCGATTTTCTCCACGACCACGGCAACAAAGGACATCAGGCACGAATCGAATGAGCTAAAAGGTAGACAAGATATCCGTTTGCTCAGACCAGCAAGATGATCTAAGTTCATTGTCGACATCATTTCTTGATGCATCTTCAGAGTAGCCTTGACTATCCGTGGATCTTTGTTGTCCATGACTGGTTGCCACAAGCAATTCAGTAGGGGTTCCGGAATGGTCTGGTTGACAATGAGGAAGGCGGGAACGTTTCCGCAGCGATTGATGAGCTCGGAATGGGATTCAGGCCCTACGAGGTACTCCAGTACGCCATTCTCGATCAGGTACTCGACAAGAAATCTACTAAACGAGATATTAGCTACAACTGAATTCGGGCTCCAGGATTAGGGCAACAGAACCTCAGAATCGGGCTACCATCGTCGATACGCGAATAATACTCTCGCCACACAGACAGCAGGGTATCCGTCATGCAGGTGAGACCTCGCAGCCGAATATCCATTCTGCTGCTGCAGAGCATCTTGTAATAGAACGGAAATTTGTGCGCCCACTCGACGAATTGCCCAATCTCCTTAGGCTTTGTTGACGCTATCCTATAACTGGCCAAGCAGTGGCTCAGTTTGGGTAACAGCCTCGGATTTGTGGGCTGCATGTGATGTATGCCGGCAGCCAAGGAGCCGTAGAGGTCGAGACGGCCGAGCAAATCCTTCATATCAAGTGTCTGGATGTGGGATCCTAGTGCTTCGGAAATCGAGTTCTCCAGCATGACCCAGAACTGGGTAATGTACCCTAAAATCTTATTCTTGGTTTCAGGATTGGTGTTCGGGATAATACTGAGCGTCTTGAGAATTAGCCCCGGCATCAAATGCAGATGCACACTCGATTTCGGCTGCGATGGTGCCTTTTGGTAGATGGCTGCGGCAAGAGACTTCAACGCACACAGGAAACCATCTGGATCGCCAAAGCTGCTGAGAAGCTGAGGAAACGAGTCCGCAATCTGGAATCCTGCCGAACTTATCATGTAGTAGAGAGGTTGCTGTCGTAACATCTGGATGATGGTGTTGATATAGGTCTCCGATAGCAGGTGGCTTTCTTCCTCCAGCGAAAGCACTGCCAGTTTTGACGCCTCGTGCCGGATTATGAGTGTGGCTATGGAAATGAAATCCTCAAAAAACAGCGTGAGGTCATGCAGGCCACTCCTTTGGAAGAATCGCGGACTGAAGGACTCGTTCCGGTCCAGTAACGCTATCACCAGGTCCGGCAAAGTCCTGCACAGATCACTGCTGCTCAACAGTCGTTCGAAGTGATCTACATGGGCGCCACTCGCCGAGGCGCGGAACTGGGATATATGATCGTGTATCTCTTCCAATTCCTTTATTGGGGATTCGCTCTTTTCGAACGAGCCGACAATCCGAGCAAGCGCCTCCGCAGTCTCCTCGTATTCTTCGACCACATGCCCAGCCGAATCCTCCAGCCGGATTTGATAGGGTAGATCATTGTTCCCATCCATCTCGATCTCTTCGACCTCTGCGCTCGTACTTCGCAGCGTGTGGGTGTCGCTTCCATCGTCCAGCGTATTCGACAACTCTGGTGAATGTGACAAAGACCGTTTCCGGGCATCTTCTGGCTTCGAGTTCACGTCAGAGACCACATGGTCCGCTTCGCCGCTGCCGTCGTCGTCGACGCCGCCAGCTTGATTTTGGACTGCACGGATTTGTAGCGTCCTGCTTGCTTCTGTGATGGCCTCTGCTTCCGAAACGGCGCTCGCACGCTTCTCGTCTCTCATGATCTCGTTGGTATCAGCAATTGCGGTTTGTCGTTCGGTTTCGTCGTTCGGTTCGGAGTAGCGGGGATGGTATGAGGATGTCTAGATAGTTGTCACAAACATATCAGCTTGTCTGACTAGCTTCTAGAGCTACCTTCGAGCGAACAGCAGCTTATGGGATGGTAGGGATGGGGGAAATGCAATCACCATGTTTGTTTCTCTCTGATCATCCGTGGCAGCCATGACTGCTGGCCGCTTCCTGGGCCGGGAGGTATCGTTGTCGTCTGTGGAGTTTCTGCGCGGTGCTGCAGGTTCGTCTAACATGTCTCTGGAGTTACTGCTGGTGGGGCTGACAGAATCCAAAATCATAGAGTTCGTGTCTGGTTTATCTCCATTCCGATCCATGAATGTTGGCGTTTGTAGCTCGCGAAACTCAAGCCCAAACTAGCAGCTGGGTCCTTAAGGAGAATAAGAGTTCGGATGAGCAAGTTGGATGTGTATGGGTCCACCGCGAGACGCGCTTTCTTGTCTTCTCGTCTCTCTATGTGCGGCTAAGCGTGTAAATTCCTCTTGCTCTCGATTCCTCACTTCTTTCTTCCTTTTGTTCTCTTCCTTTCTCTTTCGAGGTGTAGAAGTTGGAAGACGCGAAGAGCGAGTTTGGGGGTGGGGGAGGTGTGTGCTCTTGTTGATTTAGATTAGTTGATTGCAGGTGGGGGGGCGGCGGTGGCTCGTGCGTGAACGTGCTTGGGTGGTGAGGTGAGCTAGGTTGAGTCGGACGTGGTGGATGTGGTGCCTAAACAAGGTGCGGTATGTAGAGTAGTAGCGGGTAGGTGGTAAGGTTTGGGAGCAGGCGGGAGCAGGAGGGCAAGCAGAGCAGCAAATGCTGGTGTAGGTGGGATTTTAACTTCGAGGGTTCTAACAGCGGGTTGCAGACAAGTGACGACAAGCGCAGGGATGCGTGAAGGCAGGCAGGGGAGGTCTAAGAGAGCGGGTTAGACGCGTTGGGAGTTCTAACGGAGCCAAAGCCAAACGATAGAACATGCAGCTCTGTGTATTCGATGACGATTCCAGGGTGGGCGGGTAACCAGCGCACGCACAGGGCAAGGGCAATCGATCGCCGACGTTTTGGGGGGACGCGCTTTGATGGTGGGGTGGTGGTGGATGCGGCTCATTACAAGCCCGCCTACCCCGCTTTGTCCTGGTTGAGGCTAGGCTGTTCTGGGCACTTGCAGCACAGTAGAGGAGTAGCGAACCGTTACGAAAGAAAAGAGCTTTCTGACACGGCGATCCCGGCAGCGGTAGCGACAGCTTAACCGCAAGAGCTGCTGGAAATTCGAGAACCGCAGCTACACATTTCCCAGGGCTCTGCACCGTCGCTCCGGTGACTTTTGAGCTTGCGGAAGGTGCTGCTCCATGGAGATTCCGAATATGTACCATCCGTAATCACTCGTATCAACTCAGTGACCCGGGAGTATTGGTCGAAGCATACTGCAGATGGGCAAGATTATAAGCTTGTTGCCGCACTCAGATGTCCTGCCGTTGCATCCACAAGCGCTCTTGTCATGATCCGATAAGGTCGAACGCATGATGAATGAGCCCAAAAAAAGCTGACCTTGCACGCTTGTATCCACTGTTAACGCGACTAGCAAGTCAGTCTCGCGTAAGAGCAGAGTATCTTCAGCCGCCTTTGGCGCGCCGGTGTAGTATTACAGTGTTACAGCGTTGCATACAATGTGCAAATGTGCACATATTCTATCTCTCATAACTCGACGGAGGCAGTTCTCGCGACGGTGATAGAGGGATAGAGATAGAGAGAGCTTCGATTCATTGTTACGTACGGCTTGTCTAGACTATGGCGACCACAGACCTGACCTTTCCTGCCAGCTAATAAGGGAATAGGGAACCCGATCCATTCAAATTTCGTCGTTGAGATCCATCCTCGAGTGATAGGTTGTGGCTGAGGTCGACGTCATCACTTTACCCGGCACAATGGTGGTGGTGGTTAGCGTGGACTTCCAAAATGCCACGTTAGAGCTACAGCTCCACCTCGTTCAAGCCGCCATTCACAAACAGCTCACCGATTCACTGCAATGGTTCCCTCACCAGATCCGGCCACACTGGCGGATGTAATACTACGCTCGGCTACGGAAGGATATTACCCCGATTCTGAAGAGATCGCTGCCGCGAACTTGACGAGCGTGCACCTCCCCACTATCCTCGAGAGCCTGAATGCTGCGAAAGATGATATCAAGGTCAGCAAGCGATTACTACCAGGTGTCTAGCGCCCTCATGGTACTGAAGATGGCCCTGTGCTAGGAACAAGTGCGCACTATCAGTCGTGACAATGCCACCTCGATCGATTCCTGGATCACACAGGCACGGCAGCTACATCTGGATGTTGAAGCTTCAAAAGCGCAAGCGGACCAGATACTGAAGCTTGACGAGGAAGAAAAGGTACCGCTCCACGAATGATGCAGGTAATGTGAGGTGCTGACGGAAATCGAGAGGCTCTTGCACAAGCAGTAGGCGATGCCGAGACACATCAGCGTTTCCTGGAAGCGGAGATCCAATTCAACGAAACCCTTGCGAGCGTGCTTGGAAAGTTACAACTTATCGGCACGACATTAGCGCAGGTCGATATTGCGATTGGTCGTGGCGAGCTTGGAGCGGCTGTGGGGATTCTCAATGGCGCCGAGGACGCGCTGGAGAGGCTTCGGGGTTTCGACGACATCATTGTTGCCGGTCTCATGAAGGAGAAGGCAAGGCTGCTACGGAAAGCTCTACTGGAGACGGTGGAGCGGACTTGGAGCGGGCTTGTGAATGTGGACAAGGATAGCGGGACTGTTGTGGTCAGGAAATCGGCCAATGGTACGCCTTCATCGAGATTTTGCGCACCTTGCAGCAGCTGACTGTCGCCAGTCTTATCGACTGAATTTGAGTCTGAAGAGGTGGTCGAGGCGCTCGACATACTTGGACTCTTGAAGGACAAGATTGACCATTTTCACCAGCAAATTGATCGCGTCCTCATCGTCCCACGTCTTGAGACGCAACAAGGCCGTATTCCCAATGTCGCGGTGGATGGCGATGCTATCCGGATCGCCGGGCAAGACAACGACCTCAGCGCAGCCAGACTATTCTCCGACCTACGACTTATAATAGACTTTCTAAACACCCAACTTCCGTCGGCAGTGATGTCGAATCTTTCCCGAACGTTAATTCCCAGCCTCATAAGCCGTCTAATCTCTACAAGACTGTCCTCTTCAGTGCCGCCATCACTGGAGAATCTTCCTGCATTTGAGGAGTTACTGAAAGAGACGAAGCGATTCGAAGACGGACTGCATGATGCAAATTTGACACGCGAACGAGAGTTGAGCGATTGGGTGGAACGGGCTCCTAAAGTATGGCTGGCAAAACGGAGGGAGTCATGTCTGGATGCCGCAAGGAAAGTGATGGCGAGTGGGGTTGGCGAAGTTGAGCAGGTCGAGAGGTCAGAGACACAAACAATAGACGCCGAGGATGGGCAAGGAGCGCTGGTGGCTGGCGTTGCCGATATCAGCGGAGCAGAGGATTGGAACGCAGCGTGGAATGAAGAAGAGGACAATGTTGCTTCCGACGAGCAACCCAAACAGGAGACACTTAAGCGCGAGCTAGAGAAACCAGTAGATCACACTGGATTTATAGAAGAGGATGACGATGATGGTGCGAACGGCTGGGGCTTGGATGAAGATTTAGGCTTGGATGATCATGACGAGCCACCAAAAGAAACAGAGCTTACGTCGAAATCGGAGGAACCTACTCTCGAATTCTCGACGCCCCAGGAACAGGATGATGATATTGGCTGGGGTTCTTGGGCGGATGATGCTGACGGAGACGACCGAGAAGACCACGACCCTGTGCCAGTCTCCTCCGGAGCCCCCAAGCATTCTAGGAAGCCTTCGGTCCAAGCATCTGCATCGAGCCACGTCAACAAAACTTCCGCTCCTAAGGATATTACCCTCACAGAAACCTACACGATTACCTCCACCCCCCGTGCCCTTCTTTCCCTCATCACGAGCCTCCTTTCCGAAGCCACCCAGCTCGAAAATAATCCGCAGTACAAGTCCTCTTCCATCGCTTCTGCAGCATCAGGAATTCTCACCGTTCCAACACTCGTCTTGGCCATCTTCCGCGCTCTGGCTCCACTGTACTACGCGGTTGATCTGAAATCAAACATGTACCTCTACAACGACTGCACATTTCTGTCGTCAGAACTACCGCCGGAAGTCAATGAGAGGGATGTGTCCCAGATTGTAACTTTTGGCAAGCGGCAGTACTCGCACGAGATGGAAGCACAGAGAACGATACTCAACGACTATCTCGATGGTTCCCAGGGCTTTGTCTCATGTGACGATCCACTGCAACGGCAAGAATGCAACCGAGCAGTAGCGGCCACCACGTCCCGGCTTCGCGAAATCTACAACGCTTGGAAGACAGTGCTCTCGAAATCGGCGCTGTATCAGTCTATGGGCTCGCTCCTCAACGCGGTCATCACGAAACTAATCAACGACATCGAGGACCTCAGCGACATCTCGGAACCGGAGAGTGTGGCTCTTGCGGCATACTGCGCCGATCTCGGATCACTCGGCGAAGAGCTGTTTCCGGGGAGGAATCCAGGGACGCCGCCTATAACGGCTATCTATTGTGGCAATTGGGTCAAATTTCGATATCTTGAGCAGCTTTTGCAGAGCTCCCTAGCTGATATCATGATGCTGGCTAGCGAGGGATGTCTGAAAGACTTCGAGGAGGAGGAAGTAGTGGAGTTGATCCGGGCATTGTTCGCCGACACTGAAGTGAGGGGCCGGTGCATTGAGGATATCAGGCGCCAGGGGTTGTTGCACTGAGCTGGAATGGAGCTGTGTTTGTGCTTTGAAATGTTGTGAATAATAATACGAGGTGAAGAGATTAGCTGCTGCTCCCTCGAGCTCCGGCCATAAATTTACATGCCAAGGCCGCTACCTACACCATAGAGCTATCCCTGCTTGAGTCCCGAGCCGCACCTTAACCGCACCGCGTCGCTGTAGCCACGTTGAACTAGCTTCCAAACCCCGTGTCGCTCGCAGTCTTCTAGCCAACCAGTTGCGATGTCTCCTCTCCCGTCGACACAGCCGGTGCAGGTACCGCTTTGTGTAGCGTCCATAAATCGTCATGATGCCAGTCTCCAAAGGAGCCTGGAGAACACAAAGAGCTCCGCCTAGGTAACAGTAGATAAGGCCGCGATAGTGTAGATTAGATCCTCTGCTTTAGCAGAATTCCCAGGCTCCAACTAGCTTGACTGTGAGTGTCAGAAGAAGAAGGTGGGGCATGCTGCATTCCCCGCCACTACCGGTGCTGCTCGTGGCTTTTAATGACGCCGACGACCTGCATAGTTGGGGGAGTTGGTACTTCCCCGACACTGGCGATGAACCTCACATCTCACATATATATTTCCGTCAGTTCGTCCGGCCTTGAGACATCGTGAGGCTGCGAACACAGGAATGACGACAGAATTTCGCGTTGTCGCTAAGTGATCGGTAAAGAAAAGGTTAAACCAGAGTCGCCGCTAAGCAGAAAAATTATTCACTAGAACAGAAAAAGACTTTTTTGCCCCACTTCCCATCCCTCCAGCCATGGAGGAGCCCTGCACCCCGCCACCATCACCGCCTCTGACTTTGTGCTTTTGAGACGCTCACTTTTTTCCCACCCGAAGTCTCTTTCTTTCCCCCCAACGTCCTGTTCCCTTTGCGTGGTCCGTGCCCACAAAGTTAACCTCTCGCATCCTCCACTCACTTCAAGTTCGCGCCACACAAAACCAGGTCCCCTGTGACATCTTGTTACTGCTTTCCCAGAAGAGAACCGGACAACTTTAGGTTTCAATTCACATAAACACACGCGCAATCAAGCAAGCAGCCAAAAGTGGGCCCCGTTCCCTCTCATTCGGGCCTCATATATGCCCTGCGGCTAATGCAGTCTTCACCCACAGGATCCGTACAACATGTGTGGAATCATCGCGGTGATCCTGGCCGATCCTAATGGATCCGCCGTCCAAGACATCAATAATGGTCTTCCCATTCTCCAGCACAGAGGACAGGATGCCTGCGGAATCGCTACCTGTGGAACCGGAGGAAAGATCTACACGCGCAAAGGAAACGGACTCTGCGCTGAAGTTGTCCGCACTCAACAGCACCTCATGGACCTTCCGGGAAACATGGGAATCGGCCACCGTAAGAGCATTCTTTAGAGCCCTTGTGACTCAATGGCTTGTGGAAACGTGAATTGACACTGAAGTGGATAGTGAGATATCCTACTGCTGGATCGTCCGGAAACGCCGAAGCTCAACCCTTCTACGTTAACTCTCCCTACGGAATCTGCTTCGCTCACGTATGTTTACACCGGAATTGAACTGTGTCATACCGGGCCGTGGATGCTGACCTTGCCCAGAACGGAAACTTGATCAACGCACAGAAGCTCCGCAGTTACCTCGACCACGAAGCCCACCGTCATATTAACACTGACTCCGACAGCGAGGCACTCCTCAATGTCTTCGCCAGCGCTCTCCAGGAGACTGGTAAGTTCCGTGTCAACGAGGAGGATATCTTTACCGCCTTGAAGGATGTGTACACTCGCGCCGAGGGGGGATACGCTTGTGTTGCTATGCTCGCCGGTATGTCCACTCACCGATACGACCAAAGTGGCTTGCAATAACAATTGTGATAGGTTTCGGAGTCATCGGGTTCAGAGATCCGTATGGAATTCGCCCGTTGGTCCTCGGAGAGCGTGATTCGACTGTCATTCCCGGCGGAAAGGATTACATGTTTTCCAGTGAGAGCGTCGCTCTCGACCAGCTCGAGTTCTCGAACCACATTACCGTAGCTCCTGGTTGGTGGTAATCTCACTTTTCTTACGAGGACCGACTGTTGACTGCGGACAGGTGTGGCCGTCATCATAACCAAGGGCAACAAGCCGATCTTCCGTCAGGTCGTCCCGGCACTGGACTATGCTCCCGACATTTTCGAGTACGTCTACTTCGCCCGTCCCGACTCGATCCTCGATGGCATCTCGGTCTACCGCTCGCGCCAGAACATGGGACTGGCCCTCGCCGACACGGTCCTCAAGCAGCTGGGAGAGGACGTGGTCAAGACAATCGATTTGGTCATCCCCATTCCGAGCACTTCCGAGGTTTCCGCGCTCAGCTTGGCCCAGAAGCTTAAAATTCCTTACTGCCAGGCTTTCGTCAAGAACAGATACGTTGGACGAACTTTCATCATGCCTGGTCAGAAGGAGCGCCAGAGGTCAGTGCGCAGGAAGCTCAACGCGATGAAGGACGAGTTCAAGGACCGCAATGTTCTTCTAGTAGACGACAGTATTGTCCGTGGAACGACAAGTCGGGAGATCGTCAACATGGCCCGTGAGGCCCAGGCCAAGAAGGTGTTCTTCGCCAGTTGCGCTCCGCCCATCAGGTTTGTCAGACTTATCTGTTGGAACCGATTCATTGCTTAATCTGTGATAGAAACGCCCACATCTACGGAATCGATCTGGCGGACACTAGGGAACTGGTCGCCTACGACCGCACCGAAGCCGACGTGGCCGAACACATTGGCGCCGACGCCGTCATCTACCAGACTTTGCCCGACCTGATCGAGTCGTGCTCCTCTCTCAACCCTGCGATCAAAAACTTCGAGGTCGGCGTCTTCAGCGGCAAATACGTCACCCCCGTAGATGCCGACTACTTCGAGCGTCTGGAGAGCATACGCGGCCAGAACTCGGCAAAGAAGAGGCAGGAGGCGGCGATCTCGGCCGTCGCCGCTGGCGTCGCTAATGACGGAGACGTCGAGACTGTCCTGGACCGTGTGCGTGCCGCTAACGGAATGGAGAAGGTCCGCGAGACCATGGATGTTAGCATACATAACTTCGGTGACTATGTGGATGTCAGTAAGGAAACGGTTGGAGCGAATTAGCCAGCGATGCTTTTTTTCTTCTTTCTTTCTTTTCTTTGGTCGTTCAGTAGTGTTCTGAAGGGATTGAGTTAGCTAACATGGATGGGGTTTACAGAGGTCATGAGGTAAGATGTTTTAGGTTCCTTACTTCATTTTCTTTTCCTAAGGATATCATTTCTTCTCTTTTCCTTACGGTTCGACTTTTCCTTACGGTTCGATAACAACTTTCTACTTTCTTTTTTCTTTCGGCTCTTTTTTTTTCATTTCTCCTTTCTTGGGATTTCCTCTTCAACTTCTTTTCGGTGTGCACGGGGGGTTTAGATGCGTCGTCGGAGTGTGGCAGGCAGGCTACGGACGGGACGGGATGGAACGAGGAGTGATGATCGATAAAAAGTTTACCATCTCGGTTGAGTGGTGTTGTTGTGTTGTGTTGGCCTGGTTGGGTTGGATTGGGACAGGAAGCCTTTAGATTTGATGGATACGGTACGGCACGGGCTGCGATATGGGAGGTGTTTCATGGTGTTCACAAAAAAACGTATAGATACTTAGATTTGAAGTTGATGGATTGTGGTGTACAATACACTCATTGTATGTACAGTACCTAATCAGCTATGTACCTACATCCCCTCTCCGGGACCAAACCCACCCCAGCCAGCAAACCCGTGCGCAAACTGGTTCGCCGCGTTGATGTAAAACCCATCCGCGTCACCCCACAGCTTTGCGGATTCCCGCAGCGTTCGCACCACTAATATCGGATGTCAGCTGACTAAATGGGTGTGGTGTGGACGCAAGCAACGAACCCTTTAGATAATGCGTATCCGCCGTCTCATCCCCCTCTCCCCTCCCACCCTTATGCGCCAGCGCCAATTTGTACAGCTCGTCCCACTCCTTCCCCTTGTCGCCAGGCACCAGCGGCTTGATCTGTGGCCGCTGCTGCGCCACAAAGACGATGCACACAAACAGCCAATGTGCTCTCACCAGGGTTTCGGCCATTCCCACGGGCACCTCTGTGATGACCGTTCTTGCGGCCCACGCGGTCGTCAAGAGGTGCGCAAGGAAGAAGTCGTACTTCCCTTCTTCGCCGCCGACATCCGCTGACGAAATGAGGAGCTGCGCGGCCGTCTTGGTTAGGTCCGCGAGGATCACGGGGATGGAGGTCGTGGTGATGAGGAGCGCGGATTGGTATTCGCGCAGCGCCGGGGAAAGCGTGGGTGAGGAGAGGAGGGGCGCGATGTTGCTCTCGCCTGGGTGTGAGAAGGGGGACTGGGTGAAGCGCGGATCGGTGCGTAGGTGGTTGAGAAGCGTGAGCGGGGAGGAGGAGGGGGCAGGCGTGGAGGCGCTGGGCGGTGGGAGCGGCGGCGCAAGTCCCGGGTCGACATAGATGTTGAGGTCGTAGCAGGTGGCGGCGAGCGAGAGTGCTTCCATCGCTAGCTCGCAGCTGTTGAGCTCGTATGCGTATCCCAGGTGGATCAGGGGATGTCCCACTACATCAACCAATCAGCCAGCGATCACCGCCATCCAGGTGGACAATACTCACGCCCTCCAATCGCTCCATAGAGCAGCGGGCCCTTCCCGCGGAACATGAACTCGTCGACCACATCCTTCCAGTCATACCCTCTCGTGACCATCTCGTCCTCGAAGAAGTCGAGATACGCCCTCTGACAGCTCTTGTCGCCCAACCACTCCCTCCACTCGTCCTTCGCAATTTCATGCGGCGAGTCGATCCAAGGACTCAGCTCCCTCCCGACTTCATCGTACAGTTCCTGCAGGTATGGCGCCTCCGCGCCCATGAGGTATGCGGTGCCCAGGACGTGCGGAAGGTGGTTGTGGTACGGCAGAGGACCGTAGAGAATCGAGTAGTTGTGATGATTTGCCTTGAGCGTGTGTTTGAGGGTGCGGTCACGCTTTTCTGTTGAGGTCTCGTATTCCGCTGCCGCGGACACCCGGGGGAGCCCAGAGAACAGCTCGGTGTCCGCGGGCGGAGAGATGACTTTGCTCAGGTGGCTGACATAGCGCTGGAAGGGGAGCATTTTTGCGGTTTCGGTGGCGGTTGTATAGTAGTTGTGGTTGTGACCGTCGTTGTTCTGCAATTAATCTGTAGATGGTTTATACCCGCTGTGGTGGATAGGTGCGGTAGCTATGATGAGGTGATGTTGCCAGCTTGTCGTACGTGACGTGATGTCAATCGGTTCCCGCGTGGCGGCTACCACCCCAATCCCTGCCGACACTCTAGAGTACCGGACGATCTCCGGTGGGACCGGGTGCGAGTAACCCAGTACCTCCGAGCTTTTTTTTGATTCCTGACAAATCCGACGGTAAAACGAAACTTACGAACGACGGGATACTATACACTTTCGTCTCCTCTTCCGTTCACCTCACCTAACTTCTCCTCCTCATCCTCACGAAAGAAGAAAAAGCACAGCTCCAAAAATGACCAACATCAAAGTCGTCCCTGCGTCCGGTAAGCCCCGGTCCCTCCGTCACCACCACTACCACCACCTGTCACGTAAGGAAGCTAACGAATGGCGACCACAGCACCGACGAGTCCTGCGCCTGGTATGTACCTACCATTCCCTCTCCCATACTCAACCACCGCCACAGTTCTTACGATCAGCAGAAAACGTCGTAGTCCAGCAATCACCCAGCGGCCCGAAACCCTGCTGTACCTCGCCCCTCCCTCCACCCCCACGGAAACCCGCAGCTTACAAGAAGCAGGCGTCTGTAAGGACGAGAAAGCCGCGCGCGACGAGTGCTTCCTCTTCAGCGACAAGGGCGGCGAAGTGGAGTGTGTGGACAAGATCGACGCGTACAAGAAGTGCATGGCCGGGTTTGGGTTCAAGATCTAAGCACTGGCATGAGGAGAGGACGGACGGACGGACGCATAGAATAGACGATGCACGCCCACAGATTGATTTTCTGGGATGCTGTAAAGTAGAGAGTAATGTACAATACCACCATATCACATGTATCTCGCCCCAAAACACACACACACACACAACTATTCGGTCTTCGACTTCTCCTGCGACTCTGTCCACAGCCGGTTCAGCAGCCATGCCCAGGCGATGGTGAAGCAGCCGAAGCACACGACGACATTTCCGACGACCCATAGATCCGGAAGCCGCTCTACCTTTCCAACCACGAGCTCCGCTGCATGGAGCGCAATGATAGCCGCGTACGAGCCAATATGCGTAAGCTTCGCGAACCAGTGCTTCGGTAGGCAGTGAAAGGTTCCCATCAACCACGCGGAGAAGAGCGTCATGACTGTGTACTGCAGTGCGAGTCCGTCGCGGCGCAGAAGAGGCCACATGCTGTATCAGTTCGTTAGTGGGGATAGATAGCATGGAAGGGGAAAAGAGGCGAACCTAAATATAGCTACGTTGTTCATCCACGTAACCCAGGAAACGGTGTCTTCGCCCAATGACCCGGCGAGCAGGAGGGTGGCCGGCATGAGCGGGAGTAAGACGCTCTTCTCGTGCACCTGAAATGAGAACATGAAAAAGCTCCAGGCACAGGCGGAGAGACCCAGCGGGAGAAGCTGTTTCCTCGGGTACAGGAAGATTATTATGCATGGCGGCAGAATTCCCACCAGTGTCATCAGGAGACTGTGATAATCGTCAGCACTAAATGAAGGTTGTAGCTGTAATGTGTTACACACCTGACTCGCTGAAGCGTGGTAGACGCGAATAGCTCCTTGTACTTTACCACCACGTTCGTAGCGCACCAGAAGTTGGCAACTTTGTCTTCCCACAGCCCGCGCGCAAAGGGAAACACGCGGAAGAGACATTGGCCCAGCTGCTCGAAGCCGCCAGACACGACCAGTGGCGCAAACATCAACGCAAAGGTCGCAACCGTCACCGCTCCAATGAAGAACAGCCGACGAATATCAATCCTCGGGAAAACACATACTCCCAGGAGGTATGCAAACACCACCGGCGCATAGTACAGCGCCATCTGCTTGAAGCACAGCGAGAGAACGAAGAAGAATGACCCCCAGAGGACATGGCCAGTGATGAAGCAGTCGACTGCGAGGATCGTGAAGCCCAACATGACGGCGTTGTATTGGAAGTGGCCGTGGTCGATCAGCATCAGCGCGGGCTGCATCAGGATAGCTGCCAGCGCGATGGACCGGTCGTACGTGCTCATTTGCTTGCCGTAGTTGCGCACGAAGATTACGACGCCTGGGACGTAGGTAAGGTATTCTGACACCGCGACGGTGGCCCGCATGAATGTTTTGAGGTGCTCGTCATCGAGTCCGCGGGATTTGTGGAGTGCGAACCAGTTCGGATCGATGCGGTTACCACTACACACAGGTCAGCACCACGCAGCGAGACGTCTGCCAGACAGAATTACATCACGCCCACAAGCCAGCTATGGTACGCCGTCAACGGCGGGTAGTCGAGGCCCCACCAGTCCAGATCATGCCAATACCACACCTTCACCGGCAGCTGCGTTGTAACCTCCATCCAATGTCTCTGCGCCTCGAAATCGCCATGCATTGGCGGTGCCTTCATTCCTACATCCCATTGCCATCAGCAACAATTCCCTCTTCCTACACGCGCATTCCGCATACCAGAATAAGGCCCCAACCCCACCGCCCAGCGGAATAGAAACGCGACCATCAACACCACGGGCACGATCAGCCATTGCGAGGCATTCGATCGCAGCGGGTAGACGAGGGAGGCTAGCGGAAATTCATGCGCTGTTGTTGCGAATGAGACTGAACGTGTTAGGCGGTTCTTCTTCGGATTCGTCTTTCGTGCGGTCGCGGATTTGGGCGGCATCGCGTTGCGTGAGTAAGGTGTGAGTTCCTGGGCTGGACACGTCGTCTCACACGTACTATCTACCACGAAACCCTGTACAACCGAGATCACGTGAGTGGAATAGGTACTCGAGAGATTTATTTTGCGCTGTCGAAGCAGGCAGGTGCTTTATTTCTTTGATCTCGCTTTTGATATGTTATTATCAAGGCGATTCCTTTCCCTTGCCCGCCGGTTTGGAAATCCGAACTCGGGAGCCGTCCGGTAACATGATGCATCACTCGGCACAGTTGCAAGAGACAAATACTGCGATTTTTGGACCCGTAAAAGACAAGCATTGACATGGATTCATTCTCCGCACATACCACCCTGTGCAGTTGGAGTTGATCCGAGCTTTCCCTCCAGGACGAAACCCAAAAGCCGGTCTACTGCTCCTTATTCTGCGCAAAAAAGAAGTTCGCACCTGTTATCGCAGTCAGTCACCACTCTTCCTTTCAGACAATCATCAACATACCAACAAGCTTCAGATCGTACTTGGCAGCCCACTGACTGACGCCATGCCTCTGCTCCTCATTCCCCCACTTCTTCCTCTCCTTGGGCCCCTCCATCTCTCCCGTCTTCCCGTCCTTGTACAGCAAAAATACATATCTATGCTTTCCCGTCTTCTCCGGTGGTGCCGGGCCCATATACTTTACGATCTGCTTTGCCTTGGACACGTCGACGCTCACCTCCATTGCCGACTCCGCCTTGAGCCCGGTTATGATCCAGTGGCAGAATTCGGACCATTTGGGGTCGTCGCGGGAGGGCGCGTCAGGGTCGGTTAGTACCTGGGATGGTGTGAGCGGTGGGGGGGGGGGGGGGGGGGGGGGGGGGGGGGGGCGGCAATTGAAGGGGTACATACAGCGGTGTAGGTGGCCGCCCCGTCACCGTCGGGAGCTATGCGGATGAATGGCTGCTCCTGTGTTGCGTCGGGATCGAGCGTGTTGCCGAGGGAGACGGTCTTGCCCTTGGGGTACTCAACCGAGAGGAGTGCGGTGGGCGTGAAGTCGTCGACAACTGTTATCATTCAGCATTTTGTCGTAGCCGTGTAGCTGTGGTCCGATAGCTCACCATCGGGAATGATCTGATGTTCCTTCAACCTATGTCGCATTAGCAAAGCCCGCAATAAATATACCTCAGCGGAGGAACACCTACGTTCCCCGAAGCGATTGGTTGATCGTCATCTACCCCCGTTTGGTCAATACGAGTTCCTCCCTTCTCCGAGGGGTATAGCTCACGAGGGGCATGCTGCGAACAAGCGGTGCGATGCGTGGTTTACCAGATGTAGGTATGACCGCCTTCTTGAGTAGCGAGGAGGAGGACTTGAAGAGTATGGAAGCTGTCGGGCGGAAGACCGTAAACATCGTTTCAGCGGTCTGATATCCGTATTCTATGAGGTGGGGGAAGACGGGCGCGGTGGATCGCAATGGACGTGGGTACACACACGCAGGGATGACGTAGTTTCAGGTGATTAGGGATCTCGGGGCGGAACTTTTTTTTTCCGGCGAAAGAGGAAGTGAGTATCAACATCTCTCAATAATTCTGCAAGTTCTACAACTGCCAATTGAGGCCTCTACCCGTGTCTCCAGCCAAGAACGAGAGCTAGAGCCCGTCGCAGAGAAGGGACTTTCTACAAATGGCCGCAGTGTACGGCCGTCCAATATGAACGGGTGTACGGGCGCCGTACAACACCGGTAACTTGCAGACTGCGAAACAGCATATTCAATGCACTTGAGGCACGCTGGCGAAGCACAGAGTTTCTGCAGTGGTAGGCATGGAGAACAGGGTGCGCTGAGAGGAGCTGGGGCCAGAGTGGATGGGCAGTCTTGGGCCGTGGGACTCCACTCTGATACCGGAGCTTGAGCTGGCACGTTATATACATCTTCCACGGACATGGTCCAGACGGAGGAAGTCAAAAACGATTCCGGCGGGTTGATTCTACGGCTGTTCTGCACATCATCCATCTGTGATCAAGTCAAACAATCAATGATATTCAACGACCCGGTGCAAAAACCATACGATGTTGCAGCGCTAGTTGTCTGTTAGCTGTGCAGAGAGGAATGATGAGAGAAATTCAGGGGAAGGCCTGCTTCTACTTATCCCCCGAAGCTCGGGCCCAAGTCCGTAGTATGTAAACCTCCGTTCACCGGACCTAAGCGAATACCCACGGTGCTTATCCCGACGGAAAGGAGACGACGTTGTGGGTATCCGCAGAGAGACAGTTAAGGTTCACCTGTATGTAGCTCCGCTGCCTGCATCCAATCGCAAGGTCCGAAGGGATTCGCGCGAATTTGGCGTGAGGTATGAGGCACGAGGCGTGGTCCCGCGTGGAGCTCTACTAGTAGGGCTAATCGGGTTCGTGGTGGAGCATGGGCGAGGTCGGCGAGACGGACAGGCCGCGTTCGTTGGCGTGACTGTGAGCGGGGTCGGTGGCACATCACGTCTGTGACGGATGAGGGGGGGTTGACAGCTGGCGGCTGGCAGAGCGGGGAGAAGGAGGAGACACAACATCGAAGTTGCTCGCTCGATAGCGGCGGTAGTGGTACAAGCGGCTGTTACCGAACTTATCTCCCGGACAGCAGCGAAACACGCCAAGCCCCTAAGACCTGGCAATGTCTTAGTCAACCCGCATGCTGCCGAGTTGTTGTCTGAAATGCTAACTTCGTTCCGCCACATGCAAGATCTTCGAAAAGAAATCTCCAACCCCGAATCTCCAAACACCAAACATCCTCCTCCGCTTCGTCCAGAACCCCCAAATCGGACTCCATTCTAGCTGCCCTCACCATGGCTTCTCTCGGGTAACCCTCCGCCGCCCGCTCTCTTGTTGCTTCCGCCGTGCTCACAGTCCGACAGGGAAGATCTGCTTGGGGTTGTCAATAAACTGCAGGATCTGGTAGCTTCCCCTCCGTGCCCCACCTGCGCCCCCCTTCAAACCTTGACTGACAACTCGACAGGTATTCAATACCATCGGCACCGATTCAGGTCTTGATTTACCGCAAATTGTACTCGATCAGAAGCTCCGCCTCGTGATGCGCGAAGTCCACTAATCTCGTCTGTCTATCCAGGTCGTCGTCGGTTCGCAGAGCAGCGGAAAATCGTCGGTGCTCGAGAATATTGTCGGGCGGGATTTTCTGCCTCGTGGTGCCGGCATTGTCACTCGTCGTCCACTCATCCTTCAGTTGATCAATATACCCAGCAGCAGTGAGGTGGAAGGCGACCAACCCGGACAACCGGCTCCGCCAGAACAGCCCGAATTCGGAGAGTTCCTACACCAGCCCAACCGACGCTTCTATGACTTCGCCGAGATCCGTCGGGAGATCGAAGCCGAGACGGCCAGGATCGCGGGAAGTAACAAGGGAATCAACCGAAGTCCCATCAACCTGAAGATTTACTCTCCCCATGTCTTGAGTTTGACTTTGGTCGATTTGCCTGGTCTCACCAAGGTAAGCTAGCTAACCGTTCGAATGAAAGATTGTCGATCTGATCGTGTGTGCTTGTAGATCGCAATTGGAGACCAGCCGGCAGATATCGAAAAGCAGACTAGGAATCTTATCTCCGAGTATATCGCCAAACCGAACAGTATCATCCTGGCCGTATCACCCGCGAACGTGGATATTGTCAACTCCGAAGCTTTGAAGATCGCTCGGCAGGTTGATCCTCAGGGCAAACGAACAATCGGTGTGCTCACAAAGCTGGACCTGATGGACCACGGCACCAATGCTTTGGAGATTCTGTCAGGCCGTGTTTACCCGTTAAAACTGGGGTTCATCGGTGTGGTGAACCGGTCGCAGCAGGATATCCAGGGCAACAAGCTGTTGGTTGATGCTTTGAAGGCGGAAGCGGAGTTCTTCAGATATCACCCCGCTTACCGTAACATGGCCCACCGTTGTGGAACACAGTTCCTTGCGAAGAGCCTGAACAGCGTATGATACCTTACCAGTTCTTCGGGGCGTTCTCCATTGCTAACGTAGTATTCGCAAGACTCTGATGGCGCACATCCGAGAGAGGCTACCAGACATCAAAGCTAGACTCAACACCTTGATGGGTCAGACGCAACAAGAGCTCGCATCTTATGGGGATATGCACTTTAGCGGGAAGGAACACAGGGTACTGCCTCTGTCCACCATGAACCACCTAGACGTTCGCTAACTTCAGCAGGGTTCCCTCATTCTGCAGCTGATGACTCGGTTCGCCAGCTCGTTCATTGCGTCTATTGATGGTACCTCTTCAGACATCTCCACCAAGGAGCTTTGCGGTGGCGCCAGGGTCTACTATATATTCAACAGTGTCTTCGGAAGCTCGTTGGAGTCGATTGATCCTACACAAAACCTCTCTGTGCTGGACATTCGCACGGCGATCCGGAACTCGACCGGTCCCAGACCCAGTCTGTTCGTCCCCGAATTGGCGTTCGACCTGCTTGTCAAGCCCCAGATCCGGCTACTGGAGAACCCTGCTCACCGCTGTGTGGAGCTCGTCTACGAGGAGCTAATAAAGATTTGCCACACATGTGGAAGCACCGAGCTGTCGAGATTCCCGAGACTGCAGGCCAAGCTTATCGAAGTCGTGAGCGACCTTCTCCGGGAACGGTTGGGCCCGACGTCCCACTACGTCGAAAGTCTCATCGCCATCCAAAGGGCCTACGTCAACACCAATCACCCGAATTTCTTGGGTGCGGCAGCGGCGATGTCGTCGGTTATCCAGAGCAGGCAGGAGAAGGAACGGAAGGCACAAGCATACGAAAGACGGAAAGAGCGTGGCGATAGACGCAAGCCAACTGTCCTGCATACGGCCACTGCCAATGCAGCTCTCAACGGAGCTGAAGGAGCTGATTTCGATGAAAATGCTCAGAGCGTTGTCGCCAGCAACCACACACACAAGCGAGTGCACTCTCGGTCCATGTCACCTGCGCCTGGGCACTCCATCGAGACTGGGCCTGTGTCAGGTGCCATTAATGGCAGACCCAACACCCCTCATTCGTTCGGAGGAGGAGGAGGAGGAGCCGGCGGAGCTTCGGCAAACAAGGCTACCGATTCTTTCCTGAACTACTTCTTCGGACAAGAGAAACCTCAGAGTGCCGGTGGTCCGATGTCGAGAGCCGTCCAGGAGCAGGCATTCAGCCCTAACTCCCGGAGACTCGACCGAGTGGAGCGTGAACAGAGCTACGATGTTGCCCAACTCTCGCGAGACTTCGACGATACCTCCATGGTGACTAGCACTAGCGCCCTCCTTGCCATGATAACGGCTGACCACCCGCCCCCGCAGACACAGCAGCAGTCGCCAATGAACCCGGAAGAGGCAGCTCTCACAGACCGGGAACAGCTGGAGACGGAACTCATCCGTCGGCTGATTTCGTCATACTTCAACATCGTCCGTGAGACGATTGCCGACCAGGTGCCCAAGGCTATCATGCATCTCCTCGTCAACCACAGCAAGGACGCAGTCCAGAACCGGCTCGTCACGGAACTTTATCGCGAGGACTTCTTCAACGATCTGCTCTACGAGGACGACAACATTAAGGCCGAGAGAGAGAAGTGCGAGCGGCTACTGGAAACATACCGTCAAGCGGCCAGGATAGTTAATGATGTTGTTTAAAAGAAAATTTGGTGTTTTTAGAAGTTTTGTCATGTAGGTATTGCTATTGGTTGCCAATTGTCTTGCAACCGACCGATCGATCTACAGGGTGGCGCAGTGGGTAGGCGGAAGCCTGCACCGGGGTTACTTTCTCACTCAACTATTCTTCCTCGCTTTCTTTCTTTTTTTTCTTCTTTTCTGCGCTTTTCTGTCGGTGGAGTTTTCATCGTTTGGGAAGCGGTGATAGACACGGATTATGTCAAATGAGTTTATGAATGTACATCTATATACGGCATCCTCTTGATATCTCACCCGTGCCCGTACCCTCGGCAACTTACCAGCAGTTATTGGATGTACGAGTATTCGTCGTCAGCCTTGTTCCTCTCTTCGCGGAACCGCTGACTGAGCGTCCTGTACTTCGAGTTGAAAGCATCAATATCGACGTAGGCGCCCTTGAGCCAGCGATCGCCACTCTCGGCATCAAACTCCCTTCTCGAGTGCAGCACCCTGCGATTGAAGAAGACGGCACACACGCCCTCCTCGAGCCTCAGCTCATACTGGGCCCCGGGCTCATCGACGTTCTTGGCAAACTCGGACGCGCCGATGATGTACGGTCTGAACTGGGAGTTTAGGTCGGTTCCGACGTCGACCTCGAACGGCGCCTGGAAAGGCGGCGCCCAATTGACGCTGCTGATCCGCTTCTCGTCCAGGTAGCTGTACTCGTCCATCACAATCGTTGGCCGCGTCAGGTGGTAGTGCTCGCCGTCGTTTTGGTAGTGGTACGTTACCGGGAACTTTGTGAGCGCGTGGAAGAGGATCGGGCTGTTCAGGCGCAGCAGCGTGGCTGCGCGGAACGAGTCGGCGAATACTGAGGAACCGCCGGTTACTGTGTTTTGGACGCAGTGCAGGAATTGTAGCCCCGGTGGCGACTCGAAGTAGAGCAGGTCCATGTGGTGGCCGAGGTTGAGGGATGTGTAGCTGTTTGCCGAGGTTGTCAGCGGGCGGCAGCGGGGAAGGGAGTGAGAAGTGGTGCGTCACTTACGCGATGTTCTTGGAGTCTTTGATACTCTTGACGTCCCAAGTCTTCCCGTAGAACGTATTCTTCAGATTCCCAATCCTCTCGGCCATGCCCTCGACCGCATCACTCATCCCCTCGGGTATCCCCTTGATGAACATGAGCCCATACAGACTCAGCTGCTTGACGGCCTTGAACAGCGCATCGTCGCTCTTCATGTAATCCTCGTACTCGACGAAGAGCACATCCTTCTCCATCGTCTTTCGATCCCACAAGATCTGTCTCTGGTCATTGAACCTCGCTCTTACACGATTCCTCAGGCTCGAGTAACGTCTCAGGAATTCCAGATCGTAGACGCTCTCGTGCTTGTCGCCGGTGGGGTTCTGCGGGGTGACGAGATCATTCTTCCAGACGATCCTTACGGAGCCGTCTTTGCGCGCCTCGAAGGTTTGCGGGCGCACTTCGTACGGGATGTCGGTGGTCTGGAACAGCTTCTGCTGCGTGGACGGGTGGATGCACGCGGCGCAGCGGCAGGCGTCGCGCAGGAACAGGCTGTCGTACGGGTAGATCTGTCCGTCGACCGTTATGTGCAGGCGCTTGAGCGACAGCGGGTTGATCTTCTTTTTTTTGTTTTTGGATTGCAGCGTGGGTGGGATCGGGAGTGTGGACGTGTGCGTGTGCGCGCGGACAAGGCGGGGGAGGAGGACGGAAGTGGTGGATGTGGGACGGAGGAGACTTGAGGCGGCAGGCCGGAGCGCGCGTGCGAGAGTTGGGACGCCGCGCATCGTGGGGATGAGGGAGTGAGTGAGTGGGGGTCAAGCGGACGATGATTAGTTCCGTATGTAGTTGGAGGAGGATCTCCGGATCCCAGGACCGATCCTCGTTTATGGAATTCGTCCCATCCCCGCGTTAGATAACTGCTATCCGTACATACATGCTGAAGTCCGAGGTTCCCTGACAGCCGCTGTAGTTGCCCCACCCTGCAACTGCCAAACAACCGCCGATTATCCGATCCCTCCCATCTTCTGCTGGGCGCTCGTTGCTCTGCCCTATTTCTGTCGATTACGTCTGTCGCGCATCCCATCGAGCTTGCTAGTGCTTGTCCCGTGTCACACGTACCCAACTCTAATTCTCAACTCGCTTTCTCCCAACACCACCCCAATAACGACAACAACAACAATACGACAACCCATTCACGCCCGCTCGCTCGCTCGCTCAATCGCAGCACCACCACCGCCGCCCACTCGTCGTCGTCGTCACGAATGCCGAAAAGCAACGAGAAATTCGATGTGAACCTTCCCACCCCACACACGTCACCAGAGTCTAAGACCGTCCGCGCCATGCACACAGGCCACAGAATCTCACGTATTTGTATCCGGCGTGATAGCGGGCCTAATATCACGGTACCGTCCGCCGTCTCTCCACTTTGCGCCCACGCTCACCCGTGTCTCTGCAGCTTCGTCATAGCGCCGCTCGACGTCGTCAAGATCCGACTGCAGCTGCAGGCTCACGGGCCGCACGCGGCGCTCACGGCGATAGACGGGCCGACGTACCGCGGGATCGTGGGCACGATGCGCACGATCGTGCTGCAGGAGGGGATCCGCGGGCTGTGGAAGGGGAACATTCCCGCGGAGTTTCTGTACATGACGTACGGGCCGGTGCAGTTCGTAGCGCTAAAGGAATGCACGGCGCTGATAAAGCGGGCGGCGCCGGGGGTCGGCGAGGAGGCGAGGAATTTTGTTGCTGGCGGGACGGCAGGCGCTGTCGCTACCGCTGCGACATACCCGTTCGACCTGCTGAGGACTAGGTTTGCTGCCCAGGGGAGTAAAAGGGTGTATGAGAGCATCGTGCACTCCGTCAGGCATATCTATGAGCATGAGGGAACACAGGGATACTACAGGGGCATTGGCGCAGCGCTGGTCCAGATAGTCCCGTATATGTACATCCTCCCGCCATCGCCCGTGCCGTCGACTGATAGCTAACCCTCTGAAGGTCCCTCTTCTTCTGCTGCTACGAAGGTACCTCCTCTTGTCCCAGGACCCCCCTCACCCACTGACCCCCGGTAGCAACACGCACCTACACCGTCGACGTCGTGCACATGCCCGAGCAATGGTCGAACCTAGTCTCAGGGGGAATCGCCAGCACGCTGAGCAAAACGATCGTGTTCCCGTTCGACCTTGTGCGCAAGCGCTTGCAAGTGCAAGGTCCCACACGCTCACAATACGTGCACCGCAACATCCCCGCCTACGTCGGCGTCGTCGGCACGCTGCGGGACACGGTGAAGTACGAGGGGTTCCGTGGACTGTACAAGGGGCTGACGGTGTCGCTCGTCAAGGCTGCCCCCCTCAGCGCCGTCACTATGTGGACTATGGAGAACTCGCTGAAGATTATGGAGTGGATCGATCCTAGTACTAAGGGGGAGGTGGATTAGGACGCATTATCTACATGGGAACGGACGCATTGGGCGGAAGGGGGGACGGCGTTTGACTTTTTTTTTTTTTTTTTTTGCGGATTCCATATTGTGTTTCTCTGTTGATTTTTGATTTTTGATTCTTTTGTGTTTCGCGACAATACCGATAATGGCGTTTTCCTTCTCTTCCCTTTTTCCTTTTCTTTTTTATCTACCAAGTACATTGCACACCTCGATCCCCATATGACCCACATGACGGAATGAACGAGTGAGGACCCGTGCACGTGTTCACGTTCGTTGTCGTTGGAATAAAGTTTTTTCCTTTTTTCCTTTTTTATTTATTTATCCATTTCTTTCTTTTCCAAAAAAAGAAATACATCCATACATACCATAAAGTACAGGTCTAGTTCGGTCACGATTGAAAGGGGGGAAAGTTACCAAACACCCGGGAGTCGGGAGTAGGGACAGGACAATATCCCCATGGAATCTTGGAAGGAACTTGGAAGGATATGTACGGAAGCCTGAAGGAACTTCGACTTGGAAGAGGCGGGGGAGGGGGGGGAGGGGGGGGTGTTTAGGCAAAAAGCACGCGTGACTTCAACTCCACACATCCTTCCTTTTTTTAAAATTGTCACTCGCGATATACCTTGGAAAGATGTATGCAAGTGTTTTCGCCAGCGAAACGGCAGAGATGGCGAGATGGCGACCGCACCCGAATGCCATGTTTCGGATCCGGCATTTTCAATTGTCACTCGCGATACACATTATATTTCTCTAGCGAAACGGGAGTGATGGCGACCGGATTGCGAAAGTGTCTCGAACCCAGCTCTCTTTCTCTCGTTCACCCACTTACAAAATCAACTGTGGAGTATCGGGACTCGGGCCCACTGTGGTGACACCTCAGACACTTCAGACACCTGGTTGGTGGTGGCGGCGGCGGTAGTTACTTTACAACTTCTTACCCACGGTATCTATTCAGCATGTGTAGGAACGCCAGCTGAACGCCCGGTCTGTCTCAGCGCCGCCCCCCCAATCCCCCCCCCCCGCCGCGCCGCCCCTTCCCTCCCCCCACGTTCCGGTCAATGTGAGCCGTGAAACATCATAGGCACCCTTGGGTATCCACGTGCGTGCAAACAACCGCACCGCACCGCGAAGTCCGCCGATTCCAGACTTCGTCTTGTCTTCAATGGCAACACACACACACACTCAATTCAATATAGTAGGCAAGAAGTAGGTATAGGGGTATATTCCTCGATTCTCAATCATCCTTCAAAACTGTCCTTCAAACGAGGGCATAGGTATGATAGGCAGGTAAACAAAACACAAAAAAAAGGTGGTTACTGATACAATCCCCCCCATCCTGTCCCCCATTCCCGTCCTCCCGTCCCCTATCCTCCTCCTCCAGCAATGTCAGTCCAAAAGTCCTCCAAAATACGCGCGAGCGTCCCATCTGTTTCTGTTCCATAACCATTGATCCATCCAGCCCATCGTATCCCAACCCATCCCAACCCGCCCCAGCATCTAGCCCCCCCTCCCAAAAGAGTAATCGTAATCCTCCACACAGAAACAAAAGAGAAATCCCAGCCCATCCCCAGCCCAACCCGACTAAAAAGCATACAAGAAAAGGTGAAGCAAGAAAACAAATCGCTAATCGCAAGCAAGTAAACAAGCATACAAACAAACATGAAAGCCCAAGAAACCAAGAGAAACAAACAAAAGCGAATGGAATAAATACTTGAGTAAAGTAAGTATGGGAAAAGAAAAAAGCCCGAAAACCCCAACCGAAAACCCCCCCAACCACCGACCCGACCAGGCCGACCTCCCACCAAACCAAACCAAACCCGATGCAAAAAAAAACCCACCCCTCGCCCCCCGAAAGAGAGAGAAAAAAAAGAACTGAAAAAAAAGGACAAACCCAGATGAGAAAGGGGAGCGAAGTGAAAAGGGAAGAAAGAAAAAGAAAAAGAAAAACCTTGAGGTATCACTTCTCTTCTGATGCAAGACCCGGACGACGGCTCCTACTTCAGTGAGATAGGTATCGAACACTAAAAAAACCCACCAGACACCCCACACGCCACTGCCACCAACCCGTAATCGCAACCGCCGAGCCGTCGTAGAGACACACTGGACCCAAAAAGGAATGCAACACCGCTCACAAAGAAAACCCGTTGGACCATTGAATGCAAAAAACCCGTGAAAATCATGTAAGGAAAAGGAAAAGGGAATAAACAAAAGGAATCCGTTGATAGTGATGATAATCGCTCAGACAAAAGTCTTGGAATGAAATGGCGGAAAGGAAAGGAAAAGGAAATCGAATATAACGCCGCCAAATAGATCCCCAATGCCGGTCCGTGTTTCCCGGATGGCTTTTGCTGTATGGTTGTAGAGTGAAAAAAAAACCCCCGCTAAAAAAAAGAAGGCTCCAAATCGAAGAAAAAAAACGCAACTAGAGAGAAACAAGCAAAGTCCGGAGAAGACACCTGTTTCTTTCGAGCAAGGTCATGGGTCTCGTGTCGGCATCAAGTCGTAATGGGATGGGTGTGCGCTGGACAGTCCTTGAGACAAACTGTCCATCAGATGGTGTGAATGTGATCGTTCCCAGCAAAACAACATGCTGTCTAAACCTCTCGCCCCCTCCCCCGCAAACAGCCTCCTCCATTCCATCCATCCAGTTTCCACCCGTACCCCCACCCCCTTCCCCTCCATCCCTCCCGAGTCCAACCAGCCCTTATTCATCCACCATGCCCAGGTCATCGTCACTCTCTGTGGGCACTCGCATCCTCCCGTTCCCAGCCTTCGATTTCTTCAGTGGACTCGATTGCGGCAAACCTGCCTGCCCAGCCTTTCTCTTCAGGGAACCACTCGATGGCGGGTTCCCGGTCGCCATACGCTGCTGTTGCTGCTGTTGTGTTCCCTTGTTCGGCGTTCGTGTGGCATTATTCGGCTTCTCAATCTCCTTCGCACCATCCGGCATCCCGATATCACCGCCGATCCCACCACTGCCCCGCTTCTCCCTCTCCATCGCTTGCACTTCATCGGCGGTCAAGAACCTTCCTCCCGGACCTCGTGGTCTCCGCATGGCGTGGTTGTGTCGTGACTCGTGCAGGTAAGGTTTCCGTTGCTTTGATGTGAGACGGAGGGCCTCTTCCAGCTTCTGCCGGGCAACGCGCCGTTTCAGTATCCGGTGGAACTGCTTGGCATTGACGTAGAGTGGGGTCTCCTCGGCGGGGACGATGTCGGGCGATTGTTGATGCGGTTGTACTGGAGTGTGCTGTAGAGGCTGTTGGGGAGGTTGAGGAGGCTGTTGCTGCTGCTGCACCGCTGGTGGTGCCTGCTGTTGGGGAGTTTTCGGTTGTGGTGGGGCGGATGTTCGTGAGCTGTTGACGGGCTGGGCATGCTGGATCGCCGGACTACCGCTCGGTCCTTGCTGTTGACTCATCCGCCTGGCCGCGGCCGGCATGTGAGGGGTACCGGGCATCGCCGCTGCTTGCTGGTTCGCCGAAGGCATCCCCGACGACTGATTCTGTCCGCCGTGAGATGCAACCGCCGTTGCCATCTGAGGTGACCTTTGCTGCGTTCTCTCCTGTTTCACCTTCACGGCGGCCGGGTTGATCCTCGGCGAGCCTTTCGGACCGGCCCCCCCTCCTGGCACCTGAATCGACATGCCTTCCGCGCCGGGAATGGCGTAGTATGCCTGGGATCCTGTGCCGGCAGCCATCGCGTACTGGTGATGATGGCTGTTGTAGTACGGTTGTTGATGGACTTGCGAGTGCAAGCTGGACGGGTGGTTCCCAGCTTGATGCATGTTGGTATTTGCGATGTGTGGAGATCCGCCGTTTCCCGTGGGGCCCGCCGTCGCGGCGTGTTGTGGTGAGTACGATCCGGCCGGGCCGTGAACGTGATGAGCGTTATGCGGTGAGAATCGTGTGTATGTGTCCATAATGTCGTTCGAGAGGTACCGAACGCTACTTTCAGGCGCCGAGGTGTTCCGCAAAACAGAAGCCAGTTGTGCCACCACTTCCGGGTACTGGGTGATGTTTCACCGAAGAGGAAAAAACAAAGATGCTGGAGGCGGGTCAGATGCTGACAATTTCGATGTTGGCGGGCAAGCAAGTCGGGTTGACGATGTTGACGATGCTTCTGGATGTGGTGCGAGGTATCTTGTGTGTGTGTTTGGAGAACGCGTGGTGGTGTGGGATATCTGATGCTACCGCAGGGATACTTCAACCAAGAGGTTACGACTGGATGGATAAATGCGGAGAATATGTCAGGAACCTATCGTCGGTGGAATCAGCGTCAGGTAAGGCAGTAAACAATCAAGGTTGCACTCGAGGGCAGACAAACCAATGCTGGAGGAGGGTAGGTATTCGATGGATGGGGCTTTCCAACGAGGTTAAAGCTATGTGGTGCGGGCTAGGTTGGTGGAGTATAAGGTGCCTGGTTGGCTGCCTGATATGCGTTGCGAGAGTGGCCAATGGCAAATTCCGATTGTCAGGCAATGAGCAGCAAGACGACGGTTTTCTTCGCAGTAGTATTCCTGTGCGAGCACGCAGAGTTCCTTTATCTTTTGGATATTGCAGAGAATGTGCCTTCAATTTGGTACGCTGTGTGTTTTTTTTTCTTCTCTTCTCTTTCTGTTCTTCCGAGCTTGGAGACAAGTTCTCTGGGCGCACGTGTATGCCTGCTCTGCGCTGGCGATATTGTTTCCAAGCACAACGACAAAAAAATGTCAGAAAAAGGCGGGCGACGTGGGTTCGGAGGTGTAGGTAGTGGTAGTGGTGGTGGTGATGGTGGTGGTGGTGGTGGTGGTGGGCTGGCAGGCTGCAGGCTCTGATGTGTTGGTGACAAGTTGTAACGATGCGCGCGGAGAGGATTAAAAGAACGTACCGTAAAAGTAAACGGAGCGTCAATTGGTTGCGGCAGTTTGTTTGGGGTCCAGGATTGGGGGGAGCCGGGGTTGGTGTAGGTGGGTATTTTTTGGAGGGTTCTGGAGGGGGATCTCTGTGTTCGAACAGGCAGGGACTAGGGATAGGTAGATGTCGAAATCTCGAGCAAGTCTCTATCTCGCTTCCTCCGGCGTTTCGGCGGTGTTTCTCCCTGAATGAGCGGGCGCGGGCGGTCTTCTTTTTTGGGGGCGGGAGAGGAGGTTCTTTTTCTTCTTGGGACACCTGGGTCTCGTCGAGGTCTATGGTACTGAAGATCGATATTGGCGCAACTTCCCGTTATTGTTTCCCGCCAAAGCAGCGTGTATGAGGTAGGATTGGATGATTGCTAGATGTAGGAATCCTGGTACGGAGTGGAAGACAGGCTTATTAGCATCGCTCTTCTATTCGTGTACGGGTTGGGTGGTGGGTGGTGGTGGTAGGTGGGTGGTGGGTGGTGGTAGCGGTGGGTAGTGGTGGGAGGGTGCTGAGTTGGGTGGGGAGGTGCGGGATGTGCACACACACAGGAAAAAAAAACGACTGGGTGATGCGCTGGCACCGCGAGTTTGCTTGCTGCAACCGCCAACACGACAACATACCTTGACCTGACTTGTCACTGCCGATCTGAGTCTTGCGGCGAGGAAGAGACAGAGAGAGCAGAGAGAGAGAGAACGAGTCTTCTTTTTTTCTTCTTCTTTTATTTTTTCCTTTTTCTTTCCTTCGCTTTCCACTTCTGGTGACTACCAGCACGCCAGACAGACAGACATACGACTCCGCCTCCACAGTGTGACGAGTATTTTTATATATTTTTTACTTGGAAGGGAGGGGGGGTGGGAATGCTTGTGCTGTCCGTCACTGTCTTGTCGCGCTGGCGGCCCTGGTGGTGGTGATGGTGGTGGTGGTCCGGCCCGGTGCTATCAGTTGCTGTTGCTGGATTACCCGTCTAAGCAAGTGGGTGGAGCAGACAGGGCACGTAATTGAGGGCAGTGATGGTGATGATGGTTTAGGTGGTAGTGTAAGTGGTGATGCTGGTGGTGGTGGTGATGATGATGATGACAATCGTGGTGGCAGTGGTTGTATAGGCGAGGGTTGAGCTGTTGTGCGAGAATGCTTTTACTGCCCGATGACGGCCGACTAGCAGGCCAGGTAAGGTCTGGCAGACCGAGAGACAGACAGGCAGGCAGGCAGGGCAGGCAGGCAGGCGAGTGAGCAGGGTATGGCAAGTAGAGTAGAGATGGTAAGTATGGTGTCTATGCTTGCTATGTATCTGGCCGGAGCGGTGGTGCAGCAGCAGCGGCGATGAGATCTCTGGGGTTGGTGCGTGGGTTGGTGCGTGAGTGGTGGTAGTCAAGATAGTGGAGGTCTCGGTGGTGGTGGTGGCGGTGGTGGGTTAGGATGCGTGGTGGTGGTGGGCGTGCGTACGCGCGGAAGCTGGTCGGGTTGGCAGGCGTGTCGGTCAGCGGAGGAGACAGGCACGTAGGCAGGCAGCAGGCGGCAGGCGGTAAGTTTGAGAGGTAAGTAAGCAGCGTGAGGCAGGGTTGGTGAGCGGGCGTGAGAGCGCGCGCGCGAGAGAGAGAGAGAGAGAGAGAGAGAGAGAGAGAGAGAGAGAGAGAGAGAGAGAGAGTCGAGTTATGGAGCGTGCACGGGGTTGTGGGGCGGACTAGAGTGTGTGCTTCGGGCGGGAGGAGGGAGATGGGTGGTAGTGAATGGGCAGTGGGGTGGGAGGTGGGTGGGGCGGTGACGGCGGGCGTGTCGTGATGGTGGTGGTGGTGCTGATGCCGATGCACGAGGACAGCGGGCTTTCCGGGGCGGGCGGGTGGGTGGATGGATGGGCTCGAGTCTCGACTGTCTGTCTTTCGTTTCCCGAATGTATGCATACATACGTTTGTGCGGGCGTCCAAGTTTACGGTAGTTCATGTTCGACAGCTCCGAGCGAATCTCGATCGGGTTTAGGCGGTCGGCAATCACCAGAACGAGCGAACCGAGAAAAAAAATAAAAAAGCAGCAGCCCCAAGCTCTGTTTGTTCGCGCGGATATGGCTGGTCTCGAATTTCCAAAATGTGGGAATTGGTAGCAGCGCAGTCACCTGGGGGCTGATCCGACCAGTTAAAATGAAGAAATGCCGCAGACTCACACCACACAGCAGGCGTACCAGCCTTACGGAACGCGGCGTGCGACAGGGAGACGATGCACATTGGGGACCGAGAGCAATAATGGGATGTGTGGGGGAGGGCAGCAGGCAGGCAGGCAGGCAGGCGTGGGTGGGGGGTGATGGTGGAGGGGTGGATAGCTCGAGAGGGAGGGGGGAAGGGGGGGGGGGCTGGGTGAGGGCGAATCAGAGCCGGATGCGCCCACTCTTCTTTCCGCAGCAAGATCGTGTGGGTGCGCTGTGATTGGCTCGCGAAGGGGAAGGTGGTTGGCTGTGCGACCGGTGAGTTGGCATCCCATTGGGCGAGCCGAGCGCCAGGGACCACCGCAAAATTAGGACGATGAGACTCGATGGGCAGCAAAAGTGGCTAGGGTCGAGTAGGTACTAGAGTAGTAGTAGGAGTGAAAGGCAGCGGAATCAGCAGGGCGGGATGTCGAAATGCTGCACAGCTTGCGGGCAGCGGGCAGGGCAGATCGAGAGGGAGGGAGGGACGGAGAGAGGGAGGAGTGGTTGGAAGCGGCGGCGCAGGCGGTGGTGGCGGCGTGAGCGGCGCAGGCGGTACATACCATAGTGCATAATTGATGGAGGCGGTGGCGGCTTGTTGGTTGGTCGTGCGTCGGCCCGTGACCGGGCGAGTGCGTGTATACCTGGTACCTAGTACCCAGTAGTGCCTAGTACCCAGTAGTACCTAGTACAATGTAGACATAAGCACTCAGTTATCGGGCTCTCATGCGTGCTCGGACGATGTGCACGCGGGGGCAGCAGCAGCAAGTTGCAAGTCACCCCGTCGTCGACGTCGCCGCTCCCGGCCGCCCTGGCCTGGCCGCCCCCTCCTCACCCCCCCCCCCCCCCCATCTGGAATCCGAACAGCCACACTCGGACGTGGTCGGCTGCGATTGGTCCCAGCGTTTGTTGAGAGGCGAATGGATGCAGCGACCACCCACTACGGTACATACCAGGTACTTGCTCTAGGCACCCCTCGATGTGAGCATGTACCGTAGTGTACCCTTACGGCCAAGGTATGTATGCCATGTACTTACTTGGGGCCATGTCCGCGAGCTCTGTATGTTGTGTGTGTGTACTCTATCTCTGTGTGTATCTGTGTACATGTGGCCCCGTCGTCATCTGTGAACAGCCCGGCCTGCAAAGTTGCCAGTGTCTGCAGTGCGTGGAACGTGCATGAATGGGATCCTTCCGCGCATGTTCCAGAAGCAACGCACCTCTCTCTGCACACGGGCGTCATAGTACCTCCCACCTCCCACCACTAGAGTAGAGTACTCGATCACAACGCCAGATTCGCTCGATCAACCCGTGTGAACCCGGTCGACAGTACGGAAGAGAGAGAGGGAGTATACACAATATGGTATGGTAAACAGAGCCCAACAAACAAACGAATGAATGGACAACAAACAACAAACAAATAAATGGAAAAACAAATAATAAATTAATAAATGCAAAATTACCCCAAATCGCGGCCCACAATGGCCCGAATTCGGAAACCCTATTCGCGCAGAATGGAGACTGTAAAAGTCAATCAACTTCAATCTACCCCCGAATTTAAAAACCCTATTCGTGCAGAATGCTGTACCAAGAAAGCAGTTAATCTGCACCGAGTCCCGACAACGAAAAACCTAGCCTTATCCCGAACTCGAAAACCCTATGCAACTCGAAAACCCCATTCGCACTGAATGCCTTAATCTGCCCCGAGTCCCGACAATGAAATACCTAGCCTTGTCCCGAACTCGAACCCCCCATTCGAGAACCCCATTCGCGCAGAATGCCTTAATCTACCCCGACAACAAGATAGTCTTGTCCCGACTTCGAAAACCCCATTCACGCTGAATGCCTTATATGTAGTAATCTGCCCCCGAGTCCCGACAACGAAATGGCCCATGTCCTCCCACCCTATTGATTGAGCGCGCTTCCTCCTCCGCACACACGTGCTGAGTACAGTACAATGCCGGTGGAAATATAATTAAAATAAAATAAAATAAAAACAGAAAGAGCACAACTCTCAACCAGCTGGCTGTCGTCAGCCCGTTCGTCCGTCCATCCGTTGAGGTCGAGCTCGAGGCGCACTCGGCCCGCTGGCGAGATACTGGCGGGATTACCCAGAGCATCGGCCAGCGAATGGCTTCTCCCCGCCGCATCGAAGGCGCTCACCAGTCACGTCGGTGCCCGTTTCATCACGCCGAGTCGCCGAGTCGTCGTCGCCCACCAGCGTCGAAAATGAAACTCAGCTCCGGTTTCGAACTCTTGATATGGAAGCGCGCGCTCGCTATCGGTTGATTAGAGTATCATGTGACCCTGCCGCGCTGGGAGCCTGGGACCGCCGTATGTGCGTCGCATATCGGTTTTCGGG